AGCTTGGCGTAGCCTAAAGGCAAGACACGTGCGATGATCGATCGGAATCGCAGCCCATATGCCATGTGCACAGATGGCTATCAAAAGCATCAGTCTCTCTGTCGCTGGATAGTGATTGCAGGCGAGACGTACGCCTAAGGACTTGCTCTTTCTCTAATAAAAATCGCGCAGCAAAGACACCGTTAAACAAAGTTTGGGAAAGCCTGGGTATAAAAATAGCAACAGCCCCCGAAAAAATATATGTGTATCAGCCCAGGGAGAAAGATATAGAGATACACATACACAGAGCGAGAGAGAGAAAGAGAGAGAGAGCTAAGCTTAAGGGAGAGAAAGAAAGAGATCGAAAAATTCGCGTGGGGTTACCATGGGGAGGGTTGCCGAGCTACGTCGTTGCTGCTCCTCGTCTCAAAGGCACCCTGACCGAGAAGGGCAGGCAAGCGGAATCGATATATCGAACGCATGTACACGCGAGGAACAAATTTCTCAGCATCCCCGACAAAAACAAGAAACTTTTCGATATTTTTTTTTTGTTTTTTTGAAATCCGACCATCTGTCGCGAGCGGCAAAGGCAGACTCTCACCTCCTCTCTCGTCCTCTCTCATGGCGCATCGATCTCCGGCAATGGCTGATAATCAAGCGCCATCTGTGTCTCGTCGTTGTCGCGAAAACCAAACTAGCTCGCTCGACGATAACGAATTGGCGCCAAGTCTGATTCTCCGACAAGCCAAGTGCTCATTAACCGGCAGCTCGCGCGCACCTATCGCGCGTATCACTGAAGAGACGCATCTTTTGCCATCTTACTTGCTTCTCGAAAGGGGAGAAGAAATGCGAAGGGTTAGTATTGCCATTAGCCGACCCAGTTTTCCCCATAAAAACGTCTGCCAAAGCACCCTTGGTCGTCGTCGGGGGGATACGTACGAAAAATTCCCTGGCACGTTTGATTGGCCGGAGAGAGAGAGAGAGAGCGAGAGCGAGAGAGAGAGAGAGAGAGAAGCTGGAAGGCGGGGGGAGGGGGGTGGTAAGTTGCGCGACGCGCGTTCAACAAAAGAGGGGTTGGTCGTGCGCGTGTGCGAGGGTGCGTAGTCAGTCGCTCTTCAGCCCGTCGCGTATACGCCTCGACTCTTACTAGTTCTGCCCGCCTCGTTCTCTCGATCCTTTTTCCGTCCGTCGTGTCGCGCACTGCAGTGTTTCCAAGACAAGAGTTTCGCCAAGCATACAAGCAGAAATCTTGTACGATAGTGGATTCAATGGTGCATATTGTGGAAGTAGTACAGTCGCGTCGGAACGACTTAGCCATGGTGAGTTCTCGTGTTAGCATTCTGCAGGCAACGGGAGGCGTGGGGGATAATGGATAATGCACGCGGAGGCGTCGGCCGAACGAGAGGCGAAAGAAAACATTGTTTTCCGCTTCCACCTGACGCCGAACACGTGTAGCCTTACTTTTGGCGACGACTAATATCGAACCGAAAAGAGAAAAGCTTCCTTCGAGCAAACGATGATCCAAAACTCAGCCGGACGAAGGACACGAGGACCGACGCCGACGCGCGGAGAACGATAAGAAAAGAGGATATTGACCCAATTCTTGCCTCCGAGCCTCGCTGTTTTGACAAGTGGAATGGCCATTCTCCGTTTATACAGGAGAGTTTGGCCGCGCGCCGTTAAAGCAATGGCAAAATAATCCCGGCATTGGGAGTCTTGTCGTCGCCAGCAACGCCACCGCGCACTTAGCCCCTCTACTACGCGAGTTTTGATCGATGTGAGCGCTACACGGCCGACACGCTTTTATGAATTATTTAATGCTTTTCTCTCTCTCTCTCTCTCTCGCTCTCGCTCTCTATTATTCGCTGGCGTATATATACGTTTGTCGCTCTGTCTGTATCATGGCGCAAACGAATAAGCCGGCATTACGATTCTGCGCGGCGAATCAAAATTGGCCGCGACGTTCGTTTTGTCGGCGTCGATTCGCCGGAAGAGAAGAAAAATTGATCGGGATGTGTAGCGACACCACGAGGCTCGGCGCGCGCGCGTTTCGACACGAATGTAAGCCAGAGGAAAGCCAACGTTCTCGCGCCGTACTGCCAGAAATAGACGCGCGCGCGTGTCCGTGGCGTAGACTCGTAAACCGCTAACGATATTAACCCGACGGATATCTCCGGGGAGCGTAGAGCGAGAGACGCTCAGGCGAGGCGTGGACGAGGCTTTATTTTTTTTTCTTTTTATTCCGAGAGTGAGGTGGGTATATACTCGTCATTGGAGGCTCTTCATAAATTTTTTATACGATTACGCGTTGGGCATGTGGGACGGCGAGCGATATAAAAAGTCCGAGGGATTTTTGCCCGACAGCGAGCAAGTTTTTAATCTGCATCGAGAAGTAGGCTGTTCCAGCGGGACGTGCTGGCAAAGAAAATTTTATTTTCCCTTGTGCTTCGGAACGGCGTGCGAGATTCCGCGTTTTCACGTTTGTTGGACCATCAAGCGTGCGGGATCAGCTGATTGTTATCTGCTTCGCAAGAGCTATGCCCGATTACCCTTGGTGAGCAATTGGAAAACTCGTGGAGTGAGCCCGAATAAAAAATCGCCTCACGCCCAAGCGCCGAAAGCCCGACATTGGCATATACACGCGCGCGCGCGCGCGCGAAAGGTCGAGAAAACGAAACAGCTGCGCGTGGTTTAGTCAGCAGGAAGGGCGAGGCAAAGAGAAAGGGGGCCAAATGATTTCTATCTCTCGAAAACTCTGCGTGACGCAACGACAATTTTTGGCGGGTACATGCAATTGCGCAACGCTTAATTGGCTGAGCAGAAATCCATCTTGCCCCTGCCCCCTCTCTCGTTCTCTCTTGCGTAACCAGCGGCGACGTCACGTGGCAATGTCACGCGAAGAACAATTGTCCGGATCACGCGCCGAAGAAACAGCGAGGAGATTCAATTGGCCCACTTGGAAAAGACTCCGAGCTCACGCAGCCGAATCGTAAATTTCTCCCCTACGCGGAACGAACACTCGGATTACATCTCCCGGATAATATGCAAATGCGCCGCTCGTCGGTCGACTTTCTTTTTCGCAGGCCTAAATGCCTTCCGCGCCCACGCCGTAATGTTAGCGACGGCGGGCAACCATTCCAAAGCGAAAATCTATAATGCCGAATCGTACGAATAATTGAGCTGTAGACGACGACGAGCGCCACATTATTGCGTCAAGTTATATTTACGTGACAGCCCCGCTGACGCGCGTGTCTTTTCTTCTTCGCGTGAAAGAAAGTGTCGAATCATGGAATAGCGTCGCGCGCACATAATTGAATTTCGTACAGATCCCCGAAAAAAAAGCCCTTGGCCACGATGTTTTGCCTATCTAGAATCGACCAGCGGGCAGTTTTTACAGCGAAATTAAAATGAATATAGAAAGGCGCGCAGACTACATGAATAATGCCACGCGCTTATCCTCAACTGAAAACGAGGTAGGAAAAAAAGAAACAAGTGGAGTTAAGGGCGCGCGGGTTTTGGTAAGGGGGCGTTTATCGTCTTACATCGCGCAGGCTGTACAAATACATACACAGGCGCGCGCGCGCGCGCGCATGCATACATATATACATACATATATATATATATATATATATTTATTTATTTATTTATACACTGACCGTCGCGGGAGTAGATAATCGAGCTTAATTAATTGGCCTCAAGCGCGAGCAAACACATTTGCTTATTGCCGTTCATCTTGTAAGGTCGACCTGGTGTTGTCGTTGTCCATTGTGTCTCGTGTGACGATCGATTAGACATGTGTGCGGACTATGTGCGACATCAGTGCGTAGCTTCTTTTGTTTTTTACCAACGTTCAAATGCACATAGTCGAGTTTTTAGGGAACCTGGCGACGAACGGAGCGTTGCCTCGAAGTGGGTCGCTGAGTTGAAAATTGGGGATTTCTTTTGAAAAAGGAATTGTTCGAGACCAAAGCAGAGTGTCAATATTAATGTGCAATGTGCAAGCGAAAGCGCATAGAGTCGCGCGTGGTCATTAGCGTCAACCGGTCTTTCCCTCAAATTGATCATCGCCATCAATTATAATTTTATCACAATCAATCGACCCGAAAATCCCTTATGGAGAATATATACATAGATATACATATAAATATATAAGTACACGTTCGTGTGCATACACACTCGAAGCTGAAAGCCACGGCGACCGCAACGAAGCTGCCGCTTCATTATACTCTGCGGCGAGAAGCAGCACCAGCTCCCAAATATTAACGCAAAAATAATAATGCGCACGCCCGTGAGCCAGTGAAAGCTCTCGATTTAATAGCTCGCGTAGATGTATATAATGATTTTGTCGAGCTGCAGCTGACGCTTACACGACGTGCGGGATATATACGCGCAATTCGATTGAGCTCCACGGTAGAGAATTGCTGCTTTTTATGTGCTTTTTTTCCGAGACTCGCGGACAATACTTTGCGGTTTCGGATCGGAGAATCGGCCGGTAGCGTTTCCCCCCTCGCGAATCGTTGCTTGAACCGCAGGAGAAACGAATCTCTCGCGTGAAATCATCGTTTGCATGTAGCGTACGTCCTTGTAGAGCATGCAGGAAATTAAAATATTAAAAGAAGCGAAACGCGCCTGACGTTGACGCATGACCGAAAAAAAACGGGAGTGGTCAGACTAACGCGATGCACGTATAATGCTCTAAGTTTAATTTCCTCGTCGATGGTCGCTCATTACCGGCATGTCGCTGTCATCAATCAAAGAGCAAAATAAGGAAAACACGAGGATCCAGGGTGACATCTAGGTCGTAGGTCGTAGGTCGTGAATCATTCATCCTCTGTCGCGAGAGAACCAATTTGCCGGTCGCACTCCAAACGTGTTTCAAGGAAATAAGCTTTTCTTCTTATGCTAAACTCGCGACTTTACATTGCTGCATTTTGCCGAGCAGCTTTACCGGGGATATAATACAAATAAGCGCACAAACCGCAGCGAAAACCAGCACTAATGACAAATATTTTCTGTTTCAGATGAACCGTCCTATCCAAGTGAAACCGGCGGACAGTGAAAACCGCGGAGGTGAGACAGCGATCGAACATAAACATATTGCATAGCACTTGGCGATATATCCATAGGATATATGTAATCTGACAAGACAATTAATGGCCCTCGCCATACGTACACTGGAAAGATGAAAAAAAAATCCAACTGAGGCAGCGCTTATCTCATCAACAAAAAGTCACACGTCGATCTCTCTGTCACGAATGTTGATACGTATAAAATCTCGATCGCGAGGGGCTTAATTTGAACATGAGACAAGCGCAACGACATATAAAAAAACCAACGATTTTCTTGCAGGGCATCGCGAGTTTAGTGGTGGGGTGGATGCACCGCAGGTTAATGATCAGTTTATAAAGATAATAAAAAGAAAAAAAAATAAGGTATGTTTTTTTCCGTCGCTGTACATTTTTTTTGTTCTGTTTGATCGTGTAATTCTGTGCTGTGTGATGACGCACTTCAATGTTTCTTTTCTCTTTATTTCTCTGTTTATCTATTATCTTAATTTGTATTATTCAGAAGACGAACAAAAAAATTCGACTTGATCTTGGTCATTTTCCTCGTTGCGAGTGCATTCGCCCTCCACTTTCTTTCATAACCCAATTATAATTATCGTATACTTGGAAATTAAAAAAAATGAACGATGTACTTTTGGCTTATAAAAAAATATCGAAGAGAGCAACGACGCACTTGTACATAAAAAGGTCAGCTGTACATTTTGCTACGTAGAAAACGTTGCGCGAGTACCAATAAAAAGAAAAAAATAAAGACAGCTCTAATCCAATTGGCAATGAAAAAGAAAAAGATTTTCAAAATTGACCGCGTGAAAATGGACGCAGCATAGAAACGTTGCAAAAGCCTCACTCTGATCAAGTATCTTCTCTCTGGGTGAGCGTCTCGCTCGACGCAGCTGTTGTCTCGCGAGTATCTAGATACACTTTCCGATAGATCTGCCCGCATATCTCTCTCTCTCTCTCCTTCAAAGGGACGGTGTAGTAGCAGTCCCCCGCATATATAACTCGTTCTCAAGATCGCACTGCGGCTGCCAGGGCTGGCGCTGGCGCTGTCGTAATTCATATGCTAATCTCGAAGAGATGCCATTGTAATCTCCGGCGCTACAAAGCCTCCGACGCTAGGCGCGCGGCGACATTATGCCGCGGAGTTCAATCGGATGCTCGGCAGGGATTACCTTTCATACTAGCCTGCGACGGCGCCGAAGGGTGAGAAATTGTAAAACGACGCCCAGCCTCGGATGTGCGTGCAATCGAAGCGCCACGAGCGGGACGCGCGATTGCCGCCCATTACTAGACTTGTTATCGCGCGCGCAGCCCGCGCCAGCCTTTTTCGCTTTTACGTTGATTTTATGCCGCGGAGGCGAGAGCACGAAAAACCGATTGCCACATCACCTCTCTCCAAAGTTCTTTTACGGGACCGACTTATCGCGCGCTGATCTTCTACTTCCTTGTTTTTTCGCCTCTTTCAACGGTGAAACGCCGCTCGCGCGACCAAACGGCATCGCGCTGTTGTTCTTTAAAAATGGCTCCGTCGTCGCATCCACGGTCTAATTACATCCCTCAAGGCGCCCGGTTAAACGTCCTATCAGGCCTACATCAGATTTTAATTGCAAAAGGATGAGGAGCAATGATCTCTTTCGATTAATTGCGGGGATGACGACGACAATTAAAAATCTTCCCGGCACTTTAATCCTGCCTGCGCTCTCGGCAAGAAAAACTTGGCTATACAGCGAAGACCTCGAGGCTACGTAGCGCGGGGAGGATGGAGGTGGAGGGGGCGGGCGTTTCTTTGTCGCGCGCGCCAGAGAGGAGATAATCGATATATACACTGGTGGTCGTTCGAGTTTATTAAAGGTTCGACGAACGCGCTGCGGAAAAAGAAGTCGGGGGCATCGGCTCATCGTCGTCAAATCAATGTCCATAAGCAAAACTTGGCGTGTTTCGAGTGCTGCGCCTTGATAAACTTTCTCTCTCGCGGCCGGGCGATAAACTGAAAACAACGTAGATTCGTTAAAAGAACGAACGTTCTCTGGCTCGAGGCTAAAGTACGAAGAAGAAGCTCAAGTAGTAGTTGGAAGTATAAAGATCCCTTCTCGACAATCGCTTTCAGCAAATCTCGCTCGCATTAACTTGGCCCCGGCAGATTCGATAAGCCCAAGTCGAACTCTCTCTCTCTCTCTCTCTCTCTCTCTCTCTCTCTCTCTCTCTCTCTCGCAGATAAGTTTTCGATCCTCGACGCGTATATAAGAGAGATAAAGGGCAGAGAGCGGCGGAGGAGGGCATCGAAAAGTTGCTCGCGCGCGCGGTCGCGATAAACAAGAGGAGAAATTGTTGGCGAGATAGCAAGGAGGAGCCTTTACTATCTACGCGCTGCTTATAGCCACTCGCGAGCAAGCGAGCAAGAGAGCAGATGAATTATTCAGAGTTGCTCTCAAAAATAGGGCGGCGTGTTCTTAAACATTTCAGAAACAAATCAAAAATTCAAAACGCGCGCTTTCTCTCTGCTAGAAATTACAGCTGACTCATGAGAAAGAGCAGAAAACCTTATTCTTCGTTTTTTTTCCCCGTTGGTCCTGCAAAAAGGTAATTATGAAAGCCACTCTCTTAAAAAGTCTCTTTTCTCTCTCTCTCGCTCTGCCGCTAGCGGGTGCTAAATCCAATAAATTACACGCGCACCTGCGTCGCAACAATATACATGTCGCGGCACACGGAAAAAAGAAGTTACGCGGCCAAGTTCCGACGCCACAAAAGAGAGCTAACATCAAAGCTTGAGCTACTTTGGCGCTGCTGTGCGAGAGCAACTCGATCCATCTTGCCATTGAAAATCAAATCCCAGCGCTCTTAGCGCAGCCGCTAAAAGACCTTCGACGCGCCAACAAGAGTTTTCCTTTTTGCCATAACTTTGCCGCAGCTACGAGAAAAATGTTCCTGTTGCCGTTGCCGAGGTTTCGCTCGATTCGCGATGATCAATAAGTAAAAAAGGAAGAGGGAGACGGTATATGAGACAGAGAACGAGAGAAGAGCTTGCGCAAGTCAGGCGAGAATCTAATTTTCCCCGAGACAAATCCTTAAATGTGCCCCGAAGCAAAGCACCTGCTCGAACGCCAAAGAAATAGAGACGGAGAAGGGAAAAGGTTCGCTTGGCGTGGCAGCAGTTGTACACCAGAGAGAAAGAGGCTTTTGTGCAACGACGACGACGACGACGACGACGACGACGACGACGACGACGACGACGACGACGACGACAACGACAACGACGACAACGACAACGACGACGACGACGACGACGAGGACGACTTCGCCACCGCGCGCGAACAATGTTGACAAGGTTTTTAATTACCTCGAAAGTTCGCCGCTGCTGTCTCTTCCTACTCTCTTTTTTCTCTCTCACTCCCGCCTCTTTTTCCTCTTCATCCAGCCCAAGTGCCTTTAATTAAGTGAACGCCCTTTGCGCATGTGCGCTACGATCTTTCGGAAAGCAGGAGGACTCGTTTCAAGATTGCATTGTTGTTCTCCTGAGTCTTTGGCTGCTGCAGGGGGCGCTGCTTGTCAATACCAATTGCAGGTTATCTTTCAAATAACAGCGGAAACGTCGCGAAAATAGTCACGCTCAAACACAATTTCATGTATTGCAACAGAATTTTATTGAGAATTTACTTTATCTTTCGGTTCTACACTTGATTGTATTGTCACAGATGACACCATACTAAACACTGAAGATACGCGACTCCTACTTTCCGAAAAAATCGATCAAGCACCAAGAGAGAAATATCCTGCACTGTCGCAAGCCTATATATATATACATGAACATGAATGTGGCAAAAATATCTCGTCTCCCGCCACATTGTTCTTCTTCCTCGACGTAGACTCCGAAAAAAATGAGACAAAAACGAGAGCGCATCTAACATCTAAAGAGCGACGAGCGATCGTTTGTAACTGTTATAAATACTCTCAATTCTCTTTCAGTCGAGAGAACAATCGACAGAAAAAAAGCGATCCAAGGCAAGAGGTCTATACCATCTCTTTGTTTGTGTCTTTCTATTCTGTATTGCAGAGCACATGATGGACAACGGGAGCGCCAGCGCCATCTTCTGGAAGTAGGAGGCGCCGTCGCTAAGGTAACTTCGACTTCCAGGAGATAGCTAGAGCTTCCTAATGTGAGACGAATAACCCACAAGAGAGAAAGATATATATATATATATATATATATATATATATATATATTTAAAAAACAGCGCTATCCGATCCTTTTTCGTCTCGCATATTGGTCGTTTCTTTGCTCTGAGCATCGGCCAGCGAGTTGAAATTGGAGGACGACGCTTCTTCTTCTTCTATGTGAAATGAAGGGAATGAGAGATGTCTAACCGAGTTTTCCAAGAGTCAGTCTCTCTCTCTCTTTCCAACACGATACACACACGATCGCAAGCAAGGTTCTTCCTTTTTGCTGCTCGCTAGTGTTTCAGTGACTAAATTTCGTTGTCCTTTTGGCTCCACCCCACCCCACCATACCTACCAACACCGTTACTGTGTCCGTTTTTTACATTCTGTTCTCTCCAATCTTTGGCAAAACCAGGAAAACAATCCGATACTTCTCGAATTATGCTAATGCTCTCTCTCCTTGTCGTCTTTTCAGGCTTGTTTCCTGGGCTGTCCATGTTGCAACAAGTGATATCAGTTTTCTTTTAACTTAGTGACATTGATTTGACTTAGAATTTTTTTGCACAATAGAACTTTTTTACATACCTTTTTTGTCGCAGCAACTTACGTGAATATAATTTTTTTTTGGATTGTCATAGATTTAGCACAAGTTTTATACAACATTCTTTAAACTTTATGAGCTTGATACATTTTTGCATTAATGCATTTTCTCAAATATTAAATATATTCGAATTGATTATTTTTTTATCTCGTTAGTTGCCATGCTTATAAAATTCAAAATTTAGTACATGCACCGTGAACTTTTCAACTTTTTTGTCACTTTTGAGAGCAACAATATTTCTTTTTTTTTCTCGCCCTATTTTTTACATCCTTCAGCAGCAATTGACACATTTTTATTCCCCCTTTTGTTCCACATAACAATTTACCATTTCCGTTCTTTACTATTACAGCTGTGACCATATAGTGGCTCGCTCGTTGGATGTATTGTCTCGTTCGTTGTCGATGTGTTTTCTTTAATTACTATATATTTATCACCTTTTGTACATATATATCTTTTATTATTAATTACGATGTCAGTTATGATACGTATATTATATATTTCTTATTTGTTATCCAATAGATTCCGCGACATAACTTTATTTAATTTTTTTTTCATCCACAAACACAATTCACGCACACACACTGCGATGCACACACATCCACATACATAATGTACACACAAGCATTCGCCGTATATATATATTTTTTTGAGTCTAACCGTGAAAGCTAGTCGTAATTTACTATATTATTTTTACTATTATCTATATTGTGATGATTCAGTGCAGATATTTCTAACCTAAAAAAGAAAATAAAAAAAAAACAAAAATAAAAACGCTCTCGCTTGATCATAAAATGTTGATCAAAATTGCCAACCAATTGGATTAAAGTGACAAAATTGACAAAAAACACCCAATCAGGCCAAAAAGAAAAAAGAATCGTGCCCAAAAGCGAGATTACACAAAAGAAAAATGGCGTCGAAAGATGAAAACAGAAAAAAACGTTTTTTGCTGCTCGACGCCTTAGAAATAGCTGCAGCGCAGTATCATATAATTTATTTATTTGATGAGCATCGCTGTCACGTATATTATATAACTGGCGTATGACGAACCTAAGAAATGTCGCCTCTTCAAAGCACTTATATATCTCGAAGCGAAGTCAAGCTCTTGCCGTTTATCAGCAAACTTTATGGAGAGAAGCAAAGTCGAAGAGACGATCAACCAAGTATACACCGCTAGAGCTCGGCTCCACTTACATACATATTATATTATACATTATATATATTTATATATTTAGTAGTGAGTCGCTTTATCATAAAAAATCGCTCCGGTCGAACGCGATGTATTACCCGGTATCTATATATATATATATATATATATATATACATATATACATATATATATATAACCATATATTATATATTCTCTATTATATATATATATACTCGTCGTGGCTTAGGCCGTAGGTTTGACTGCTTGGTTATATAAATTTTTGACTGTTCTTGCAATGACTTATATGATTAACAAATAATATGTTCTGTTCTTTTCTTATGTTGTCCTCTCTATGATTTCTCTTGTGTTTGTACATTGATCTTTTTTGTTTATCGTCGTATTACCTCTTTTCTCCAAGTTTAATAAATAGTAAAACACGCAGCTCCCCCCACATGGTGTTGTCATGCAGACAATGTGATAATTATATCGTACATCATGTGAGAAAACGAGCGTGTGTTACATGTAATAATTAACCCGCTCATTACAGTTATATATTGCACAGCTCGCGGGCGCACGCGTGGCCGTTTGTTTCTTTCTTTTTCGTTTTCATTTCTTTCGTTTCTCGTTATGGAAACCCTTAGGATGGTGGATATGCTGTGGTGTAAGCGTGTAACTTTGTCGTTCTCGGTGTTAGCCGACAGAATTATTTGTTTGTTGCGTACCATAAAGAAGCATTCTCTCAGTATTATTCTTTTCCTTTTTGTTTTTGGTTTCCTTTCCGTTCGATAAACACGATGAGCGCCGGCAGCGGAGCTGTGTTGATAGGTTAAGTAGTTGCAAGGGTAAGGCCTTGACTAATCGAATGCTTTTCTTTTTCTCTTTTTTTTATCGATAACCCCCTCGCGTTGGCAATGCAGACAGAAAGCTGTTCGTGGGCATGCTCAGCAAGCAACAGACTGAAGAGGATGTACGTCAGTTGTTCAATCCGTTTGGCACAATAGAGGAGTGTACCATACTTCGAGGTCCTGACGGGACCAGCAGAGGTGAGTCTCCCACACGACTATCGCTTTTACTTCCGTTCGGCCTGCCAAGCAGCTCCGCCGATCAAACGTCATTTTTTATTATACAGCCGCTTAATAGCCGCTTAATAGCCGCTCATCGCCGAGCTTAATGTTTACGCCTGCGCGCGTGCACGCCAGACCGGGCTCGTTTCTCGCGCGCGCATCTGCTCCGCCGCCCGCCAGGCTGAGGCGGCCCTTCGCTCGCGAGGAGCCGAGGAAAGAAGCGGCGGAAGCTCGGCTCTACTTTTAGCGCCGACCATTAAAACGGGCGATTTCGGAGCAGGCGCGCTGCCGCTTAGCGGGCGTGTCCTCGCTCTTTGGCTTTTGCACTACCTATCTTGGCGAGGTGCCAGTGCCAGTTGAGAGCGACAGAGAGTGCAGCGGGAAGTCGGCCGCCCACGCGGTAGGCGCGGCTTCCTCCGTTCGCGATCTATATACCGCGTGCCGTCGTTTCCAAGGGCCTCGATCGCGCGCACCATCGTTTCAACGCCTACTTTCCTCTCGCCCAATGGTCGATCGCATGGATCAGCGATCGGTCGCTTTCAAGCTCGTATCAGTGTCCACCGAGCCTTACCAAAATAATCTTCGCTGCGATCGCCTGACCGAATAAACGAAGATTGGCAAAACGCGAAAGTTTCACGAGCGCGTTCTCGATGCGTTATCCGCGCGACGCCGACGTACTCGAATTAAGGTCAGTACGCGCGTACGCGCGCGCGAGAGAGGAAAAATCTGCCTGATGCCAATGTCATTTCCTCTCTCGCTTGCCCGAGCGACAACGTGAGCAGCATTAATTATTCAATCTTGATGCGCAACGTTAATTTAATAGCCGCGTGTGCGTAGAGAGGCAGCACTTTGTTTGCCGGCTCGCCTGGCATCAACTTCGTTATGCATACGTGTGCGCGCGAGTTTCACACGTGCGACGAGCAGCAGCAGCAGCAGCAGCAGCAGCAGCAGCAGCAGCAGCAGCAGCAGCAGTTCGCGTTAACATGTAATAATTGATCCTGATTCCGGCAACAGTTCTCTGGGCTATTAAATACAGCTATATACGCCTACCTTAGTCTTGCGAGTTTCCCTTTTCTCTTCTTTATCGTGACGTTTGAATTGCGATCGTTATTCATAACAGAGAACGACACCTCTGATTTCCATTTCGCGGACACGTACGTAAACTCGCTTCATTTTCGTAAATTCGGCGCACAGAGCACATCTTCGTCATCTCCGAGAGTGCGGCGCATAAAACAAAAAGTAAATAAAATAAAATGAAAGCAGCATTAAAGCTGTTGTCGCGTAAATTGATACAACGGTACGCGGGAATGTACACTTGAAGCGTTTATTTCCAAAACGCGCACCGGGTAGGGCTATTTTTTTAATGATGGTCGCATCTTGCAGATGAAACTTAATTGCCCGCCGGGCCTCGTGTCGTAATAATTGTATTTTTACGGGCGGGTCGTATAGCGCGCCGAACATTACACGCGAAACGCAGTCGTTATCGAGACTGAAAGCTCGAATGTTTTTTTTCCAAATCCCTTTCAAAGCCAATTCGGGAGCCGTGCACGTAATACAGCTGAATAACGATAGCGGAGTAACGCGTCATTACGCTCAAAGTCTTTGGGCAGTGCCTATAGATGTGTGTGCGCGCACGCGTGGGTGTGTGTGCGCGGGCGCCGAATCAAAGCTCTGATGGTCGATGGATCGATACTCACTCTCTCTCTCTCTCTGCGCGCACAATGACGAGACGACGCGTCGTAATTACGAGCGTGTCCAATCATCGGCTTCTCCACACACGCGTATACGTACGAACCCTGCAAGCGCCAGCGCACAAACACCCGATATAATCTCTCTCACTCTCTCACTCTCTCTCTCTATCTGTCCGTCTGGCCGGCCATTAAACTCGCTCGAAACACACTGCGCCAACTACGTATCTCTTTCTGCGTGCCTTTTTCCTTCTTCGCGTCCCTTTTTTTTGTAAATTGATTGCCAAGTTTTTCCGCCTGCCGATAAAAATATACATTGACGAGCGCGCGTGTAACCCCTTCCCTCTTCGAGGCAGCGAATCCCCCTGTCTTTTGTAAGCGTCCCTTTTTCTTTATGACGGCGAAGACAATGGATGGCCGTGGAGCGAAACAAGCTGGACAATGCCACTCGCGCGGACGACCCGACTTGGCTTGAAATCATTATCGTTCCTCGCCTAACGACTCGCCCTCGTCCAAGAGCGTATCGCGCGACCAGCGCTAATGAGTTACACGGCCGATTCTGGGTCCGTTTCCTCGTACGAAAAACGTTGTCGCTGCGGCGTGTAAATCATTCGGATTCGGCTCTCCAAGGGACAAAGAGCAAGCTTTACGCGACTGACTGTACACATGCTACCCTTGGGCTTTTTTTTCGCGCGACCCCTCCGCCTCCATTCACGGCGGCCCCCGCCCCCCGTTTCTCTTATATAGGCACGCGCATTCTACGAGCGAGTGGTCAAGCCGCTTGTGTGACTTTAATCATGCGGGGCCGTAGCCCTAGCGGACACTTGCACGCTGGTACGCGATTTTCGTTTGATGTGCTATCGCTCGCTCTCGCCCAAGCGTTCTATTATCGATTTTGCTTTGGGCCGAACACCTTTTTTCCCAAAGTAGTCACGAATACTTTGAAAGATTGTTCGGGAATCCCTGTGAAATTGCCTTGTCTCGCGCGCTATGAATAGATGTTGAAAAAGAAAGAAAACGGAAAAGAGAAAAATACAAGGCAGGCAAGACGAGAAATGGCCGAGAGATTGCGGGCGCAGATTGCACGTAGCTCCGCGCGTAGCGATGGGCTTTCTGGCTTTTCGTTGCTTATGCGCGCACAGCCCTTGCGCCAGATCTCTAATTATTATATCGAACAATGCGCCGCGTAGACCTGACGCAAAAGCAAATGCGAGTCTCAGCGCGCTTTGTCTAGCGCGCGAGGAGGAGATAAAAAAACGAAGTGTAGGTTGGCATCTCCCCGGAATACGGAATGTCCCTAATTGCATTTAGCTCCGCGCGCACAATGGAGCCGCGCAGAAGTGTGTTACACGCTGTGCGTCGAACGGCGCGGGAGGAAAAAAAAATAAATAAAAAAGAGCGCGGCCTCGATTGCCGGTCGCAGAGTGGAATTTGGCCGGCGAGTCATTGTTTTTCGCGAGTGCAAAAAGAAGCGCGGCGCCCGGGCGTGGGCGCGCTGCCGCGGCGCATGCGACTGACGTTGATGGAAATCGGGCTCGTCGCCCGGGCCGCTGATAGCTTTAATAAAGCGCTTTGATTGCGCTCGCAACATGATTCAATTTCGCTTCGTCGCCTCGCTCCATCGGCCGCCCACCCGCCTCGTCCCCTGCCGTCGCCGTCGTTTTTCCAAGCTTAATGAGGCCTCCTTCTTTTCGGCAAGGCCACGCCATCGCCAAACATTTCCGATGCATTACTCGCGCGCGATATCCAATTCCGCGACACGCGGCACGTGATGTACAAGACAATCAGCTCAATTTTCAACGAGAGAAGAGGGCAGGGCCGACAAGCGCTCGACGTGAAGGGGGGACGACTACTACCACGACGACGACGATGACGACGACCAGCTAATCTGAATTTGCAGGCTGCGCCGCGCTGCCGCGATCTCCGGCTACATTTTTCATTCGACAATCTTTGCTTACGTATCGAACTTTATGTCCTTGCGGTTTGTTGTCTCTCCGTGCTTTGCGTCGTCTTGTATTATCCCGCGCCAACATATTCCCTCTCGGGAACGCAAATATTGATTCGCTGGGTGTGCCCGATAATTGAACATTCCTCCAAAAGTAAGCGCCCAAATATTTTTCTATTGACTCAGTTTGCTTAGCGACAATAATCGCGAGACGCATCGTGGGGTCGCAGCCGATCGACAAAACGCCCACGCGCGAACATCACGAAGACAGGACTCGGTCGCCTCTCGGCGACTCGTGGCGAGCGACGACAAAGCAGAAAGAACGGATCGGCAAAAAGATTCTCGACACAAGTCGCAAGTGAAACGAAATCCGGGCGTGAAATGGTCCGAGCGGGGCGCGCCAGCGACCAAAGCAGCCCTAGCGCTTAATGATTTTCTGGCTGGTAATTAGAATCCTGGTGCTTTGTCTCTGCCTCGCACACGCTTGGAATTCGATTTCTGCCCCCTCTCTAGTCGCGCTAATAGCGAAGAGCGAGCGGATAAATAAGAGGGGGAGGGAGGGGGGGGGGGAGGGGACAGACGCAGCCACGTAATTGCAATGCGCGCCAGAGAAAATGCAAATGGCCGCGAGATCAAAGTATACGGATCTCGCGCGCGCGTTCGGCGGCGCGGCAATAAAAGCGCGCGACTCGCCCTACTTGATTGCGCGTCGGCCGTCCAAGCTTGCGGACGACGCCCAACTTTCCCTCCGTTCGTCATCGCTGACGGCCGCTGAAATTCTTCGAGGTGGCGCGGAAATCATCCGCGACAAAGCTTTGCCTCGCCCAATTTCATAAGCTAATGAGCGCGAGCAAAAGTGACTATGCTACAGCTGGAATGAGCTTGTTTCCGCTCTACGTGCGTCGATTCCGTCATTTGCCGCGGTAACTCGACAATCGTCTTTAATCGAGCTTGCTTCGCAAAAGCACGCATTACGCTGACGCGAACGGCGGCGGCGGCGGCGACGGCACATACGCGCGCGTAATCATTCGCATTCGTCCCGGCGATTCGCTCGCTCGATAAAAGTCTCAGCGCGTCCATCAAATAAACGGTATTTCCCCGTGTGAAAAGAGCTCTCCGGCACACTTTGGCGTTCGCGCGGGCGCCCACGAATTGCAATTGAAGCTCGATCGCCGCGGAATACGGCAAAGCACAGGCAAACGCTCGCAATATCCTTGCTCGCTCTGCATCCGCATTTCATTTTAATAATCGGCCGCGTCTCTCGTCTAGCGCGACAAAGAGCCCGGCTGCAGTCGTCACGGCCCTTCCATTCGCGCAATGTCATTCCGACGGAAAGCCTTAAGTGATTGCGCGGCGCGCTCGCTTTCTCGTTTGCATTTTCGGACGGCCGGAAGCCTCGCTCGCGTCACTATTTTAGCAGCGATAGGGAAGGGTCGATCGAACAACTTGCTGCGTAAAAAACAAGTCGTCCGATATACAGGATTTCAGAGGCTTGCCAAATCGCCTAGAAATTACTCGGCTCGCTCGCTCGGTCGGTCGGTTGGTCGGTCGGTCCCCGTCTACAAGAATGACGGAGAGCAGCTCAAGCCCTGAGTCCTATATTCCTCCCTCGAGGGGTGAGAGGTCAGCTGCTGTGTAGCGCTGGAATCCCTTCGATTTCCGTGGATTCCGCAAAGCAGCGAGATTATGTTTGTTAAGGAAGCGCGAGCGCCTAGTCTTGGCTATCGGATACGTCGTAATTTCTTTCTTTTTCGGGAAGGGGCGTTTCGAGCCCCTCCCAGAGGCTTCGCCCCCGACCAGAGCGCTTATTGCGTTACGGCTCGGCAAGGGAGTTTTCGCTGGATACGCTGGCCTCGATGGACGCACGCGAAACCTTCGATTTTTCTTTTATTGAATATTGCCTCAACGCTCGCTTTCGTGCTTCCCGTTTACTTGCCCGACGTCTTGCCTTCGCTCGACGAGCCTTTACTTTGGGAAATCTAGTTGTCGTTGTACTGGCACAATTACCGCACGCCATCCCGGCGTCGGAAAAAAAGCCTCTCTCTGAAAAAATACCCAGAATTCGCCGAAAAATACGCCCTGAAGAGTCCGGCTCTCGCGTAAAAATAATAGCCGCGTATAGCGGCGGGAAGAAGCGACAGAAAAAAAAAGTAAACAAGTTTCGCTGGGCGCGCAGAAGCAACAATGTGCCGTTGCATAAATAAAGTGCAAACTCGTCGTCGTCGCCGCGCGTGGCGTTCCCCGTTTTCGCGCGCGCGCGCTGATCAATATTGGATGTGATGAAAGTAAACCGGGCATACGTAGACGCGGGAAGGGTAGCGAGCCGCGTCCCTTTCGCATACACACGCGCGCGCGCGCGTAATTTAATGCCCGAGCAAATACTGCAAGGATAGTTTCCGTGCGTTCTCCCCGTAATCCAGATGGGACTCGTCTTGTCTTCGTCGCCGTTGTTGCTTTTTTCGTTCGTACACTCGAATTTTACCTTCGAAAGTTAATTACCGAAAGTAGGCTACTTTCGTTTATAAGGGATCGATAGGAAAAAGGCCGCAAGTTGATTAGAAGTTTGCCGACGACAACGGTTGTAGACCGAAGGCGTGGCGCGGCTCCGATAGCCATTGGACGCACCCCCTTGTAGGTAATTATGTCACCGACTACACACACATACACATACGCTAAAAATACACATATTTTACAATCTCTCCGAGACACGTATGTCTCGCGCAGGCTTCCAAGCGCCGAACTTTTTTAGCCGACTCGGCGAAAAAAAAAATCATTTCGGGAGGATTAAGTACTGCACACCGACGGTGAAAAAAAGAGAAGAAAATCCTCTGTTACGTAACTTTTTAATCCCTTTAGCTTTTAAGCCGCGACGTAAAAAAAGGAACTCCAGCCTCACTCTCGCGATTAATGAGCGATCGCTGATTTTTTGTTTTTTTTTCAGGAGGCTTTTTTGCGTCTCTCGAGATTTCGACCGCTTCGGATGCTAATGCGCGGTCTTTTTCTTTTATTGCCGTGTATTCACTCGTGCGCACTAGGGGTACACACACACACACACGGCTGAAAGCTTTTGTCATGTATACCAGAGAGAACGTACGGTTTCTTTTTTTTTTCGAGAGCGAACGTGTATCTCGATAAGAACGCAGCCATTTCTTTCACTTTATTCTTCTTGATAATAAAAAAATTTATAATCTTATTATATGGAAAGATATTGCTGGGAGGGAAAAAGCTTATTTTTTGAATAATAAAAGACACTCTCGATATACGCACAGATAATCTTGCGTGAAATAGCATAGTCCGTAATGCTCGAAAGGCCCTCAACTATATGGGTGAACACTCTTAAAAAAAAAAATCATGCCTTCAGCCGCAGCCCGACAAAAGGAGAGTAGAGCTACTGCTCCGACGCCGCTTGGACTCGGACATGTTTGCCGAGCAATCAAATATACGAATGGAAAGGCCCGGGAGTAAGGGGCAGCGGCTGGATGGGGAGTATCGATCGCGTGCAAAAGGCGACAGCCCACTCGACGCTCAAATGGAGTTTGTTGTTCCTTCTCTTTTGCGGCCACTATCTCAACTTTCCACCTCTCCCCTCCTTACCTTTTCGTCTAATTAAAATGGCGCTCACCGGATACTCCCCAACGTTCGGGTTCTTAAAACTAGGACACTTTGTTCATTTTGTTTTTCTGCGTATGAACACTTGCTAATGAAACACTTCGTGGCGAGGAAAGGGATGTTTTAATGCACATACAGCAAAGTTTCTCCGAGGGAAAAGTTTTTTTGAGCGGGCGGTATGGGGATGTATAATTTCGCCAACGTTTAAAGTTTATTTTGCGACAAAATAAACTGCGCTAGTTTCTTTCAGCTGTGCATTCACAAACGTTTGCCAAGTTAAATAGTTCTCTTTTTCGTTACATAGTGAAAAGTTACGGCGATGAAAGTGTAATTACGCGCGATCAGTCAGAGCGTTAGCTTGAATTTTTGTCGATATGAAAAGGTCACTTGGCGCCCGTCGATGGTAAGTGTTTCCAAAGGATCCGACGCGCTGACGAAAAAGTCAAAACTCGCATTCTCAAATAAGTTTCCGTTCTCGATCGGTTCGGCAAAATGGTCGACGGTGGCGCTTTATGCAAAGAAAGTGCAAACAAAATTTGCCTCTCCGCGCTCGCTGAATTGACACTGACAACAGCGCTGCGACACGTTTCTTCACTTAGCCCCTTCGTCATCCTCGTGACCACTTGGCCGGCCGACTTTGCAATGTATATCAGTCTAATTTCTATGGTAAATGGGCCGCGCCCTACGGGAGGGACGCGGGGGAGAGGTCACTCAATTTAAAAGGAATTGCCAACTTTCTAATTGCCTTTTTAAGCTGTAATTTACATGAATTAAGCCACTCGGCGCCCAAAGAAAAGGACAAAGTTTCGCCTTAGCGCGTCGATTTTCAGAAGACTAACTCCTACAAACACAATCGACGGATACTCGGTAACTTATTTTATTGAAAAAAAGCAAAGTTTATAAATATTTCTGGATCCCAATACGTATATCGCGAAATAAACATCAATATTGACTGGCGCGTCATCATCGACGCGGGGGAGAATGACCATTAACCGGTTTTCCCGCTCGTAAACGTCAATTAGCAGATATAATTTATAGGGTCGTAAAATGCGTTTTACGGCATTCCTGGAAAATTCCATCGCCAATTAAAAAAAGGGGATAAAGAAATGATACACAAACAATGCTTCGGCGCGCAATCCTTCGGCCGTCGCGTGCATGAGGAACGGTATCTCGCGGCGCTTCGACGCTGGAGAAAAAAAGCGAACGATAAATCAGCGCTCGGAAGGACGATATGACGCGCGAAGCGAGATTTACGACGAGCCGCGTCTGTTTAGCGCGACCGCGGCGCGATCGCGTCGATTAGCGAGTCGCGCGGGACTGCGGGCAATAAGCACTGACGCTTTGTTTTTCCCAGGCGTCCACCTTCATGTCGGTGTCTGTGTGTTGCAGGTTGCGCATTCGTGAAATTCTCAGCACACCAAGAAGCACAGAGTGCGATCACCTCACTGCATGGAAGTCAAACTATGCCGGTAAGTATGCGCGCCGTAGATAAACCCGTTCGTCTCCTCACACAGATTCTCAAATAAAATAAATACGACGACGGCGACGATGATGTTCAGCGCAGAGTGTATTATCAGTGTACATATATAACAATACGTCACATCTTATTTTTTCACTTCTATTCTCGATTATTAATTAGCCGCAAGCATATAGCTGTCTGTCGCATGATGAATATATACATACATACATACATATATACATATATATACATATACATACATACATACATATATATATATATATATATATATATATATATATATATATATATATATATATATATATATATATATATATATATATTAGCTCAGTGTGTTTCTTAGCTATCGACGTTGTGTCTCTATATATCTCTATATACTTTATATATATACATCTTAGATATCTTTCACAAAAGTAGATTCCTTTATCTTTGCAGCGAGCCAATGGTCACAATATCAGCACCACACCTCTTTTTCACTCACTTTCTCTTCTATATAATATATCCTTCCCTGTGCTCCCTTCTCCCCGTGTCTCTCATGCGTATACATATACGTACCTGTGTGCTGTTCTCTTGTTCCCTTGTCGCGCGAGCGAGGGACTGGAAAAGCGCACGCGACTGTGACGATGAGTCACGCGCGCATGAATTTCTCATGAGGGGTGCGTGTGTGTGCGTCTGTGTGTTACAAAACCATAGGGGGAGGCGGATTTTCAAGCGTAAGAATTCTCTCCCTCTGTGTGGGTGAAGTGTGCCGCGTGGGCTGTCGAAATTATTATTAGTTTTTTGCTGCTGCTGCTGCCCATTTCGTACGGGGCGTATGGGCAGCGAGTTCTAACAATAAAAGAAAATGTTACGAGTGGCGGCGAGCAAAATTTTTTTGGACAAAGGAGAGAGGATGAAATGGCAATGTCTTTACGTCATATTCTCATTCACAAGGACAGAATGGGAGGCTGCGTGCGGGGGAAGCGGTCGCGTGCTGAGAAACGGCTTGTCGATGGACGACGGGCGGAGCTTCCCACCTGGCAACTGACTGCAAAGACATTATTAAAATGCAAGTGTAGGGCTTTTTAGTCGCGGGCGCACAAAAGCAGCGGCAGCAGCGCCGGCACAAAACGCTTTTAAAACTTGAATTTGCAAGTTCGAACGGTCGTGCGCTGGGAAATTGTCTGTCTGCGAATTAAGCGAAGAAAGAGCTTTCAATTAAAGCCATTTCCTCTCTCTCTCTCTCTCTCTCTCTCTCTCTCTCTCTCTCTCTCTCTCTCTCTCTCTCTCTCTCTCTCGCTCGCTCGCTCGCTCGCTCGGTGTTGCGTCGAGCTTTTGTGCGCGCCGAGACACGAGCGATCGCTTCTCCTTGGCGCTGCTCCTTTTTGCAGCGTTTCACGGCACAATGGATATTTTCTCGAGAGATTTTTCAATTGACTTGGCGGCACATTGGGAATTAGTTTCCAAAGCAGTTCTAAAACGGCGCGCAATTACAAATGCGGCCGCGCGCACGTTTCGCGCCGGAGCTGCAAGTAACGATGTGCTTCGTAGGATACAGCGAGAGGCAATTACCCCAGCACTGATTGGAAGGATCCTCTTGTAATTCCGAGGGCACAAACCCATAGATATATATCGGATTTGTACGCGGTGTGATGACGAGCTTAATAGCTCTGTGCGTGCGAGTGTGTGCCTGCAATCTCCGCCCTTAAATCCCGTTCCGATCTTTAAGTTTTTTTACGCCTCCAATACCTACTGCTTTCCTTTTCTTACGATCGAACTACAGCCGCAGGCTTATTGTTTTTTCCCTTTTGATGCGGCTCTCTGTCTCTATTTCGAGTTTCTCCGCCTAACCAAATCAACGGGATACAGCGCTACGGATTTTATGGCCACATTTCGCGGTTTGCTTTCATCACGCTACACGTCTTGCCGTTCTTTTTATGGGGATAAAGCCGTGATTTTCTTTCTTGCTCGCCGGCGTAAACAACCGACGCCGTTTTCTTTTCTTTATTTCAAATTTGAATTGCCGGCGCCTCTTTCGCTAGCTTTCGCTCGTCGCTAAATTACGATTCGGATCGACGATTATTTCGATATTTATACAGATGACGCACTGTTTGCCCGGCCGAAAAGTCCAAACGTGCCCAGGAGGACGAGCTCGACTTGTCCAAAAAAGAAAATGAAGGATAACGAAGCACCATTGATTATACGGGCATTCAATATTATCAAAACTTTTAAAAGCTTCGTGAGCGCAGTGCTTCGTAGCCAAACGAATAGAGGCGCGTTACTTATCGAAATCGATGTGCAAAATAAGGCCTAAAACATCGTGAAATTTGAAAAAGAAGGACTCACGCCAGCGTTGCTCGAATCGGACGAGAGTAAAGCAAGAATAAGACGGACGCGGCAACCAAATGCAGAGCAGGAGCTGAAACGTAGACAATGTGCGCGGAGAAGTGGCGCTCAATCAGCTCGCCGACAAGCTTGAGCATCGACGAGCGACAGTATATGCAGGCTCGAAGCGTCACATAATTATTTCGTCTCGGAAGCTTCGGCGCCCGCGCGGTAATAAGCTCGTCGACGGACCCGGAGCCGAGATAATGGCCGGCCGCCATAATCCGCCGATAATGAGACGGCTTTTCTCAAGCCCGGCATCTCCATGCAAATAGCAGGGGCTAATTGCAGGACAAGCGCTTGCCGGCGCTCGTTTCTTACCGTCGACTCTCGATCGCTACGACTTTGTCACCGCCGCGAGCGGATTTTCGGCGTTGCCGCGTGCGCGCGAAGCCAGGCGCGCTCCGCGGCTGCAAGCGATGCATAATTCACGCGTTTGGCCACCTGTTGCCCCTGTGCTCTCGCCACCCGAAAGAGAGAGAGAGAGAAAGAGAGAGAGCGAGAGAGAGAGAGAGAGAGAGAGAGAGAGAAAGAGAGAGAGCGAGAGAGAGAGAGAGAGAGAGAGAGAGAGAGAGAGAGAGAGAGAGAGAGAGAGAGAGAGAGAGAGAGAGAGAGAGAGAGAGGAAGAGAGAGAGGAAGAGAGAGAGAGTGAGAGAGTGAGAGTGAGAGAGAGCGCCTTCATAATTTAGAGGAAAGCGCCCGGTCAAGAATTATTTGAGAATCTCTGTGCGCGAGCGAATCAGCAGCCCCGAGGCGACGTTCGAACGCCAACAGATACGAGAAACAATTGTGTTCGCAGGGCGCCTCGTCCAGCCTCGTAGTCAAGTACGCAGACACTGAGAAAGAGAGACAGTTAAGACGCATGCAGCAAATGGCCGGGAACATGAGCCTCATCAGCCCTTTCGTATTCAATCAGTTTGGACCCTACGGCGCCGCTTACGCGCAGGTTAGTTGACCGTCTCCCACGGCCTTGCTGTGTACTCGTTGCGCAACCTCCCGCGACCCTGACTGTCTTTCTGTCTTTCTACCCTTGGTTTTGTTTGTGCTTTTCTTTGTGAATTGCAGCAGCAGGCGGCACTCATGGCAGCCGCGACCGCCCAGGGACCGTACATCAGCCCGATCACGGCCCTAGCCGCTGCCGGACAGATGCCCCACGCGCTCAACGGCATGCCCAATGCGGTCGTGCCACCCACGTCTGGTAGACACTTTGCATATCCACTGTCGCCTTCGACGAACTAGCCGGTGCCTGCGCGATACTCCAGGCTTCTATTTTGCGGTGCTCGCTCGCTGTCGTTTCGCCTGTGCCGAGTCGCTTTTCCGGTTACTTAACTTTCGCTGCTCGCTGATCCGTCCAAAATCAAATGCTGTAACCAAGCGTTTTCGTAGCACGAACGCGTTCGACACCGAGGTATATCCGCAACGGAGTGTCTCGTGCTTCGGACCGAACGTTTAGAGCTTTGTCAAGTTATTCTTCCGTCAGGTGGAGACAGCCATCAGCTTTGCACGACATGCAATATCGCCACCTGGCATAAACACGACCTATAATATACGCTGCGGCCGGAAATTCGTGAGAAAAAACGAGAACGAGCTTGTTTTTTCGCACTCGTTGGCCTGGAAGCGAAAACGAGAGCGCGAGCCGCGCTTTTGCTGGTGAATATTGGAAAGTCTCTGAAATATTTATCGCGTTTCATGCGAAAAAGGTTATCGGATCGCACTTTATTATCGCAAGGACCATTAGCTTTTGATAAAAATAAAATGTCGTTTAACGGTCCCGGGGATTGATGTTGGAAAAGTGTGCTTGCTGACGTACACGCACACGCACACATACATACACACTCATACACGCACGCTCACACGCACGCACGCATACACATACACACACAAGGGCGAATACTCATCTGAAATTTAGCGCGCGCTGCGTGTGCACGCGCCCATAAACGCTCGCTGGAACGCCAACAATAATATCCATCGGCGCGAGCAGTAGCATCGAAATCGAAGCCCGTAAAAGGTGCCTAATGGCCGTGAGAGAGAAAGTTGTAAAACGATTCGATTCGATTCGGTTTTGTGCGCGTCGATGTAAAGCGCCCTGCTTCGCGAGACGATATGATATACTGTACGTACGTCTGTATGGCTGCAGGTGCAAGCGCAGGTCAAGCGGTTAACGGCGCACTGCCGTCGCTGCCGTCGCCGACGATGCCCAATTTCAACATGGCCGCACAGACACCGAATGGACAGCCAGCTGCATCCGACCCGGCCGTCTACACGAACGGCATACCGCAAACGTATCCAGGGCGTGAGTATTTCAGTGGCCGAGGGCTCTATTTAACGGGCCGCTATACCCGTTAAAACCCTTACGGTCTTGCCCCCCCCCCCCGTCGTCTCTCAGCGTTTCGACGAATAAAACTGCAACTTTGGCCGGTTGGTCAATTAAGTACTCGTGTAAAAGGGGAAGAGAAGGGGGGGGGGGGGGGCGAGACCTTTAGTTTAAGAACATCCAGAACCGTGATAAGTGCCGAGCTTACTGAAGTGTAGATGCCCTTCATCTGTCCATTCCAGCACAAGGTCTACCCAACGGGGAGGCGGCACTGCAACACGCCGCCGCGTATCCAGGCATGCAGGTCTATCCCGGTGCCGGTAAGTCCCCTTACGATGACAAGTTAACAGAAGGCCAATCTTGCGCACACTTCTCCTCCTCTGCTTTGCGCACACCACTTCTCTATCTTGTTTTTGTTTTGTTTTGTTTTTTTCCAACTTTGTTAGCGACACAGTGCGGGTATAAAACAAAAACGGATAACCGATACCGCAGATCTCGCGCGCGGCGAGGAGTGAGGACGAGGAAAAAAAAAGAAAGAGAAGCAGGCGAGAGAGCGCCCCATAAAACGAAACGAGCGCGTAAATGGAAAAACGCGAGAATGACACGCCGCCGTTGCCACGACCGCCGAAGCAAGCGACTTGTTTTGCATGCGCGCGTGCATGCGACATTACGTATGCGCATATCCCGACTTTCTTCTTTTTTTACGTCCGATGTGCACACATATACTCTCATATACAGACACATGTACGCATATCCAGCAGCGGTGAACGTGACGAGCTTTCACGTCGTTTCCTCTCTTTCCAGTCTTTTTCTCTATACTCTTTCTTTACTCTACATGCTGTACACACATATATAAATATGCGCGCGCGCATGTGTGTGTGTGTGTATGTATATTTACGTGTATTTGTGGATACATAGATATTACATATTTACGACGTGAACTTGGCAGTGTATCTCTTCTTTTCTGTTTTCTCTCTGTTGATGTATATACATACATGGTATACTCATTTTATTTTCGTAGCTTGAACTGAGAGCACGATACTCTGTTATATTAAATTTGCTGAAAATTGAAAAAGAGGCCTTCCCGTTCAAGCTACATCTTCTCTTCGTGGCATATGCTGGATATACATTTGATATAACTATATTGCAAACCTCGACAGCGCATGCCTTACTACACGTTGTTTATCAATATATTATTATACCATTCACGCTCATCCACATCCCCGTTACGTACATTTTAATGATTGCTTTCCACTCTCGCTCTTTCTCTCGCATGAATTAGCCTGCTGAATTTTCGCGCAGCGCAAAATGGAAGAGAGATTAACGACGACGCAATATTCACCTCTTTTTTCATTATTAAATGCTGCCATTAAAAAAGAAAAAAGAAAAACCGAAATTGCTCCCAAGCGACGTTCCGAGAGACACGCACATCAATCGAAAACTCGCGCCAGCAAATGCTACAACGGCCAATATCACTTGACTGTTTTTTTTTCTCGTCGAAATAACCGCTCGACGACGCGCGCTCGAGTTCTCTTCCGCGTACCTGAAATTTCCCATAATTAATGAGCGCTCGTTGCCGGCGGTATAATTTTGGCACTCGGGTTTCGCACCTCTGCTCTATACCGACATATACGCGTACGCGCGTAGGCGCGATATCGTGTTCTAATAGCGAGGACGGCCCGACGCAAAGGCTATCGAGTGACGCGAGGCCAACGAAAAATGAAAAAAACGAGAGAGAGAGAGAGAGAGAAAAAAATCACGCGCTCTCGAAGCGTTTTTGTGACAGCGAAACCCCTGATATTCGAGTTCGGTTTTTTCCGCTGTCACGCGTGCGTGTGGGCGGATATTGAGTTTCCGCTTTTTGTCCCGATAGTTGTTATTGCTTTTGCGCGCCCGCGTGGTTAATCAATGAAAGTTGGCCCCGTTGAAGCGCCGAATTTCGAAATAATTATCAGCGATTGGCGGCGCTGTAACTTTTCGGCACTGGGGGGCGGGGGAGGGGGTGGCTTGAGCTAACTTCATATTGACTCTACCCATGGACGCGGCATCAACTTTCAAATGGATTATATGAGTTTTGCGTCGCGATGAAAATGTGCGCATGTCAAAATATAGCAGAACAATATTCAATCGACAAAGTACTACGTAACGGCTTTTTTTCAATTTACGAAGGTACAATTACCGCTGAAAGTCGAAGCCTTCAAAGATGCATTTCACGTTTGTCCCGCTCTTTGACGTCACGTCACTGATATTCAACTAATCATTTGTCAAGTAAAAATTAATTAACGATAAAAGAAAAAAAAACATACCCACATCCATCAGAAAGATAATCTTAATGTGGGCGCGGATGCGAAAGATGAAATTCAGCATGGCTTAAAAACACGTGTGAGAAAGAGGTCTGCTCGCGAGATATCGAGAAATAGAGAGACAGCGCAATGATGTATCTTGTCAATTTGTTATTGTCGCAGCTTATCCCGCCGTCTACGGCCAGTTTCCTCAGGCCATACCACAGCCGATGGCCGCGGTTGCGCCCCAGCAGAGGGAAGGTAAGTCCATCTTCGACCAATGCAACAAACAACTTGTACAGAATATAAGAAATGACGAAGCGTATCTTCTGTCGATATGCTCTCACCGTCACTCATTTGATCTGTCTATACATACATATATTTAGTTATTTCATCGTTACATTTATTATATATACATTTATATATACGTCTGATATTTGCTGTTTATCTGTTGACTCGAATCACCTATTCTAGTTGTTGTACACGTCTTTTTTTGTTCCAACATGCTTCCGAGAGTACATACATGAAAGTCGCCGCAAACCAAAGCTCTTTCAGCGAGATAAAGTTGAAGCGTCGAAATGGATCAACCGACGGAGACAACTTGATCGCTATGTCGGCGCAAATACTATAATCGAGGCGCAACAGCTTTCGGCTCGGAGCTTGCATTTGTCGTTGTCAAGATTTTGAATTTCGCAGGCTGGTTGCGCCGATTGCTGGCAACTTTCAGCCTGCGCGAGGCTTCCGCAAACACAGAAAACTTGTAATTCGAAGATAAGTGGCGGGGGTGCGGCCTTAAGTCAAACTCGATTTGCCGGTGGAGGAAGAGGGAGGGGACAAAAGGGAAACTACAGTAGAGAGCGTTGATTATGAATTTTCGAAGCTCAAAGAGCGTGTAATTGAAAAACTGAGAAGGCGCCCGACAGCAATTAACGGCAGGGGGATATAATGCAAATAAAACGAAAAGTTTTAATTGCTTCGCGCCTGCGGAGCTTTTCTTGCTACGACACGCTCGAGATTAGACCCCCTTCCCTTTCTCTATTCTGTTTCGGCTGATCGACTCTCGACCTGTACCACTTGCCGCGGAGTCTCGCTCTGTTCTTTCTCGTTTCATTGTCACAACGATTGCATGTCTTTACACTGATGATATTCGCTGTTGCTTTTTTCAGAAAGATATATATTTGATGTTTTCATTATATATGATACCGTCAGTGTATATTGAATCAGTGTTTTCAAACGGTGTTCGGTTATGAATTTGATACAAAACGCATTTCTTCTCCTTTTTTTTTGTTTATTATTATATCATGGTTGTCTGCTAGTTTCAATTTTTATTTATGGAAATTTCTATATTGAATTTCGACATCACATCAATATTTTGATGTTTATGTCGTTGCGATTGTTGTCGTTGGCTATTTGGTGTTTGTTAAATTGAAATTTCATGTTTTAATTAAAATACGAAATTTAACGGGACGACGTCGCGTGTATAATTACACGAAACAATGCCCGAGTAATATTCTGCGCTCTTTAATGGGCTTTCCAATAAACTTTCATTTAGACTTTTTTAATATGACACGATTAACTAAAGAATTTCAATATAGAATACTGTCGTTCGCGAGCGGCAAAAATTTCGTCGTGTGTGCGCGGCCGAGCTACAAATTCGTCGACCGTATTATCACTGCTAATTCTTATTTATGTAACTTAAACACTATTTTTCCTACTTTTAGACACCCTAATTTTTGGCGATTTTCATCATTGACTCTCGTAAACATAAATAATCCTATTATTTGTTATCAACCAAAAACCATTTAATAATATACATATATATATATATATATATATATATATATATATATATATATATATATATATGTTTGTGTGTATATGTATATATGTGTATATGTATATGTATATATATACTAATGACGCGCATTTTGATATGCGCGGCGATCATGTGTTTTCAGCATAATAATCACCATCATATTCCATCATAAACTTCATCATCCGAGCTTTCCTACTTTCTCATTCAGCCATCATTGTTGTGTCTTGTGTGTGCGTGTGTAACAACACTGAAAGTATAAATACTCAACGTAGTGGAATTTAAAATTTTTGTTTATTTTCTTTAAATTGTGTCAATTTACAAATTCAAAATTTAAGAGAGTTTTGTACGAATCCGTTGTGTGCTCAGCTTTTAACGAGCAATATTGCTCTTGACTTTTGTATTCTGTTTTACAATAGATTAACCTAATAATTTTTCCAAACTTAACTCGACTAACTAAAAAAGCATTGTAGCTTTACTCAATTACTTATTAACAGTTATTTGACTTTGATAACTTATAACGACTGGTGAATTTTTATTGTGTTATTTTGTACATCATTGTATAGTTGAAAAATAAAAATATGTAAAGTGTATGGCAACCATCCACATATAACATCGTTCATACACATGAAAAAGTCACGCGGAATTGGCATGCACATCAGCGTCATAAAATTTCATAATCAGTGTTCTCATGTAAATTTGAATCAATCATCCAATTCATTCAATCAGGCCATCAAAATTCCGTCAGAACTAAAAGAAAAATTTGAAACGAAGTATATTTAAAAGAAAAAAAGAGTATCACGCGGTTCGCTCACTCTCACATTCATCGAATCACAATCATATATGAAGAGAAAAAGAAGTTTTCAACCAAATTGGAGTCATTGCATTCATCAAAATCAGACAATGGAGATGTCAGCCATTAACAGAAAAAAAACAAACAAACAAACAAACGTTCATTATTCCCAAAAACTTGAGTATTATACTTCAAGTATCGATGTTTAGATGTGCTCTGATTTATATGATAGGATGCTCTATGTCAGGACCCGAAGGCTGCAACCTCTTCATCTACCACCTTCCCCAAGAGTTCGGCGACGCTGAACTTATGCAGATGTTCATCCCGTTCGGCAATGTCATCTCATCCAAGGTCTTCATTGACCGTGCCACCAATCAGAGCAAATGCTTCGGTAAGTATATATCCGTTGTGTATAACAATTTCGCAATAACATTGTGTTATAGACCTCGTGCTGTGTTTTTATACCATGTTTCCCTTGATCAATGTTCTTTCGACGAAACGTGACTTCGGAGACGAAGTTGTAAAATATCGAATCGATGAGCCGACATCCAGAGATTCCAATTAGCCGAAAAAGAAAGACAGTCGGAGACAAAAAGCTGCAGTGGTGACATTATACGCAGAGAGTAAAGGGAGAGATAGATGGATAGATAGATAGAGAGAGAGAGAGAGAGAGAGAAGCTTTGAGTAGCTTGCGCAGGAAAGAAAAAAAATGAGGAGAAAGAAGCCCTTTTAGATCTGGACAAAGGAAGAGCATGCTCACCAAAGAGATCGGGAGAAAAAAAGAGGAACGGCGGAGCTGCTCCCTCTGCCTCCTGCGTCTCTTTTGATTAGTATCATATCCGTTCGCGCTCGTTGGTAATTAAAAGATTTCATTTCCTGGACGGCGCGTGGCCGTAGACTGAGCGCGGCCTAGCCTGCACGGAAAAAGAGATCCCCGCTGCATAAAAGAAGAGAGGAAAAATTGCCAGTGTCGCTCAAGCTTTTGTAGAACAAGTGCATTCGTCAATAGCTTCCTTCTCTTTCCGTTTTCTCCCCTTTCTTCATTGGTTCGCTTTGTCGCTGGCAGCTTGCACATTATCCGAACCGCAGCCATGATATTCGTGTTCATTAGCGCGCGGCGAGTTTGCTCTTTGAACGAGAGAACAAGAGCCTCCAACGAGAATTATCATCGGGGACGAAGCGCATGCAATACAGAGCAGAAAAAAACCTGCGCTTGTTTCAGGTTTCGTCTCATTCGACAACCAAGCCTGCGCTCAGGCGGCGATCCAAGCGATGAACGGCTTTCAGATTGGCATGAAACGGTTAAAAGTCCAACTGAAGAGGCCCAAAGACGCCAGCAGGCCGTACTAACCCACGTCCCAGTCTAAACAAACTGGCCGGCTTGCGCCCTACGTTATTACTTATAAAGTAAGTATCTTCTTTGGCAACATTCCCGCTTCCCTTTTCTTCAACGACCACTTGTCTTATCTAACGTTTCAATCTACTTTTCAGATATCGCACGAAAACGCGAGTCCACTGGATACTCGAGCATACTGAGTGAAGAGTTTTTGAACCACCGCTACAACGCTTTCAACCATAAAAAATTATAGTATACTAGTTAGTTAATTCTTTAGGGTTAAAACAGGAAAAAGGGATTTTAAACAAAACAACAAAAAAAAAACCAAAAAAATATTGAACGTAGAAGATACGACGAGTCATCGCAAGTGGAGCTTTGTTAAGCATCAAATGGCCCCCCAGCGATGAAGAAAGTTTCGTATAACTAGCACACGTCAGTGCGACGTTTTTTCTTCGTGAATCGCAGAAGAAGATTGAAATGGAAAGCCGTGATTCAGGCGAAACCGGTGTATCGTAGGAAGAGGCTAAAGGTTTGCAGTTATAAACACGAGCGTCGAACGGAGTTTTAACTTGCTCTTGCGTTCGAATGCGCCGCTAGTCAAAATACTTAATAATAATAATAATAATTAAAAATATTGTGCAACAAAAAAATGAGAGAGAATGGGGAAAGGTGAGCAAACAATTGAAATTCTCTCGTCCGTACCGTCAATGAGGTTCTCGTCTAGTCGTACGGGTATATAAATATACATAAATATATTTTAACAAAGACGCGTGTTCATACGCATAAAATAGGAGAAAAAAAGCACGTGCAGGAGCGTTTTTTCTCATCACACTAACACACAAACACTCACAGTAGATTATATACATGCGTAAAGCAGTGGAACAAGATAAACAGAAGTAAGAAACGTCCCAACGGGAAGATGAAGCTTTTTCTCTCCCGCAAAACCCTTTTATCATATGTATGCATATACTCTGCTGTAAGTAAAACTTGTCGGAAACTCGCATTTTGCGCTCTTGTCGCGCGATTGCAAAAACACTTGTTCTTTTTTTCTTTTTTCTTTTTGTCAGCGATAAAAAAAGCCGCTCGACGAAGCCTATTATACATAAATATAGCGGTAAAACGCGATGAATTATATATATTGAGAAGTCCCCTCGCGCGCACGCGCTGCGCAAACAAGACTATATATTATTATTATTATTATGCGAATACTCGAAATAACGCTGAAAAAAAAGATGAAAAGTAAGATTATATAGGCTCTTAAAGAAGACCAGCTTGTAAGAAAGCGCGAATGATTATATAAAAGTCAAAGTTGACTGAATCGTGCTCTCTTATCAGTCGTGTCATCGAAAAAAAATACAGGGGACTATATGCGTCGTTATTGCGCAGACGTACTTAGTAGTTAAATTACGTTAATTGAATAAAAAATAAATATATTATGATAATTAATTAAACAGAAAAAAAAATTACTAGATATACCGATTAAAAGAACAATGATGATAATTAATGAAGCCACGCCAATTCTAGTCACATTAGTCACGGCGGATCAAAGTCATAAAGAAAAGGTAGAGAGAAAAAAAGATAACCAAAGATGTCGCGAAAAATAAACCGCGACGCGGCAAATTATGGTCGCATTCATATACTTACGGGGTCTCACGCATGCCAGCATTTTTAGGTTATACATATTATAAATAAACACACGCATGAACAAACAAACAAAAATTATAGATATATATTTAAAAAAATTATACTGTGCGCGACATGAACATGCAAGATAGAGGTAGTGAAGAAAATAAACTATGAAAATACGCAAGTAGATTTTTTAAAAAATAAATTTTTGTCGAGGAACAGAAGAGGGGCGGATGCTCTTATATTGAAGATATTACAGGATCTTCATTATATCGATGCCCGCGAAATCGCAGCTCCTTAAAAATACACGCAGGCCATATGTAATATTCGTGACACGACCGAATCTTTTCTTATTCTCGCTTCGGCTATTGATGAGAACCAAAAGCACTATATACTATATAATATAGAATTCAATTGAACAGAATTAAAAAACAAAGAACTGGTAACCACTTTTTTGTCGTTCTGTACCGACCAAAGAAATTAAATGGCAGTGCGAATTTAGATTTGTACGGATCGTAATAAACGTATAAACGGATTTTTCACGGCTATCGGTTTTAACTCGCATGACGTATGTAAATGAAAAAAAAAATGCCAAATGGGCTGTGATTTGAAGCACACGAAAGGATAACAAGAATGCGCAAAGTGTTTACTTGAAATGCTAGAGATATTGAACAAATTGAGTCACGAATATCGTACGTATCGTATGGGACAATTATGCTTTATAATTAAAAGCAAACACACTTAAAATTTGTCCTAAAGATTCGATGCCAGCAAAAAATTATATTTAAATTTTGTAATTCTTTTATCGTTCAGTATACAAGAAAGAAAAAGAAGGTAGCCTTCAGTATAGCTTTCATATAAAATACACCAATAGTTTGAGTGTAAGAACATTCTGCAACTTTACAACGTATAACTTATATATTACACGATCTTATGACTAATTACTACAACTGTATGTTAAAGAAAAAGTCTCTAGCAATCAAGTGCACGCAATGTCATAGATAGCCATCAAATGTGTGAGAAAAGTGACATAAAAAGTGAGTAAGTGCAATGCCGACACAGGCAACGTGGGTGGAACTACGACGGGGAAAGAAAATTAAAATTGGTTCAAGGTTTCTTGGACTATGACGTTTGAGAGAGAAACAAATATAACGAAGTCGATGAGAAAAGAGAAATCGCGCGCGAAAATATTGTAATAACCGAATAGGATTTTTAGTCATTTTTAACTTTTCTTTTCGCGAAGATACTTAGACGAATGAGAGAGCGATTGTGGAGAATCAACCAAAGTACCAATTACTAATATTATTACTATGATTATTATTATGACGATTATTATGATTATTATCATTGAAAGACCTATATTATATAAATATATAAAACTATATATTATAAAATGCATATACAAAACAAAAAAAAATTAATATATATTGATGATCCTCGAGACAACTAGCGACTTAGTAAATTATTCTAGCTTTAACAGAATTCAAATAAATTAATTTATTAGTTGACGAAGGGTAGATCTGCGATATCGTATTATCGAAAGCGGACCGCTTTGTTAGTCGACCTTGAGGCTGCGAATTTATATTATACAATTTTACGCACTTCATATCTTGTATTTTTTTTACTTTGAGAATTTTCTTTTTTGGTTTGCTCATTGAACGTACAATGAATTATCTAGTCAATTTTTTATTTTTATTAAGTTTTACTTGTTTTTTTTTTTCAACAAATATGGAATGAAAGTGCCAATGTTAATGGGTTCTATCGTACGAGAAGCAGTTGTGATGCCGTATATATTAAAGATTTTACCATTTGTTTTTTCGCAGCCTTGAAAACGAAAAAAAGGATATTTGAAAAGTGCAAGTATAGCTTAATTGCGTTGGAAATGTTAACGATTGATTGATTAACAATTATAACTGATATTATCGGTCATACTTATGACATTATTAATATAAACATTAAATAAACGATAACTTATAAGATAATTATTATAATTAAATGAAGGAACAAGTGACGGCAAGGAAATTCAAACAAGTAATTTGAATGCATCCAAAAATGGCAAAAAATATTCTTTTTGCGAAAGCTGCAGCATACTTCGTAGACGCGCATATTCTTATCATTTCGATAGGAAAAAATTATTTCTAACGAGCGGAGAGGCAAAACTGTTAGCTATCATTATAACATGACAAAGACGAGGAATTTTCACAGAAAAATGCTACTGATGCGAGAGAATGTACGGATTGAATATTCCCCAGTGGCAAATCACGCTGCTGATTCAGACATTTTGAATCAGCTTTAAATGACAAAAAAACAAAACAAAGAATTTACCGTAGGGATTATTGCGTGAACTTATATAAAATCTTACAACCGTACTTTTACAACCAAACCATACTCATGATATTTTCTGCATGCGAAACAAGTCTTTTATATACATCAGATACGATATATATATTTTATCCGAACGAAGCACGAACTCTTTTTGTTGAGCGGAGAGAAGAAGGCTGTAAATGAAATTTTTAATAAAGGAACATCATATTTCGTTGAAAAAAAACAACCAACACGCATTTATGACAATATTTATTTTATAACATCCCTTTTATCTCGTAAATCAGTAGTATTTTTCCATCACGACGTATAGAGTTATATTTTAGAGAAATGCGATCTTTTAACCATAAAAAATTTGGTTTTTTGGAGGATGTGAGATGCAATGATGCAATACAAAGTGCTTGCGTGCTCGCGTGCTTGCGTGAATCCCTACTCCGCTCCAAAAAAAAGTATTCCCACTGGTTTCCCCGAGAGCAGCAGAAAAAAATCTATAAAAAAACGGAAATCTTTCAACCGCGATTAGAGTTTTCAAGATGACGCAAGGGAAAAAGCTCTGGCGCGATAAAATCAGTGATTTTCCGCCTACTTCGTTCTATGGTAGGGTTCAAGATTTATTGGAGCGTTAGAGCGGGAAGGATAAGGACTTGAACGTCGAAATTTTTTTCCGTGATATTTTATTTTTAATTCGCAATTATTTTCAAATTTCATTTGGTTTCATTCCAAAAGAAAACAAGACACGTCAAAAAGTAATTGAAATCGATCTTAGATGTTACAAAATCTTGGAATTAACTCAAAGTTATAGCAAGAATTTTCAGTATAAAAGATACATAGTGTAATGCTGATAAAGTTCGGGAGCTTACATGGCTAATTAAATATCACTACAGGAATAAGCTTCTTAGTTTTTCGTTGTTCACCGAAGGAACATTTCGAGAAACAGATGTGGCGTAAAACTAAACTGTAAACATAAAACTGATTTAAGGAAAGACTAGAATTAACACACGGCAACCTATTAATCCATAGTTATTATAAATATTATAAATAAATCATACGTAAGCAACCCTCAGTCGCTCGAACAAGTTATAAATAAAACTAACAAAAACAGAACTATTTTATTCCGGGTAAAATAAGTTTTTGCTACAGTCACGACAAGCGTGCATCCTCGGTAAAAATGATATTAGAGTATGAAAATGCGTGCAAATGAAATGAATACTCAGGGAGTCTCTCTTGGCTTCAGATTTATTTTTACACAACACGTGAGACGAACTCGCCGTAAAAATACACTGGTGCGTTTCGGTATAAGCAAAACTTTTTTTTCATTGCTTTCGAAGCAACAAACAACGTATACTTGCTGGGACGAAAGTCGGTATCCTCAGCGTCATACATATATATTAACAAGCAGAGTGTATAGTCATTTCATATCTGATACATGTAGAAAAGAAAGTCGAGAAGAGCAAAAAAACATCGATATTTTTCTAAAAGTCGAAGAAGAGAGTGAGATAAAGGATTCGGACTTTTGTACAAGCAAACAGATATGCATGTATATGAGTGCTCGTCGCAAGCGATCGTGACCAGTAGTGTACAAAATGCGAAGATGAATAAAAGCAGCAGAAAAAAGAATCAAGATTAAACATAGATAAAATATCATGCCGTAATTTGTGACCGCGGCGTTGTACAGAAAATCAGCGCCATGACGTGTGCACCCCGTTGAAATTTATGACAATAGTAATGTTAACACACACACCTAATAGTTACTTGTTTTTTTTCCGTTGCTGTTGACTATCGAAAAGGTCTTGAAGGGGGGACGATCTCTCTTTTGCCTTTTGCTTTTTTTTACCGAGATACATCTGAAACGAAACGACTCACGTCGGTGATTCATGATAACAGGGTACGTTTTTTTTTTGCGCGCGAAACGAAAAAAAAAATAATGTATCAATTCATCACCTTAAATCGCCGAAATTAATTAAATCGGCCGAAAAAATATATACAATTCACATTCATCGAAGCAAAAAATAAAGAAAAGAAAATGCCAAAACGCGTGCGCGCAGCTTTCCAACGATCTCAATATTTCTTGTATAGAAGAACGCGATATTGCAAAAACAGTCAACCAAACCTAACATGCAAATACGCAAGCTAGATAAATGTATAACAATTTCCAAACGAAAAGTCTTATGATACGGTGGAAAAGGTCAGTCAAATACAAAATTCGTGTTAGAAGCTCGCTCAACATCCTTATCTCTCTCTGGATATCCTACGAGGAATATCCAGCAGCACAGTCGACTTACATATATTCGATTGACAGAAAATACATATCTCTCGAGCTTTGGAACACACATTGCTAAAACAAAGACTTTGCTTTCATTTCTCACGTATTTACCCGGCCATTCGTATCGAACGCTATCCGGGACCAAAAGAAAAAACAAGTCAAACAGCTACACACCTTTTTGCTTTTGTAAATTCAAATTAGATCTGTTTTCATCGAAATTCTACAGCTTTATCAACTCTAATATTTAATCCACATTGGAGCCAAATTTGAGACTGAAATTTAAACACTTTGTACTAAACGTTGACACGCATATAAGCGATGTAAGGTAGTTCGCTCACACGGTTTTATAAAAAACCGAGAGAGCTGTATGGGCTTTGTTAAAATCACAAACAAGATCTTTGGTCCAAAAAGAAAAAAAATATATATACACACACATGTGTGTGTGTATATATATATATATATATATATATATATATATATATACACAACACTTGAGTTTAGTCACATTGATCTCTAGGCAAAGTACTTTTATAACGTATATGCAAGCTAAAATATTAGACCCAAGCGTCACTGATTCGAGGAATTGGAAGAGAATTCAGGTTAAAGGTTTTTGTGAAAAATTACACTCGATACTGTCATCATTTTTTCTTAGGAGCATGCATAAAATTATCATACATATAGATTAATAAGTAGCATTTAAGGTAAAAAGAAAATCCTCTCACACGGAAAACAGCTTTTTGAGTTATTTGTAGAGGGTCGCCTTTTTTGTCGAAAGCGAACTTTTGTGAATAATTACACGCTTAAAAAATCGTAGCAATTACATCTTAATGATATGTAACGATTAACGGAAACAAGCATTATAATAATGAAAATAATAATAATAATAGTAATAATGAAAGAATTACTAAGAAAAATCACCGATTAAATACTTAGCTTTTAAGCATTAAGTCTATGCATACAAAAGAAAAGGTTTAACGATAATATCTCTGTAATACACACGCTCTAACGATATAGATGTATAAAACAAAAACGCATACGATATATCGACTAAGCGGATTTGCTGAAGCGAAAGACAAGAGTTGAAGGCAAAGTGAGAACCAGACAAAAAATAGGTGAAAAACATATTTTAAATAAATAATCGCCAAAGAAAGAAAACGTTTTTAAACTTCATTCAAAAGATGAAAAAAAAAAAGAAAACTTAGCGCGTAAGGCCCATCGTTATATATATACGACGTATATATGTATAATGAAGCATTGAAAGTGGACTCTAAAATTAACTGTAAATCCAAAGTGCGAGCAAAGCGAAAGAAAACTGTCACCCGGCAAGAGGAAAGCAAGAAAAAGTGACGAATATACATCGTGTATCCGTATGAGTTTGACAGTTGAAGCGATCTATTTTTTGTCCTTTCGTTCGGTGTATATAATTTATAAGCTTTTGTGGGCTTGCGGCCAGCGGCGGTACGACGGGCCGGGGCGCAACAGTTGGCCAACAAGTGGCTCTTTCGCGCTCGAACGCGAGTTTCCGAAAATTTCGTCGCTTTAATCTACGGAAGCCCGCTGCGCGAAAACTGCCGAGGCAAATTGGGACGTACGCCAATACAGATTGCGTGACGCCTTTACGGAGATATTTTGCCAGTTGAATATTCAAAACGAGTCTGTGAATTGCAGTGCGGATTTCATTTCTTGTTCGCTTAATTCAACTCCATGATCGCGGAAAGTTGTCGTTTATGTACGCTTCCATCGCTGAGAAACGAAACGGCCGGGATGACAATGAAATCGAACAAAGCAAAAAAAAACAATTTATTTGTCTACACAGGACGCGTACACATACATACTAAGATACATACTAAAATACACACTCGAGGTAGGGCGATACTTGCGTTTTTACGACAATAAGAAGTCTGGTTTTACCGAAGCACATAAACAACAAAGACACATACATAATACCAACCTAATTTTACGTTTTCTTTTCTATCCTTGATGTATAACTGAGGGGTTATTGTGACTGTTTTCGTTTTTTGCTATTCTACACAGAGAGGAAAAATAACGATTTTCTAAAAGTCTCATCGTCAATTACTAAGCTACTTTTTAAGTGATCCGAACAAAAATAAATAACGATTTTTAAAAAATGAGAAGTATTCAATGTAGCTTGAATATAGAACGACTTGACAGGACGGAAGAGGGTATAAAAAAAACTTTGCGTACGTAGTTCTGCTGTTTTAGCGACTGTTAAGTGTACTTAAGCATAGGTTTTTATCGGAATGTAAGAATTGTTCATCTTTGTGTAATAATTTGCGTCTCTTAAACAACTTAAGCTCTTTTTTAAATAAACTGATGTGATTGTTGAGTAGTATTTGAAGGAAACAAAAATAATACAGAGATTTTTAGTTTGTGTTTTATCGTTGCCCCTTTCATTGACCCGCGCCAAGATTTTCTTGTCAAATCGCTCTACCGACTTCGGACTGAAAAATTCGATCGTCGAAAACTTGTATAACAATTAAGAACGTTGAAAGTGAGAATAAAATTAATTTTAACAAAAAACAAAAAAAAAGAAAAGAAAGAGTTGGTACGACTGACGAAAAAAAAACGTTATGATTTGCAAAAACTAGATACTTTTTTGCTGCATGCACACAATGCATTTGTTTATATAGGGTAAAAAGAGAAAGGTAAAGCAGAGGAATTATTATTATTGAATCATCATCGAGAGAACAAAGAAAATCAGAAACGATTCGCTCGCGCGAGTCATAGAATTTAAAAAAAGAAAGAGAAAAATGATGAAGATAAAACTGACCGTACGACTATAATCTAACCTGTATATTTTTACAATATATATATATATATATATATATAAATAAATATATAAATATATACATATGCATACAAAAAATATATTATATTATATATACTATAAAGTCTAGAGATACGCGTTGCATTAGGTGCGTAAGTAGTATGATCCTCTGTAGCCTTTAAAGGAGGAAAACGCGTCGACAAGCGAGAAGAAAGATAGAAATGAAAATTGAAAAAGAAAAGAAAGAATCATGATTGTTGATTTCAAAAGAGGCGCTTACAATAAAAAGAAGAAAATATTGTACTTTATTATCATGCGGCCTCGGACGACTCCCACGTTAATTTTATTTGCGACTTTTATTTATAATACCAACGAGTACGTCTGAGGGGCGAAGAATGTTGCGTAGTATAATCAAGCATTGACGCGAGTGGCGCTAATCGCTCTCTTTACTTCCGGTGGTCTAAAAAAGTACATTGTTTATCGTACGAATTACTTTCAAGGTTAGGTGTTTCATCGTAACGTTCAATATTTTCAATGAAGTGAACTCTCGTAGAGTGAAAGGAATAAAATGTAATCGTCCACAACGTTTGTTTGCTTGTTTCTCTATTTTCTCTGAAATTTGCGGGACGAAAAGCTTAAGAATATTTAACGTTGGTGATTCATTAAGACACCGATGATGATTGTTAAATCCGGAAATCGAAGTAGCTTGGCGCGCGAAAAAGCTGGCTTATATACCTTATTTATTTAGCGAAGGAAAAAAGTGAAAGAAAACTATTTATTATACTCATTAGATGCGAACAAGAAAACGATGTAAAAAGGAATTTATCAGTCGTATGTGCTGCTTGTGGGACGATGTTGCAATCGCCGTTTTTTAGAGAATGCCACTCGTTCATTATGTTTTTTGTATACACGACGTCGTCCAATCAATCAGCCAAATTGCCGCGCGATATTTCAAAATGTGCAATATTTTTCTAATCATTTTAATGTCATTTATAACCGAGCAATTCTTTTTTCATGATGGTCGCATCAACGAGTCGATTCGTAATACAACGACGACTCTCACCACTCAAACTATTGTAATTCTCAATTTAGCTTATTTATACCAAGTAAAAAAGTTGCGGTATATAAACCTTGTATAACTTAAGCGAATCAATTATTTATGATAATCATAGGTGAATGATTTATTTGAAGGGAGATTAAATACGCACATAAAGTGATGAATTTGCAGGCGAGAGAGGATCTCGCCGGTGAACGCGATGATCGTGAATTGATAATCCAACGTAGAGAAAACAAGAAGGCAGATGAGAATAAAAAACAATTATATATTATATATACACTTATTTATTATAAGTAAAACAGTATTAATCTTTATCTAACAATATAGACGCGGAGGGAGAGGTGAAATAAAAGAAAGAAAAAACAGTTAGAAGAACGATGAAGAATAACGCGGGGTTGAGGGTGGAATTTATTGATTGATTATTTAAAATTATATCTTACTACGAAGTAAAAATATATTATATTATATTATATTATACATACGAGAGATTAACAAGATAAATTATATGATTAATAGTAGGCTAATGCAGGAGGCAGAATGCGAATTTTTTTCTAGAAGGGATTGCTAGACTGTAGACAATTTTTGCTCATATACTGATGTCATTGATCCAAGTCGTAGATTACAAATTTCGAAGACAAAAGTCAACATTATACTCAGCAAAGTGAAAGTTACCATGGTAGTTCTTTTTTTAAAAAGCATGCGTGACTCTTTGATTCGAAATCGTCTCCGACTTTGATCAAAACGTTTCGCTACAGTCCGGAATGATGAAAGGTCGACGCGAGGAAGTTGAGATCTCAGCATATCAGTGTGTGGCGAATACGTGTTGGAGAGTCGGCGCACACGGAAACGTGAATTTATAATTTCATGTATGCCTTTGTTTTTCACAGTTTTTTCATTTACACGCTCGGCCAAAGAAAAAGAAAAGAAAGAATTTTCGACAAGTCGAGTTTAGAAATTTCGCTGGCTCGACGAATCTTTCCTTCGTCTTTCGGAACGATGCTTTTTCTTCTTCTCAAAAATTACTGTAAGCGTCAGGCGATAAAATGGGGTGAGCATATAAATCAACTCAAGTGCAACCGAACTCGTAATCTTCAGTCGCAGCGAATGATATTGTAATACTGAACGATTAAACCGCGTTAGCGAATACGCACGACTTGTACGCATTAATTTCCACGACTGACCCTTACTGTAATTTTTTAAAAGAAGCCATTTATCGTCTACCAAAGTCCATGACATTATCAGTGCACTATTGACTAAACATACCTGCTTTGTGATTTATCGTTGAGCCAGCGAAACGGAAAGAAAGCGGAGCATATGCGCGTGATCCTACGTGTGATTGCCGAGACAGGAAGGCTGCGTTATAAAGCGGGCAAGCAAAGTAATTTAAAAAATATATAAATAAACGAATAGCGTAGAAAGCAAGCGTAAGCCATGCCATTTATATAATTATCATTATTTTTCATAAAGAGAAAAAAAAATACTTAGACAATTGATGCTGCTGAGAGTTGTTCGTGGAGACATTCTTACATGTGTGGATATCTCTCGCGACGACAGGCATGTACTATTATTATCTATATGATATAGAGAATGAAAAAAAAAACGTTGCGGCAATTATAGATTGCGACGATTATTATTATTATTATTATTATTATTACTATTACTATTATTATTTTTATTATTATTATTATCATTATCATTATCATTGCTAATCATGACTAAACGCGATGACTCTTATTACAAGTAAATTGATAAGGGAGAAAAAAGTAAGAAAATTACTATTTATATTTACGGTTATTATCGAACTAAGTTAAAGAAAATAAAAAAAAAATGATTAACATCATGACAGCGATGTCGTCTCGACGTCAACAGGCTAGATTATAAATGATTAAGACACCGCACCGACGCGAAAGTCCTGAGACATCAAAAGCGTGCAAGTGTAGTTGCGTGTATCTGAAAGTGAACGAGTGTGAAAAAGACAGAATAGACGAATTACTCGCGTTGTACAGGGGAATAAAAAAATAAAAATAAAAACGACTATAAAATATCGATGATTTTTACGGCGGTTTATTTCGTACGACCTATATGGGATATTACAACACATTTACACACACTCATTGAAAGTAAACCGTGTCCAACAAAAAAAAAATATCTACGATGGCTCCGTACGGTGTACACGCTTTTAAACGTACTAAGCAAAGGGAAAAATGAAAAACGCGGCCATTCGATAAAATAGTTTTTGCCATGGCACATAAAAATAGAGAAACTCATAATGAACGACATCATTTGTACTGTAAACGCACGTAACGACTAAACCCGTAGGGATGCGTGAAAACGACGATGTATTTTTCGCGCGAGGTAAAGCGGAGGATAATATATAGAGACGCGGACAAGATTTGTGTGTGTGTGTGTGTGTGAAAGGAGCGAATGGGTGAAAAGAGCGCGTGCAAGCGAGAGAACGGAAGAAAAAAAATAATGAATAAAATAAACCGCCAATTACTTTAACATTGAACAAAAAACAGTACTATTATTTGTATGCCGAATGATCATATGCCATTTTCAGTGTGACGCAATAGAGAAAAAAAATGATGACGTGAACGAGAAAGACGAAAGTGAAGACAGAAAGAGGGGAGTGAATTAAACGAAAATCTAAAAATAAATAAAAAAATAATGACATTAAAAAAATGCCAGAAGTTTCTATACTTTTTACGGAGATTGTTATAGTCTAAGGCGCACACTGATCAAGGCATTCGTTCCTCGGCAAGGCATATAATATAATTATTAATATAAAATTTATAACAGAAATACAATAAATGAAGTTAATAAAAATATGTACACTGTATAATAAACATTATTTCCTATTAATAAAAAAATTGCTATTGTTGTTCTTGCTGTTTTACCCTTACAATTTTCGTTATAATTATTTTTTATGCACTAGTCTTACAAATGAATATCATTTGTATTTTTGTTAAACTTTACTTTCTGACAATATATTAATTTTTAGAAATTCATTGGTTTATTTTCACATATTTTGAAAGTAGATTTAATTGCCACTTTTCAAGTTCAATTTCAATAAAGTAATTATTTGAAACATTTCTTTTATTTGTTCGAAAGATTGGTTATACAAGACATTGAGTTTTAAGATTCCAAATATTAAAAATATTTCTTTATTAATCTATTATACTTCGAAATTTCAAAGATCAACTGAAATCTAACCCAGCTTTACCGACCACAACACTATGAACTTTCTACATTACCTCACCGTGTATCCTGATATGGTTGAAATCGTTATTCTCTCTTGCGGATAATAAGTGCATACAGAAAATATAGTTATATAGGCATACAGTTTATTACTAAGACGTTTGGATTGTTATCGTATGTTTATATATGAAATCTTGGCGACATTTAAAAATGGACGACGTTGCTGTCAACTTCAACCTAAGTACCTGACCCTTCGTTCTTTTGTATAAAACATCAAGCGATTCTTTACCATTAGATCAGGTGTTCACTTGGGATGTGACGAGGAATCGCTAAGTATGTTGTTTGCCTTCGTAAAATCCTTTTGTGCGCTGTTCTCTCTGTTGTTACGACTACAAGATTGCCTTGGACACGCTGTGTACTATTGACACATCAATGTGTTTAACTTTTTTATTAGAGCTAGTGATTCATATCAATCGCTATTTTAATTTAACCCTTATAGCAGTTCTTAAAAAATATCTCTTTGCAGCTAAAATAAGGAAAAATCCATCTCTAAATTGTGAACTGACTGCTAATTATCATGTCACCGGGGATCAATGATCACCCATACAACACTGGTACGCTACCAAAAAGTAACAGACGCAGTGATAGAAATAGACAAATTGTTGACAATACAGTGAATAACCAAGAGAATAACTGGATTACTAATGACAGGGGACATTATCGAGCACCTCCAACACTATCACAACATGCAAACAACTTGGTAAGTCATCTATAAATCTCAAATCTTATGACACAGATTAATTCATGTCCAGCTCAATAATCGCTTAACCATACTTTCCAAAATTTCTGCGAATATTTAAATTTGGACCTTGACAGATTTGTAACATGTCTTGTATGATAACATTTCTTAATACTAGCGTTTGTTATTCACAAAACTTGGTTTTTTTGTTCAGTTTTACTTATCAAATTCATTTATAAAATTTTGTTACCGATCAGAAAGATTATAAATACATAGCTCTAAATTACTATTAAATATAATAGCTTGATTGAATTTAGTTTTCAAGCATTTATAAAATTAAAAAAAAAACAATTATAACATAGCATCTATTCTATATGTTACAAAATTTTCTAATTTTCAATTTCAACAATAGGAATCCGAAAATACACAATTTCGTGATTCAATGATATTTTATTCAAATGAACAGTTCATTAACTATAAAGATACTGAACTCATATTTTCAATCACATACCGAAAAAGTTACGTTATAAAATTTCTACATAAAAAAGACTCAACCATCCACTAAAAAGAAGCATAAAAAAATCACTCTACACACGTAATTAAAACGAACCGTATACTACCAAAGCTCCTCTAATAATAAACCAATGAATAAACGAGCGTCTGCACACCTCCAAACTAACTTGAAGCACGGCGCACCGAAGCTTCTATTCTAAAATTATACTTGGCTACGAGAATAAAATTCGTACGCGCGCGTGTGTATGTGTGTGTGTGTGACGTATCACACGATTAGTCTCAGGTCGACTGGCATCTAGTGTACCAGACTGCGCCGCCACCACCAACATCGTCCGCAAGGAGTGGCAAAAACAGTAACACTAGGTCGACTTACCCACCGCCGGCCCCTGCTTCTTCCACTGGATCGTTGGATTTCAGAGATTTCGGTGAGGATTATTTTCTTCGCGTTTTCGCAGATGCGTTTGTGTAGATGGACAAGGAATATTGCTTTACGTTTTCTTCAATAACTTGAATTTTCCAACGATCGATTTCATTTCATGCAAAAGTGAACAATGTTCATCTCATTTTCAAGAGAATTTAGATAGTAACTAGGAAATAAAATTAAAAATTTTCAGTAAGAGCTTTCGCTAGCTAAAGTATTCGCAGTCTCAAAGCGCTGTTGACTAAATTCGCTGTTCACGCTATTAAATTAATCTCAAGTATCCAGTATCAACAATCAAAAGCAATAAACATAATTAATTTTTTAAATCTTCTCATATTAATTTTTTTTCGAAATTTTCCGCAGGACCCTACAACAATCACAATCGATATCCAAATCTTTATTCTCAACCCGAGAATATCATACCCTGGTTGAAAATGACATCTCCACATCAACCACCACCAAATTTCGCGGAGAAACCTACCAACACGGATAAAATGGTATAATCGCAGGACGTTTTTACGAGACATGCATCGATTGCGCGCTATAGTTGTTATTCTCGACTGATTACTGAACGCATTTAGAAATGAATAAACACATAGCTGACCGATATAACTTCATTTCATTCACTCAACGAACTTGTTGCTAATAGATGCTCTAGTTTCAATAATAACTATATGTTGAAAATGTTACTAGTTAATGTAATTTAACACTTGTTTTAACTGAAAATTTCCATTATTCATGCCGATTTATTTATTTTATTAATTTTAGCCTGAAAGATATCAAGTGGAAGGACGGTTAAATCAAATCAGAGAATACATAAAAGTAACTACGTCAATGATGGATTCGCTTAGTCGATCAGCTGATCCTGTAAGTATCACCTCAACAATTTGCGTCAAGTTCCAATTCCGCTAATAACAAATAATTTTATTCGAACACAAATGTGTGATATAGCGAGCGCAAGCCCAATATGAAAAACTAAATAAAATGGTGGAGGATCTTTATGATAGCGAACGAAAACTTGGAAAGCTTCTGGAGGAGAGTCAAAAATATTGGGGACCTAATGAGGTTATCGAGGCATTTACAACTTTTTTGTGCATGATGGAATTGCTTTTCGATTAACTTTTTTAACATTTGAATGGAACAACAATTTGAATTTCATTGTGCTTGGCAAAATCACAATCAACTGTTCATTGGAGTTGTAGCTGACTTAAAAAATGTTTTGTTAAGTGAACGAAGTAATATTAAAATTTTTTTTTTAATATTTGAAATTATTAACTAGTTTTACTGATTAGCAATCTATAATATGAAAATGCAATAATAATATCCTCAACATCTGTAGGCTTGAAAATGATCTTATGTGTTATAATAATCAAACCGGAGCCTGACAATTTTCTACCATATACTTAATTCCTTACTATTTCCGCTTTCTCGCATATCAGTGAAAAACAATCATATTTTTACAGAACGGCGAGATGGTCTATGACGAAGGCCGCGAGCAAGAACTTCGGAAGAAGATCGACGAGTCTCAACGTAAACTCATCCAGTTACAGGAGCATCAGGCTCATCTTGTTGCAATGCAAATGAGAGTTCGCGAGCGTCTGAATGAAGCACGCCATGCTCAACAGACACTGCTAGCGTCAGAGTCCGAGGAACGCGAGGAAGAAGAGGAAATCGACCCTGAAGAAAGAAACGGTATAATCAATGGACAGGTGACTCAGGGTAATGTAGATCAACTAGAGCGCGAGACGGAAGCGTTGAGAGGCAAACTACAACAGCTTGAAAACAAGAAAAAGCAGATGGATCATTTGGTACATGAGCTTCAAGACATTGAACTTGGAAGCTTTGTAAGTAAATCATATCAAGCCCTCTGTATTCTCGACTTTCATTTTGTGCAAATTCGAAAAACTAATGATTAATCATAAATCTACTTCCTCAATCTTCTTTTATTCATTTCAGAGATCGGAAAGCTCCAAACTTGTACCAGCTCAACAACGTGACCGTGTTTCCGAACTAGAAGCAATGAAAGCTCAACTTCAACATCTTAAAACGTTGATGAATGAAGCCACTCGTGTACAAGAAAATAGTGATGTCCAACCATCGGAATTTGATCACGAAGAAAACAATGCTGTAGCTGCAGCATCCAATGAAGTTTACCCTACCGAGGAGAATGGTCATGAGATCGTTTCTGAGGACAAATCGAGACCTACTGTTGAGCAAATTCAGGCTGTCACGAACGAATTAAAAGAACAGCAACAATTACTGCTTGCTGCTAGAGCTGAGCTTGTGAGGTTGAAGCAACAACCATCAATTGTTAGCTCTTCTCCACCAGCGGAGAAGAAACTAAGTAATAATAATGCAAGATGTACACAGAATAATCAACGGCAGTTTGAAGAGCTTAACAGAAAGGTCAGTTAAGTTTGATTTGCAGAGAGAGATAGAATAGTCAATTTATTTTGTTTGCATTTTTTAGGAATCGTACCCAAGTTTGCTTGTTAATCACAATACAGCGTCGGATGGTTGGAGTAATCGTAGAGAATGCAATTCGCTACCTAATAGTCAGGCAAGCACTGCTAACCTTTGGGCTCCATCATCCAACAGCAGTAAGTTCTACACATTGAAAAAATATTCATATCAATTACACGCAACTATTAATTTGATACAATTGTTTAGTGAATGGACCTCACGAACACAATGTAGATACCATGTCGGCGCAAGAGACTTTATTGGAAATCGGATCTCAACCTCCACTCGATAATGGAAATAATTTTTGGGGTATGCCACCCCTGATCACTAATCAACTACCTCAAAGTATGTACTTTAATTGAAGTAGTAGAAAAAGCTTCGTAGAAATAGTAAAATAAAATTAATTCTCTAATAGGTGCAACAGTAGGCTCAGCTGAATATTATAGACAGCTTTTACTTGGATCTCAAGCTCAACAGTTGCAAATGCTAACCACAACTTTGCAGCAGTGTTGTCAACTTCTCTGGTCTCAACAACGGGAAATGCAGTCTATGAGAGCTGCCATAAATCAGCTTCAGGTTAATATAATTAATTAATTAATAAGAATTAATAATAAGACATAATAAAATTTACTATAATATCGTATTATAAAGCTTTATCATTTGAAAGTAAGTTTTGTTTACATCACAAATACTTTATGTTCAGGCTCAATTGCGATATTCGCAATCACGAACCAGTAACAACCTCGAGTTGCATGAAGAGCATCATTCAAATCTCGTTCGCCCAGCAACGCAGCAACATTTTAGTTCAATCGAAGCCGTCACTTTGCCACCAAGTTCATCTTTACCGAATCTCATGTCGTTACCAGGTGCATCACCTGCACCACCACCAGCTATTTCAATAATGTCGAATTGTCAACAACAGCAGCAACAGTTGAATAATCAAGTGCCACCAGGAAATCGAGCAAACAACTACTGGGATAATTTCAGAAGGTAATTTATCGTACAAATTGTCAAAAAAGGACATGCCAATTAATTTCGTGTATTCCTTTTTATAAAGAGAAAGTTAAGATCTGGCTCTTTTAATCGTCGATAGGCATTTAGGCGAATTTCGTTTTGTATATTGCATGTTACGAAAGAATTGAAGAAAAAATTGTTAGGCGGCTGATAGTAAATACATGACTATTCTATAAAAATTTATGAAATTATTATATGATTGACCGTAGAACATAGAGTTCCAAAAAATTACGACAAAAGAGTATATAAGGAGTTGAAGCATACCATAGTTCAATATCTTTTATTTTTTCTTGCATTTCCGCTTCTTTAGTGATGTAAACTTTACACAAACGTTAGTCATTTTATGTATCCTGCTTAAATTTTTTTCGAATGGAAAACAATAAATTTGATCAATAGCTTGATGATTTTAAATTATTTAGTTTATTATTCTGTCCTTGGTTCCTTGTCATTTTACGAATAATAATACAGGTGGTAGGTAAAACGAACATGCGGTACGTAAACAATTTCTTCTATTTAATTTTTTATTCTTTACGCTTATCGACTAATTGGCGTGTTTCTATTAATTACTAATGCGTGCAGGTTTTCGTAGTTTGGCAAAGAAATTTTTTCACATATTAACACGATACGAACATGCTGTACGACGAAACATGTCTATTGTGCTTTTACAATTGTTTTTACTAATATTATAAGAAAAAAGTGAAATTGCTTATTGTTTATGTTTTATATTATAGTTACTCAAGGCAAAACTTACTCTCTGGTACTTCAAAAACTGCAATCGACGGCGCAACAGCTCATGTGATTTCTTCCACAACAGTTAGCCATCCACCTTTGTAAGTTTATCTTGAATAAATTTGTTCAATTCCTGTATTTCTCTATTTTTTTAATCTTTTTTCTCAATAGAAACAATAAACGCAATCGGCAGCAAACACTAGAGAACTTACCATCTCAGCCATCTGAAGTGCACTATACTTTGAATTTGCAACCTCAACAAGATCGAGAATCCACAGCTTCAGCACCGAGAAACAACATTATACTTACCAGTGAACAGCAGTCACAACAGCCTGAAAATATTGGCGCAGAAGCAAGTGGTACCTTGCGTTCTGAAGAAAGAACTGATGATGAATCGTATACAAGGTTCGAATACTTTGAATTTATTTTTATTCGACATTATCATTTCAACCACATTTTCTTTTAGAATTGCGAAAACGATAAGCGAAAGAGAAGATTTGAGACTCATTTTAATGCATTTCCTTAAGGTTTTGGAAAGTGGAAAAGTAAGCATTTATCATAAATTAATATATTTTTTGTTAAACTTTAAATAAGTTTCTCATATTTTTTAAAATTTTTTACAGCAAAACGTCAGTCCTTTGCCATCATCGAATATGAGTAATAGCTCAGACTCAAGCGATGACGAATCAGATGCTGGGCCTTCAGGAAATTCAGCAGTACCGATTGAAAATATTCATAATCAGAATCGGCGTCCTACCGTAATCGTAGATCCACAATTAGAATCCACTTCCAGTCATTCAAATGATGTACAGGTAAGTCAAGCTCATCTCATTTACGTCATCTTCCATCTACATACTAAATCACAAAAGTATCACATCATTTTACAGGAATCACTTATATCTGAAAATGCTGTCTCCTTGCCATCGATATCATCGACAATCGGAACTGTAGGCATGGTCGAGTCTAATGAGCTTAACACCGAGTCTTTGAATAATGAACCTGTTAACAGCGTTTATATGAGTGATGGGAATGATATAACATCTGGTGTTACCGTCGAGTATTCATCCATCCCTTCTGACATATCTAGGATATGTCAATTGGTTGACGTGAATGTTGAAGATGAAGATGAGCGTGTTGAGTTTGTGATGCTCGATCGCGGATCACAAACTGTTGTTGGAGGCATGATGGATGATCTGCAAAAATAGTTTTGTTGAATCGTCGACAGACCATGGCAGTTTTTTATCTTACGATCGACTGTCATTTTTCCTGATGCACATATACTTAATGGTTTTCATATTATTATTATTATTTTCTTATGTTGAGAAAACGTGAGGGTTATTACCGATTGTCAGTATATTTGATTTTTAAGTTATTAATATTTTATTGAAAAGTTAATTAATTAACATTAAACTTACAAGATTTTTTATTTATATTTTTTATTTTGCTTAAAAATGTTTACTCGTTTTTCTAAGACATAATTCTATTTGAATGTCACTGATAACTTAGTTTTCTTTCTTTAAGCTATCAAATAATTTTAATTCGATTAGTAAATTCTTGTGTTGTCTATAGCAAACTTCTAAATAAGCTATTTTCTATCAAATCACTATATTAAAATGTAAAATCTAAAAGACTGTGTAGAGATAAATAAAGTACTACATATATAAATGACAAGAATATATTGTTTATGTACAAAAGTAAATATTTATTATCAATGTATTATTATGTTTAAAAATGTTATTACAATCACTAGCCTATTTTTATAAAGGCGTAACATTTAATACGCGATGATTTAATATTCATAATATAAATATGAAAATTATTCCACAATGAAAACTAACTAATTATTATTATTATTATTACCATAAATCACTAGAGTAATGTCAACTCTGCAACAAAGAAAACCATTTTGTTGTTAACAAAATCACTTGTTTCAACATCAATGTAAAGTTGCGAGTTTACTTTACAAAATTGTCTACTTATACTAGCTTAAGAAGTATCTTTGTTACACTCGTATGCAATAAGAAAACCACTGTTAATGGCTGGCAGTTTTAGAACTCAGCTTCCTCGTTGTAGCCACTTTGGCTCATATGATGATAAGAAGAGCAACCATGGGTCAATAGTAGCATATCTTCCAATTCTTGGCACCTAGTATCCCTGCTTATTGATGTTACTGGTTGAATTTTGAATTTACCCATTATTGTTGATTCCTCATACAGCATATCGGAGTCAGCTGCTGGACTTAGGCATAGTAACGGTTCATGGTACACCTGGGCCAATCTGCGCTCTTCGGACAAGATACAGTCTCCTGCACCATGGAAAACATGTTTGTTACCATTGTTTCTGGAAATAAATTTACTTGTCTTATTGATTGTGGCTTTGGGTATCTTTTTCTGAACAATTAAAACTTGCTGAATGTTAATGTAAAACACAGAATGTCTAATAATAAAGTTCATGCAGTTAACAAGTTTATCACATTGATTTCTTTGAAAGGATTCTTGACAACAAAACAAAAAAAAAGATTTTTTAGGAGGTTATTAGGTTATCACTCAACTGTATAACGTGAACTTTTGAAGATATATAAATTATATTTTAGCGAAGGAAATGTAGCTTTAGGATATAGACATCCGAATTTTCAAGTATTTTTCAAAGACAGCTGGCATTTCTGTGAAATTTTCTTAACAATTTCTAAATCGTCTTAGTGTATAATTGCAAACATACATGTATCAGAATTTGTTCATTGTAAATTAAAATATTTAATGAATTGTTTGAAAAACATGTCTCAGGAAATTTTCACTCGCGTATTCAAATAAAATAATAAACTAAAATAGTAGACCAATGAGGAGTCACGTAAGTGAAAACGTAATTTTTCATTTAATTCTAGCTTAACATTTTTATTGCGACATTGACACTATTATTGAAGTAAAGCCACACAAATCGTAACAACAGCAAAGCGAAGCGAAGGACTTTACAGTGTGTGTATACCCCCTTTGAATAATTGACGCTCCTCACGGCTTAGTTATGCTTTGTTTACGTACGGTATGAAACGAGAGAGAGAGAGAGAGAAAGAGAGATAAAATACGGTCAGTGGCACGTGCACGTGACTCTTACGCGTCCCAATCCAATTTCCCGCGACACGGCACAGGGGAAGCGTGCGTTTGCATCACTTGAGCTCATTAGACAATTATATGATGAGGGATTTGTTTTTAATCCATACACTTTTTGTGCAAATGTCTATTGTAATTATTATTTATAATTACAATCAAAGAACTGACCTGCACCAATGTCAATGAAAACAAAGGAATAAATATTCATAAGCGTTTTTTTACGCCAAGGTTGTTCAAAAAAGTTGAAACAAAAACTCCAAAAAATACTATTACCGATATGGATTCTTTTTTTACGATTACGTAACTAATTTGTAAAGTCAGGATTCGGGCATTATACTAAAGGTAGTTGAAAAAAGTAATTTTCGCCATTTATTCCTAGAAAACGAAAAATCAAGTGCATCTAAAAACTTTCCATACATTATAAAATAAAAGAAAATCTCTTAATGATTCGAGAGCGTTTCGCTTGCCCGCGGGAAAATTTGGCAGCTTACATCGCTAACTGGAGCACGAAGTTGCAAGTTATATACACTAATAATATATTTCCCAGCCACACACCAATAAGCACAAGAAATATTCTGCAGTTAAAAAAAACTATGTCGTCTGTTTTACTCACCAGTGCGAAATTTCTTGAAACGTGGCATGTAATTAGCAACCTCATCCTTGTCAAAGACGCGTTTCCTGCCTTGGGACCGTCGCCAGTGATCCTCTTCCACACTCATGAAAAATTCGTGTGTCTGCTGTTTCTGCTGCACAATGTTGTTGCTGTTATTTTGCACTCTGGCCAAGCAACTCTCGTTATCGACATCCATTCCAATGTCATTGTTGATCAACGTTTGTGGCTGCGATTGCTGTTGCTGTTGAGTATTGATAGGAAGATAGCCGTAATAAGCGTTGCACGATACAAACGGTTGTACGTTGTTTACTTGCGCCGCCATCTTCACCGGCAATTTGAGGTTATATTTATATGTAGTGTGATGTGTGTATGTGTGTATGTGTGAAACGTTTTGTTGTATGTATGTATGTACCCTCGTTATAGGTATACACGTGTATGCGAGCGTGGCCCGTTTTTTTCCGTTGCACTCTCGCGGGATACTAGCTGCAGATCAATGTGCAACTCACGAAGAGAGTTACGTGATTTGATTTCGCTCTCGTGCAGAAAAACACTCCCGCGGTTTTCTTGAAACACTTTTTTGCTGATTAGTGACGTAAACCTTAACTTCTGATATATGTACAACTGATGTGCACGTGTGTACAATGTTTTATGTACTCGACAATATAACAACTGATTGTCGTCTCTTGTTCGTAACAAAAAACTATGTACCGATATACGTTGACGCTGAACCGAGATCGAGAAATTTATCTGAAAAAAGAATGAGGTGAATGCACGTAACGGCTTCGCGTAAGCGGAGAAGGAGAGAAGGTTCGTAAACAGCGTAGCGAAGTCGAGCGCAATCGGTACGAAAGTGAAATGAAAGTGCGCGCCGCCGGTCGCACTAAAGCGAGGGAAAAATCCTCGGCGGGGGTGTCTGTATGTGTATACGCGCGCGGCTTTGTTTCATGTGAATTGAAGTGGGGATAAAGATGTGCGCGCGCAGTTAGAAAAATTCACCGCAAAATTTTGACTTTTTACCGTCATAGTCAAAGTAGAATAATTAGAAAATACACGCCTAGTTGTTAAAAAAATCTTACTTATAATTTTTGTTTATATCTAACTATGAAGAATGTGTAATGTTTTACAAATAAGTGAGTTTTCTTGTACTGCACTAAAAATTATTTTTACTTTTCAGTTTACTTTCTATATTGACAAAAAATATTTATTGTCATAATATAGTGTTCAAAATATACTATTGAAGTGTTTGGAAAAGAAGAAAAAACAATATGAGCTTCAAAAAGAAACCACGTTCAAAGATAAATTCTGATAAATTCTTAACCCACTTTTACATAATCTCCAATAATAGCAAATTTAATTCTTTTCCTTAAACTGCTTGAAAACACGCATCCACATAAAGTACAAACAGAATGTCAGTCAGTAACCCTCGTCCTGATGTGATGTGAAGTTCGATCCAATGTTACAATATCAATTTCACGCACCGTCCTACGCATTCCCTCGAGTAATCAAAGTGCAGGCGTACCAAGAACATTGAAGTTGATCGTCTGCTTCGCTTAAATTTCCACAATGACGTAACGTTCCCAAAAAAACGACGCATACATGCGCACGCAGTCGTACGACACTACAAATACATACTCAGTCTTTGGCTCGTGAGCATGCGAGCCACACGTATAACCTCAAGGTGCTAATAAATAAACAACATTCTCGCAATACTACTGAAACACGTATGTGGATTTGTTGCGTTGCTGTCGAAGAGAAAATTCGCGCGAATCTACGGTGATGACGCGAGTGTCATGTAATAGTAAGGTTATGCACTTGTCGGTTTCTTGACGAGCTTAATTTGCGTGTGCAATTATTTTTTTTTGGAGAGAATAGTGTGCATACAAGTGAGCGACAATGGTGTTCGAATCGATTGTCGCTGAACTCCTTAATAAGGTCCTTGGCGAGTACATCCAGAATCTCGATTATAAGCAACTTAAACTCAGCTTGTGGGGAGGTAAGTTTTTCTTTCCATCTCATTCTGTAAGTCAGGGTTATGTTTACATTCGATTGATTTCGCGAGATATCAACGCTTGTAAATTAGCGACAATTAACTGCCGTAACATTTCTCTTTTATGCAGGCTTTCGTGGTATTAAGGTATAATCTTTGTCTTGATAAGCTATCGATAAGCTACAAAAAGGAAGTACAGCGATACTTTACTTACGACTTTTTGAAGCTTTCAAAGCTAAATTAAAAATACTACTTTACGAATTGTTATAAAAAATTTTTTTGAACACTATCCAAAAATATAATGTCGAATAATACAATTTCAAAACTTTTATCCACGGCTTGATGTGTGAAAAGCAACTGCCAAATTGTTTTAAGTTTTAGAGTTTATATTTAGTTTTTGAAATTCTGTTTCATTTTGCAATGCGAAAAAACCATCAACGACTTTAAAGCATGAATTTTTCATATACCTCTTCTTCTGAAGCTGTTCGTGCTTGAAACCGTAAACGTCAGCAGCGGCATTTGCTCGGTATTATTGGGAATAGTTGCAAAACTTGACGAATGTTTCATTATAAACGCAAGTATCTTGGGTGTATGTATACATACTTACGCACACGTGTACATCATCCCCTATGTTTGTCAAACGCACAGATCTTTTTTTCTCAGTTTTCGGCAATTGATAAATTGCCTAACTTTTTTAGTTATACCGAATGTCATGCCTAGCCTCGTACGTGACATCATCGTTATTTAAGATTCATTGAAAAAAGAAATATGTTTGGGCGTTTTGCCTATTTTTTCCTTTGAAATACTAGATCCATAAACACGCAGATAGATTATCGTTGTTTTCTCTCTTTTTCTCTTGGTCGCTCTCTCTCTCTCTCTCTCTCTCTCTCTCTCTCTTTCTCTCTCTCGATAAATATTAAATTCGTGGTAAGGTACAAATTAAATAGACCGTAAGAGTTATTTATAGAAAAATTTTTTTCATTCTACTGTGAATTTTACATAACAGCTGGTGTAAAACTGTTATTGCTAGACTGCAGTGTGAAGTTGACTTTTGTTAGCGAAATTAAAATGAAAATAAAATCTATAACGCAACTTTTGAACAGATTTTTTTTTCTCAAAATATCACACTAGAACTTATTTGTAAAAAAATACTTGACAATTCTAATCTACCAGTCTCGTTCCATAAGTTATAGTTAGTTACTCGAGCTAATCAATAAACGCAGGTACGCAATCTCGCCAAAGTTCATGAACAGATTTTGAAACTTGCAGGAGATGTAGTCCTCAAGGATTTGCTTATTAAGGAGAGCGCGCTGGATATGCTGGATTTGCCGATAAAACTTGAATATGGAAGATTAGGTAAATATAAAAAAATACAGGATAATATTTTTAGAAATGAAATAATGAGCATTATTACTGAATTATAAATCGACTTATCAATGACTCACGCAAGTTATAAAACTTGAATATCATGTCAATGATAATTGCATTATTCAAAACTATACGTGACTGTATTATCATAAATGCTATATTAAGTTACGTTGTAAAAGCGATAATTTCACTATAATAATTGAGAAATATTTGACAAAATGGCAACTAACACAAAAAAAAAAAATTAAAATGTCACAAACTTTCAGGTAAATTGATCCTTAAAATTCCATTCAAGGACATGTGGAATGGCCAAATCGATGCAATAGTCGAGGATTTATTTATCCTGATAGTGCCGACAAGCCAATCGAAGTATGACCCGGAAAAAGAGGAGAAGGCGCAACTAGAGGCAAAACGCGCCGAAATCGCTAGGGTGGAGAAGAGCAAACAGCTGGCTGATTTGAAAAGTAAATTGATTTTTTTTCAGAATGAATTACTATCGAAATCGACTGAATATTTAATGATTTTTATCAAGAGAAATATGTGGGTTTATATAGCGTACAGCTATTTGTACGATATTATTTGAGTTTCCGTTAACGCTTATCGGTTATTGAAAATTAATCAATCGATAGTACTGATAATCTTAAATATCATGTATTATTGCAATTGTGTATTATTGCAACAAACTTATGTTAAAATGGCCTTTATATTTTTCAAATTGCGAAAGTTATTTTGGGAAGATGTAAAATATAAAAGTAACACTTCTCTATAACTTTTCAGATCAAGAAAAAGTGGATGACTCGATGATGGAGAAACTGTTAGCTCGTATGATAAAAAACATTCACGTCGAGATCAATCGCATCCATGTGCGTTATGAAGATCATGTCACCTTCAAAGAGCATCCGTTTTCCGTTGGTTTAACCCTCAATCGTTTCGCCCTTGAGAGTTGCGATCGTTTGTGGTCAACCCATGGTAATCTCAAGGATATGTATGCTATTCAACAAATTTTCAAGGTGATTACATTCTTTTCACTCGATATTATTTTTTAAGAAAAATTGTTCATGTTATGGATACTTAGATAATACGTTTAAGCAAGAATTTTAAGTTGATTTTAGTTTTATTATATCTTTCTAGTTGTGCACAATGGATGGGTTTGCTGTTTATCTGAATCCATCGCCGAAGCAATTCAGCACAGAGCCACAGTCCAAGTACCTGCAGATATTCTCTGAGAGTATTGCTACTGCTGATCATATTCCCGAAGATTATCAATATCGTAAGTTTCCATAAATAAATCCAATGTAACTAATGCTTAAAAAATTTAATTTAATTTTCTAGTATTGGGTCCAATAAATGTCAAAGCTAAATTGAAACTAAATCCAAAGCCAGAAACAGACGGCAGCAATTACACGATACCAAAAGTGTTCTTGGACCTCGAAATGCAAAAGTTGAGAATAGGTCTGACGAAAAAACAATACCAAACTCTCATGCAGATGGGTGAAGGTTTAGAGCGGGCGAAAAATGCTGCGCCTTACAGGAAATACAGGCCTGATTTGCTATCGTATCGAGGTCATTACAAAGAATGGTGAGATAAGTTCCACTAATTACCAAGGTTTATTAAATGCTCTATCGGATGAAATAATTATGCTAACGGGGAATTTTTTTCTACTTATTAACTTGATTGTATCACTGATTAATTTTTATTTATCCATTTTTAAACCTGTTTTTGCGTTCAGGTGGCACTTTGCATATAAATGTATATTAGAAGAGCACATAATAAGAGCCAGAAAAAATTGGGATTGGGCGCACATGAAAGATCACAGAGATACCTGTAGGAGTTATGCGCAATGCTATCAGACGAAACTTACAACAAAAAATCTGCCATCTGACATCGAGGAACAGTTAACAGAGCATGAAAAGAAATTAGACCTTTTCAATCTCGTAAGGATTAGGCAACAAATCGAGATGGAGGTAATATTAATTACTTGATACATTTGCTCTTGGAATGATTCGTTGATTCGATTTATACATTACTTATCACATACTTGATTTATTTTTCAGGTTGAAAGATTAGCGGAAAAAGAAAAAAATTTAAAAGCTAAAAGAGGTTGGTTTGGATGGGTATGGGGTACACCAAAGGAAGAAGAAGTTCAAGAGCTTAATACTGCTGCTGCGATAAGTAATGAGATAAATAAATAATCTAACTTTTTTGGGAACATTATTTACAAATTACATACACACACACAATTATATTTAATAATTGAATAATATTCATATACTTTATAGTGAGAAAATTCGAGGAAGAAATGACACCAGCAGAAAAAGAAAAATTGTATAGAGCAATAGATTACCAAGAGAACAGTGCTCCAGCGCATTATCCGGAAACGTATGAGGAGATTGATACGATGTTCTTCCTACATGGTCTTCAGATTCTTTTATTAGATACGGATAAGAGCAATTCTCAGGTTCTTGATTTACAATTGAACGGCGTGAAAGCTGGTTTCAAGTCACGACCATCTGCAAATGCTATTCTGTACGTATTGGTTTACTATTGCTCTGAAAAAGTAATATAATATTACAATCTATTTATAAAAATTGTATTTTTAGAGTAACTACTTCGATAAAAGATTTGAAATTACTTGGAGTAAAGCAAGGACATAGAGTGCCTTCACTGTTCAACTCAAATCCAGACGCAAGTTCTGAACATCAATTATTTTCAGTTTCATACGAGAAAAATCCACTTGATAAACTCTGCGGCGACAGAGTTATCGTAAAATCTAGTTCGGTACATATGGTTTATGATGCTCAAACGATTATTGAGTTGATTAAGCTATTCAAAGTACAGAATGCATCGACTTTATCACAGTAAGTTTTTATACGCCCTAAGGATTTATCAAATGAGTTTTATGGTAATGATTAAAAATATTTTTAGGTTGCAGGCTGCTGCAGCGGAACAATTAGTCAACTTGAAAGAAGTATCAGCTCTAGGTTTAGAATATGCCATCCAAAAACACGCTGCATTAGACATTCAAGTCGATTTAAAAGCATCGCAGCTTATAGTACCTCACGGTGGATTGTATAGTGGCAATGAGTCTTTATTCGTGATTAATCTTGGTAGTTTTAAAATGCAATCGATGGAGAAATTTAAAGAAGATTCTAGTTTGAGCGTTAAGCAGTTAATCACTATGGGAAAAACTGAAGAGGACATTTTGAATCACCTGCGAGAACACAGTTACGACAAATTCGTGTTAAAAATTGTTAATTTCCAAGTATGCTTATTGTTTACATTCATATTTTGTAACAAGTATTGTTGGAAATGTATTTTTAAAAAGTATTTTTATTTTAGGCTTTGATATCGATGCCAAATGAAGATTGGCGTGATGCGCTAACAAATACCATCAGCCCTATCAAAGTTTTACAGCCCACAACACTTGAAATACAGTTCCATAAATGCCTCGTCACCGACGATCCTTTGCTTCCGAAGACAAGACTCATAGGTAATTTACCGTCAGTGGCAATCAACATCACAGGTAATTTACTATTCTTCAATAAATTGTAAAATGATATGATAAAAAATATATAATAACTGATTTATTAATATTGTTACTTGTTCTAGAAAATCGGCTTTTCGAAGGTCTGGCAATTGCTCAAAGTATACCCATTCCCGAAGTAGAAGAACCAACAGAATCATTACGTGTCTCAATGGTAAGAACAAATATAGTAATTCAAAAATATAACTGTATTTTATAATTGAAAATATAAAATAAATTGCAGTCGAAGTCATTATCTCAAATGTCACTATTCAAAGAAATAACAAACATACCTTCCAAAATGGAAAAAATGCAAGAAACGCCTTCACCTTTAAGTTCAATGAAGCAAATGATTGATTTGGAAGCGAAATTCGTCATGAAAGAATTCACACTGACAGTGTCGAAGCAAGAAGACGAATCAAAAGTATCGCCGTTTATTAGATTTGAATTACTTCAATTAGAAGCAGAGTTGATGCAATTAACCTTTAATCAAGAAGTTATGCTGCGATTAGGAGGTGTCCAAGTGAAGCAGCATCACCACACTGGAGAGATCTTTATGATCAATACACCCATGTCTTCTGGAAAAGAAGAATACCTGATTGTTGTTAAATTTATTAATGTAAGATATTTAACTTTATCATTTGGAATATAAAACAAGAGACTAATTTTTGAATAAAATTTTTTTTTCCGTCAGATGAACAAGCATTCGCCTAAGTTTTCGAGATCGGGTTCAGTAGTCAATTTACTGCAACTGGAATTCACAACACTCGATATGCTTTTACACCAAGAAGCTCTTATAAATGTGCTTCACTTTCTATCCAATATTCAAGATAAAATCAGTGCCGCTACAACTGTTAAGGAAAGAAAATCCGAACGAAAAGTAGATAGAGTTGGTGGTTTAACGACTATTCAGGAAGACACATCGACGTTTATCAAAGAACAATTCCAGAAACAAAGAAAATCTCGTTAGTAACTTAATTTTCACTAGTATAGTTAGTTTAGACTTTAATATGCCTATGTACATGTATTGTACAGGTCGGAAGCAGGCGCAAGTGGAAATCATTGACTTGAAAGTCACAGCAAAAATTGGCACAATTAGTCTCAAAATGGCTAATGACTTCAGAGAGATTAGTGCTTTTAATATTGAAGGAATCACTGCTAATTATATTATGAAAGCTTCTCACTCGATTGCTAATGTTCAACTTAGTTCTGTGAACGTTAAAGATCTCAATACAATGTCTATATATAGAAACGTAAGTAAGCCTTCAAAATCAAGTAAATTTTTTTTATAGTTATTCTTTTCTTCTTCTTAGATTGTATCAGTTGAAGGTTCAGAATCTCTGCAAATTGACGTGATAATAAACAATGTAGAGCCTGACGACGTAGACAATAACATGTCGATAGCCGTAACGATGGGTTGCCATCGTATTGTCTTCCTCAATGCTTTCGTCACATCAGTCATGAATTTTCTGAATAACTTTCAAGCCGCTCAACAAGCGATTGCTGAAGCATCAGCTGCAGCAGCCGAAGCAGCTAAAACTAACATCAAAGATGTTCACGAAAGAGCAGCTCGAATCGAACTGTCAGTGAAATTGAAAGCCCCGGTGATTTATGTGCCGTTGAACTCCAAAAGTGAATATTGCCTTATGTTAGACATGGGCAATCTAACTATAAGTAATGAATTGAGCAGGCTGAATGTGAATACTGAGTCTGGAGAGAGTCCTATTATCGACAAAATGAACGTTGAGTTGCAAAATTTGAAACTTTCTCGGTGAGAACGACTAAAGGCATGAAAAATTAATTCTAATCTTAGAAAAATCTAATTACTAAAATTTTGATTTTTCATTTCAGATTAAGATTGAATAAACAAAACTTTGTTGCTGATAATGAAGTACGACTACTGCAGCCAGTCAGTTTCATTCTAGAAATAAAGCGCAATCTATCGACATCATGGTTCCGAGAAGTTCCCGATATCGAGATGTCAGGCCGTCTCAAGAGTATTAATGTACTGCTAAACCAAGAAGATTATGCGATGATAATGGCTACGTTGAGTGAAAATCTCGGCGAAACTGTCGAAGACAAAGCATCGATAACTCATGTACCTAGAATTGAAAGAAAACAGACTCTGACTGAAGAGTCTGTTAGACCTACCACCTGTAAGTAACGTGTCTTCAGAAATTGAGTTAAAAATGAATGATAAAAATATTTACCAAATTTCATTATTCTAGTTAAAGCCGATGTAGAGGTGATTAAAGAACGTGAAAGTGATTTACAAGAACAACGCAGCGTACAAACAACCATTAAATTCGAATTTATTATGGACAGCCTGGTAATTGAGCTATTTACCGGTGGTTCGAAAATGTTACAATCACAAAATTCACCGCTTCATTTACCAGAAAATAGTCTTGGCAGATTTGGACTGACATATTTAGCAGTAAAAGGGCGTATGTTCGCTGACGGATTGCTTGCGACATCAATTTTATTAATGAATTGTACGTTGGATGACACTAGAAAGATAAGGCAAGGATCGTTGATAAGAATTATGGAAAGGACGTCAGAAGTGCCTGTGATAGAAAATCTTATAGAAAATGATGCTAAACCGATTAGAAGTATGTTGGATGTGACTGTTAGGAAAGGACTTAATGATATGTTTGGTATGTACTTTCATTTATGATTATTCATTGGTAATTATTATACGAAAGTAAACTCAATATCAATTTTGTAGTGGACGTTCGTGTCTTCTCCTTTAGCATAATAGTCTCCTTAGATTATCTTATGAAGATCAAGGACTTCTTCAATGCTGGACAACCACTACCATCTCAGCAATTAGCTTCACAATCCTCACAGAAATCACAATTTGATACTAATACCAAGAAGAAAGTTGCTCAGCCACCACCTCCGGTGAATGATACTAAGATGACGATTAATTTGCATATTGAGAAGCCAGATATAATTCTGCTTGAAGATATGGATGATATTGATTCTAATTGCATTGTTTTGAATGTAAGTTTACGTCGTTTAATACGAATCTTTCTATTTTTTAATTTATTTGAAATATTTTTACTTTCTTCTATAACGTTTTTAGACGGAAATGTTTTTGAAAGTAAGAATAATGGGTGATCATCAAGTCATCAATGGGTCAATCAAAGATCTTTCTATTCTCGCTGGTATATATAATCCTGCGAAGAGATCCGATTGGATTTATCAAGTAAGCTATTCGTTGGGTCAAAAATATAACACTATTTCATAAAAAATATTTTTTTACAGGTACTTCGGCCAACTAGTATAAGCATAGCTGGTTCAACTCCAGAAGACAAAGGTTTGCATATTGACGTTCAAAGTACAGACATACACTTATCAGTCTCGCCAGGTAATTTTTTTAAGTTTTGATTATTAATGCTTTTTATTTGGATAAATGAAAAAAAATCTACGACTATTCGGCTCAAATATTTCAGGTGTCATTGAAATTCTCAATCGAGTCGTACAAACGATAACGAAGAAAGACGAAGAAGGTACAGAAGTTAAGAAGCCTGAGCCTAACCACGAAGGTTTGTGGGTTATCACACCTTTCACAGAACCTGACTATTGGTTTTTAAAAACAGGTAGGCAATACAATCACGTAAATAAGATATATTCGATCAAATCTCATTGATAATATTTATTCATCCTTTGCAGAAGTAGCAGTAGAAGCGTTGGAGGATCTCCAACTGTCTGATGATGAAGAAGTCACTAACATAGTTTATAAACCCGAGCTTGCAATTGTATCAGCGCCCACGATCTTGCTTACTCTTGAAGCTGGTGTTGGCAACAAAACTTTGCCTATGCTTCTTCTCCACCTTGGTTTTCAAAGTAATATTCACGATTGGAGTACCAGCACGGTAATAAATTTACTATTATTTTTTTATACTTATAGTTACTACAGTACTTATTATACTTATTATACTTATAATATAAAATATAATTAAAATGAAGTAATCTTAAATTTAGATGAGCATCGACTCTACAATGTCAGTCGTTATGGCTTACTACAATAGTCGATTAGCTCTATGGGAACCACTGATAGAACCTATGGAGGCTATTCAAAATGGAAAACGCACTTCAAGACCGTGGGAACTAAATGCCAAAGTAATTGATGAAACCGATAAAATTTACAAACTAATAATTTTGAACATAACTAAAATATAATTTTTAGATGCAATTCAATGATATCAGCATTGATCCAGCAGTAAATGCTTTCAGTCCAGTAGCTGATGTTGAATCAGATGAGTTACAGCAAAAATCAAAAATGTCTATTGACATTACATCTTCAGAAAATCTTGAAATAACAGTCACCAAAACTTGCCTGGAAGTGCTGAAGCAACTTGGCAATGCTTTTTCAAATGCCATGGTAGCTGGAAATAAAACATCTACGACAACCCTTGCACCTTACATATTGAAAAATGAAACTGGCCTCCCTATCACTTTAGACTTGGAACAGAGTAATTTCAAAGTATGTTTCTATTTTCTAACATATATGCGTACTAAAAAAATTTACTGAAAATTATCCATCATATTTATCAATTTGAATATAGGTTGCCGAAAGTGAAAATACTGTGCAAAGATCTAGCGCTTACGCAGAAGTTATATTGAATTCTGGGGCTTCCATAGAATTGGCTTCGAAAATCAAAACTGAAATTCACCTTTTGCAACAATTGAAAGCCGATACAGTGAAAGAGCAAGGCTTAAATAAATTTGTCATCGCGGTAATTTATAATTTTTACTTAATTTTTAAAAACTTGAAATGAATGTTCAATGAAAATTTTCAGTTCAAGGATATCAACAGTAGATTAGAAATCCCTGTTTTAAGAGCTGATAAACGATTTTATTCTCTGAAATATCGAAAAGAAGGATCTGAAGAATGGGGCATCATTTCTGATGTTATCGTCGAGGATGGTAGCACTATTGTAACACTACGCAGTATATTACAAGTAAGTTCGAATCAATTTTTCAAAAGCCTTTTACTTGTAAAATATTAAATTTATATTTTTCTGTAGGTTCACAATCACTTCTCCGAACCAGTGTCCGTGTACTACATGACCAAACGCGGCAACGAAGTTGAAAAACTCGGAACCGTTCAGCCAGATAAAAAATTCAATCTACCTCTCGATGCTGTGTACACTACAACGAATATTTATTGGTTGTTCTTCAGTATCGAAGGGTAAACTTTTTCCATCTAGAATAATAATCAAAATTCTTTATTTAAGCTCTCATTTCATTGCGTAGCTATATGGTCTCCGTTGATCCATTCATCTGGAAAGACCTACAAAAAACTGTGTCAATGACCAAAGTCCTCAAATGCGAATCTCGCAACAAGATGGAAGTCGTAGACCCATTCTATATCCAAGTACGTACCTCGTTTCCCTCGAATATGAAAGACAAGTGATCTACTTACTGCACCCACAACACGTCACAGTCGCGCAGCCCGCTACAATCTCTCTAAGAGTACAACGTTGACATTTCTAGACTCTACGCGCGCTCTTCGTGGTCGCGATAAGCGTTGTTGTTAGCGGGATAACTCCGATCGATTTGCCCAGGCTGAACTTCATGTCCAAACAACATCGCGTTCAAGCCCCACCAACTTCTTATCCTGTTCAGGTACTCATAGACGTAACAACACATTAGCACACACAATACACATGGTACACTTTCGGTATTTCCTTTGATAATTCGTACAAGCAGTTTACTCATGTGGATAGAATTGCTGTTTATTAGACTAGACGTGGATATAGCCGCATACGTAGTTCGGTGTATTTAATTTTTTGCTACAAGAGTGGGTTTTAATGGATTCGTTGTTACACAGGCCGTCGGTGAAATGGAGCAAATTTATTTTGAAAATACTTCTCGACATACCATGGCCAGTACTATTTACAATGTGCATCTCTATCCTTCGATTTATCTAAAGAACTTCCTACCAATTGATATTGCTATTATTCTACCTGGTAATGTAGAAGAAAAGAAAGTCGAAGCTGGTGCTACTCTGCAAATTCCAACCATCGATCCTAACAATTCCAACATTGTTATTAAGGTTTCTATTTTTTAAATAATATTGACTTTATTCAGATATTTCATTTCTATATCAAATAAATTATTACAGTTGCCGCAATATCTTGAAAAAGATTGGTCGTGCAGAATAGAGATAAAAAAAGATCCACCAGAGTTTTCAGTCTGGTCATTCGAGTCATTTGACAGCGCACAAAAAGTTATAATGGATCTTGGCATGCATATTTCAACCAAGCATGGATCGATCGTCATGGCCCTTTATTGCCCATTCTGGATGCTTAATAAGACTGGTCTTATGCTATCTTACAGAGTAAGTTGTTTTAAATAAAATTATTGTAGAAAAACATTATCGATTCTATTAGTTCTCTCAATAAGACTTTGAAGCTTTTATTTGTTCTCTTGGAAGTCTATCAAATCTAAAATTCTATACTCATTTAAAAACGGAAAAAGCGTTTCAAAATGATACTTTGAAATGTCTTTTCGGTAACATATTAAAACTCGCTTGATTAACCAATCCATATCCCATCGTAAACTAACCCATAAAGAGAACCGTAAAAATCCGTAACTATGCTATACGAAAGTCCTTCAACAAATACACTTTAAATTGTTTTGCAGAAATCAAGTAAAGGTGGCAAAGAGCACTCGAGCCCTGTCAAGGTAGAAACTGCCTTTCGCTCTATCAGCTATCTCCGTATTTGCTTGTAGATAGGAACTTCTTATTACAATAATTTTTTTATTTTCTTTATATCTTTTAGTTAATCTACTACGCGCACAAAACAATCGTTTAAAAAACGAACTGAACGTTTGATTAATTTCTTATTATGCTTATTTAGGTAACTAAGGTACTGTTAACTATTTGCACGCTTATGAATACTCGCGGCGTCTTTTAGGTAAAATTCGTTCAAAATTCACACATGAGCGTAAATATTTCAGTGTTGTGACTTGAATTGCTGTGGACATCAGCGTAATCAACGACCAAGGACAAAGGTTCTCGGTGACGTTCTATTTCTTATTTTTTCATTTGACGTGTCTCTTTATTTTTTCTTTGGACGGGACGATTCATTTTATGTTGCAGTGCTGGTAGTTGGTTCGCGCCTATAGCTCGCATGTTGACTCACTCGCTCCTTTTGACATACTTTCTTTTGTTTCGCATGATGATGTGCATAATTGATGTTTATTTATAGCTAAGAGACAAAATTTTGTTGGTTTTAACTGTGAGATAATAGTTACAGCGCATAGTCAATGTTTAAAAGTGAATATTTTAAATATTTTTAAAAGTGAATATTTGAAATCATAAAAAACAATTGAGTATCCAGTGATAAGAAAACACTGTATATCATTATGAATTAACAATTGTAAACTAATCGCACATACCTGATTTAGCAATTAATTAAATAAAAAAGTCGTGCAATACCTACATAAATATTCCATCATCTCATAAAATTTCCGCTTTAATTGTCACTTAATATAGGTGGAGGTTTCTCACAGCCTACTAAGCCGCAGTAATACAGCTTCAACCAATCTTTCAAAAAAGTAATTTATTAAAATACTATTTGAAATTTTCAGAGCGGAGAAAGTCATCTGAACGTGTTATACCATCCAGAAACATTCAAAGGGCCTATTCTCTTTTCATTCAAATCGAAAGCATTCTTTGGTAAAAAAAAGGCAATGGTGCGAATTGAAGATGGCGAATGGTCGGATAAATTCTCCATCGACGTTGCTGGTAGTAAAGGTGTTGTCAGTTGCAAGTACAATGGAAAAATTTATCAAGTATGTCTTCTTTAATCTTGAGAAGAATTATAATTGAGAAATAGGAATTTTTATAAATTTGATGTTTTTTTTCAAGATTGGAGTGCATAATCAATTGACCTATAACTCACTGACCAAACAGATTACCTTCACGCCTTACTATGTGTTAATTAACGATGCTGACTTTTTGATCGAGTGTCAAGAAGCTAATCGTCCTGCTGATCCTGTCATCAAGGTATACATTGCCTTTTAATGGTTTTAATTTTGACGTAAAAAAATGATTATTTTATTTTCTTGCAGGTACCACCACAAGAGTGCGCAGCATTCTGGCCAAATTCCGAGCAGGAAGTGAAAACTTTACAAGCCAAAGTAGCTTCTCACCCGGAAAAAACAGCCGCATTCATCTACACGGACGTGCACACGACTTTATTAAAACTGGACAATAAATACGGTGGTATCAACGTTGACGTACAAATCAACGAAGGAGGTGTTTACATTTCTCTCTCGGGCTACACACATGGAAATGCTCCAGCATTGATTGTTAATCATACATCTTACCCGATGAACCTATGGGAGAAAGGCTCGATAAATATTAGAACGATACAACAGTATAACCGAATGTTTTACACTTGGGAAAAACCAGCTGGATCAAAAATACTCGTTTGGGAGGATGGTACGAAAAAGGAAATCGAGGATAATTTGAGAAAGGTAATTTAATATGTTTAGATTTTCTCAACCGAAGATATTTTTATTAATCATTGATCTATAGGATACATTGGGTTACTTCCATCATCCTGACATTCCCGACATGAAAATCTTCTACGTGTCTTTCCTAGATGGTATCCAGCGCGTTCTTCTCTTTACAAAGAGTTCGAAGATTGCAGAGGATTGTCAGCTTTTAGGCAGTCTTGAGGTTATCGATCAAGACGTCACTATGAAAATACACGGTCTTGGTTTGTCTCTCGTCAACAATATCAACAAAACTGAGTTATTGTACATGTGTATTGCTAGTTCAGGAATTATTTGGGAAGGTAAAAAGTTACCAACTGGAAGGTGGAAGGCACTGAGTGATAGGGAAGTGTTTTTAATTGAACAGGGATATCAGAAATATATGATGGAGTTACATGTTGATAAAGAAACTGCTTACCGTGTGGCTCTGGAACCGAAATTTGAAGTAAAATTTTTCAAAGGTGGATTTTCACAAGCCGCATTTTGAATAAAATTTTATTTCTAGGTTGATTTCCTCAACTTAATGATGCTCAGACCGCATAAACGATACTTGAGGCGAACATTCCAGACTGGTCTTTGGTTTCAGTATCGAACATCGGCTCATCAAGTACAATTGCATGCGAAAATCAACAAACTACAAATTGACAATCAACTACCGGACTGTATCTTCCCTGTTATCCTGGCACCTGTTCCACCACCTAAAAGCGTGTCTCAAAGTTCAGGTACTTGGAAGATAAAAATTTTGAATTTTTTTTCCTATACAAACGAAAAATCGTTAACCTCAATATTATTTTTTCAATTCTTTAGTAATGAAGCCATTTGCTGAAATGAGTATAGTCAAACGATTATTGGCGCACAGTAATGTCCAACAATTTCGATACTTCAAAGTTCTGATTCAAGAGTTCCATGTAAAAGTAGACTTGGCTTTCGCAAACGCCTTGATGCTTCTGTTTGAAGACGCCGAAGCGAATGAGGCGCAACAGGTAACATTATAATGAACTATAAAAAAATAATTGTTTGCAAAAGGTGAGATTTGTTTTGTTTATTATTTACAGAGAGAATTATTCAAAACTGACATGAAACTAGTCGATGAGCCGTTACTTCATCATGTCAATTTGATAACCACTGCCCAGCAAAAGAATTTCTTTGATTTACTACATTTCTCACCGCTCAAGGTTTTTGCGCATTGATTTTCGTAATACCTTCTTGGAAAAACTTAAATTCATATCGTTTCTTTATTTCATTTCAGATTCATATCAGTTTCTCTATGACTGGTACCGGAGGCGGACCTTCAGCAGTTCCCCAAGTGCTCAACGTTGTGCTTCAGGGCATTGGCGTTACCCTTACAGATATCAATGACATCGTATTCAAGTAAATGTTTATATCTTTTTATTTTTTTCATATTTCATATTGTATAGTAATTGAATATTTTTTTTAAGATTGGCCTACTTTGAAAGAGATTATGTATTCATGACAAACAACCAAGTTATTTCCGAAGCAACGAGTCACTATACAGGCCAAGCGATCAAGCAACTCTACGTTCTTGTACTTGGTCTCGACGTAATTGGCAATCCGTATGGACTAGTCGTAGGTGCAATGAAAGGTGTTGAGGACTTATTCTACGAGCCTTTTCAGGGTGCCATTCAAGGGCCTGGTGAGTTCGCCGAGGGTTTACTATTAGGAATGAGGAGTATGCTGGGACATACAGTAGGTGGAATGGCTGGCGCTGTATCGAAGATTACGGGCGCAATGGGTAAGTTTTGATTTCCACTATTAGGGTTGCCAACTTTACGAACGTATATCTTGGTGATGTAATCTACTTTTATGATTTCAATGCTTATATTTGAAATAATGTATATTAATAAATATCTAGCAGTAAGTCAATTTTTAACATTTTTTAAAAAATATTTCAAGTAAATGGCAATATTTATTAAATGATAGTGATTTTATATTATAAGTTAAGAAATGTATTTTTGAAAATAGGTAAAGGACTTGCAGCTCTAACATTTGATAAAGATTATCAACGAAAAAGACAGGAACAACTGAATAAGCAACCTGCAAATTTGCAAGAAGGCCTCGCTAGAAGCGGAAAGAGTTTGATTTCGGTAGGTGTAATACTTTTAATAGTAGAACCATTCTTACTTAAGAGAGTATAATACAGCTTATATATTATAGGGTGTTTTTGATGGCGTTACCGGTGTCGTGACGAAACCAATTTCCGGAGCTAAAGAGGAAGGAGTAGAAGGTTTCTTCAAAGGTTTTGGAAAGGGTGTTGTTGGACTTGTTACGAGACCTACATCTGGTATTGTTGATTTTGCTAGTGGATCTTTCGGGGCAGTGAGAAGGTAGAGTTTTTTACTATTTATCGTAATCCCGTGAAACGTATAGAGGCATCAAATTAACATTTGTATTTTTGTAGAGCAACGGATTTAAACGAAGAAACTAAGAGAGTTCGACCGCCAAGATTTTTACAGCCTGACAGTTTAGTACGTCCATATGTTCGAGATGATGCTGAGGGTAATAAAATTCTAGGTGTAAGTTACAAATATTTATTTAATAATACATTGTTTTAGTTTAGAAGTTGTTTAAATCAAAGTACTAAATCTTTACAGGAACTCGAAAAAGGAAAATATGCTAACACAGATATGTATTACTTTCACATGAATATGGGCAAAGATGTTTTATTGCTAACTGATAAAAGAATAGCGTACTTAGAAAAGTGTGACTTGTTTGGTGGTTGGAAGGTAACTTAATTATTAAAATAAGTTAGATAGTAAATGTCAATTACTTATGCGAAAATGATTTTCAGGTTGATTGGTCGTACACGTGGCAAGAAATTGATCCACCGCCAGTTATGGTCGACAAAGGTATCCAAATTTCTCTAAAAGATGGTCAGAGAAGGAAGAAGCTTGGAGGATTGTTTGGAAATTCGGATTCGGTAAAAGTACTTCTCATACCAGATTTACTAACGAAACAGGTATACTTCAATCGTTTCTTTTTAATTTTTTATTTGAATAACCATATTGAAATTTTAAATAATAAATTCTCTATGTATAAATAATAAAAGTATTACAAATAACATGACATTCGATAATTTATTTCAGCTGTTATGCTCAAAAATCCATGATCAACTACGACAATATAAAGCCTAAAGTAGTTAAACCAATAGATGAAAATATAAGAAAAATTATTTAAAGCGATATCCGTTTCTTTTGAAACGACTTCGCCGAAAAACTGGTTGTTTCCAATCACAAGAGCACAAAGATTTATGGAATGAAGACTGCTGTAACGCTTATCGTATGAACTAATGGGCTTCATGATGTTCTTCTCTACCTCGAAGAAGTTAAAAAAAGTGGTTCAAGTTTCACATGAAGCAATAATAATTGTTCACGTTTTTGTACAAATTCCAGATCATAATTATTTTAAAGTTGACATTTAATTTCATTTGGTCTGTTTTTTGTTACTTTGTGTTTTTGTTATTAAAAAAAAAAAGGGTATTGTCAAACTCTGTGATTTGAAAGATAAAATAACCTATATTTATTTTTTACTCTGTATATGTTTAAAATATTTACCATGAAGAATTTTACCTTATTTTTTGTTTTCATCTATAAACCAACATAAATAATTTACAATTCATATGTAACACTAAAATATATATTGTGCAGCGCACTGCTTTAATAATGTTTACGAATTAAATGCGTATTCGTGACATTTTAACAACTGAGCAATTAGCTCAGGCTTCAAGTCTAAACTACAAAGTAATAAATAAGTTCTTTTTACAAAAACATTACTGAATATCGAATCAATTTATTAATTTCTAAAAATAATAAGTTTATATTATACAATCATGAAAAAAATGTTTCATTCTTGTGAGAGTGTTTTGATATTCATTTTGCTATTTTATAAGATTTTATGAAAATAAAATAGAGCATTTTATAAGAGCTTAAAGAGCTGTTTATTTATGAACTGCAAAATGTTGTTTGAAGAAAAAAGGTTTTATGAGCGTTAAACGCTTGAATAGTTATAATCTGAAGCTATAATAAAACAAAATTAAAAAAAATCATATATATATATAAGGCGATATTTTTCATCAACGTATTGTTTACAACGTATATTTTACAAATAAATAGGCACGTTATCTATTGCAAACGTTTTTGTTCTATTCTATAATATATATTCCACTTTCTCCTATAGCGACAAAAATTTCTACACCAGATTTTTTAACAATGAAACTACATTTTTGAATATATTGGCAGAATCTTCAAAAATGAACAATTACGAGAAACGTAAATTAATAAATAAATATAAATCTAAAATAAGAATTGTAGAGTACTATTGATTTTATATCAAGATTATTTAATTTTAAATCTATATGTATTTTAAAATATGTACATCTTATGGTTGCGCAGTAGTCGATTATATGTCAGAAATGTCGGAATTCATGTCATCTGGGAAATGTCAGAATCATTCTGACACCCTACATGATACGTCGAATCGTATTTTTTGTTTGATCATACTTTGCTGGCTGGAGTAGGGGAGGTTCGAGATTATAATCTGAGCATATGAGGCAGGTGTTGCCGACCGTCGAGCACTGACAACTCCAGCCGGTAACACGAAACGAACGAAATTGTGTAACCTTTTCCATCTCTTGTTTCATTCCACATTGCAACCCTCACGACTAACCGACCAAATAACCAAAGATCGCAGAACTAAAAGCGCTAAATTCAAATTTATGTAAATCGTTGCTTATTGTTAATCTTGGACGTAAATTAGCTCAAGCCAAAAATTTGAATATTAAGTTGTTAATATTATTACTAACTCGAGCTTGAATAAAGACTGTTTTTATTTCACAAATTTCTATCCTAATCGTAATCGTAATAAACCTCGGTTTTTTGACTTATCTCTATCACGTTAAGCTATAGTTCCAATTAACAAAACTAAAAGCAACCAATTTTTCTGAATAGCAGTTTATTTCGTAAAAATATTATTAAAAATAGCGATTGTAAATGTGAAGTTCGAGGACTCCATTGAACGTGTTTTTTGAGAATGCACTCTGTATAATAAAACTAGTCAAACTCTTTTCAAAGAAGTTGGAAATATTTTTAAATATGAATTTTGCTCCATTGTTTCTTATCCTTATTCTGACGTAATCATCAAGTCAGACAGCTTTTTTTAAACTCATCCAACCATTTAACATTTTCTTTGAAAAAGGCAAGTAGCCCTTGAAAAAAGGATTTCATGCTCCAAATATCCGAATAAAACATTCCAAGAAACTTTTGACATTGAGCAAAATTAAATTGATAATTTATACTCATAGATTCAAAATTATCACAAACGATAGCTGCCACACGTTGGTTTTGCTATTGGGTGTCTCAATGACAGATCCATATTCTCAAATAAGATTTCTCACTCAGCCTCTGTCCACACCGCAGCAACTGTAGCTCTGTATTAATGTATTGATAGAATTTTATTTGACGAAAACAAAAATTTCAGAAATTTCACTGTCTTAGAAAATGCTCTAACTGTCAACTTTAACTCCACCTTTTCATCTCGTATCATTTTACAAATTAAATCTAATCTGCTCCATTGTTAAAAAGAACTTGATAATTTAGTAAAACTTGTATGAATCTCTTTCCACTGGGGAATTGCAGACAACGAATTTACTGACAACGGTGCTAAGCAGGCAGCATCTGGGTATATATTGAATTACCTTACACTAATCCCTTTCGCCTATTTAAGATTAAAGTTACAATGGTTTTAGTAAGTTTTTCAAATTCTAATGCTGTATAATTCTGTCGTTTGATTTAAATATTATATAGAAATATAACAACGAGGATATGAAGAATTTACATAATTTTGTATGTGAATAGACGGACTTTCATTATAAAAGTTGCTATTAATTTTACTACGTTTGCCGCAATGGTTTTAAGTTAACTTTAAATAATAAAAATATGTAAGATTGTGAAATAGTATTGTTTTATTAATTATTCATATTGTAGTAATTGGCACCGATCTAGCTTTTAGTTTGACAAACTTGTAAGCAACTGTTTTACAGATTTTTAAGTGACTAAAAAACATCAAATACAATAAACGAGATTATTTATATGTGTCAGTTACAATGATTTCATTTGCCAAGCCTCGTAAAATTTTTAGACCAGCTGCTCACACTTCATTCAATACCTCTTACAAGTTCGCATTCTTATTAGAGTAAATATTCGTTCAACTTGAAACGATTTAAAACATTTGTGATATCGCATGTTCATTTGTTCGCAAACAGTAACACAAAGCCTTTTTTTTAACGTTTCAGTTATTCTCAGCTTGCCATCCAATGATTTTTTTGCTTCTGGTAACATATTAAAACTCCCAGCTATTGCGCCAACTTTATAAATGTGCTAATAAATTTAAGTATCGGACGACAGTCATAATGAGCGAATCATTGTGTGGAGCCTAATTATTACAGCAATTTTATACGGTAATTCAGAACTCACTTACTAACTACTAAATTTGTTCGTAACAAATTAAAAATAGAGCATCTGCATCAGCAAAATAAGCATATATTCTATTAGCACGGAAGGAAAGAGTTAGCCTTCGCTGTAGCAAATCGAATCTGCTCCAGTATTGGTAGGAGCTGAGGAAATGTCTTCTTTCTAATGGCTTTTCTACAACACTGTTTAATTTGTTTCGCACGTTGTCCTTTCGTAAGAAAAATTGGACAGGATTCCGACGGACGGATAACAATGGATCGTTGCAGGCACGAATCGCAGCTTTAAGCTGGCTTCACGACGAGAAGCTCGACCTCGTGGCCGCTTCTCGCAGCGAGGCCGCGAGCGTCGCTCGGCGGGGAGGCGACCCCGGCCAGTTGGCGAACGATGTCCTCGCGCGTGCGACCTCTGGTCTCGGGCAGCAGCGAGTAGCAGAAGACGAAGGAGGCGAGACAGAAGCCGGCGAAGACGAGGAAGCAGCCACCGCCGAGCAGGCTGTCGAGAGTGGCGAACATCTTGACGACGACGAAGGCCATCGCCCAGAAGAAGACGTAGCAGAGCGTGCTGGCGAGGCTGGAGACGTCGTTACGGAAGACTTCCGAGGTGATGACGAAGGGCACGGGGCCCATACCCAGGCAGTACGAGACCATGAACGCGGAGAAGGCCGCGAGCGGCAGCCACGAGAGCCGCTCCACGTGGTAGCCGCGCTCGTGCAGGCACAAGAACGAGCCGATGAGCGCGTGGCACAGCGCCATGCCCGCGCACGAGACGAGGCTCAGCAGCCGGCGGCCCGCGCGCTCCATCGACAGCGTCGCCGCGTACGAGCCGAGCACCTGGATCGCGGCGACGGCCATCGCCGAGTTCTCCGCCGACAGCGCCGGGGCCGCCCGCGCGAATATCGGCTCCGCGTAGCTGATCTGCAAGCAGACGCACGGCCCGTGACGCGCGATGCTGCGCCGCGCCGCCCGCGGCTCGCCGCTCACCATCGCCAGGATCCCGCTGAGCTGCTGGCCGGCTATCGCTCCGAGCGCCACGAGCAGGCCCCGGCGCGCGCCGCGGTCCCGCAGCAGCCGCGCGAGGCCGGGCGCGCCGCCGCCGCCGCCGCCGCCGCCGCCGCCGCCGCCCTCCGCCACCTCGGCCCGCAGCCTGGCCAGCTCCCGCTGCGCGAGCTCGCGGTCGTTCGCCCGCAGGAACAGCAGCGATCTGCAACGACGAGCGACAGGTTGAGCTTGAGCCGACCGGCCGGCCGGGCGTCGCGGCGCTCACTGCTCCGCCTGGGCCGTCCGGCCGCTGCGCACGAGGTAGACGGGCGTCTCGGGCACGAAGAGGAAGGCCGCGGCGAAGCCCACTGGGAACAGCAGCGACAGCACGGCGAACAGCCGGTAGGACAGCTGCGAGCCGGCCACGTAGGCGAACAGGATGCCGAACTTGGCCGACAGCAGCAGCAGGCTGCCCAGCGCCCCGCGCACCTGCTCGCCCGCGATCTCGCTCACGTACAGCGGCGCGATGTACATGCTCATGGAGGCGCCCATCCCGCCCACCAGCCGCGCCGCGTACAGGAAGTGGACGTGGCTGGTGCCGAAGATGACGAGCAACCACGAGGCCGCGGACGGCACCGCGGCCAGGTAGCCGAAGCCCTTGCGGCCGAACCTCTCGCTCAGCAGCCCGGAGAACGGCACGACCATCAGGGCGCCGATCGGCAACAAGCTGCTTATCCAGGATATCTGCTCCTCGGTTATTCTCGCCTTGCCTACCGGCGGCGCTGCCAGCCGCAGCTGAGGGATTATCGGCGATGGCCAGCCTATGTTTATGCCGCTCGACACCGTCGCCAGGTTCACTGCAAGTCGCAACCACACGCGTCGCATGCTCGATTAGATGCGCCTATCGACAATCGACCCTGACCGCGCTCCGCTTTCATTTCCCTTTCTTTGCGACCTCGAGGGTCTTTCCACCCTGACTTTCGGACTCCTCCCGCGGACCTCCGTTTACCATTGTTTTCAAGACTCAATGACGGCATTTCTTTTTTCCAGTAGCAGTGCCTCGGCATTTCGGTAGCGAACGCGTCTATTCCATGGAAAAGTGTTTTTTCACTCCAGCTATAAAAATGTAAGCTACCGAAACAGGTGCATTCGGACAGATAAGATAAGAATCTAACGTTCAACGTGCACGCTCATGCAAAATTACGCGTACCTCGCTTTTCGATACTTTTGGTATAATGATTGATGAATCATTTCGTCAATTTAATATACAATTTACCACCTCACATGGCACATTCGTGAAAAATGAAAATTTTATGAACAAAAAAATATCGAAAACCTTTTTTAAGTCTTACCAATGATTGCGGCTATACATTGCCGAACACTTCCAGTATTCTTTGATCTTTCTGGCTTGTTCATGTTTGAAATACTCCAAGTATATACGTTAATAATATTATGATTATTATTATTATTATTATTATTATTATTATTATTATTATTATTATTATTATTATATAATAATGATATTATTTTGGCACTGCATATAAAGCATTCACATTATTTTTCTGTAACAACACAGTGAAAGTAATTAACGAAGATTCACGGCAGCTGTTGCAGTCTCTTTCAAGACAACTCTCAAACTAACCAGATTCATTATAGTGTTCAATTTATTACAGCTTGTATTCGCGTGTCATCAAAGATAAGTAAATAGGAAAAGTTTCATGCATGTATTTATGCTGTAAATGTGACAATGAGCAAAGTGCCATTATCTCTTAATGATATGACATGCCATTGAATAAACATCTCTTGAATCCAAGTGATGTTTATTCAACTTTCAAGCTTTATTTAATAATTAGGCGACAGCGATTACGATTCACATATTGGTTATTGAACCGCACATCATATCTTTACGAATATTCGGTAAGCTGCTTGAGAAAAAGAGAACCTTTACCTTTTTTTTTGTCTTTTATCTACTTACAGAAAAATTTTTGTATCAGAAATATATACCTTAGCTTTTCTTTTGTGAATCTCAAATAAAATTAATAATAGTTTTCAATGTGCCATCAATGGAATAATAGTAAGAATAATGTGATCTTATCTTTGATATTTTAAATAGAAACATTTTACTGCTTGAATAAAGATGAGAGTAGTCTTCCAAACCATAAAACTCTACCAACTAGTTTGGCAACTTTATCCGTAGAATAAACTAGGTCAGTAAATATAAAATACATAATTTTACTGATACACGAGATTAAGATTTTTTCTAAGTACTATTACAGGAGATAAAAAATATTTCGCTATATACGCAAATTAGTAAACAATAAAACTACATTCACGCTTTATTTACAACTCATTAGTCAAACAATAAATTCGAAGGAAATGATCTATATAATCTTTCAGTAAACTACTTTTATCTAGCTAACCTTATTTAATTTACAACCATGCTCACAATGATTTATTTCAATTTTTTTTATAAGAATGGCGCTACCAAGCTTGAAAATCGAATGGCAGCGATTGTTTATTTAATTTTTCGTAGCAAATTTCGTTTTTGCTCTTTTTTCTTTTTCTAATGTAAGATATTAATAAACAATTTAGTAAGGATCACGCTTTAGACAACAATAAAATTAAACAATTAAGAACACGTATCACTAAATTTTTATAGAAGCTATAAATTACTCATATTCGCATTCCAGACTTATTATTTTCATCAAAATCACCGTGCACATTTCTTATATGCTCAATTTTCAGAGATAGAGCTACGCAAAACTATATAGGCCAAAGAATTAAGAAGTAACTTATAACTCGAATTACAGGTAAATAACGGTAAAGAATTTTTTTTATTATACATAATTGCATCAAGATTTATTAAACTATTTGCTGGTATGTTTTAAAATAGAAAATGTTGTAGATACACCGAAAACAAATTGTAAAAATTAAGTTTTAAGTATGTAGTCACGTCGACAATATCGTGAAGAGGTCATTTAAGCGAAAAATTGCGTAAATACGCCATGCCGACTGCAGGGCAGAGAGTTGAAATGTCAATATGGATTAAATGTATGTTAATATTAATCATTGCCATTACAGTGTCTAGTGAAACTTTTTTGTTTCAGTTCAATTCGTTATAAATTTCAACGCAATTATAAAAAACAACAATGGAGTATCAGCGATGATTGCTTTTCACAACAAATAAAAATATTCCGCTTGATTTCAGAAGTTTTCTTTTACAAATGTAAGAAGCTTTCGCTGTCGACGTTAGAAAGGATCCTCGATAATCGTTCAAATATGATCCGATACAATAGGCCTCTCCGATTGAATTGATTCCTGTGGAACGTAAAGTCGATGCAATGAAAGAAATTTACAGTAATATTCACAAAAGCTTGCAAGGATTTCAAGTTGATCGACGAGAAACAGATGAGATAGTTTGCAACTACAGGCCTTGATTTCGAGATAATAAGAAAGAATTATTTCTGAAATTCGCGATTTTTGGCGACCTTACTTTTGTATTTCTTATGGGACTCAAGAGGAGCGTCAACTCAAAGTCGAAAATATCGCCGAACAACGCTGGAAAAAGCTCAAAAATCACAAGATATTCGAGTTTGAGTTGACGCTTCACTCGAGCCCCATAAGAAATACATGATAAATTAAAAAATCTATTATCAGAGACGGTCATCAGCTTTTTAAATAATCCTGTTACAGGTAATAAAATGTTTTTTTACTTCCTGTCCGTCACCCATCTCTTTTTTGTAAAAGGAAAATAAACTAACTTCACTTTTAGACCTACATATTTCTTTTCTATAAAAAGAGAAAGGAGACTATTAAGTCACTGTACGGAAGGTCTGTACGAATACGCTTGTCACTTTGTGCGTCGTTTCCAGATGTTGGTTCCCTCGCCGAGATTTTACGGCGGTCATAACAATGAATTTGCGCGCCAAGTTTTAGGCGCGCTGTTGCTCTACACATGGATACAGGTTTCGAAACGAAATAGATTGCATATTTAAGTCGGGAAAGTATTGGTAACGCCGTAGCATGTGAAAATTTACAAAAAAGGTGAACCCGAGGTTGTCAAACACTTGCTATGACCTTGACAATTAAATGACAGTGGTGCGTGTATTATTTTTTTATCCAATAAGATCCAATGAAGTTACCGACCGAGCCGAATTTGGGAAATACTACTTTCGGGCCGCTGAACAAAAAATTGCTTATCTCGTGGTAAATTTCAAATATTATCCTAAATTAATTTTTAAATTATTGAACTGGTATTTGATTCACTTGCATAAAATAATAACAAAGAGATTGCGGTTAATCTACTACATTTTTGCCTCTTTATTGTCGGCAAAAAGATACAAATTTATTCTATGGTATATAGTATACATACACACCCATACACACACACATAATTTCAGAGTATAAGAACGATCATCTGTACACCTAATAATCGTAAGCATGGTTCGTAAATATAGTATGTATAGTTCAATCCATAGGTATAATACACGATGTGTGTGTGTGTCTGTGTGTATGTAGCTAGTTGACAAATGCATACAAGAATATATGCTACAACTAATATTATTTTTTCTGTCGTAAGACTAGGCTGCTAATTTATCGTTGTTCATCGGTCGCCAACGTTGTTCACGGCCTCGATCTTCTGCGACTTAGATTTTTGTTTGACAGTCTCGTTTTTCTCATCATCCGAAGAGCTCAAAACTCTTTTTTTATCTGGTTTTTTAGTCTCTTTCGGGTCATGTTTATAGCTCTCAAATTTATTATTTTCATCCTTAGAATTTTCTTCACTTTCACTTCCACTGTCCTTTCTCAAACTCTTAGAATTTACATTAGCTTTATCATTGCCTTTAAATTCAAGAAGACCACTGTTTATGTAAAACCCTCCATGGACTGTGGTTACCTCTTCAGGTACCTCTTCGTCATAAGCATCTGTATTGTCTATGAATGGATCACTCTCATCATAACCAGCTCCTAAGTCACCATAATTCTTTCTCTTTCGATTGCCATATTTTGACTCAAAATATCTAGCTATGTCTAGCTCTACTTTGTCATTACTGTCCATGTCTCCAAATGGATTTGTCCCATTTGTAGCCCCGTTATCAGTTTTCTTTTTCTCCTTGCGCTGTTTTTTCTCAGCATTTTTTAGTAATTCAGCATAGTTTACCTCTGGATAATTTTCATTGTTCGAGTCTGGGAGAGTTATCTCAAAGCGCACTGATGGTGCTATTTGTTTCTTATCCTTGGCAGATTTTGAGGTTTGACTCCCATCAACACTTTGCAGTGACATCCTCTTAACTTCTGCCATGGCTTGTTATTCCGTAATTATCAGTTATGAACACTAAAATAATAGCATACTTTAGAGCTATTTATTTAATTATATTTTTTTCGTTGAAAAATTTAAGTTAATCGTAACTATTTATTGTTAGAATTTTATCGTAAAGATAAACATTAGTATGCATTACCTCCATAAAAATTAACATTTATTCTCGTCTTTTCATAAAAATATACATCGTGAACTCTAAAGTTGCATTTAAATATTCGTAATTATGAACAATCGGTTGATCTAAACTTTTCCAAAGCCGGTCGTGAACACTTTGTTTATTTACCATGTTTGAAGAAAAATGGCTGAAGTTCAAACTAAGCGAAGCGCCATGTTTAATCTTGCTCGCCATCATTATTTGGCGGTAATTGTAATTTATTTGATATTTTCCACCTTATACAGTGAACTATTTTAACTAATGGTAACAAGAAGAATGCAATTCATATTGATTTTTTCAAAATTAACTTTAATATAATTGAAGCAATAATGACAAATTTTAAATACCACGTAATATACGATACAGTAATCGATGTCATTTTTTTCATACATAAATTTTTCTTTACACACATGCGCGTACTGCAATTAAAAACTAAATCATGTTCTCATCTGCAAGACATTTCTTTTCACTGACGCAATAAAACCAATTAACCGTACAAGTAATTAAATATTCTTTTTCTTTTTGATGTGGTTATCGGTTAAGATAAAGTTTATTTGTAGCGTAGTTACATTTATTTAAAATAGTTTCAAAGTTTTCTCGTGTGATTAATATTTGTTTATTTGCTTTTTTTTCATTCTTGTCAGATGGCTATGCAAAAATACTTTGAGACGTAAAATTGTGACATTGAAATTATTTCAATATATATAAAAAATTCAAAGTTTTCGAAAAAGTCTAGACAACACTCTGGTTGCTTCATATCACATTCTATTAATAGACAATTATAACTTTTTATGTAATTATTTTTTTGTTTGATGGAAGTTAATTTTTTTTATATATAAAATATCCTGTGGACCTTCAAACTTAGCTCCAAAATATTTGAAACTAGCACTTGTATCTTATTGGGATAGGATTTGTTTTTTTCTTATGAAAAAATTATTAACACTGATCAACGAGGCATTTAATTATGATAATGATGTCCATAATAGCAATAATAATAATCATAATAATAGTAATAATATAATAATAATACGCGCGAGTAGAGTATGAAACGTCGCTTCCTTAAAAAAAAAATTATAATGCAACGCAGTCGGATTGACTACGGCATATCAGGAAGAGAACGAAGTAATAAAAAAGTCAACAAAACAGATAGAAAGAAAGAAATGTCAATTTTCGAAAAGGATATGGGATCCCTAGTAATCTAGTAACAAAAGCGTCAATTTTCATCTCTCTGTTATACATCAAATGTAAAATGACTACGACAAAAAGAATTACATTAAAGCATACGCAACAGTGACTACCAGAAATCACATTCTCTTTAATAATTTCATATCCATCGAACGAAAACAAAAAGACAAATCGACTGGATTTTCTCTATCTGCGTGTACACTCGACTAACCAGCGCAATGTCAAGCAAGAAAAAAAAAAATGATTATAAAGAGAACGGATTAAACGCTTCTTCAGTTGTACGACTAGCTGAGGCCTGTTTTTTTTTTTAATTATTTTTGTTTGTTTGTTAGATGTAAAAAGCGACATTATAAAAAGTCACTTGATATATCACCCACGTTTACATATTATCTTTCACATCCGATATTACAATCCATCATGATCATTCGCTCAAAGTCTCATTCATGCACTCACGTAATCAGAAGTGTACTAGTAGAAAAAGGCCTCTACACCCAATTTTACACAGTAAACAGGTATTTTTTGTTGTATTCAAAACAGTTTTGTCTTGTTTTTTTTGTCCCGTTCTAGTAGAGAGATAATTAAAGCGGCACGTATTTGACACATTGGTTACATACAGCTCACGACGCGCATTCGTATTCTTGTCTTTCCATCTTTTAAAACTACAACACACGCTTCTGTCTTTAAAAAGTTACACTTGTTCGCTAACTAAAAAAATTAATCAATCACCATTAATCAAACAACAGAGTTGTTTTCTTTCTTTCTCAAAACAAATTTCACCAATTCTTTCGTTTTGATCGCAAACATACATCACAACATACAAGTTATACGTATACGGATAGACACAGACGTCACGTCAAAATGCACAGCATTTTAGTAATCAACAACAACGAAAAAAGGAGAGTAGAGGATGGGTATAAGTAGGTAGCCGCTATCTACTCTGTTTCGCATTGCTGAGGCTCACTGGGCGGAGTGCCATCGTGCGAGCAACTACTGCCCAGTTGCATTGGCGTTGCCAATTGTGGCGCCGACGCCGAAGCAGCAGCAACTGGCGGTGGTGCTTGCAGTGTCGTCGGTGCGTACACTAACCGATAACCTGGTGGTAAGATGAATCTACCCGGTTGTGCCGTTGCCGCCGCCGTTGTTGTCGATGCTGTTGGGGCTGGTGCATAATTGTAGGTCGATGTTGCTAGGGCCGAAGGTTCCGCGTAATATGGCAGATAACTCGAAGAGCTGCCTGTTAACACGTTTGTGACTAGAGTGCTCGTCGAGCTTCCCTGAAAATCGAAAAGTATTGCTTATACTTACAATTGTATCAAACATTTTCTCGCAATGAAAGCATCTTTCATCGAAAACAAAATGTTACCTGTGTTGATGTGTCGGGCATAGTAGCAGTGGCGAACTGATACTGCGGTGGAAACATTCCAGCGATGTCGAGCTGCTGTTGTTCAGTTTGCACGGCGGCAATGCTTTGATAATTATCCGAAGGCACTATTGGCACTGGTATGACGTAGGCGTGGGAAAGAGCAGCTGCTTGGCTTTGCGATGGAACTCCTTGAGGCTGCTTGAGCTTTTGCGTTGCAAGCCTCAATGTTTCCTCGGTGTCTGGTGAATAACTAAGCTTACGTTGCATTGGCGTCTGCGTTGCTGGACTGAACATTATATAATCTTCCATTCCAGATAGCCTCGATTGCCCTGCCATCAACAGATCTTTATTAAGATCCATGTTGGTGAGTTTAGTATGTGTTCTTTTTAAAGTCTATATTTGCATTTATATGTGTTTGAGTGAACTATTTACCTGTGATAGTATCATATAGTAGAGGGTGATGATGGTGTTGATGATAAGCACTTGCTTGCTGTTGCTGCTGTATAAGCAACTGTAACTGATGTTGTTGAAAGCGCTCTAACTCTTCCCGGTGTCGCTTTTGCAATGTTTCCAATTCCATTGTTTGCCTAACACAACGTATATCTGATTAACACTAATTGTACTTACGATTGCTTCATTAGTATGAATGGTATACAAACCTTTTGATAAGAAGTTGGTATTCTTCGCTGGGTGTTAAAATTGGCAACCTTTCTTCCTTCTCAAGCTAGAAAAAAATCATTAAATTTTTGAAATGTCATTTAATTAGATACTGGACGGAAATTTGAACGTTGAATAATTCACCTCAGTAGGTAAAGCATTATTCGAAGTAGAGCCTTGAGGCGGCGGCACTGAACCTTCCCTTCTGTGCAATAATTGTATCGACGCTGCACCAACTGCAAATTTTCAAGATAAATAATCGTATACTACCGACACATGCAATTCGTCTTACTTGTGTGCTCCTCAGCGTAATGCTGAACAGTATTAGTCTTGCTTTCGACACTCTTGCTATCATCCAAATTTGGATTTTGCGAAGCAACAGTTTCGTTTGAGGGTGGACCAGCCACTTTAGACACCATGAACCTTGAAATTTTCCTCGCAGGCTGATTCTGCGTTAAATGTTAGGAATAATAAAATAATATACAAATTTAGTAAAAAAAAATGAAAAAATTGTAATAAGAATAGAATTAAATTCAACCTCAATATTAGAACCAGAATTATCCGTAGTTTCCAGCTGTCCAGCAGTTTCCATCACAGGTGTAACAACGCTCGGAGCAACAGTCGCAACAGGAACACTACTAACAGTCAGATGGGCGGTCGATGTATTCGCGTAAACCATAGTTTGCGAGGTTGTTATGACACTTGGCGTTTTTTGATGAATTTTTGCCAACTCGTGTTCGAGTTCTTGCAGTCGCGAGCCTGGCTTTGGTACGCGCGATTTAGCTTCTTTCGTGGGGCTTGAAATCTCTTGGGATTGACTACTGGTCGACACTAGCGTTGGACTGTCGAGCTCAACCGTCTAAAATAATTTATGTGTTAAAAATATAATGCAAATCATTGAACGATATCGAGACAATAAGACTTACATTTGAAGCATAAACACTTTGAGTAGCAAATTGTTCTGCAACGGCATTACCATCGACTGCACCAGCTTCATTCGAGATAGTCGAGTATCCAGAATGTATCGTCGAATGTGGAGACGAAGATGCCTATAAAAAAATTAAAATAATGCAACTATTAGTTTCTCATATTCTTTACATCTCTTAAATTGACGTTCAAACAAGAAACCAACCAAAGTTTGAATACTCGGTACAGAGATACCAGGCGCAGCACCCATTTTTTGTTGAAGCTGATGCACGTGTATATCATGCAAAGCAGGTGCTGGTTGAGTATGCAAAGTCGCAGGATGACTGATCGGAGGTGTATTATAATTAGCCAACTCAGACGGTTGACTAGTCAACTGCGTGAGCTTCTGCTGCAGATAGGCTATAGTTTGCGGACCACCCTCCGGTTTGTCCAATGAGTTCTGTTGACTTAATTTTCTGTGATGATCCCTCATAAATTGCTGGTGATAAATAGCGTTATCCATCGACTCGACAAACGTATGTTCTGGAGTGATATCGTGACTGGAGTTCTCATTCTCCGATGATAGCATCTGACAATCGGAACTCGTACGACGACTGAGATTGTACTCGGAATTCGTATCTTGCTGCTTGTGCTCAGGGAACTTCAGCTGCAGATTATATTGATCTGAGTTATCTGTCGATTCCGGCAACGTTTGCTGCGATTGCAAATGAGCTTGTGGTGCGATTTGATAAGGTTGCATCATAGGTTGCAAAGTCGCCTGACTTTGAATATAGTGTACGTGTTGAATTGGCTGCAGTTGGATAATATTTTGCCCCGGTAAAGGAGCGTATGAAGGCAAGATCCATTGTCCTTGGATAGTCGCGTGTGTTGGTAATGCATGTGGCTGTTGATGGATTATTTGAGTTTGGTCGATTTGTTGCTGAAGATTCGCTTGTGGCATCGCTTGAATCAACGTTGGATGAGCCAATGGCGCTGACTGAGTCGGAATGTTTGTTGGGAAGTTCGGCTGCGCTTGTAACAACTGTTGAGAAAATTATATATTGGATTAGCGTTTATATTTAAATGAATTGAAAAACAAATTTACACTTTCAAATTTTTTTTGCTTTTACTATTCTACTTTAATTTTTATTGCAAATTAAGCAGGATCTATACAAATTCTAAACTAAATTTTCATTTTTTAATAGTTTGTTATTTGAAAGTATTGTAACAAAGAATAGTATAAAATATAATATCAAATAACATTTATTAAGAATATTTAGCTTTTTTTCGTTTAGTATTGTTGAAGGTAAAACCATTTATCCAAAGAACTTCAAATATTCATATACACTGTTCTAGAAGTTCTACTAATTTTATAATTGAGGAGTTGCTTCAGTAATAACGTATAAACTATGTTAAAAGAAGGCAACAAATAATAAATAATATCTCCTCAATCATTTGTCAGTCGTCCAAATATAAAAACTCTCCTTGAAACATTTCTAACTATAAAGCATGCTAGAATATATGTATATATATATACACACACGCACACGCACGCACGCACATACACACACACATACATATATATACACACTCGGTAAAAAAGTATACCACCTTACAATATACCTCCATAATTCGAAAATAGAACACATAAATGACAATTGTGAGAAAAAGATTGATATAGAGAGAAAGAAAGGGAGGGGGAGGGAGGGGGGAAAGAGAGAGAGAGAGAGAGAGAGAGAGAGAGAGAGAGAGAGAGAGAGAGAGAGAGAGAGAGAGAGAGAGAAGGAACTTAGGTAAACTAAAAAAGATAGTATCGCAAAATTACCCAAAAAGACTTTCCAAGGTGGTGCAACTTTCTCATTACCTGCTGCACGTTCTGTTGCATTTGCTGCTGATAATGAGTATTCTGCAGGCAGAGATCTGCTTGTACAGGTTGGAAATACTGTTCGGTGTGCAAAATTGGTTGAATAACCGCGGCGGGATTCTGTACGGGTTCGTGACCCTGGACGACTGGATGGGCGGCTTTGGATTTCGGATTCGACAGTATATTGGCGAGATTCTGCGCTAAATCGGGCAAAGTTGACGATACTTCTTTGGCTTTTTTTGGCGCAGCTTCCACTGCTGTTGTTGCTGTTGTTACTGTGACGGGAATTTGAGATTGAATCGGTTGAACAACATTTTGTTGGATTACTGGTTGTTGCGGCGGGATCTGTTGTTGCGTTTGTTGTATTGGTTCCGTGTAGCCGTTTGAAATAATTTCTTGTTGCTGTTGCGGTATCGGTTGCTGTATCTGCAATAGCTGTTGCTGCTGTTGTTGAGGATATACCTGTTGTTGAATCGGTTGAACTTGAGCTGCTTTTTTGTCATCAGGAACGTTACTGTAGATAGAAACGTTATTTTCAGTTTGTGAATCGGACGATATGTTGGATATGTTGGAAATCCTGCGGTTTCGCTCGTCGACGCTCGGTTGCGTTAGATTTTGAACCGAAGGCTGCAGATTCATCTGCTGCTGTGATTGTTGTTGGATTAGCTGAGGTTGCGTTATAACTTCTTGTTGCGCTTGAACCATGTAATTTTGTTGAATGACCTGTTGGTCCTGTATCATAATTGGTGCTACTATATTTTGCTGAATATCAACTATTGGAGCTGTAGCAATATTCTGTTGACTCTGTTGAACTACCGATTCATTTTCGCTAATGATGTGCGATATTTGCTGCACCTGCGGTACCTCGCTTTGCATAATTTGTTGATATTGTTGCTGTTGGATGGATACTTGTTGAACCTGTCGTACCAGTTAAATCGTATAAAATTACATTATTACTTTAGATTGTTACGCAAAGAAATAGAAAATTACTAACTCCAATATTGATATCCGTTGGTCTCTCGATAATATGCCCTTCAGTCACCTGATCAGATTTCTGCATAGCTGTAACTTCAAGTTTTCCTACCTCAGTAGGACGTTCAACAACTTCATGTTGGATTCTCGTTTCGCCATCTGTGACTACGGCTTTCTGCTCGACAACGGGGCTCACGAGGAAACGTGAAATCTTTCGCATTGGTGGCACTGATGCTTTCATCACCTCTGTATTATTAAAATCACTCGACTCCTTAACTTGATTATCGTCCATAGGTAACTGCTGGGCTTGGAACATCTCTTTTGCTACGTTATCTGTATGAAATAAATAAGAACGTTTAAACAATTGATTTCAAGCGTGATAACAAAAGATAAAAGACATACCTGTAGCAGACTGAATTTCATTCTTCTGCTCGAAATTTTGCGTGTCGCCAACAAGATTAGAAGTACTCTCATATGCGTTAGCAGTCTTCGAAGGGTCAGTACTTTCCTCAGACTCGTGATTCTCCATATCCACTCCAATGATCGTCGACCCAGCTGAGACTGACTCGAGATTATCCAAAAACTCAACAGGATTTGTGGGTGTAAGAGTGTCAGTGTTTTGAGTTGATGTAGATGAACGTCTCGATGCCTCGGTTGGCTCAGCTGAACTTTGATTATTTTGAGTTTCATTTGCTGATGGAGTTGCAGTAGTTTGCTGCAGCTGCTGTTGTTGTTGCTGTTGTTGTTGCTGCTGTTGATGTTTATCAGAGAGTGCTGCATTGGCGATATGAGAAATGATCTGGTCGATGGGCAATATCTTGGTTGGTGTCGACGTATTTGAAGTTTCATCCCTCTGCAATTAAAAGTAACGTGATTACTGCGAATCCAGAAAGATTTATACCTTGGATTAGCTTCTGCACACTAACTCCAAAGCCAATATTCAACATCACAAGCTTTTCTTTAAGTATTGTGATAAGTGTTGATAAATCTCTTTTCAACTTAATAATATTTAATAAATAAATGATATAAAATCATAATAAAACATGCATACGGTGAAGACACATCTGAAACAACACTTACAAACGATGTTATTAAAAAAAATAATAAGAACGTCAGGTCCTGCAACCTGAAAAATTGATATAATTATAAAAGAAAAAAAACCGGGCACTCTTGACTGAAACGAAAACATTGTATTTAAAGAAAAAGAAAAAATAAAAGAAGAAATGAGTTAATGTTGAAACGAAAATAGTGTAAGTAAGTGCATAGAAAGAGATAGAGAGGAAAGCATGAGACTCACCGAGCGGTGCCTACGATGAACTTTGTACGAGGAACGTTGGCTGCTTTGCCGCGTTAGCGAGCCGTGTCTCACCTGCTGCGTCCAAAATCATACACGGCAAATGTTCGTCTTTTAGTTTTTTCTCTCTCTTGTTCTCTTTGTCTTGTCAAGACACGCACGCGAATATTCACTCATACATTCGTACACATTTATTCAGACAAAAATGAAGATCCATCCAAACATGTTACCTTAACAGCATCCAGACTGTGATCACGTTCGCGAGGTCTTCGACTCGTAACAGGGCTACCTCCAGCTGATTGATGAGGAGGACCATGAGCTATTAATGGTAAATTGAGAGTTGGGTCGAGTCGTAATTGCCGAACGATGTCTTCAATGAGCTCAATAAATGTTTCACGTTGCGACTGTGGCAATAGATTTTCTGCTACCTGAAATATAAAATTTATGTTTTATTAAAAAGATTATTTCGCAAGTTGAAAAAGTCAAACGACATACCAAATTGTTTGCAATGTCGGTTGGTACCATATCATCTCGATCAAATTTAAAAGTGACAGTTTTCTGTTTGCTAGTGTCGAGTTGGCACTCAACGGACAAAGCCTGGCCCTCGACATTGCTCACTGACAAAACTGTTAATTTGATCCCGGGCTTCTTTCTCTTTGTACCAGTTCTCTTAATTTTGCTCTTCTCTGTCGCTGTTGTCATGGAATTGTCAACAATGTCAGAACGTCTATAACAAACATTTAAAATTAATACGTAAAATAATCGATGCATTTATTCATATTCATATTCAACAATCACTTACGCATCTCCCACTTCAGTCGTAGCAGTAGATGGAATTTGATTATCCAATTGCTGGACATTTGAAACCACTTCCAGCGACGTAATACCTCGTGAAACTTCAATAGTCTCTTGTTTTATCAAAGTCTTTTCAGTGATTATAGTAGACTCGTTAATTGTTGGGAAATTTTGTTGATGAATTGGAGGTTGTTGAGATACAGGCTGCGGTTGAACAATGGATTGTTGCTGCTGTTGAACAATCTGCTGTTGTACAACTTGCTGCTGAATAACCTGTTGTTGAACAACTTGTTGAACAATTGGTTGTTGCATGGCAGATTGCTGCTGTTGCTGCTGCGTTATTAACATTTGCTGTTGATCCTGCATTTGTTGTTGTTGCATCAGCGGCTGTTGTTGCACCATAGGTGACTGTTGTTGGATTTGCGGTTGTATCTGCGCTTGTTGTTGCATTTGTGACGGTTGTTGGATTTGCGGTTGTATCTGCGGCTGTTGTTGAAGTTGAGGTGTAGGCTGATGCTGTGGTTGCATTTGCGGTTGCTGTTGTGATTGCTGCTGCGGTTGTTGTGGTTGCTGCTGTGGTTGCATTTGTGGTTGCTGCTGCGGTTGCATTTGTTGTTGTATTTGTTGTTGCTGCTGCGGTTGCATTTGTGGTTGTTGCTGCGGTTGCATTTGTGGTTGCTGTTGCGGTTGCATTTGTGGTTGCTGCTGTGGTTGCATTTGTGGTTGCTGCTGTGGTTGCATTTGTGTTTGCTGCTGAGGTTGCATTTGCGGTTGCTGCTGTGGTTGTTGCTGTGTCTGCATTTGTGGTTGCTGCTGCGGTTGCATTTGTTGTTGCTGCTGTGGTTGCATTTGTGGTTGCTGCTGCGGTTGCATTTGTGGTTGTTGTTGCGGTTGCATTTGCGGTTGCTGCTGCGGTTGCATTTGTGGTTGCTGTTGTGGTTGCATTTGTGGTTGCTGCTGTGGTTGCATTTGTGGTTGCTGCTGTGGTTGCATTTGTGATTGTTGCTGTGTTTGTATTTGTGGCTGCTGCTGTGGTTGCATTTGTGGTTGCTGCTGTGGTTGGATTTGTGGTTGTTGCTGTGGCTGCATTTGTGGTTGTTGCTGTGGCTGCATTTGTGGTTGCTGCTGTGGTTGCATTTGTGGTTGCATTTGTGATTGCTGCTGTGGTTGAACAGTCGTAAGTCCTTGCGAAATAACACTTACATTTTGCGATATTGTGTTCGCAGAGGCTACAATGTTAGCACTTTGCGAATATGGCATTTGGATCACATTTTGTTGGGTTTGGGTTTGAGTTGCTCCGCTTGATATTATCGGTGCATTCTGAATATTCGATGGTATAGCAGATGCCTGGAATACATATACAAAGATTTGTTTAAAAAAATATTAACATACATTTCTCAGCAGTCTAAAAAATTACCTGTAGAGTTTGCTGAACAGTTGGCGTAACAGCGGTAACACTTGGAATGTTAGCAATCTGTTGTGGCAAGGATACTTGTACTTGCAACGGTTGAATGTAGCCTATCGACGTAGCCACAGCAGTACTACCAGGTTGATTGGGATGAGTAGCAAAAACCTGCTGTGACTGTTGATTAGGTAAAACGTCTATATGGCTACCAGTTGAACTGGTTGAATATCCTTGAAACATTTGCTGCCCGATATTTTGTTGATATATTTGTGGAGTAGCATAGGTTTGCATTGGACCTGCTCCTTGATAGAATTGCTGATTTGGTATGCTTTGGACTGCCGATGTCGGAGGTGCAGCGGGATTTTGGTGAATTTGTTGCACATGTTGGACCTGATTTTCGTTAATTGAACACTATTATATCAAAAAAAATTTTTTCATTAGAAAGTAATAACTGTTAAACTTACTTGCGTCTTAGTAAACTGAATTGTCTGCTGTATCTGCGGGATAGGTATTTGAGATGCGATACCCATTTGATTGAGTTGTATGTACTGTTGCTGCAATTGCTGCTGAGTGACTTGAGGGAAAGGCGCTTGAGCAGGAATAGCTTGAGGTGTCGAACACGTTGACGAATTTGCACTTAGTGCTTGATATTGCTGCTGCAATTGCTGTTGGGCTTGCAGCTGCTGTTGCTGCGCCTGCTGCGGTTGGATTACTGGAGTTTGCTGTTGGATAATAGGTTGTTGTTGGACCATCTGAACTGGTTGTGGTTGCAAACTATGTTGTTGGATAGTCACTGTGTTTTGCACCTGTTGCAAACTGACTCCAGACGGAACTTGTTGAGTTTGCTGCTGCTGCTGGATTTGTTGGATAAACATCTGATTTTGAATTTCATTAGCCGCAGAAGTCTCGGCATCTTGGCGTTCTTTTTCCTCTTTCAATTTTCTCTCTTCTCTCTCACGTTTTAATGCTGCGATCTGTGACTTCAACATCTTCGCCACACTTTTTACGTCCTCTTCCAATATCAAACTCGACTTTGCCATTTCTGAAGCGACCTCCTCCGCGTTGTCATTCTCAATATCAAAATCAAACTGAATAGCTTCGTTCTCTTTGTGTTTGCTAACCCTTTTTTTTGGATCTAATACTCGAAGACGGAATTCGACTCGTGATAAATCAGCTTCGGCTACCGCATTATCACGTGACACCATTTCTAATTTCAGTCCAACGTCGTCGGCGAAAAACTCGTGGTTTAGAAGATCCTTGACCAGTGGTCGCTCTTCCTTCTTTAGGCGAATGCACATCTCAATTATCTCGCGGACTTCTGGATTCTCCACTTTGTCGTAGCTTTGTGGTTTGACACCCTGCAAAAGAGAAGATTTAATTTTTTTTTAATTTTATTTATTTTGTGACAAATTTAAATTATTTTATTCGCATACGCAATATTAAAATAAAATAAGACTTGAAAATATTACGATCATAACTGTTGTTTTTTTGGAAAATAAAACACCATAAATTATTTAACTTTAAATACAAAAATAAATCATAATAAATCAGTCTTCGTTAATATATCTCCATGTAAGCATATTTTTGCCTTGGTCGAATAAAACACATCTTCTTGCACATGTATTTGTTGATATTTATAGACGTGTGTGGATATTAATACCCGCACGATAACCGAGTAACCAATGACATAAATAGCGCGTATCTCACAGCAATACTTCATTCTTCATTTTTTCCTCGTTGACTTACCGAAACAACTCTCTTATAAATCTGCGCTGGTCCTGTGCATTCAGAATATGGATACTCGCTGGTAGCCATTTCCAACATACACATGCCAAACGCATAAACGTCCACAGATTCGTCATAATGTTCCTCGTACATCTCGGGAGCCATGAATTCGGGTGTGCCGATAACGCTTTTAGCGAAACTTCGATTTTTCAGTGTAGCGAGGCCGAGGTCACCGATTTTCACGCTTCCTGTTGTGCCTGTGATGAAAATATTGTCGCACTTGAGGTCACGATGAATTATTGGTGGTGAGCGCGAATGTAGGAACGCCAGGCCTTTTAGGATTTGACGACACCAGGATTTTAAAACCTTAGGATTTATCTTTTTAAATCGTCGGAGATACCTGTGAATAAAATTCTTGTTATTTGAAAATCTTTCCCACGTTATTATTATTATTTTGTCTGCTATTTACGTTTTGAGAGTGCCTGAAGTCATGAGTTCTGTAACTAAAACAATATACTTGCGCCTGGTGGTTGTCACCTCCCAGTAATCATAAAATCTAACTATATTTGGATGCTGCAAGCCTTTTAACATTTCGGCTTCTTCTCTAAACCTCAGTCTTTCCGTTTTGTTTAGTTTTTTCTCCTATGGATAAAAAAATAAAACATTTTTCATTCAATTTCATTTATTCGAGAATTGTCTATAATTATTGTTTTACCTGTAATTCACACCAAGCAACGGCAACACCTGTTTGCGTATCTAGACCTCTATATACAGTTTTAAAACTACCGCGCCCGATCTCCTCCTCAAACTTGAGAAACCTCTGATCAGGCGAAATCGCCACAGCTTTCTCTTCATCATCGTCGTCCTCAATCGCTTGTGCTTTCACCTTTTTCAACAAATTCTCCACTTCCTTCATGCCAAATAAACTCTTGTTTGCGTGCTGCTCGTCAGGTTTAAAATTTTCATCCAGCAGTGGACCAATAAAACCTTCTACAATTTCTTCTTGAACAACACCCTTTGACTCGGCGCTTACATCCTCATTTTTAATATCCGTTGCTAACGGCGACGGTACTTTGCCCATTTTGCTCAATGACTCGTGGAGTGCTTGCGTCGCGACAATATCACTTATACTCGTTCCGTTGTCGTCTTCATCGAAGATTGTTACTTCACCCTCGACGCTAGCTTCTACTTCCTCGACTTTAGCTTCCAGATCTACAGACTCGCCCATCACATTCGACGTAGTAAATCGTGAATTTTTCACTTGTTCGATTTGTTTCGGCTCGCTTGTCGAAGCTGACGAGGTATCCAATGTGAGCTTTTTATGCCTAGACTTACTTGTACTCGATGAACTGTTTTCCGTCATATCACTGCAAAATTTTGAAAACAATGTTGTTATTATGATATAATTGCTAGAGATGGTAATAACCTTTGCGTAAATTTATTTATGAGCGGTGGAAATAACTGTTACACAAGAGTATAAATAAATGTTACAAAAATCGACAATGCTACCGCAATCTTAAGTAATAAAATTTAGATATACCTTTGATTACTTTCGTTGTTGAGAGAATCATCCAATATCTCATCACTATCTTTATCCTGTTTGACATTTAATCTCCTATTGGCACTAATCTTAGAGTCGAAATTAACTAAAGAGTAAACGGATGGTTTCCGTTTCATTTCACGAACGCTCTCATCTGCATTTGGCTGTTGCTGTTGTTGCTTCTTTTTTAACGATATGGAAGTGTCGAAACTTTGCACGATATCTTCACTCGTGGTCCTTCCGTTTCTTGTATCCGGTAACAACTTACGGCTACTACTCGTATCGCTAACACTATCATCCCTCGAGTCTCTCGAGTGCATACTTCTTTGTGCAGTCTTTTCCTCTTTACTTATTTTTCTAGGGTTCCCTTTTCCTATTGGCATGGATGGCATACTAGAGCCTGCAACAACGTCATTGATTGTATTTACATGTCACAATCGGTGATTCATTCTTGCTTGTGTTTCTTTTTTTTATGTTTTGTCGTTGGAAATTAGCCATAATAACAAATATACAATAAAAAAAACATATTTAATTACCTGAGACTTTAAGATTTTGCGTAGCAGTGATAGCTTCCTCGGCATCGCTAAGATTATGATTATTCTCGTAATCGATCAATGATTTGTCGATGGGATCCGAATTCTTTTGCTGCCTTGACAGTGATTGTGAGCTCGATGAGATTCCGTTTCTCGTTAATGACGTAGGCGGCGAATGTGATTCATGTTCCCCTCGATTCGACTTTAGCTAATTATGTAATTTAGATTTATTTTAGATATTTTTCACAATTGTAAATGAGCAATCTCTTGATAAAAATTATTATTTAATCTTTATAAATCAAACATTCAGCAAAAGTTTGTGTGAATCCAAGATTAATCATACGAAAATTTATGTCGACGTACCTTGCGATCAGAGCTACTAGTAGCTTGAGAATGAATAGTGACTTTCTTGGGTCTCCGATTCTTTGGAGTGACAGCAGTACTACTTGCAGCTGGATTTTCCTGCGAGGCTATGTGGTGACCCAAACCAATATTACTGTGGCCAGTGTTACCCGAGTTTGTGGACAATTTGGGGCACAATCCCGAAAGACTGACACCACTGCCACTTCCTCCTGATGGTCGTTGTCTACTAGTCTCATACCTACAATTGATTTCACATTGAATTTATCACTTTGATTTTTTAATTCTCCAATACAATGTTTCATCCACTAATGTTAGTATACTTGTAATTCATAAATGTTGATACTTATGTCTTTTCCTTTGTGGCAAAATCATGATAGAATGCAAACTATTATAATGATAATTATGATGACTTAATTGCAAGCATTATAATTGAAAGCAATTGAATAAAAGTCAAAAAAGCATGCTTGAACATTGAGAAGACAAACAATGCAACGATAAATGTAGAAGCCTGATTTGATACGGACATCATTATACCTGTCCTGCCTGTTATGGCCTGATGAGAGAAGTCCACGTACTACGTTGCCTATTGCTGCTTTTTTTCTTGCCTCTTTTTCCCTATAACTACTGCTACTTGGACTGTTGTGCTTTGTGTGATTGTTGTGATGTGTTGATTTATCCTACAATAACAGCCCATCTTATTACTAACATTCTTCAAGAAAATAAAATGCACTGTTTTCATCAAATATAGCCTCCAGTACAACAAGTTTGGCACCAAACAAATGTCACTGCAGAACTTACTTTGATGCCAATGAGTTTGATATATCCAGCACTGTTATTAGTCGGTACAGGACTGAGATCACAGCGAACACGTCTATGAGATCTCTCGACAACTACAACAGGTGTATGCTCATCCACATCTAATTGTCCCTGGGAGCCAATGGTGAATGGTCTATCTGTGTGTGCAATAATGATACTGTCCGAGTTGTTATGTTGCTGATTGCTGCTCACCAGCCTCAGTGACTTGTTCTCATTGCAGCATCTCGGCATTGCACGTGCGTTGATGGTGTTCTCTGTTCAAAAAAATTGAATTGAACAAAACAATAAGCACAAATGTGTTAAAACAAACGAAAGATACAGAGAAAGAGTTGAACTTGATCTCATGATGCTTCACACAATATTTACAAGTTAAACGATGCGCACTCACGGAAAAGTAAAACCACGACTTGACGATCGAAAGGACCACGGACAAGCCAAAGCAAGTTGATCTATCGCATGTTTATATTAGTCAGCTTACTCTCTTTCTCACTCTATCTCTTTCTCCCTCTCTTTCGCGCTCGCCTTTTCAGTGGTGTCTTCGTCGCTCACACACACAAATACACGCGCACGGACACAGACGCAGCCGAACGAACGGACGGAAAAAGGCAAATCGATTGACTTTTCCTCACTTGCGCTCTCATCAAAGCTCTTTCATTCTCTCTCACTCACACAATCGCACATAACTAACTTTACATACTGGCTCTCGCTTTACACTTGGAGCTCTCCTCAGTGCGGGTACAATGTTTGATCGTTAAATGATATGACGATGTTGATACTTACGCCTCTCTCCACACTATGCGTGTGTGTATTTCGTTAAAAGATGTGTGCACTGTAGTATTCCGTCGTCGCCGCTGCCACAGGAGAGGAGAATGATTATTACAAAAAATAATACAACCACACGGTGAGTCTGTGAGGCACCAAACCAAAAGACCGACTACACCCAAGTGTTCACCATTTTTACTCTACTGCGAAAATACAATAAGGTATCTCGCTCTCTGGATGCTTTCTGCCTGCGTAGTGCGTGCGCTCTACTCACTCAGCGACAGAGAGCTGCCTGCGCGAGTTCTGCGAAACGATCATCGCGAGACCTCGTGGCATGCACGCAAAACTTTGATGCATGAGGTAGGTAAGAGGGTACTCTACATTACCAGTCTTGCTGCTGTAAAGGACTGCCGATTGGCGACTGCTTGCAGTTGCGTGGCGCCGTTTTAAAAAATATACGCGACACTCGTGTCTTCTGCTACATCGTCGTTGCAGCATTGGAGAGAGTGAGAAAACGCCCGACCCGACTCTCTTTTTTCTTCAACGGCGCCTATTTTCGTTGTTGCAGGAAGTCGCTGTAGTTTATTTTGATGATAATAATCAATAAACACGTGCGTTCGTGGATCGAATAATCTATAAAGTGTGCGCATACGTGTGAGTGCGCTGTATGCATGAAGGAAGATGATTATCAGTTCTAGGATATAGTGTGCCGTTATCAATTAGAAGCTCGACCCCGTGTATAATGCACCTTCGGCTGCGATAAAATGCGGCATTGTGGAAAAAACTCGATGATAAATTTACGATAATACATACCGTGGAAGAATTTCGTGAGTCTCTGCAGTGCGTTCATCACAATACGGTTTAACTAAGCTTAGCTGATGGAGATTTTTTGTTGAGGGCTGTTATAGGTGACGGAGAAAGAAACTGAAAATAACGGAGGATCATGGAAGAATTGAGTGAAAATGTCACTGGTAACTACTCAATGATAATGACGACGGCGGCGACGACAATGTTGTCGTCCACCACTGCATTACCTGTAAATATTACGACAATCTTGCCAATTGAGTCGACAACTTCGAACTTATACAATGAGACTGCTGAGGCTTTTACTACTAGCCTGACTACCAGCAATTTGCAAAATATCAGTAGACAATCTTGGAATCTGACAAGGGTAGGAGATGCTTTTCCAAAAATTGACACAACTACTGTCACAAGTAATTTATGCACAACTACTATGGCTACTACTACTGAGGTTCCATTCGACGAGTTTGGCCCACCCGATGGGGTAGAATACATTTTTGTACCTCTGGGTGTGATGATTTTTGTTATAGTACTTTCCGCGGTGGTGAGCTTACTCAATTATATTTTGCTACTTTAAGTATTGATACAATGGTCTAAAAATATTGAGTACTGATTGTTGTACAGGTAATAGTAATATCAAGAAAGCGAAAATTAGAAAGACTTCGACATAGACTGATGCCACTGTATAACTTTGATCCTGGTGAAGAGGGAGAAGATGATTGGGAAACAGAGTTGCTCGATGAGGGTTTCGTCAATCGACAGAGACGTGTTAGTAATTCTATCGTCACTTGAGCGTAAACACAAAAAAAAAAACAGAACGAATGAATAACGAATGGCTTAATTATATATATACAATGTAGCAAGGATACCAGTCTATGGACAGCGATGAGAACGCCGAACTATTTAGTCCTGCGCGCTCGCATCCGCTTGGATAATTTCTTTACTTGTTGCTAGATAACTCTTTTATATATTTTTGACAAAAACAAAAAAAGAAAACAAAAATGAGCAATTATATAAGCTATCTGTAACAATGAATTATAATGAGCAATATTGCAACGTAGGATACATATATCTAAAGGTAATTCTTCAAATTAAAACTTTATTTTAAAAATTATTTGAGATCATGTTTTTAATTTGTGATAATTTTAATTGACAGGATACAGACATTGTCATAAGATGATAGAAATGTAGCAAATGTAGCAAGAAATTTTTCACTAAACAATAGACTAAAACTCTTAAAGCTGTGGTTGACTAATATAAATGGTAATTCCATTTAATTCTTCAGTCAATTCGTAACATATTTTAGCTTCTTCTAGTTGAAAATGCATTAGTTTGAAAATAATTTATATTAATACATGCCAATGCAATAATTTTTTAATATTTATGAAAACTTTGCATGATTACAGTTCTAAAATGTAATACAGTTTAAAAACATATAATCTTTCAACAATTTTATAACTTTTTAAATATGTACATTTTAATATGTACAAATTATCTACTGTACCAAAGGTGCTTATTTCATATAAAATTAAAGGGTTCTGCACCATATTTGCTTGATTTGCAAAGGTGGTCGAAATAAGATATATAATGAAAAGACTTACAAATACAAATAAAATATTGTATTCCCATAGCATGTCCAACAATAGACATAACATGCACTTCTTGTAGGCTTCTAATTACATAATCAAAAATGTGCTAGTTACTTTGTTATAAAAGATATTTATCATTGATAATCTTACCATAGACACTAATAGCAAATTTTCTATCAAATTATAGTGTACAAAATAATTATTCAACTAGTATTTGTCATTATGACAATTTCAATTGTATTGTTTTAATTAAAATAATTTTATTGCGAATCTTTTTACTACAAATGATTATATTTAGCATTTGACTAATCTACAATAATGAAAGAGAAAGTTATGGTGATTAATTAAATTTATTGACATTCTATTATGAAGATACAGAATTCACCAAATATATTAACATAACATTTTTCTCTTGATAAGCAAATAAATGAAGTTGTGAACAATTTCAATGTAATTATAAAACTTGAGTTTCCAAAATTGAAAAAAAATTACTAGTTCTTATGCTGATATTGCTGTAGATACAAATTATAAACGTGGGAAATATAAACGAGATTTGCACTACAACAGATTACTGAAGTTACAATTCTTTGAATAACAATTTAATCACTTGCCGTGTTTGTAAAGTATTACGATTTGGAATGTTATTAAATTAAATATTTCAATTAAATTAAATATTCCAAATAAATTAAATATTCCAAATAAAATAATAAAAACAATCCAATAGCTTGTTAATAATTATATAAAATTCTTGATAGTAATGTGAAAATATAGCATCAAGAAATGTGATAATTATAAAGAAAGCATGTATTGTGACATTTGTCGGTAGAAATAACATATAATTACGAAACGATGAGTGATAAAAGATTTTTAATATCTGCCATGGTTTTATAAACGCATATCGTTTACGTACACAGTCGATATTATAAATGAGTAAATAATATTTAACTTAACCGTTTCATTCAATTTTTTGTAAAATAATTATTTTCAAAATTTCACATTTGAAAATTATATCTAAAATTTATGAAAAAAAATGTTTTTAGGGTGTCAGTAATGTTTTTCTAAGCGACGTATCATAATGAGCTGTCATTATGTATATATGTGTAGTAACATTTCAGTTACGTACTTAATTTATGATGAAAACGCTGATAAAAAAAGAAATGTACATAAAAAAGAACATTTTCTTTTGCAATATTTTATATTCAAAATATAAATATAAAAAAAAGAATGACATTTGACGAAACCAACGAATACCGTAATTACAATGTAAAAATTGATAAACTAGTATGGAATGACCAAATGATTTAATAACGTTTCAATAAATGTATCCAATTGTTTTTACGTAATTTTTTTTATTCATTTTCTACTTAATGTTATACATTCACAAATGGTTCCAAGGTATTGATGAAAAGTAAAAAATTTAAATCGAAAGATGTAGTCTGTGAATTTATTTACTTTAATACAAATTTGACACTCACTCAATAATGTTTCGTACGTAGAATTAGGACTTCTTTTCGTTAATTAGATTATTTTTAGTACTTAAAAGACAAGAAAAAATTCTTTCTTACATTCGCGGCATAAACAAAGCATCGTTCAACTGTCAGCAAGAGCTTTTTTTACTAGATATACCCACATGTAGTACAGATGCAAAGAAAGGAGATAGTGCTTTAGTAAACAGAACGTTTCATTTTTCAAATCATGTCACATTAATTTAAAAAAATCGAAGACAAAACAAAAAAAAAAAAAAAAAAAAAAAAACAAAAAAAACACTTGTCCCAAAGGAATTCCTATAATGCAAACGCACGAGTATCCAAAAAACATGGATCACTACACACCATTTACTTTGTGTTGTCATTTAAATTTTGACTTATCTCGACGCATCACATAATTACAGAACCTTTATATCTTTTGGCGCTTTTTCCCTCTATGTCGAAATCATTATTTTTTTATTAAATATACGTGCTATAAAACCGTTCAGTGAATTAATCGATCGTTTAAAAATCGAAGAATAAAAGGACCTAGATTCATGTCTTCAACCGACATGTTTACAAAAAGAAACTCTTAAAGCATATTATTCATTTGAAGAAACAAAGAGGATAGACGTGTGAGTTGTCGTCATCGTCAAAATAGAGAAAGGGCTGCTCGCTTAATGTGTTATTTTAATGATTTATTTTGTTCATCAGCAGGTGTTCTGATTGTTCAGTTCTCCTCCTCTTCCTCTTCCTCCTCCTGTTCGTCTTCCTCCTCACCAGTGCTTTCAGGTTTCTCCTCTACCTTCTTCGGCCGGCCACGTCCACGTCCGGGGGACTTCGCTGCGGCGGTCTGTAAATATTACACATTCCATTATCACCAAACAATCTTTACGTATATCTGATTTCAGGTTTTAGTATCATTGTGCGGCTACAAATACGTCTCTCTCTGCAAGTTTTCTTAATGTTAAACTTATCCATTTTTGTTTACTTTCGTGTCAATGGTTTTGCGGACATTCCAGAAATAATCTACCAATTACATTTATTACGTGAATTGTCATTTCTCGGCAACGTAAACATTTCTTAAAACGGAATTTTTTAAACTGCAAAATGCGTCTATCGCGAAAATATACGAACTCTATCTCTAAAAAAATATTTGTATTGATACATCATTTGGTAGCACGTAACTAACTAAATGTACGTTAGAAATATTTGGTAATGCTTGTAAATCTTGCTACCGTTTATGGAAACATTGTTCACTTATCTTTCAAAACGTTCTATCGTTACCATTGCAACAAAAACATGAAAGTAATATACCGAATAAAAGAAGTCAATAGACGTTACTTGATAACAACTATTGGCTATAAGTTTTTATGAAATAAAACATTTTGAAATACTGAAAAAAAATTAACAATCTCTCAAAAAATCTAAAGTCATTAAAAATCTTAGCTTGCATTACCTTCTTTTTGTGAGAACCCTTTGGCCTACCGCGTCCCCTCTTGACTGGCACCGCAGGCGCGTCATCTTCGCCGTCGGACTTGGCTTTGCTGTTCTTCTCAGTGGTGGACCTGCCTCTCTTCTTGGGCTCCTTAACAGCGTTCTTCTCGCTTTTAGCCTGCCGGCCCCTCTTCTTCTTCTGCTCATCCACAACCGACGAGTTATCATCCGACATCCTTGCCTCCTCTATTTCACTCGGAACACAAACTGGACAAGACGGAAACAATGAAGAATGAAAAAAAATTCCAAAACGACATTCGATGTCCGTTAGTAGATGCGCAATAGGCTATCCCACACCCGTATAAACAAACTCATCTCCGTCGTCCCCCTTCGAGAAACGAGCAAAAACGCACCCGCCATTTTCAAAATAACCAAATAAATAAGCGTCCGGATAATAATTTCGAATTACTACAAAGCGCTGGTATTGGGAAAAATTCCCAAAAAATTTTTGGATTTTTTCCGACCCACGGCGGCTCGGTTGAGAATGTAGGATCAGAGGAAAAAATTGTTGCCTACCGTTTGGCGCGAAAGGAAGCAAGCTCGTCGAGCATCGGCGTTGGTGACGCCGCCATGACGCCTCGCGTCCTCCCGCCACAACAATGCGCGCGCGGCGATGAGACCGATGCCGATACCCGTTTTTTCTCTGCAAGTAAACCCCGCCGCCCACTCGTGATCATCTCGGAAATTCGCTGGTTTATCGTCTTTCAGTTAAAATCAATTGGAAGTTCAATGGACATGTAAATACACCCCCACTGCCACTGTGCGCGGGAAAATCCACCTGACGTACGTTCACTCTACACCTTCCATATTCCAATAAACAAAAATAGTGAAAACAAATATTGCCCTACATCGAAAGTCACCTATAGACCGGGACTGTGTGTACTCCAAAAAAAATAATGCGGAAGGTCGCAAACATAGGAAGTAGAAGGAAAATTACCTGATAAAGCTTGCTGTTTAGCGAGGGAGAAGCTGAGTAGTGATACGTCTGCAAACTGGGCCGTACGACTGACGCTCGTCGGCGTCTCTCCAGATATCCGCGTCTGCTGTCCCTTCCCCTTTTCTGCGCAAGCGAATTCCCTCCCCCTTTCGTATATACACACACGGCGTTCTTGAAGCCGAGGAAGAGAGAGAGAGAGAGAGAGATTCACCAAAATCGATGCGGCTTAGTGTGCGTATATGTGAATCGATTCCCGAGCTTGCCCCGTAACGGACGAATCCCCACTACGTCGATTTTTATCAAGCCATTATCTGAAGGAATAATTAAAGATACGGAAATTATATATTAATGAGAGTTTGATAGATTTTTTTAATTTTTTATAGAGAAGGGACGTTTTCTCTTATTATTGTATTCGTATTCTGTAAACTTGCTAAATGTTGGGATTTTAGCAATGAAGGACAGATACATTGCAATTCATGGAATTCAAGTGATAAAAAAAATGAAATGCAATAAATGTGTTTTGAAAACCTGTGAGTATGCGCAAAGCGTCGTCCAATCCGTTGGGTCATAACTTTTAACTTCATTGTTCAGTTTGGTGGCCTAGGCACCGATTGGTTGACTGCCGGTGAGTGCATGCTGTCCGCCTTGCTGGGTTAATTATTGCCCCCCTCGTGTGCGTCGAGAGATTGGAGATGTATAAGAGGAGATATAAGAATTTAGTTTCTAAGGGGGTAATGGTGATTTTTTCCTTAGCCTGATCATCAATTCTGGCAAAGGAGTTATAGTGGTGTGGGTGTGTAATATATTGTCATCATGATTGTATAGGAAAAATATTGGGAATATACACGTGATTAACATGGATTTCGAAGAGGAAAAGAAATTCGTTATTGACACGAGAAATGTCTTCTTTAGTGCGCTTATTGTAAGTTATTTTCATTGTTATTGTTTGTTTACGATAGATAATAATTGTTCATGTTTATTTCGTTGTTTTAAGTGTTTTAAAGTTTTTACTCCAAAATGGTTATGTTTTTTTTCGTTTTACTTAATCTACTATTTACTTTTAACTAACTACTATTACTTTAAATATATTTACTTTAAAAAATTAATGTAATATTAATTTATATATTCAGTTATTTATACGCCTATTGCATTTTACAATGAATTTATAAAGCAAGTTATGCTTCAATTTTATTTATTTTAAAAAAATTTGAAATTTCAATTTCAATATATAAAAATACATTTGGAAAGTTTTGTCAATATAAAATAATAAATTTTATTATATCTTACTGAGAGAAATCATTTATTTGAAGTCAGGTGGATTTGCTGGAACATGTGTTGATGTTGCACTCTTTCCAATTGATACGCTTAAGACTCGTTTACAGAGTGAAAATGGGTTTATGCGGTCAGGAGGTTTTTCAAAACTTTACACAGGATTGGCTCCAGTCATTATGGGATCAGCACCCACAGGTAAATATTAAACTAGTCCTCTTGTATATTTATAAAGTTTACTATAAATTTATTACATGAATATTTTCTTATAGCTGCCTTATTTTTTGTTACCTATGAAAGTATTAAAATGATATTACATGATAGTGTACGAAAAGAATTTTTACCATTTTTACACATGGGTGCAGCTTCAATGGCAGAGATTGTAAGTGAATATTTATCTATTACTTCAGGCGATACCATTTATTAATAAATATATCTTTATTTGCAAAGGTATCATGCCTTATTAGAGTACCAGTGGAAGTAGTCAAACAGAGAAGACAAGCTCTATTACCAGATCAAGGCAGATATAATCTAAAGTTACTTTACAGAGGTTACTGGAGCACAGTAATTAGAGATATGCCTTTTAGTTTAATTCAGTTTTCTATATGGGAATACCTCAAAAGAATTTGGGCCGAACAGGCTCAAAAAGATGTTTATCCATTTGAAAGTGCTATATGTGGTGCTATGGCTGGTAGTATTGCTGCTGCTTGTACCACACCATTTGATGTTGTAAAAACTAGGATTATGCTTGCCAATAGATCAGTTAAGAAAACAACTGATTTATCTGTTGTAAACATACTTTTGTCAGTTTATAAGATTAATGGACCATCTGGGTATGTTTTTTATATTATTTATTTTTATTTTGAAGAATGAGTGAAATTAAATGATATATATTCTATATTTTTTAGTTTATTTGCTGGTATAGTTCCTAGAGTGACCTGGATATCAATAGGTGGTTTTATTTTTTTTGGTGTATACGAAAAGTCTAAAGCTATTTTGGATTTCTAACTGGAAAATCATTTTATAAATTGTTTGTACCTGCGTTCAATGTTCATTAGATTAATTGTTTTAGGTAATTATAATTAATATTTTTAACTACAATTTCGTTAGAAAAATATGTTAAATATTTTAAAAGATTATATAAAATAGTTTATTATTTCAATATAAAGTTTTACATATAAAATATAATAAAATTTTATAGATAAATATTTTGCATTGTTGCTGTCACCCTAATTTAACCATTTTTACAAAACTTTGCTTATAAAAAGAATCAACATTGTTTGTAACTTTTTAGATTACAATTTGGATTTCAAACTGCCCATCAGTTTTTCTAATTTCATGGCCTTTTGAATATTTCCGGTCACTTTCAATTTTCCCATCATAAATGCGGTTGCTGGTTTCAATTTCCCTAACAAAAAAATACAAGTTTACATTTGTTTCAATTTTTTATCTTAAAAATAAATATGATTTTGGTTTACCTGAAAACATAGCAAAAAAGTTTGCAGAATCCATTGTCAATGTAGCATCTGCAGGGGAGTTTGGCGGTTCACCTTTACCAAGAGAGCCTTTGCCATTCTTCAGATCCAAATACCAAATTCCAGCTTCATCACCTGAAAATCGTTTAGAAAAAAAAATTTAGTCTGGCAATTTAAGCCAAAATAAAAATTCTATGTTATATAAATCTATCACCGACTTCTGGTGCTGTTATGGTTAAAAAAGATCGTACCTTTAACATTAAACTGGAAGATAGCTCCAGTTTTGGTCACAAGTTCATTGCTCAAATTTTTGTCAATTGCAGCAAATATCATTTCAATTTTTCCACCACTTCCTCCATTTGCTTGACTTAATTTCTGATGCCGTTGCACTTCTTTTTCAACCATTCTTGGGTCTATTTTGTCGATATCTAGGAAGAAATCCAGCATAAGGTTATCAGCATTTGCTATAAAAATAAAATTTGTTATTAAAAACAATATAATTCCACAAAATTAGCAACTTATAAGATATTACAGAATGGGGTTACGTACATGGATCACAAGCATACTGAACAAAATCACTAACACCTTCATTCCTCAATATATCTTCATCAACAAAGAAATTGCCAGTCACAGCTTTACTGTCCTTGCACATAATAGCATAAGCAGCATCAGCTACAATTTCTGGTTTTCGACTAGTTCTCGCTGATTCTGAACCAGCCAACATTTCCATGGCTGCAGTATGAATAGCTGAAAAAAACAAAATAAATGACTGTTAACTAAACTAATTATAAATAAAAATTAAGTTTTAAATACAATAATTATTACCAGTCTTAGGCCACAGAGCATTAACAGCAACTCCTCGATCTTTAAATTCCTCTGCCATTCCAAGAACGCACATAGACATACCATATTTTGCTATTGTATAGGCAATATGATTCTTGAACCAGATTGGATGCATACTTAGAGGTGGACTTAAATTGATTATGTGTGGATTTTTACTTTTCAACAGATGAGGTAGACAAAGCTTTGACCTATAAAATTACATTTTTTATAAAAGATATAAGAAACAAGACTCTTTAACCTACACTAGAAAAGTTCCTCTTGCATTGATTTGATTCATGAGGTCATATCTCTTCATTTCAGTATTCAAAGTATCAGTCAGAGAAATTGCACTGGCATTATTGACTAGAATATCAATTCCTCCAAATTTATCAACTGCATTTTTAACAGCATTGGCAACTTGAGTTTCATCTCTTACATCAACTATACATGGTAGAGCTTTTCCACCAACCTTTTCAACTACAAAGCATTCACATAATGAGCGTGAAATAAGATATTCACTAACAATATGTTTGAAATTTTTAAGTTCACTTACCTTCATCAGCAGCTGAATAAATAGTTCCAGGTAGCTTAGGGTGGGGTTCAGCAGTTTTAGCTGCCAAAACAATATTAGCACCGTCTTGCGCAGCCTTGAGGGCAATACTTTTGCCGATACCTCTTGACGCACCGGTTATGAAAATAGTGCAACCAGCAAGTTTCCTTTTAAATAAACAACGATAAAAAAATCACGGTTATAGACGTTTCAAAATTGTATACGCATAATGGAATTTATACTTTACTTACCCTGTGTTAATCATTTTTACGGAGTAAAAGTGTTTGATCGCACAGCGCTATAAGATAATCAACAATATAGAATATAAAAGTTGCAAATCACTGTTAACTTGTTATGTGTCCATCCAAAAGAGATCAAAGTACAACATCAAGTCTTGCACACAAACATGCCACATACGCATTATATGTGCGAGATCTGTTTCACCGACATTCACGCACACAATCTCGGACATTAACTGTACCATGTATACATGCACACATATACATTCATAAACACTCAACTGGACTCAAATATAAGATAATAGTTAATTATACTGTTATCTAACAATTTCTAAGAAATTTACATCAAATTAGGTTTCAAGACAATGCTGGCTTTTATTAAAAACTCTTGAAAATATAAATACATTTTATATTACAGTTTTTGAGTGAACATTTATGTGCTATTTACATGTGCTTAATTAAGAATTCCATTCCATAGTCGTTGCAACTTCAAATAGATTGTCGCCAAGTTGACTAAATTCTGTTGATGCTTCGCAGTGATGAAGAATGTTTGGATGTATCTTTTCATCTCCATAATATGCACCTGCTATGGCACCTGTCATACTACCAATGGTATCCGTGTCTCCTCCCAAGCTTATCTAAATACGTATAAAAGCTAGAATTAGTTAAATATATTTAAAAAAAAATTTTTATTTAATTTACTCACAGCATATTGAAGAGCTCTTCTAAAGCAGTTATTTGTATTGATACCTTCGATAGGCTTTTGGGCCCTCAGAAAACAAAATATTGCAGTAGGTACAGACCTCAATCCACTAATGTCATTACCTAATTCACGAATAACATTTTTTACAATTGGCTTGTCTGCTCCTTGCTCTTGAAGTAACTTTTTCATTACATCTAGTTGTATTTTGTAAGGTTGAGCTTCTACTAGATCTAGACTATAATTAAAAATAATTTAATATTTGATTAGTTTTTAAAAGAGTAGCTTTGAGGATTTTTGTTTACCCTTCTTCATCTACTTCTAGTTTGCTCATTTTTTCTCTAAGCTCATCAACAAAGCTCAAAACATCAAGATCTTCTTCTGGATATTTGTGGAGAACTTGCTGAACAGCAATTGCCTGAAAAAATATGTATATTTCAAATAAATCCATGTATAATATATAGTATATATTAGAAGAAAATCACCTGTAAAATAGCTCCATCAATTCCTATTTTATGAGTATGCGTAATTTGAGACTGTTTCCTAGCCATATCTATGAGTTTTTCATAATTATTATAACAAAATAAAGCTACTGGTGTAACTCTCATAGCTGCTCCATTACCGAAAGACCCTTGACCGTGAAATTGTTCTTTGGCTGGTTGCATAATATCTGTGAATTTACCCCCTCGTAGCTTTTCGAACACCTAGAATGTTAATTGAAAAATTGTACTTGTTGTGAATAAATGAAGAAAATATCAAAAAACAGCAAGCGCATTCAACGAAATAGCAAATGATAACTTATTTTTTGATCAACAATACTACACACTGTTACAACACTAAGACCGTATCCTCTGTGAGGCTCTTGATAATAACTTTTTACAAACTTTTTGGCCATGTCAACCAAGTCAATATCTTTTTTGTCAATTAAGGATTGAGCTACTGATTTACTCATTGCAGAATCATCAGTGTATTGCATGACAGGAGCTGTGAAAAATACACAAATTATAAAAAAATTTTCAAATACTAATACTTCATTAATACCTTTATATACTGGTCCTTCGAGTTTATCAAAAGAATTCTGCAATACCAATTTCGTTCCCGAACTCAATTTCTCATTCTCATACGGGCTTCCCAAACAGTCACCCGTCAAAACACCAAGCATCGAACCCCGGAATTTTTTTCTAAATAGTGACAAGTCGATTTTAGTCATGTTTCTTTTGTGTTTCAACAATTAATTTCTGCCAAAACAAGTTCACAGTGTTACACTGCCCGGCATATGATAAGCTTGCGGCTAACGGCTACGTAATTACGTCACGTGTTCATGTTTTTATTTCTCATTGGCTTGTAGTCAGCTGCGATCAGCTGGTAGGTTAGTTTAAGCAAAAACGCGACTAATCGTACACAACTCAAATACGTGCACATAAAATTTTTGAAATGGTTTTTTAATAATTTAATTATGTATCACACGCCATTGAAGAATAGTAAAAATGTGAGTAAACCATTCAAGTCACCGTTCGACCCTTCTACTCAAAGCAAAGACCAAAGTAAGAGTTGTGATAGAAAACGCAAAATTAATAATGAAGTCGATAATTCACCACTTGTTACAAAGTGAGATTTTTTCTATCTATTACATGAATTTGTTGAGAATTATTTAATAATTACAACGATAATCATATATTTTCAGATGTAATTTAGTTGCAAAGCGAGTACTTATGTTAGATGAAGAGGAGAATGATAAAATATTAAATACTCCTGAGTTAAATAATGCAAATCAAAATTCTCTAAAACTGACTAGTGATACATTGATCTTAAAAAAGAAGAAATTTAACAAAGAAGAGAAAGACAAGAAAAAATTGAAAGTCGTTGATTCAAATACTGTAGATTTTAATTCTGCAAAAAAACTAACTCAATGTGATCTATTGATGTTGAAAAAAAAGACATTTGAAGTACGGCAAGAAATAGAATCAATAAAATCTAGAGAGATGTGTACAAAAAAGGTTTGTGAAATGTATATTTTTAAAGAAAAAATAATTTTTATGAAAATCCACGATTTATTACTTTACTTGACAGCACAATCCACAAGAATTACGTGATTCTATAAAAAAATGGAGAACAGCTTGCCAAAGTGCCTTAGAAATACTTTGTTCAGAAACTTCAAAGCGAAATGGACAAAGCATGAAAATTTCAGATATTCTCAGTATGCTAAATATACCAGAAACATTAGTTCATTATTCAGAAAAAGATGATTCCTTTAATTAGGAGTATATGTGTTAAATAAGTTCATGTTTAATGTAAGTTTTTTATGTTGTATTTATTAATATATTTTCATAATATCTATCAATGTAACAAAAATTTTTTTAAATTTTGTTCTTAATTCAAATTCTGAATTCAATATGCGTTATTACCATATGTAAAATAAATTTTCAATTGGAACCTGTTAACAGCTCATTATTGTTCAATTATAAATATCGTTTATTTATATTAACCAGCCATGTCTAAGTTAAAAAAATTATAAAACTGTACAAAAATCATTGCAGTTTTAAATAATAAATCCATTCTAAAATCTACAAGCTATGTTTTCGTTTTTTGCTCTTCTTCATTGTTTCCTTGCTATTTTCATAGATGTTGTCATTTTCTTCGCTGGGAGCTATCTTTTTCTCACCAGTCTTAATAGAAATAAGATTCTTGCTCTTCTTGCTTGACTTCAAAGCATTAGACCATTCATTCTCACTACCCTTAATCGCGTACTGTTGTATGGATTCGTGCAGCTTTTGGAACTGCTTCTTTTGTTCTTTCTTCAATTGTTTATCAGCTACTTCAAGTTCTTTGTGCATATCAGCTGCGTTCTGTGGATTAACGTCAAGTGCATTGCTCGGATCTTTGGTATCTTTGAACGAACAGCCAACTGTTTCGGCGATCACCTCGTTCAAGTAGCTAGTCGATTTACGTATAATTCTATTAAACAATCCCAAAACTTGTGACGCTACGAGGACATTGCTATCGTTTGTCGATGTCTTATTTAACTCTTTGACCACTTGATCAACGGTTTTATGCTGTAAGCCAAGACTCAACAATATCGCCGATTGAACAGCCGAGAAATGTATATTTTTCATCAGGTTCAAAAAGTACAGTTTAGCTAGTGGTGGAATGAGATCCATGATCAAATGATAGTCACTCATATTGTTACCATATTTCTCCAAACGAGCCACATCGTAGCCTGTGAAGTATGTATCCAGTACGTACTTTTGGAGCGTTTCGTTTGGCAATTTAATCGTGTTATTCGTTAAGATCGCTAGCGCTAACGAAGGAGGATATTCTCTAAAAAAAAAAATGCATGTATCGATAATTAAAAATCAATACTCAAAACAAACATTCAATTAAACTAACTACCTGAACGCCGAAGCAAGCAATGTGATGAATCGTTTTCTAAAGTCCTTCCAATAAGCAGGTAACCATTCGTTAGCTTCACTCTGAAGACTCGACAACATAATACAAGAATGTTCTCCCGTAATATCATTGGCCGTTTGTCTGAGATACACCGGTACGAATTTGGCTCTCTTCCAGAATTTCAGTAAAGGTTCCGTAACGCCAAATGACACACCTACGTAATCAAGTTTTTCTGGTCTCCTCTCCGTTAATTTCAACAGCAACGGTGGTAACGAACTCTTCGGTTCAATCGTTTCCTCCAATAAATCTACTTCGTCTTCCTCAATTTGCTTTACTTCTTGTGGCTCGTCAGCTTCCAGGTTGGGGAAACAAACCTGATAGTATTGACGTAGAAGCTCCAACGCTCGTCCACCGTAGCCCATACTTTGGTAATCTGGATGGGTAGCGATACGGACAATTCTAGCACCGCAGAGAGATGGAAAATCTTCGTCTTGAAATTGCTGAGCTATTGTCCAAGGGATTAAATCTCCAGCGGCACGACGACCTCGACCTAGTCCGTCACTGATTGTCGATTTTTTTATCTCACCCTCGAGGCAGACCTGAAATTTCATTTGCAATTGAGTTACAAAAAGTGCGTTCGATTGTTTAGCTAAGAAAATCACACGAGAAAAATTACCTGGATGACAACCAAAATTTCAGGCAAAGTTTTTCTGTCAGGATCGATGGGACCGAGTAAACAAAACAGATGATGCGCCGGTGCATCGGACATCATCTGTAAGTCGTTAGGACTGTTCTTATAATGCGAAGAAACACAAAGAGCCATCATCCTCTGCAAGAATTTCTCAGAAGCCTTATGATAAGAGAACAAGGTATCTCTATTTATATAGTACAATTGACAGTCGTCTGGTGTAGGACAGCCAGAGGATATGGATGGAACTGTAGTGGTTACATCTAAACATAAAAGATCGCAAAGCCATTTCTCTACGCTGTCACCAGGTCCATACCTGATCGGTTCTTCCAAAACAAGCTCCTGCAATTGTCTGCCAATGATAGCTTTAGCTTCAAGATCTTTTTGTCTACTGGTGGTGTTGATGTAAGCGGACTGAGCTCTTAATTGTTGAAGGAGTTTCAGCGTCAAAGAACGTCCGGTTCCTTCGTATCCATTAATCGTCGATGCCATGAATGTTAAGTAAGGTCCTAGCATGGCTTTGACGTGTGGCAACGGGATGGCAGCTGCTTCATCGATAACTAATAACTCACAGAGACTTAGTTTATCTTTAGCATCAACAGGGTGAATATATTGGATAGTTTGTCTGTGATCTCTGAACACATTTACTCTGATGGTTGCTTGATTGAATTCTGGGTTGGTTGACTGGAAAAATTCGTAGTCCGTGTGCTCTTGATAGTTTAAGGCTTCAAAACCTTTGGAGATGAATTCAAAAACTGTTTTCAAATTTTCAGGACTGGGACTGGTAATGTAAATGTTAGAGTAGCCAAACGCTATGGCTCCTGCGATTGCTAGTCCTAAGGCTGCTGATTTACCACGTCCTCTAGCTGCAGTCAGTGAGATTGTAGATCTAAGTGTTTTTTCAGAGATTGCTTCAATGAATTTGAGTAGAGCTTTTGCTTGGTCAGTTGTTTTGCAACAATTTACTATTGCCCCCACTGGTTGGGTATCTTGTAAGCTTTTCTTCAGCATATTCAATTCACTTGTGTCAATTGGATTTATTTTCTTGCTAAAATCAGTGGTCAAATTATGAGACGACAGTGGTAACACTTGAAGTTGATCGTCCACTACTAAACAACGATCACATGAGGCTAAGGACAGTAGAAATCTTTCATTAAATCTACAAACTACATCTTGATGAGCCTCTGTTCTAAATCTCTGATGCACATCCATGTTCATAGTGTAAAGTTGCTTTAATGAATTAATACTTTGAAGAAGAAAGATTATTAAACCACCACCTTGTACAGTTTCAAGAGTTCTTGCCAACAAATTTGGAGTTAGTGCCTCAAAGTCTTGAAGAATACATATGTCATATGTACTACCAAGTATCTTATGAGTCTCATTGTAGTAACAATATCTAATTTTGGTTGACATTATAAATAGATCAAATGGATCATCATCATCGAAATTGATCTTGCCAGACTTTGCTTTCTTTTGCAGAGCTTTCATTTTTTTCTTCCTGTGGCTACTAAATCCTAAATCTTTTTTGTAACACCAGAGGACAGTAGGCTGTGCTTTTACTGTTGATTTCATAAGAATGTTATGCAGGAGAACTATTTGATCTTTTGCTTTTTCTCCAATGATGATGAACATGGTCCTGTGTCCATTGGCAACTCCATTTTCCATCATCAGCCTTATTCGATTGTCTATCTTTTTTCGTACCATGTTTACTGATCGTAGTTCAATGTATGATTAGAAATATCTGAAACAAAACTACTCTTATTTGTCAGTGACATCCTAGAGATAGCTTGATGTTTTATTTAAAATTTGTTAAATCACACCGATCATGACTTTGATCTTTGTATCTAAATTTTCTTTTAAATTTGAAATCTTCGTAAAGTAATTATATATTTTGATAAAATATTAATTTAGAGAATGTAAATATAACCTCAAAACATAACGTTCCATTTAAAAATTCTCAAATTCTTATATTAATTATTTCATTTTCAATAAAAATTCAATTTTCTGATATAAAATTAATATTACTTAATCTATAATGTTTGTTAACTTTAGAAAATCCATATAAATATATTAAAAAATATCACAAACACATGCTTACAGATGAAACCACGACACCACGTGGAAATGCGTCGTTTGGTGGCGCTGCCAGTCAAATAAGTTGTTTTCGTTGCGACGCGTCCGACACGTCACGCCGCACGCGGCACGGCACGCGAGTATACGCGACGAAAAGCTTCGCTTTACAGTTCGTCCGTGTGAATATTTTGCGTTGAAATTCTGTGGAAAAACAGACGAAAAAAATGTCGAACGTTGAAGCTATGGATGAGGACAGTGATCCTGTAGTGAAAGAAGTAAGATTATTCTTCTTTTTCAAATATACTTTTGCAATTTTAGTTAGTTGAACAGTGTTTTGCTGCTTTTGTAAATTAAAGTGTGAGGTTAGAAATTCGGAAGTGTGCTCGTTTTCTCGGATATGATTCAATCATCGTAGTGTTACTAATTTTTTAATCTTTTAATAATGGGATTTGTCGATATTTCAAGCTCTCAAGTGTCATAATATTTTCCAGTTGATCCTGGGTTATGCTAGGAGCGTAAGCTGGAAAATTTCTTGCGAATGACATTCGCATATAAACAGATATTTTCTGCTTCCAATGCATACATAAACTTGAAGATATCATTTTCGGGTTAAAATATAAGTAATAAATTCAAGCTTGAAATGCAACTTTCAAGGTTAAGGATGTGTCCTGGACATTTTTCATTATTTTTTTCCTACTCAGTGCATCCAATTACATAAAAAAATACTCTTAACTCACTAAATCAAATTTTCGACATTGGATTTGATTCGCAGATGGAACCGATCGAAATTTCAAACACCAATTTGGTCAGGCACTTGATGTTAAAAATTTTTTGATTTTATGTACAAATATCTAGTAAAAAACATCCAATATCAACGTAAACGTTCTAAAAAGGTTAAATATCCAAAAAATGAATTGGTTATTCAATTGGCCCAGTTACTGTCACTTTGACTAAGATTATTAATAATAAACATGATTTATCTTCTTGGAATTGAATTAAACACAGGCATCAAAATATATTAAAAATAGACAATAATAAGTTATATTTTTTATAATATATTTTATAATCAACTTGAATGTTGGCATTTCATGTATATCTTATCTAGTTTTAAAAATTACTCATTCTAAAAAGAGTTAGATATTTTAAATTTAATTATCTCTTATTTGTTTTTAGATACCTGTATTTTTGTCAAAAAAGCTTGACAACAAGTTGTTTATTTTTCAATATCCACTGAAACCAGCAGGAGATGGTTACGATAATTCAACTTTTATTAAGACTGCCATAAAACCTGAGAATCAAGAGGTCACAATAGAAGTAGCAATCGATACTAGTGATTCTCATTATAATACGGGTAGAGGTAAAACTATTGCAACTCAGGCTGAAGCTCATTCAAGAAAAAATCAGGATGAAAATGAAAGGGTGTTTGATAGGTAGATAAATTATATTTATGAGGTATAATTTTTATAATCTGATAAAAAATTAGTCTAATGTATGTGTAATATTCATTGATTTTAGTGAAATGATGGATAAAGTAATATTACACTCATCAAGAGCATTACCAAACTGTGATAATTATGGGATTGGTATTTATCAAGATGAGGAGTTTTATATTACTCCTTTAAAGGGAATTTTACAGCTGCGTCCTGATTTTACTTACCTTGACAAAGGTGACAAGCGAGGAAAAGATGATGGAAAAAATATAGGAGATGGTAATTCAACATTTACACTTAAGACTCATTGCCTTACTTCTTTTTTTCTAATGCTTTGGTTCAATTGCAGAAGTTGATGAGGAAAATGAGCCAGCCAGGCAAATTAATGTAACATTTGCTAGACAAGTTCCAGAGTTTATTAAGAAAATGAAAGAACAATCTTTCCTAACTCGAGCTAAGAAAAGTTTAGAAGAACCATGGATTAATTGCCGATATAGACGTGCTAATAGTTCACACGCTGATGTATGGTTTTTATTTTATAAGATCTCAGCTAGTTATCAGAAAATTTTACCTTGTATCTATTGCTCAATAATATCGTAAATTTATTTTCTTTTGTAGATAAATCGTATGGAAATGCTTTGTTCTAACAATGATAACGAGTCAGTTAATCATTTAAATTTGTCATCAAAGCAGTACCTAGACACGCTAGCTCCTCCAATCAAAGAAGAGCAATTCTCTAAAGCTAATATTCCTAGTCACACCACTACACTTAGCTATATTCGTACCCTACCTTTATTAGATCAAGTTCGGATACTCATGAAAGATGGTTAATATTTCATAATTTTTTTTTCAAACAATTTTTTAAAACTATATTTGTGTTTCAGCCAAGGTAATGTCATTTCCACAATTGAGGACGATTCTGGCTTCCGAGCATGAAACGGTTGTCATTCTTAAGTATCTACAGCAAGTTGCAGTATTAGTTCAAGGAAATTGGGTTGTAAATAGCGAACTTATTTATCCTAAGGATACCATGTCTGCGCATAGCGGGATTCCTGCCGAGCTTATGTGCAGAGCACGAGATTATGTAGTACGTAAAACATTTTCTTTTCGTTGAATATATTTTAATTTTTGATTATTTATTTACACGAGATTTGTTTTATTTTTGTAGCTTTTATCTTTTACCGAACATGATTACGTCGATAGAAGAGCAGTTTCGTCGGTAGTCAAATTACCTGCAGAAGAAATTCGTGAAATTTTCACAAACATCGCGAAGCATCAACCAAAGAAGGGCTGGAAATTGATTGTTCCTCCGAACAAAGAATTTTGTAAAAGGTATTCTTGGAGAAAATGTAAATATAAATTATAAATACGCGTTTATTGATTAAATAATTTTCTTTATTTTAGTTACCCAGAGATAACCCAACGTCAAGATTTGTTTTGGGAAGCAAAACGCAAGCATCTTCGCGAAGCAATGGAAGCGATGAATCAAGCACCCCAGCGTCAAAGACGTAAATCGAATCGCGAGTCGATAGGTTCTGAAAACGAAGAACGAAATATTGGTCGAGGGAATCGCAAGTCATTGAGAGATTCATCGATGTCTGACAATGACAGTGCCACCGAGAATGTAAAACATAAGAAATCTAATCGCGGCAGAAAGACTTCGGAAACTGGAACTTCGTGACCCAAGGAGAAACGAAAGTAAGCGGTTGATTGAAAGTTATAGATAAATGTTTTTTTTATTCAGTCGCGCAATTTGATTGAAACAATGTTGGAATTATTTTTTTGTAATCATACATCACACTTGAAACACATCACAGAAACACAAACATGTGAGCATATTTATTGAAAAAAGCGTCATATTTTATTAATTCAGTATGGAGTATGTAAAGAATGAGCATTTATATAGATATAACAATAATCCAATAATTCTACTGCCGATTTTTCTAGTTACGTACGTGTAATTTTATCAATGTATCATAGTTTTTGTTGATGATACGCGACTATATTTGATCGTTAACGATGATACCTAGCGAATAATTAAATCTACGCACAAAAAAATTATGTATCGTTGGACAAGCACAGCGTCATTTATTCAATACGTTCTGTAAAAGTGTTTTTTTAAGCCTGAAAATATAGCGATATAATATTTTTCCATTGTAAAATACTCCTGTAAATCTGTAAATAATTTGTAACTTTTGTAAATATCATCATACTTCAATAATTATGGTGTAAAATATCTAATCGTTGATGAAATTTTATTTATCCAGTATTTGTGTATTCACGATTCATACATTTGTAAAATTTGAAGCTCATTTGTTAGTTTTTTTACCGATAACACTTTAGAAGTAGAGAATTCCAATTGATTAAAAACTGAATCTAATAAAAATATAATTGTTAATTCAAGATTATCAAAGTATCTCGGCCCTTCGCTGTTGGTAATTTTGTGCATGTAAATACACGGTAGAGCTCGTAGTCATGGAATTGATTGAGCGAAAATACTTATTTTTACAATCGCTCTATTCGGCTCGTTTGCGAAAAAAGCAATAAGATCTTCCGGTTTGTATGCTAACAGGACAATATCTTCCTTGGCGATCTTTGCAATTTTGATTATAGTGCATTTCACTGTAATCAAGTCGTCCCATTTGTCTACGATCGAAACTGTTGCGTAGTTATTTGCCAATCGAAATGAGGCAAAAGTTCCATTGGATCAAGATTATAAGAAAGCAAGTATTTATTTCAGTCAACCATTGAAAAAAAATGTCGAGAATTAAACAGCAGCGACAAAGACAACACTTATACCGAGCAATAGCGAGAAAGGTATCGATCAGTAGAAGAGAAGCAAGAAAAACTTCATTCTTTAATTTTTAATTGAATCGATTGTCCGACTTTGAACGCGAACGCTGTACCTGTGAAATAGGCTTTGCCGAAGCTAGAAAAAATCTTCGTCGGTCGAAAGATTATCGTTAAAGGAATTTCTGGGCTAATCTGTCTCGTTTGCCATTTGACGATAAAAAATTATAGTTATTAGACCATGTCTACAATAACGAGGGCTCGAGTAGTTCTTTAAACAGCCTAGTATACACAGCGAATAACCGGTCGAAGAGTATTCCCGAATTATCGACATATCATCAGTGCGTTGTAGCCTTCAGGGTCGCGTGCAGCGAATCAGTAGCGGATTATCGACAAAAGCTTGACTCATCGCCACTAATAGCGACCGTGAAAGGAGTTCGCGTTGTGATTGACATGAACCATATGGATGGTCGTCGGCCCGTTCGACAACCACTAACAATTGACAGCTGCGATCTCGACGTCGGCTAATCGGCGAGGTTTCCTATTCGGTCTATGCCGACGACGAGTCGAGTTGGAAACGTCGCGAGCTACGAGGCGGGTCGACCCTCGAGTGGAGTTCGTGGCGTTTCCTTCGCTCGACCGATCACCGGCACACGACACGCATAGGTGAGGCTGTGCAATGCGACACAAGAGCTGAAGGTAACGTCGTGAAGGTTTATTTGTAAATATAGCGAGGGACAAGTACATCGAGTGCCCGGCCGTCGTTGATGCCCGACGTCCCCGAGCGTGCCGCTCGCTTGGCGAGTCCTCCCGCAACCGGCGATCCAGCGGAAAGCATCCCCCAAGCACCGCGGGCACACGAGGAGTCCGAGCGCGCCTCCGCTGAAGAGACCCGCTCGCCAGCGCCGCGTCGATGTCGGCCCGTTCCACTGCAACGACGACACGCGCGTGCACGCGACTGGTCCACTCGTGGATCGGCTGCTGCCAGATTCACGCTCGACGATCCGGCGGTGCGGCCCGCGGAAGCGTCGGCCAGCTCGCGGAGCCCCCGCTTGCGCAGCCGCGCGAGCAGCAACTCTCCGACGAACGCGCAGGTGGCGAGCGCGTAGCCGAAGGCGACCAAGTGCCGGGCCGACTTGACGGTGTCGTCCCTGAGTAGGCCCTCCACCTCGGCCTCGTCCAGCTTGCCGTCGCCGTCGCGGTCACCGACGCGCTCGGCGCCGCCCGCCCGGCGCAAGTCGTGGAACGTTCCGAGGAGCCAGGCGCTGCGCAGCCCGGACTGCTCGACCCTGCGGATCAGCCGGTCGAAGCGCTGGGTGTAGGGCGAGGCGCGCGGCAGCACGAAGCTGCGCGTGACCGACCAGAAGCACGGCCGGCCGACGGCCATCGCGTTCCTGTGCGCCCGCACCTGGGCGCCGGCTAGCAGGCTGCCGAGCACGCAGCTGACGTTCCGGCTGGCCAGCAGCCACCTCGGGCAGACGTCCGCGGCGTCCGCGCGCAGCACCGCCTTCCTGCCCAAGCTGAAACGCGCACACGGTTGGCACGACGGTTGGCTCGGGCGGTCGCCCAGGTCGCACCTGGGCCCCACCAGCAACCCACCTGGCCAAGTGCTCGTCGTCGGCGAAGCCGAAGGTGAGGTTGTAGAGGTTGGGGTGCAGCACGGGCGCGAGGCCCGAGGCGTCGAGCTCCGCGTAGGACCGGAACGGCACGGTGCCACCCCTGCCGAGGCCGGCGCTCGCCAGCCGAGCGAACAAGCCCGAGGAGTAGAACAGCGACACGACCATGACGGAGCCGTAGAGGAGGCGGCTGCGCAGCGCCCGAGGCGCGCCGCCCGCGGAGAGCCCGAGCACGAGGAGGAGCGCGAGCAGCGGCCGCCGCAGCCGGGCGTCCGGCAGCCGGAGCAGCCGCGCCGCCAGGCAGACGAGCGCGACGAGCGCGACGAGCGCGGCGGCCGCCGGCGCGGACCGCCCGACGGCGCCGCCCGGCCGCGCGCCGCCCGGCCCGCCCAGCGGCGCCACGGCGCAGCCCTCGTCCACGTCCACGTAGGCGGTACGGTCGACCTGCGACGAGCGGCGGATGAGCGCGGGCGGCCGCGGGACGCGGGGCGCGGCGCGCGCGCTCACCGACGCGTCCAGCGGGGAGTGGAACAGGAAGGCCCCGAAGGCCAGCAGGTCCAGCTCGGCCCGGACGACCTGGCCGATGAGGCCCGTGGCGCTGCCGTCGCTCCGCAGCAGCCCGTAGCCCGCCAGGTCGGCCACGCGGGGCCGCACGCGGAAGTTGGCCGCGCGGCTCAGGCAGCGCAGCAGCTCCCCGTAGGCGAAGCCGAAGTGGCAGCGGCTGCCGGCGGCGCAGCTGGCGCGCGAGTAGGGCGCGTGCCGCAGCACGCCCACGCGCAGCTCGTGGCCGTGCAGGTCGGCGAGCTTGTCGGGAAAGAGGCGCGCGCAGGCGCGGGGGGCCTCGCGCCGGTACTCGCCGCTGAACGGGTTGAAGTGGTGCACGCCGCGCGGCTCGGCGATCGTGAAGTCGAGCAGGCGCTCGCGCCAGGCCAGGCGCAGCGCGGCCTCGCTGCCGCGGCCGCGCGGCCGCACCAGCAGGAAGCGCGCGCGCGCGCCGTCGGCGGCCAGGCGGCGCAGCTGGCGCAGCCGGCGCCGGTCGGGCGCGCGGCTCGCCGTCCACACGAAGAGCGCGGGCGAGCGGTGCAGCGGCAGCGCGCCACCGCCCAAGCTCGCCTGCCACGCGGGCATCCGCGCGCGCAGCGCCGCCGCGAGCCGCTCGTCCGGCCCGGGGGCCCCGGGCTCGCGCACGAACACCACCTGGCGCGCGTCCTCCGCCGACAGCAGCCGCAGCAGGTCCGGCGCGGCCCGCGGCCTTGGCTGCTGGCCCAGCATGTCTCGCGCGCGCGCGCTCGCTCGTCGAGGACTGCCGCCCTCCGCCAGTCCGCAATTGCCTACTGCCGTTTACGACCGCGCGCGTCCTTCGCGCTTTTACGATCGCCTTTCCGAGAAACCAGAATCATAGAGGTCGTAAATGTAGGACAATTTCAAACCTTTAATCTTTGGATATCCATTGCGATAATTAGGCCTCCCGAGGGTCGCGTCAAAGCAACGGACAAAACGAAACTAATGCCACGTTTTTCCGTAGCTCGGAACGTGCCAATTAGTCGTGGATCCCGCGTTCCGAGCGAGCGTCGATCTCCGTCGTTAACGAGCACCTTCCGCAATCTGGAGAAAAATGTTCGCGTGTCGAATCTCCAAAGTCCTATCTTCGCGGTACATCGATCGAAGCAGACGCGACGAGCGTAAAATTCTTCGGATTCGAAATTCCGATGCAAACACTCGGCCGACAAGTCCGATTATTGCGCCGGCGCGTCGGTCGACGTAGCTGCAGTCCTCGAGCATCTCTAGCGACAGTTACGAAGGCGTGAAACCGATAGAAAAAAGAATGAACGTCGCGTTTACATCCGATAACCCATCCGTCGTCGCACTGCACGAAAAGAAAAACAGTCGACCTACTTTTTCTTCTAAATACGGCGTGGGTCCCTCCCACGCGCCATCTCGTGCAGTTGCTAAATCGAAGACAAGAAGATAAGATAAACGCCTGCGATCCAGTCATTCGAGAAGTGGCGGCAGTCGCAAAGGTATAGGCGCGGGTAGCCTGCTCTTTCGCGATCGACCGACGCCCGTCGGAGCAACGGCGGGGATTCGCGAAGTTTGCAAGCCGAAGCGGCGGCCGGGACAGCGCGCGCGGAGTTGCCGGAGCGTCGAAATGGGCGAAGAGCCGAGCGTCGGTGAAATCACGTCGCTAGAGGCGAGGTGCAGGTGGGAAATCAAGCGGTTCGGCGGTGTGGACGTGCCCACGGGCAAGCCGATGTGCTCGCCTGTATTTTCCACGTCGCACTGCAGCGGTGCAGCTCTGCGGTGGCGACTGAAACTGTATCCCGGCGGCTTCGACAAGGACAGCGGGGACCACGCGGCGGCTTACTTGCAGTCCGTGCACAAAGCCAGGACGTCGACGAAATTCGCCATCTCGGTGGCGATCGACTCGGACGGCGAGGCCGTCAGGCAATGCACTCGGGAGAAGCGCACCTTCCGATCTCTCCAGGACTGGGGCTGGCCCAGATTTGCGCACAAGCAGCTGATCGCGCAAGCGGCGAAGAACGACACGCTGATCGTGCGTTGCTCTATTTTCTCGACGAGCGTCTTGTCGACCGGCGAGAGTGACGACGACGACGACGACGACGACGACGACGACGACGACGAGGACGGCGAGGACGAGGAGGACGACGGGGACGAAAGCGCCGTAGATCACAGCTCGCAAATGTTGGGCTACTTCGAGAAGCTGCTTGACAGCGGGGACTTCAGCGATGTGACGGTGATCGTCGGCAAGAAACGACTGCAGTTGCACAAGGCAATTCTCGCCAGCTTCAGCCCCGTTTTCCAAACGACGTTCGAGCAAGAGCGTAAAGAGCCGAAGCCGCCGACGGAGCAGGTTTACGAGGTGGTCGGCATCAAGTACGACGTGGCGAAGGAGATGTTCCGCTACATGTACACGGCCAAGATCAAACGCCTCGACGACATTGCCGGAGAGCTTCTCGCGGCAGCCGACAGGTACTCCGTGGACAAGCTGAAGGTACTCTGCGAGAAATCCCTCTGCGCCAGCTTGAATGCCGACAACGCCCTGCGCCTCTTGGAGCTGGCCACGAGGTTCCACACGACCATTCTGCGAGCCAAGGTGACCGAGTTGGTGCTCGGTCGTTTGGCCGAGTTCGTCGCCAAGCCTGAATTCAAGCAATTGAGCCCGGCCTGCAAGGACGAGCTGCTGAGCAGCATCGCCGTCAAGCGGACGAGCAAGTGAAGCTGAACGCGGAAGGACTATCGAAATTCTGTTTTCCTCTTTCTGCGCCATTTTTCGTGGCTCTCGCGCCGCGCGTCGAGCGTACACCAGCTGAAAAACAATTCCTTATCGAGAAGTTCAGCTACGAATGAAAGCGCGGAAAGTGCGCAGAGACGCTAGAGATTAGATAAACGCGAATATTCGTGCTTGCCGAGTCAATGTTTGCCGTCAGTCCGCTCGGCTGTCTCGGTTGTCTCGGCTGTCTCGGCTGGCTCGTCGTTGTTCATCGTGCGCGGCTTCTCGAGGAGACTCTTGGAATCCAAGCTGACCGAGGCAGAAAAGTGTGAAATTTTAGGTGCCGACGCGACACATTAGAATCCGGCGTAAGCTGCAAGACACGCTGTGTTGCCACAACGCGTGTGTATTATTATGAAAACGTACGAAAGCAGTATGGACGATGGTCGCACGCGCCGAAGGCGTCCTATCGCAGCGTTCGGTCGTTGTTATTGTCAGTCGGCCGAGCCACGCGTCTCAGCCTCGCGAACTCGCTCGCACGGTCGTCGAGTGCGCCGATCCAAGCGAGCGAGGGACGTAATCCGAGTCGGATAAACTAACTCGTCGAGAAAGCCGCCGCCGACCGCCCCAATGTTTACGTTTCCGATGACAATGCCCGCGACAATCGCTTGCCAACTGACGAACGCCGTGATCCGGCGAGGAACTTGGCACGCGCAGCGTAGAAGGGGCGCGCTCCGCGCCGCCCGCGGGAGGTCCAGTCCGGTCAGTGTCTCGCCGATCTCGCGAGGGCAACGGCGCGAGCGGCCGTCGCGAATCAGCTGCGAGGCGACGATTTCAGGCGGAACAAGCCCGGCGAGCGCGATGGCCAGGCGAGCGGCCGCGAAGAGGTGGGGCAAGGAGGTCGGCGAGCTGCAGATCTCGGACTCGTACTACCTCTGGAAAATCCGCAACTTCAGCAAGATCCATCTGGACGTGGGCGAGGCCATCTGCTCGCCGGAGTTCGAGACCTCCAAGTTCTGCCCGCGAGGGCTACGATGGAGACTGCGGCTCTATCCGGCCGGCACCCTGCCGGACGACGCGAGCGGAGCGGACGTCTCGAACTACGTCGCGATTTACTTGATGCTGATGAGCGATCACCAGGTGTGGCTGAGGCACACGGTCAACCTCGTGAGCGTCTACGGCGCGAGCCTCTACATGCTGCAGCCGCCGGACGGCTACGTCTTCGACGGGAACAACGACTGGGGCCACCTGCGCTTCTTTCCCAAAGACATCCTCACGCAGGAAAAGTTCAACTTTCTGCGGGGCGACACCCTGATCATCAGCTGCACGATCGAGGAGGTGCACACGGTGGCGATATGCGATGAAAACCTGTCGTTTGCCCAGCACGTCACGTACTACTTCAAAACTCTGCTGGTCAACGCCGAGTTCAGCGATTGCACTTTCCACGTCGGGACGGAGAAGCTGAAGCTCCACCGGGTCGTCGTCGCGAGCCAGAGTGCAGTTTTCCGCAGGATGCTTCTCGCGAGCTCGGACGGCAAGCAGGACAGCGTGGTAACGATTGTCGATTTCCCGTACCAGGTGATCAAGGAGCTGGTCCGCTACATCTACACGAGGGTCATCCAGGACTACGAGGACATTCTGGACGAGCTGTTCGAGGCGGCCCACAGATACGAGGTACATGGATTGAAGTTGTTGTGCGAGAAGCTGCTCTTCAAGAAGATGAACGAGAGCAACGCGATAAGCTACCTGGAGCTGGCCGTCAAGAACAACGCCCCGTATCTGGTGGCGAACGCCACCGAGTTCATCGCGCGTCGCTTGGCGGACTTCATCAAGAGGCCGGAACTGATGGCGATGAACGACCAGTGCAAGAACGAGCTGCTCAAGCTGATCTCGTACAAGCTGAACGGCGTGTACAGCTCGATGACCGGGTGACTCTTCGCGCGCGTTCGCCGGCGCATCATCTTTCCTCTCCAACGCTTCTCAACTGCTCTCGCGCGCACGACCGAGTTTCAGAGCGCGAGTGCTTGGCGTTGTTACTCGTCTCGCGAAGCAATTGTTCGACGACGCTGCACTGGCCGCCAGCAGGCATCCCAGCGGCGATCGTTTCTTGTCTTTGATGTTTTTAAAAATAAGTTTTAAGTCATTTTACTTTCACGGATAACTTTACGTTTTTGTAGTCTAACGATAATAATATACCAATTCATGCAAGACTTGTCATCTGATTGCGCGACCCCCCTTCACCCATGCGTCGTGTTTCTCGCTAACCTTTCTCCGCTGACGCTACGGCCTTTCAGCGGTTCACTCGTTCCAACGGAGAACGAGGACTCGGCTCGCGATGGGACACTCGCGACCAAGCGAAAAGTCACTTCCGCGTGAATCTCGCCACGGTGTAGCGCCCGAGCCGATTTTCCGCTCGGCTGTTGACGCCTAGTATCCGAGCACACGCGGCAGGCCTCGCACGGCTACAACAGCCGAAAGACGCACGCGCGCTCCAAAGTATTTCGCCGGAGCAATGGGTGACTCACGCGCTATACGTTCCGATGATATATACGCATATTTCGTCCATAAATCATTTCACGTGCATACACCCGAGTCACGTTGAATAAAGTAACGCTTTTCGAATAGTCATCAAAGTTATTTCGAAGTACCGACCTGGGGTTTTAGCCGCTCGTCACTTTTCAGCGCCACCGTCCTGTTTATGAACGTCATCGATGAAATTCAATAGATTTGCTCGAGGCGGGCCTCGGCACGGGCTCGCCGAAAACCTTCGAGTTATCGTCGAGGAGCGCGTGCGGCAATCGCGTAGAGCGGCTGAAAATAAGCCGGCGAACGAACGATCGCTGCTCCAATCGATCGCTCGGCTCGCTCGTATTTTTAGCTCCGCCGTGTTTGCCGTGTAAAGCAACTCGTCGCGGGAGTTTTCGAACGGCTAGCCGAGTATGCTTCTCGCTGCAGCCTCGAGTGTTTCGCCCTCAACGAAAATGACGGAAGATCAATTGTCGAGCGAACGCCAGGATTTTAGATTCGCCTCCGACGCATCTCGCGAGCGCGAGTTGTCGAAATAAACGTTCAACTCCCTTGTCGTTCTTAAACTCAACTTGAATTGCCGTTGCGCTTCGACGCATCGACGCTATCTCCTGACGTTGCTAGTTGAAGCTTGGCACGTAGGATCGACGATTGAGCGGAGCATCAGTCCTCCGATTCCCGGGCTTTCCGTATAATCGTTCACGAGCAAATTCTGTCAACGAAAAACTGTTATGGCGCGCGAGGATCCCACCACGCTCGATCGGTGAGTCACGCGCGTCGCGCTCGCCGGGTTTTCGTGCGTGGATATTGTTTTATTTTATCTTTCTTTCTCCGCTCGATCAGCGTTCTGGCTGTCTCGCCACGAGCTACGTGCGAGTCCGCCAAATTGCCGATCGCCATGTTTGCTATCGATGTCGTGGACGTAAGGGTGGTGCTCCAGATTTCTTGAGAAATGTTCTGGGTAGCTTGGATTCGATTGGAAAAGCAGAACTAATACATTTGAAATAATCAATCGTCAACTCTCAAATCCCATCATTTTAATACTCGTTTCGAGCAAAAAAATACCTAATTTGGTAACTCCCTACTCATTTTAATTTCTTTCTTCAAGCGAGTAGAACCTTCAAACTGAAACGAGTTTGTTTGTACAATTTGAATCTGTTCACAGGATGCTGATTCGCAAATCTATTCGAGCATTTCCCCTGTTCGAACATTCGCGGCGTTCCACTGACGTAATACTCGCTCGGTTGACCGATGATACAAAGACGAAAAGAGCGCGTGACCCACATCGGAAAAAACGCGCGCTCGCACGCCTCGCAGCCGAGAGATCTAAGATTCCTAGGACGATCGATTGGTCGAGCAGAGCGCGAGCGGACCTACGTGCGTATCCTCACGCGCCAGGATTGCGTTGCGCTCGACTATCGCCGAAGTCGATCGCGGTCGTTGAGACTCGCATGCTGAAGGCCATCGAAGCCCTTCGACGTGATCGAAGCGATCGAAAGTGACCGAGTGCGGATCGAGGACTTGCGGTGCTTATAGCTGTCCTGTTCTCGACTTTATGGACTATTCTCGTTTCGAGATCAATGTCACGTAACGCATCCGTCCGGAATAAATGTAGGTATATAGAGAAAGTTCTGCTCGATTTGCGTCAGATTTCGACTTTTCTGACGTAATATTCTTGCGACCAGCCGACGATCAATTTCATAATTTCTTCCCTATTTTCTTATTTTATCTTCCGTGGCGTGCGGAAGTTCGCGAAAAATCTCGCGGTGAAAAAGTCGAAGGAAATTTCATTTCCGCCTTGCCGCCGTTATCTCCGCGGAGGTGAAGCTCGATAGCGTTCGAGAGGCGCGCGGGTGAAGTCGATCAAGCAACTCCCAGAAGACGATCGCTGAACGGAGCAATGCCCACGCTACGGTTGCTCGAGTGTAACGAGTATTTTCCTATCTCTCTCTCTCTCTCGAAAAACTCACACGTTCGCGTGCACGTACAGCAATACATCGCCGATCACACGGCGGCGCGCGCGAGGCCATCATCCGGCCACGCCATCGCACAGAACTGCGCGCGATTCGACGCAATCGGCGCGTCCCTTTTTTTCCGTTCTCTTCCTTTTTTCTTTCCTCGGGCGATCATCGATAGGCTCGCTATCTGGTGGCGATAAGCCGCGCACGGCGTTGCGCAATCGCATCGCCGAGCGCGGCGATTCCTCCTCTCGATCTCCATCTCGTCGAGCGCGCGCCCGCGCATCTTCCGGCGAGCCACGTAGGCGAGCGAATGGGAAAGAACGAAAAAGAAAAAGAAAATAAAAGGACAAGAAAAAGCTGGCAACAATGGGAAAGGCGGTCCGCGCAAAGGCGTGTTTTCGGCGCGCGATTCAACTAGCCGCTGCGAGATCGCGCGTCGACGGAGCGGAGGGAAGGGAGCGCGAGGCGCGAGGCGCGAGGCGAGCGACGGGCCCGCGGAGGCGCGCGTGCCGATGATCAGTGTTCCGAGCGACACCGGCGCTCCCGTACGCTTGCCAGTTCCGCAGCCTCTCCAGCGACCGCTGTCCGCCACGACGATGCTACGCCTGGGCGTCCTGTGAGTAGCTCGACGAGTGGCCCGATCGGCCGGCCGACGAGGTCCTGACCGCGGACGACGATTGCTTGCAGACTGCTCGCCGTCCGCCTGGCCGAGGCTGCGACGAGCACCCTCGGCGACCACCGCGACGCCGGCGCCAGGGACTACGCCGCCTATGCCACCTACGACTCCTACACCAACACCTGCAACAAGGCGCGCTGCGAGGACGTCGGTGAGTATGCGCGGCTCGACCTCCTCCGATCCCCACCGCGCTCTGACCCCTGGCCTGCGCGCAGCCGAGCTGTTCCTGCGCAGCCTGAAGAAGACACCGGGGGCCTGCGACGACTTCTACGCCCACGCCTGCGGCGCCAAGCGGACCAACGTGCGCGCCCTCACCAAGGAGATACAGGGTGAGTTCGATCGCGCGCCCCCGCGGGCGGCGGCTCTCCCTTGATATGCCTATTGGCAACCGAACCGAAAAATCGCAGAGATACTGGAGAAGCCGATCGAGCTCGAGGACGGCCGAGCGCTGAGCGCGGAGAAGAGGCTCTACCGCAGCTGCGTGCGCCAGAGTAAGTCGACCGAGGCGATCCCCGGGCCGGAACCGTGCCTCATTCGCGCTTTGCGCTTTTGCCCACAGAGGACGGGGAGCAGCGCACGAGGCACGAGTTCGGCCGGCTGCTGCGGCTGTCCAACGGCGCGGCCCTCTTCCGCGAGAGCGCGCGCTTCGGGCGCAAGAGCTGGCTCGGCATTGACGGCTTCTACGCCTCCTTCGGCTTCGAGCACGCCTTCTTCAACGTCCACGTTACCCGCGATCCTCAGCGCTCTGACGTCAATGTTATCTCCGTGAGTCGCCAGCCTCCGCTCTCTCTCTCTCTCTCTCTCTCGCTCTCACGCTCTCACGCTCTGATCGCGCCGACGTCAGTGGGGCTTGAGTGGCTCGATCCGCGCGTAAAAATCTCGCGCCGAGAGACGCGTCATCGACTATTTTTCGCTCGGACTATTGAGCTGGTATCTCGGTTTTGCCGAACGCGCGCACGAGAGAAACAGAGAGACGGAGAGAGAAAAAAAAATCAGCCGTCCGCGAAAATCGGGCGCCTTTTTTCTCGCGCGCGCTCGCCGAGCCAACTCGACTTGGACGCCTTTATCGCGGAGCGATACGTCGCCGCTTTATCAGTTCGATTAATGATGAAATTGATCGCGCGCGCGACATGTGCGCAGTTTCCACAGCTGCAATTTATTCGAGTTTCTGCCAATTGAGCGAGGGATCGATCGACAATCGACTGCCAATGTTGCATTCCGAGTTGGCGATTGCGTCGTCGCGAGCGCGACCAAGTCTCGTTCTTTCGCGGAAGTGACGCTCGAGGAGCGCCGGCCGGTCGGAAAACGCGGGAGCAGATCGCTACGCGGGCGCGCGTGCCGCTCGCGGTCGGCGAGGGAGGCCGAGCGCGAGGCGAGCCGTCCGAAAAGCCTGGCTTCTCCGCAGCTGATGCCACCGTCGCCGCTGTTCTTCTACTCGGTGCACGGCCTGCTCAAGTACAAGAATTTCAGCGGCATCCTGGCTAGCCTGGACATCGACGCCGAGGGGGCCCGCGTGACCGACTACGGCGACGTGGTCGACTTGAACAACGCGCTCCACGCGGTAAGCGCCTCGCGCACCCGCGCACCCGCGCGGCAATCACTCGCGCGCGGCCTCCTCTAATCGATCTGTTTGCGTCTGCGCAACGTCTGCGGCCGCGCAGATTCTGCCACCGCTCGGCATGTTCGAGGAGAACACGACCACCTTGATCGACAATCGCATGACCATCGACGAGTGGCAGCACGTCTACGACGCCTACAGCCAAGGGTGCAGCGCCGAGGGCAACCGCAACTACGTGAGTACGCGCCGGCTCGCGGCCTGCCCCCGTTCCTCCTCTCTGACGCTCGTTTTTCTGCTCTCACGCGCGCAGATCTACTGGCCGAAGGTGCTGAACGTGCTGCTGGGCACGGCCGACGTGCGCGCCAGGGGACGGGACGCGATCGTCATCAAGAAAACGGACTACTTCGCGCAGCTGGCGCGGATCTTGGAGCGGACCCCGCCGGCGACCGTGGGTAAGGCTGCATTGCTCGGTCGAGTCGTTTTCGCTTGTCGCGAGTACCCTAGCTGACCTCGTTCGCCTCGTTTTGCCGCCAGAGAAGTACATCCACTTCAAGTTCCTCGCCCAGATCGGCAAGTATTTGGGCCCGAGTCTGGCGCCATACTTCGAGAACGTGGCCGACAGGTAAGAGAAAGAAGCGCAGAGACGACGGTCCTCGCTCGAGCTGCCATTCGATTGTCCTCCCAGATCGAGCTTCTGCATCAAGCAGTCGGACAACCAGCTGATCGGCGCGACGTACGAGTACATCAAGCTACACGTGCCCGAGTTGCATAAGCTTTACGTGAGTTGAACGGTGCTGGGCGTCGCGCACCAAGCGAACGCGCTCACCGATTGGCCGTTTGCCCTGCGCAGACCAAGGACGTGGTCGACAACGTGAGGAAGGCGCTGGTGGACCTGCTGGCCAATGCCAAGTGGATGGACAAGGAGACGAGGACCACGGCCGCGAGCAAGCTGAGCAATCTGGACATGACCGTGGGCTATCCCTACTGGCAGACCAACAAGACCTTCGTCGACCATTACTACGGAAACGTGAGTGGAAGCGATCCCCCGTCGACGATCCCACTCGGCCGACGACGACAAATCCAACTCCGCTTGGGTGCCTTTTCAGCTGCATCTGCACGCCAACTTCTTCGACAACGTCGTCAAGTACAGGAGGCGACTGCTGGTCAACGAGCTGCGCGGACTGCGTCATCCGCAGACCTACGAGTGAGTACGACTTCGCGGCGCGGCTCTCCAGCCTGCCAATTACAAGCGCGCTCTCGGTCTCGTTCTCGCTTGCAGCCCGACCACCATGTCCCGCAAGCTCACCCCGCCGATCTACCACTTCGAGGTGAACGGCCACGCGAATCGAATAGGTAAGGCCCGGCCGCGGCGCGCTTTTTAACGATACTCAGCCGTGAACGTCACACGCGCAGTCATACCCACGGAGTACCTGAACGAGGACAAGTACCGGCTGTTCAGCAGGAAGCTGCCCAGCGCGGTCAACTACGGCAGCTTCGGCTCGATGCTCGGCTCCGTTCTCTACGACTACGTCAGCCTCACGGGTAAGAGACCGGCGCCGCCGGCGTCACGCGTAGACGCGCTCGCTCCCTCAAAACCGCCTCGTTCGATTCGCAGACAGCCTCAAGTTCAACAAGTTCTACACGAGGAGCACCGACGGCCTCTCGCAGGATACCATCGACGCCTACAAAGTCAAGGAGAAGTGCCTCTCCAGTCAGCTGATCAATTACAAGGTAAGCCTCGCCGTTCGCCCGTCGGGCCGCGTTTCGCGCTCTCATCGCGATTCGCGTTGCCACTTGCAGAAGTCGGCGGCGAAGGCGGACCAGCCGCTGACCTCGCTGATCGACCTCGACACGATCCAGGTCGACAAGATCTACGAGAAGATGGCCGGCCTTAGGGCCGCCTTCGAGGCTTACAAGAAATTCGAGCGGGACGACGAGAAGCTGCCCGGCTTCGAGAGGATGACCGGACGCCAGCTGTTCTTCCTCTCCTACGCGGAGGTAAGCGCCCTCGAGTTCGCCCTCGCCCGAGCAACTCTCCGCTCATCTCGCCCTCTCGCCTGCCCACTTTTTCAGAGGATCTGCGAGATTGGCGACATCTACGATAGATACGACGTGTACGAGCCGTCTCTCAAGGTCAACGGCGTGGTCTCCAACCTCGAGGCCTTCTCCGAGGTGTTCGACTGCCCAAGGCACAGCGACATGAATCGAGACGTCAAGTGCGACCTGTTCTCGTAATTGGCATCAACGAATTATCTCTCTCACTCTCTCTCTCCCTCTTTCTCTCTCTCTCATAAAAAAAATAAAAGAAAAACAAGAAAAAATATATAAAAAGATATAAATGTTGAAAATCGAGTAGAGAAATAGCTTGTATATATCGAATACTTTGACCTTGAATCAATATAAGCTTCTAGGCTATAAGTTTGTCGTTATAGGCATAGATTTGTAGTTCCTCCCAAAAAGAGAAATCTCCGATCATATAATTGAACTCAAGTGTTTTGTTATCTCGTCGCTTGTAATATAGTGTAAATAAAAGCGTACGTTTTCTAAGAGACACCGTTGTTTTGCTAACCTCGATGGCCAGCCGAATCCGCAAGCTGCTCCTCGCCGAGTACGAGGGGCTGGTGGCGAGCGAAGGCCTGATCCTCGAGTCGCCGTTCGCCGAAACGACGCGCGACGGTCGGGGCTTGCGCGAGGTCCAGCTCGGGCTCACCTCCAGCAAGCTCCTCGTGGCGTCCGACAATCTCGGAGACGGCAGCGCGTTCCGCTGCGCGAGGGTCGTCGACCCGTGGATCGAGAGCTTGGAGCTCAAGTCGGCCTATCCGCTGGAGTGCGTGAAGCTCAGCGTGTTTCGGCGAAGGAAGAGGAGAGCCCTGGAAGCGCGGTCTGTCCTCGCTCACCCGTCCCGCGCTCGATTCCCCGAATGAAGGAGCGCCATTGGAAAATTCGCGCAGATTGGTCGACGGCCGAGCGAAGTACTTCGAGCTCGGAGGTCTGGGCTGTCGAGCGAAGAGCTGGAACGAGTGGTGCGCGCAAGTCCACCGACTGCTGCGGACCTCTGAGACGGCCACGCGTCGACAGTCGTGCGCCGGTTGGACGAGGAAGTACCTGTACTTGGGGCCGGATTACGAGGAACTCTGGAACCCACGCTACGCCCCGAGACCCGTCGCGCTCGCCGGCGCGACGAGCTCGCAGACCGTCAAGTATGCACGCGCGCGTCTCTCCTCCGGGCAGCCGTCGTTTCCGTGTCGCTCGTCGCTTTCAGGCACGATTCGATAGCTCGAGCCTCGACCGGGTCCCCTCGCGAGACGGTCGCGCGCCGAGTGGCTCGCTTCGCCGAGGGTGTCGACGAGAACTGCGTGCACTCGCTGTACATCCGAGTCGCTCGATCGCCTCCCGAGGACCCGCCGATCCCCCAGCGTAGCCTCTCGCCGAGCTCGCGCTTGCTCCGCGGCTTCGGGCCGTGGTCGATCGAGCCCGGCGAGCGCGTTTCCCTGCAGTCGCGCTTGACGCAAAGTCTCGCTCGCGTGCGCCGACGATCGCCCGAGTCGCGCCTGCCGATATCGCGACGTCAGCTGGCGCGAGCTACGGCCTCGCTCGCCAGTCTCAAGCCGCGAGCTTCGACGGGGAGCGCGCTGCTGTTCTGGACGACGGACTACTGGTACAGACCGAGAGCCGCCGCGGAAGTCTACAGGGACGCGAGGAGACACTTGAAAGGATTAAGGGAGGGGCGAGTGCGCGACTCTCGACATTCGAGCCTCCGTTTGTCGCTTTGCCAGCGTTTGCCTTTATTTTCAGAGCTATCGCCGTCACAGTACAACCGCTCGTCTTCGCCAGCTATTGAAACCTGGCCGACGCGTCACGCTGCACGGCCTCTCGAGCACAACGCTCTCGCGCCAGCTGACACTCGTCGAGTGCGAGCTTTTCGCTCGCGTGGGCGTCCACGAGGTGAGGACGCTCGCTCGCCGTCGCGAGCCACGCGACGTGCCGAACTTCGCGGCTTGGGTCGCTTTCGCGCACAGGCTCGCGTGTCTGCTGCAGAGCGAAGTGCTACGGGCGTCCCAGGTGAAAGAACGATCGAGATTAGTGTTGAGGCTGATCAGAACAGCGGACAAGTGCTTGGAAGAGGGCAATTTCCAGTCGGCCAGCTCGGTCGTCGCTGCCCTGCAGTCGCCGGCTGTCTACAGGTGACAACGGGACCTAACGAAGCTTTCGGTTCACCAAGCTTCGCTTAATCAAAAGCCTCGCGGTAGCTCTTCGCGAGGCAGAGCGGCTGCTCGCTTCGTCTTAGCTCGCTCATGGGCACGTCGTACGAGTTGACGCTCTCGCACAAGTTCAGCCTATAAACAAAAAAAAACAAACAAATGAGATAAATAAAAATGAACTTGTCTCTCGTCCGAACGGGCAAAAGGCTGAGGGCAACATGGGCGTACCTGAGGACACACCACGAGACAGAGTACAAGACGATGACGAAGCTGAGCAAGCTGTTCGCGAACACAAGGGCGAGGCGTTATCGAGACGCTTGGATGAACAATCGTCGATCGTCGATACCAAGTGTCGCCGACGTTACCGCGATGATACTGGGATTGGAGGAGACGGAGAGCAAGGTTGACGGTGATTGGAGGACTCTGGGAATGAGGCATGACGGCGAAGCGTGGATGGTCTTTCGAATGAGAAATGATCGTCGACAAATCACGCAGGAGCGGCTGCTGGAGACTCGACGACACTCCGACGGGCAAGATCGATCGGCTGGTCGGTTGGCTAGAGGATTGCCAGAGTCGCGCGTTCAGCCGCGACTATCCAGGCGAGCCTCTCGCTCGGGAATTCCTCCTGAAAGCCAGATATCGCGAAGACTGCGACAACTTTCTGCTGAGTGTCTGCCTCGAGCCATCAAATCAAGCACAACATTGATCAATAAAAATCTCATTTTATTCACATAGCTTTGCTTTCCACACTCCATTATATCCGACGAAAAGACAAACAAGCAATTGCTCTTTCCAGCGGGCAAAGTGTAGCGTCCTGTAATAGGTATAGCGAGCTAAAAATACAGGCGCTCGATGAATACAAAAGAAGGGAAGTCGGTGTAAAACTTAAATATTGATGAGAGCTGACTAGATCTGATCTTTGATAAGCTGCGCGATGCTATATATATGTACACGAGTTTTCTCTTGTCGTGGTGGATGCGGGAAGCGCGAGGGAGGTATACAATAACAATCGATTACACGTACACTTTCCTAGACCGACCTAACGAGGGAGAGTGAACTGATCATCAAATGCAATGGTCGATTGGATATTTACACGATACTTTCAATTTGTCAATAATACACGTTGCAACGTCACACGTACCACGAGCAAGTTATAGTTTGAGGGCGAGCTAGCTACCAATAACACGTATAACACTTATGTACACAGATAATCCGATATATGTAGAGAAGATTAGCCATGGATGCGGCGACGCCGGCGCTAGTTGGCGACCTCGCTGTCGACGGTGCTGCTGCTCACACTGCCGCCAACGAAGTGCTCGCGTATCCACCTCACATCCCAACTGGCTTCGGCAGATTCGTGTTGTAGGCCCGTATCACGTCCGCTTGCGACACCGTACCGCCTTCTTCTTGCGAGAAAGCGAAACCATCTGTCGAGGAGGCGTCAAAAGGGTGGTCACCCGTTAGCCATTTTTGCGCTCTCTCTCTCTCTCTCTCTCTCTCTCTCTCTCTCTCTCTCTCTCTCTCTCTCTCACTCACTCATTCTCGACGCTGGACAGGTTTGCTCGTCGCTCGAACGAAACATCACCGCGTTTGCCACACGCGCACTCCGTTTCGACGATCGACGAGCTGTCCAACAACCTTCCGCGAAGAAAAATCACACTTCACCCACCCCCAGTAACAAAAAAAAAGTATGCAGCAGCATGCGATCAAGTGAAGCTCTACTAAAGTGACTTTGTTATTTACAGGAATTGATATAATCTTACTATCTACGAGTTAATCAACTACAGCGAATGCAATGGCGAGCACGCCAAGATTAATCGTTCTAAATTACATACCCGTGTTTGTACATTTACCCTTGTCACACGCGTGATAAAAGCAATGAATTATTACAGTCGCCGCGTGCAAGAAAAAAAAAAGAGTGAAATTCCCTGACGTCCTACGTGTAACAATAACATACTCACTCGAAACACGTGGGTGGGAGTGATCGGAGGGTATCGAGGTTGGGGAAAGGGAACTTACGTGATAGCTCCACCTCGACATTAAGCCTGGCTGCGGCGTTCGATCGCCTGGTGAATACACTTTTAACGTTTTTCAATAGCCGCGCCGTCTCCGTCAATCTGCAAATTTCGTCAGGGTTTTTTTTGGTTCTTCTGGGACTCTGTATTTGCAACTGAAGTTTTTATGAGTTTGTTTCTCTGATTTTTTCAGATCGTTCCATTAGTTTCGGGGCTGCGGCGTACAATAAACCAGAGGCTTCGATAGCGAAAAATGAGGAGGGAGAGGGAAGTTCGCACGTCGTTCGTGCACTTTATTATTGAATTAGGTCCAAGAGACAGAGACAAAAAAGCGAGTCATGCCGCATAACATTAAGGAAGAGACAGTCACACGCACGAGCAGTTGGTTTTTGTTTCTATTAGAGCGTGCATTTTTTTCGCATGCTTTTTTTATGGTAAAGGTGTGATATAGAATATTCGTTGCAAATAATCAAACAAGTCGAATGAGTTTATATACAGGAACACGTGAAAAAAATTGTTGAAACACGTTAATCGACTCTAATAAATCATAAAATTAATATAAAATACGAAAGATAAACTCACATATGCAACCCCCTTGAAAATAACGGTGTCCGTGCATCAATACCTACAAGACACTTTTGATAACAGACCAAAACGAACATATAAACATTGAAAATGAAAGATATCAATGTGCAAGTGCAATAATAGCCAAAAAGTGATTTCATTATAATTGCCAGCGTTGACAGCTTGGTGTAGGAATACAACTGACAGTTTATCTGTGTGAGCGTGATTTTTGATAAATTTTGAAAGAAGATATAAAAATAAAATAAAATGTGTATTTCTTTTTGGTATAGTTTTGTCTACAATGGGGGTACTTACACCTCGCAATGTCGGCAATGGCATGCACGGATCTGCACGACAATAAACCCAAAAACAAAGAGAAGAAGAGAAGGCATTGCATTAAACATAATTGGGTATCAAAATTCAGATGTGATTCTTTTTATTTTTCTTTTAATGGTACTCTTAGTGTGAATTTCAAATTCTAATACTAACGATATTCTATTAATTCACACTCAGATATAAAATATCTCATGAGGATGAAAGTCTAGAAAAATACAATACTCAAGATAAGAATGAAGATGAATGGTGTCTCTAGAATACTGGAATTACAGTTGAAAAGGTCAAACCACGCTGTATAAGTCAATATACAGATATGCTTCAATAACGCAAATCAATTATCATTATATTGATTTTAATATATACATATTTACTTATACTCATAAATACACAATTCATCCACTCGCCTAGAGGAGCTTCGTTTGACTTTCCAAGTATCTTGACGATACAGACATCTAAGATATGCATAATAACATTTGAAAAACAAGAAGAGAAAATGAAATCAACAACTACATGTAGTTTTCAAATATGTTGCAGCGCGAACGTGCCAACGTATAACCCATAAATAAATAACTACACAAATAAAAAGACGTTGCAAATCATAGGGAATAGGAATAACAATTCTCGATCTCTCATGTAATTGATTTAACAACAGTGTGTAATCAAATAGGAATATCTTTATCGTTATAAAAGTAGATATCAAAAAGCTCATACATACGTGTCACAAGTGTCGACATTTAATATTTAAATCATCAAAATAAATCAGCGCGTGCTATTAAAAAAAAATTTTTTCTCCCTATTTAACGAAATCGCGTTAGTTCGCGTGGAAAAAAATCAGATTTACGAGTCTTTCCGATCCATACTTAGTACTTGACTCTTCAAATAGATTTCATCTGTACAAAATTATTATTTACAATGAAATATTCACTTCAACATTAACAACGTACATTTTCAGCTTATAAATTTTCTCATAGAGATTCTCGTCAAAAATTTTCTCACAGCACACGAAACTTCTATTCATTCAAAATGTATCCCCCAAACTTCTTGTAACTTCTGCAGCGTTTAGCAGCAATTAATATTAACGTTTACTTAATTATTCAAAAGTTAGTTAGAATAGCAATTGTATGTACATCATTAATTAATACCGCATCATAGCATCTAAGCTTGCCAGTATCCCGGTGGTCTTGGCTGTTTGAGCATCCACGCGGCGATCCTTCCACCAAATTGTCGACGCATCATCCAACGTCTTAGCTTCGAGTTCATATACAGCCTCTTCGACTTCCTGTTACGTTCATTAGTACTATACTCCCATGCTTGTTTTCGTTTTCAAATATTCCACCCAAAAAACCATGCACGGTTGGATAGAGAGAAAGAGAAAAAGAGTTCTGGTAGAAAAGAATTACAGGAAGAAAGCAAAATAAATAGAATGACTGCATGCAAAACTCGACGCGGGATGGACAAATAAAACAAAATCACAGTTAAATGAATGATATATGGATGTTTAGCCCTGTTGTTTCGTCCGAAGCCCTTGAACCGACTAAACTTTTACTAAAGTCAAATCGAATGTAATGGATCCTTTTTTGGTTACGTTTTTGTTATGAAAAAGAATATAAAATTGGGTTGCGAATAACTTACGAGCTCCTATAGTCTTGAGTGTGGAATATATCACCTGGGTCACCTGACTTTCGAATCTCTTGTTCTCTTGCGGCCTCGGATGCTGATTTCCATATCGTATTTTTTACACTGCAAACCCAAGTGTTACATGACAATTTTATTTCAACAAAATCACTGATCAATTGTTTTGAAATACTTTTACAAACAAGAATTTGAGTTCGATTCAGGAAACTTTTAAAACAATTAGTTTTATTTTTGAAATCACAGCTCAGATGATTCGGATTCAATTTTAATTTCCAAAACTTTTTTATCAAGGAATGGCTTTTTTGTCAAATGATAAATCAGTGTTTCCGATCGATTCAGTCTATAAACGTTGAATCATGGTAGCAAAAAATCTCCTCGAAAGAGATAATATATCGATACGTAATAAATTTTTGGTATACTAATCACATCCTCAGAAGTTTTTTCGAATGGATATTAAGAGGAAACAAGAAGGAAGCAGTATCGTTGTGCTTTGAATAGATAAAAACTTACGCTTTAACTATGACGTCCAACATTAACACTGCAAGTGGAATGAGAATGAGTCCAAGCCAGAATACAGGTGACGAGAATAGCATTCTATCGTTCCCAAGCATCGGTGCTCCAACATTAAAAATTGGCCAGAAGTTGCTATCAAACAAGAAACAATAATTATTTAAATAACAATAAAAAGCATAACAATTTTATGATTATTAAAATTTATTCTTACCTATAAATTAAAACGAATAGGAACCAAAGTATAATAGATCCCCAGATAGCTAAGTGTGTCACCCAATTCCATGAGTTCGTTATCAGACCAGCCTTTGCGCATACAGTCACAACTACATACTGTAAGTAAAACCTATTATTCTGAGTATCGCATTGCTCTTGTTGCAAATACGATAAAACTTACAGTATAAACAATATTCCCTAAAACGAGGTAGCCACCATCACGGCCGTTGTACCAAATGACATCTTTCTCAACCGCCAGTAGGGAGAGCCAGTAGAGTAATGCTGAGTGAAGTAATGCGTTGAATATCCATACCCAGAATACCTAAGTAAAAAATTTACTATTGATTCTATAAATTTTTTTTAGTTTTGTAATAGATTTTTAATTAACCTTAATACTAAACGTAGATTCAGTAGCGCTTTTTGCAGCATATAAACTTGGATGAGCTAAATGCGTTTCCGCTGAACACACCTTATCAAATAAACCTATGGCTAATGGTGGAGCTGCCGTAAATACCTATGGAAGAACAAAAATTTAAGAAAAAAACGTTCTTTTTTTCATTTAAACTAGTATACGAGGTTACTTACAACATTGTATAAACCAATAGACCACCTCTCAAAAAGAATCTGTCCGGACCAGCCGGAATAAATAGCAAACCACAGCTCAATGACGTACAGGCAGATATTCTTATAAAACGAATATAAAATCAACTTGCACATCCTGCTGTAGTTCCACGAACCGTGTACGAATAGTAATCGCTTCAGAAATCGAAACTGAGCTATTGAGTAATCGGAGGCACAGGCTGCTTGCAGACCTTCTACCCCGGAAATGCCTAAAAAAATAAATGACATGCGATTTATCTCTCGTATAAATGAATTTTTCTTATCTCATCGTCTCATTAACTAACGAGATACGAGTTTACGTTATCTAAATGGAAAGATGAATATACTAACCAACACCAATGTGCGCTTTTTGAATCATAGCAACGTCATTTGCACCGTCACCAATGGCCAACGTCACAGCTTTTGTATTACTCGTTACCAAATCAACTACCTGCAATTACAATCACGAAACGTTATATTTTTTCAAACAAAATTAATTATCAGATAAAATGTACATACTTCAGCTTTTTGCATAGGGGAAACCCTACAGCAAATGACCACTTTACAGGAAGTGCATAAATCTAAGAAGTCTCTTCTCAAATCACACGACAATGCATATTTTAAGCTATGTCCATCGAGAACTAAGCCAACTTCATTTTGACACCTAAGATCCTGTCCAAAATCCAAGCAGTGCTGGATTATTACTTCTCTCGTTTTCTACAATTCACGAATTCCATCAATCACACGAACATTATATCATAATAACATACATTTCCGTAAAATGACACATACATCTAAGGAACTTTCATTGATAATAATTAAAGGCATAGAATGAGTAATCAGTCTACAGGAGTAGCCAATGTTAATGGCAGTCTCCTGTTTGTCGCCAGTCAAAACCCAAACGTTAATATCCGCTTGAATGAGGGCTTCAATCGTCTCTGGTACTTGATCTTGTAACTGATCCTCGATAGCAGTTGCACCCAACAATGTCAATTGCGTCTCGATCAAATTTGCAGCTTCTTCGCATTTCTCATCGCGATTTGATACGGTGTTCGTTGCTTTGTGCCAAATATCTTTCCACCACTACAAGGTTCAAAAACACATTTGTAATTAAATCACCTAATTAGTCATTTATTCCTAACAAAAGAATAAATCAAGCCACACACCCACACGCACGCACACATTAAAAATAATCAATAATCAATACGCGTAAAACAACTAACGTTGTATCGATTTTCCGGAATCTCTGCAGTAGCGAAACACAGTGTCCTTAAGCCTTCCGATGCGAACAATTCAAGATGCTGCAAAGTGGTCTCCCTATAATCTTCAATATCAGGTGACCTCCTAGACTGGGCATCTTCCTCGGACGTTCTGGTGATAAGTCTCTCATAAATCATGGTATCTGCACCTTTGCAATAAATCTTAATCTGTCCAGATGGGGTTCTCACTATCACTGACATTCTTTTCCTCGTGGATGTGAACTCAATTACATGCAGTACCTCATATTTTTCTCTCTCGCCAAGAGCAGATATCTCAACAGAATTTGGCGTTCGGGTATCGAAAACATATCCAAAAGCTTTGGCACCATCTACGAGTGCTCGCTCGTCAGGTGACGCTGCATGATAGATTATGTTGTCGTCGACTTTCTCCGGAATGACAGTGTGACATACTGATAGCATAACCATGAACTCGTGTAAAATACTTGCGTGCTTGATCTTCTTTGTACTTGAACTCTGGTCGGGATTCTTTAAGCGACCTTGCAAAATATCTTGAATTAACTCGCAGTCGATTGATGTTGCATCGCCGTTAGCTGAAGTGGGTGAAGGTAAGCTACGACACAAAAGTTACTTAAATGACCTTTACCACGTTCTCAAGTGAAAAGTAAAAAAGAATACTCACTCATAAGTTTTACCAGCAATAGAACATCTTTTAAACTCCATAACATTTTTCGTGAGAGTACCTGTTTTATCAGAAAATACATAACTAACCAAACCAAGTTCTTCATTAAGATTACTCGTGCGTGCCATGGCAGGTGTGTCAGATTCCGAATGATACATTTCAATATCCATATTAATAAAAGTCGCCTGTATATAACGCACGACTTCCAGTGTCACTTGGAGCGATATCGGGATCAAATTGTTGAACAAGATAATGAATGTCAATAGATTGAAGGCGAAATTTTTCGATTTAGCCTCTGCAAAAATCATATCAAATCAATACGTCTTCACACGTTTCATTCAAAACTGAATATATAAACCGTACCGGTAAGACCAAGATACCAAAGTCCATTATCATTGGCATTAGTCCAGAGAACATTGAAGATAGCGGACAAAAGGCACAGCAGCAGTAGAATAAAGAACAACATGAGTATCTGAGTATTGATAAGACGATCCAACGTTGAACGTTTAAGCGGTGCGGTATGGGTATTATTCTGCATGAGTTTTGTGTCGTGGCCAGTATAAACGACCACACCGAAAATCCACCGAGTATTGCGTAACATCGCACCGCGAAGAAGTAACTGATCGGGTCCTAAAGCAACACTCCTGCGACAAATGAAAAACATTTTTTTTAATAAATGCAACTGGATTAATAAGTTTTTTTTCGTAATGAATAGTTTGGAATACTAACGGCTTATTAGTTTCTCTCAAAATCCCATTAAACTCGTAAAGATGCCTGTTCGGGGCCTCGCACTGTATATTTGCCCTCAAATTCATCAATTCCGCGGTATCCAAAAACACAGCTGTTTCCGGCAGAGCTTGTCTGATTTTCAAATTAGTCTCACCGTCGAGATTGGCAGTCTCGATGAATGACATGGATTGCGGTTCCGACGACGACAGCAATATCAAATCAGCCGGGAAGAAATTGTTGTTGTGCACTTTAACGACATCGCCGACCGCAACGTTACGCCACTGAATCCATTCCCAACGGCCCTCGCGCAGAACTTCCACTTGCCGCTTGTTTATCTCATCATCGGCACGATGCCTTTTCTGCGAAAATGAGAGAACATGAATTTTCGTTTATTGTTCGAGTGCGCGTAGGCTTTTGGCATCGTGTTCACTTACGATGTCCTCGACAATCTCTTTGAGCGCCGACACACTGAGGATGAATATGAGCGGTACGAGGGTTGTATACCGACCCGTCGGCGATACATCTGGTATTTGCTACAAAAGAAAAAGAAAATGAAAGGTTCCCTCGTCCACAGCACAAAACATCGCTCGCTCGTATTTACCTGCATAAGAGCGATGAAGAGGAAGAAGCAATTGCTGTAGCGTCGGAATTGCTCGAACAGGAAGGACGGTATGAACGACAAGATAGAATACTTGGCTGTGGATATGTGGTTGTTACGGTACGTTGCTGGCTGATGTGGGGCGTTAATGAATACGACCCTCTCGTCTTGACTGTTCGCTTGCTCTACCGACGAACCACCATTCTCGGCTGCTCGTCCTGTCCCTGCTTGGAATTCCAAATTCAGTTTGTTTTGCGACTTTCTTATTGAACTCACGACGTAATCGAGAAAGGATGGAATCGTTTGCCACGTGAGCTTTTACAGTTGGACGTCGTTTTGCGATTCTAATTATTTCCAGAATGTTGTTAAAACAACCTTAACACTATGATTTCCGCTTTGGATCGTTTCCAGATCACGACATTCATTCGCGACATTTGATGTATGGTTTTCGTTAAATGAAAATACCTAAAATAAACATGAAAATCGCGAACGGGGGAAGAATGTCTATCGATGAGAAAGAAAAAATAATAAAATTCAACGATGCACGACGTAGTATCTAGGCATTCCCCATGCAGAGGTGGTTTTTCCAATGGCGGGAACACACCGTATTCTGAAAGAGCTATGAATGTATTGGGTATACTGGTCGACGGAGCATTCTTTTCGAAGAAAGTAAGGAAAAAAGGGATCACATGAATATTTTAGATTCAAGTCTATTTTAAACAGAAAACAAAGTAACATTAACCAGAATCACGAAACGAGCAAACTTATCGACATACACGAACAATGAAGTTCGTGATTAGTGTCGTTCATGATTTTTGAAATAGCACGAGCTCCACAAACATGAGTTGTCGATCATCGCGCGAGCGCGCAGACAGCGCTGGCACTTACGTGTGTGCGAATAAATGTACGCGTCAGCGCGCGCCCTCAATGCGCTTAGCCATCTGGCGTACTTGCTCTCCGCGAAATCCATCGCGCTTTTTATTCCGCTAGTGCTGTTCCCTCATCGTCCATAAGACGAAGCAAACTATTGCGCAACAAGTTCTCGCGTTACTGCATCGCGAGGGCTTCCGCGACGGAGAGGAGAGTCGCAGTGCTTGGCTTTTTTTTTCAAGGCCTTCGTCTGCCACCACCACACTTGGTGTACCAGCTACACATCCTTATCGCGCGTCACGAGAGTTGCGCTGCTGTCAACCAACACTATGACTTTTTCAGCTGAAAATCTAACCTTAAACATTCACTCACGCACGCGCGCGCGTTTGCGATATATACGCACTGCGGGCGGAACTATACAGTGTACACTCGACGGTGGCGCGACGTCAACTGTTGAGCACACCGATGCGGCGCCGTCGCGGCCCCCTCAAGCAGCGCACAATATTACACAGATCGATATTCGGGGAAAACGTCGTGGCGAGTGCTTGTGTCCTCCCTTCGCTGCTGCTGCTGTTTTGCGCGAAGAAGGGCACACGTCGCGCGCGTGCTGTGTGCATTCCGCGATAGCTTTTTGACTATCAATTTTTCGGAGCGAGCGTGCGTTTACTTTTGCGAGTGAGATATTCTTGGGAGAGACAATAGTTGTTGCGTTTGACAGATAAATTGAAAGACTTTGGCTTGACACTATTTCCGTCTAGTGTTTCTTTGATGTATATAACTTTAGTCATACTGTTCGCCAAAGTCTGACAAAGGAATAAAAAACGTATTGATCAATCAATCTTTTCTGATACAAAATATTATAATAAATACGCATTGAGAAATCATATCGCCAAATTGTATTTAGCCGCATTTTACCACTTTTGAATAAAAGGAAACTGGTTTCTCCAGCTGACAATGACTAAACTGCTAAAATAGCGCGATGACTGATATGTGCGACGTGTCTTTGCAATGGTTACTGTCAACGCTTGCAGTTTACGAGTGACTTCGGTTTCGAAAATTTAAATCGCTGATTATTTCTTGAAATTAACGATGCATCAATCAACCTTGAAAAGGTCGATTAACGAAAAAAAATAGAGCGAAGCCGATGATACTTCGCGCGTTCATTTCTGCGTTACGGCGCGGTAGCGTCTTGTCGGCCGCCACACCCATTGCGTCCGAACGTCGAGGAGCGTCGATTATATCCACCAGATACACGTAATTGCGATCTCCTAGCTACCCTCGTTAAGCTAATTACCGTGCACGCTTGACTCCGATAACGAAGAGCGTAAGAAGCTCTTGCGCTCGAGACAATTGAGTCGCGTCTATCGCTAAAAGAAAACAACGTAGCCTATAGAGTAGTAAGGCCAGAAAGCAAGAGAGAGTAAGAGAGAGAGAGTGGGTCGATACTCATCTCTCTCCGTGTGCCAAGTGTGGGGATGAAGCGAGCGACAATCGGTGCATAATAAAAATAAATTGCTGCAGAATTAGTCAGTGTTCGGATAATTCGAGGCTGAGTTGCGTAATGCTATTGTAAGAATTTTTAGTATTTTATTTTGTCAATAAATTCGCGAACAATTGATGCAGAATAATCGAGGTGGTTTAGCGTGGAAGCCGAAGCATCGAAAAAAAAAGAAAAAAAATTGTCAGGAGTGGGATTCGAACCCACGCCCTCAGAGAGGACCAGAATACCCAGTATTACTCGATGCGTATCGAGAAGGAAATAAACCTTGAGTCTGGCGCCTTAGACCGCTCGGCCACCCTGACACTTGTCGCGTCGAGTGATTATTGCTGCTGGTTATCTGCTTGCACACGTTATCTATGTCCAATTGTTGTATTTGACTGGATCGCGCGGTCGCTTCGTTGAATATCTGACGAATGCTAATCGCGACCGAATTCGCCAAAGCGGAATCGCGAATTCGTGGCGACGTTTCACGAGGGAAATTTGTTCGAGGTCGACCATCGCGACCATCAATAGCCCGTTTTATTTGCCGGCGAAACGACGATACATTTTCACGATACAAGGCGAACACGAACACTAACTGCAACTACAGATTTCTGCTTTATCGCGGGCAGCGTGTAAGCGTGAAGCAGCTAATCGCGCAAAACGCGAAAACTTCGCCACCGGATAATGAGCGACAATTGGTTTGGTTCGGCTGGGCGACGCACGAGACTGACCAACGGACTTTTCAGCAACAAGTTGCGCCCCATATCCCCGCGCATTAGCGCACGGCCTAATCGTTACGTAATGCTGCCGTGTCGAAAGTCATTAGCGCGCCGTCGATAATCACATCCGAAAGTTTTATCGCGCGTCACAGCTGTAAGTTAGTCACGCTACGCGTCGAGCAACTTTTGAGTTTCGCGCGACAGCCACGCGCTCGAGACGAAGCTTCGCGTCAAGGCGGGTCGACGACGCGCGAGTCGCGCGAAACAGAGAGCTCCGTCACCGGCGCGCGGTAAAGCCCACGAGCGTGCCCGAGGAGGTCAAGGTCGGCGCCGAGCTTTTCACTCGGCGCCGCAGCTTTTTTGTATTTTTCGTTTGATGTTGTCACGAGCGGCTGCGCTCGCGACTCTTGATTGCTCAACGTGTCGCTTGGCACTTTCTACTCTCGTGCCTCGTTGCGATCATCGATCGGCGCACGGCACTCCTGGCACTTTAATTGGCCTGCTCGTTGCCGAAGCGAGCGCGAGTTTTTCGAAATGCCCGGCTTGAAAGTTCCTCGATCGAAGAGCTTCCCTTGGAGGCGGGCAGTGCAACGCTCGGGAACATCTTTTTCTTATTTCGCGGCGTCGAGAAAGGCCAGGTTGCACGAGCTCGTCCACGCCTTGAGCGACGCTAGCGCCTTGTCAGTTCCTTTTAACTGACGACTGTACAAAGCCATCTGGCCGCCTGAAAGTTGACTTATCGATAAATAATCGGATGCTCTCCCGCGACCCAGAAATCATTATTCGTGTGCATAGTTTGTCGTCGCGGATGCAACAAATAATCAGAACTGTTTTGCATGCACGTGCACTGGACAAAAGGGCAGAAGTCGATGAATAGCGACGCCGATGTTTCCGTCATATCGATCGCTTTGGGGACTGGCGCTTCTTCTTCGCGCGGCCGTGATTCACGAGGAGGAGGTAAATTTAGACGCTGACACACGCCAACACAGCGGAAGCCGCAGTTGGTTGGCGCGAAGAAGGCGAGGCGCTCACCGCAATTGGTCGGCGAAGGATCGGTCTCACGCAGCTCGATGTGCTGCTGGTCGCTGCCGCCGCCGCCGCCGCCTCGCTTGCGCCTCGACGACGCCGTGGACGATGTGCGTGCCACTGCGGTGGCGAAGCCGAGGCTATCGACGTTGTCGATGTCGCCGAGGTTGATGGGACTGCCGACGATGTAGGGACCACGCTCGCCCAGCTGCGGCTGCTGTGGCTCGTCCATGTGCGGGATCGACGACAGGTCGGGCGGCGTGAACGGACCCCCGCCGTTCGCACCCCCCGCGACGTCGATCCCCCGCGACGATGGCTGCATCTCCGGTGCCGGGGCCTGTCGAGCAGCAAGTGAAGCTTTAGCTTCGGCCAATTCCGATGGATATACGCGTCCTTTTCGATCGGTTGCACGTTTGTAAACTTGCTGATTTTAATCGTTAATTGGCGAAAAGCCACTGCTACGCAAAACGGAAGTTATTGAGTTTGCTGCGCACTTAAAAATAAGAACATTTTCTAAGCAAAGTCAAAATGGAAGAAATGTTTTTCATTCGAGGATTTGTCTTTTAAGCATCCAGTAAATTTGAGAACGTTCTTTTCCGCACTGACTAAAAAATTTGCCTTGATCATGACTAATTGTCACTTTACATCACCGATGATTATCTTTCTGTTTCAAACGAACGAGTTGCTCTAGAATTCTCGATAGATCGAAGAACAAGTTTATTAAAGAAAAAGTAACGAACAAATAAGAAGCGTTGTCGTCCCGTCATTATTTACTCCTAACGAAATTTAGCGAGTCGATTAATTCGAATTTTCTGTTTGAGCCTTTAGGCCATCTGTCGCGTGCGGACACATCGCAAAGGAAAATGAGAAAACAGACGCATTGAAAAAAAAGGTACAAATCGATCGACGAGTCAATTAACAATTCAACGCGTCATCATACCTGGTGGTCGTCCGCGTGAAAGGTGCCGTAATCGTCGCGACGACTCATGGCCGCGACGCGCAGACTTCGGGCGACGACTGCGTTATATTTCGGTGCGGTCGTCTCGCGATCGCCGACTTATCGCTGCCAGTGCCGGCACTGATAACGCAACGACCAAGCACTCGTGAGTTTCACAGATAGACGCGCATTTTTCCTTTCCCAACCGCGTTCACTACGACAAAAGCGCGACACCAAATTTTTCTATCACGCGCCTGATTCGGACCGATATCTGTCGCGAGCAGCGTACTTTCCTCGACGAATAGACTCGACACAATCTAGGGCTCGCTGGAAGATGTCATCACGCAGGTGACACGCGCACACAAGCACGTACGCACACACGACTCAATTTTTCAGTCTATCGGCGACTGGACGTGCGTCGCACGGTCAGGTGCCATGGAGGATGAACGTGAGAATTCGGACGCAACACGCCCCGCGACCAGTCGTAAGACCGCGAGTATAGAGGATCGAGTTATCGCCCAATTCTAATATCTGAATTAATAAAAGAACTTACTTGTCGCAGTCAAAACGCCGCGCAAAGGAAGAAAAAAAAATTAAAAAATTAAAAAAGAAAGAAAAAACGAAAAGCGCAGTGCGCGCGCGCTGGAAATAAAACAACTAATCCAAAGTGGAGGGATATAATTGAAGCGAAGTAGGCATTTCGGACATTGATGCCGGCGGCAGTGAGGTAGAGGGAGAGGCGAGACGAAAATAAAAGACCGACGCGCCGGCCGAATTTCCGAAATCATCGTTTCGCGCGTAGGTGAACGGTCGGCGCGTTGGAAAAAAGAAAACAATTTCTTTGACCTATTTTTCTTTCGTTTCCTTCGCGCTGCAGTTAGCGCGCGTCGGATAAAATGTAATTCCCCGCGGCCGCACGGCCGTTGAACTTCCCCTCGCGGTTTTGCACTTTTTCAGGACGACTCGCGTTGCGCCGTCGAGATCAAACGCGAAATTGAAAAAAAAAAAAAAGTGCACGCGTACGTTCGAGGCGACCGGTGAGTATTAAAATCTAGGAGTTGTAAATCGACAAACGCTCGAGTCGCCCTCGATTAACCATTCAATCCTAGCAGCGACGAAAGTATGCAACAATCGAGACTCACGACATCGACGCGCTTGGGTGTTGGGCGCCTTCTTTTCACGACCTTATCATCGCTCGCCACGATGTTACCTCGACGACAGACACCAGTCACACTGCCGCGGGAGCTTTTGCTGTACTACCCCTTTTTTTCTGTTTACAACGCTGCGCGCTCACGAGTGGAAAGGTGCCAATTTTGCCTAGCGACACACGCATCGATCGGCAATGCCGCCTCTGGTAATTGAATTGCTGATGAGTGGATATTCGACTATCATTGAGATTGCAGATGGATCGATACTGTTGATTCTTTTTCGACGAAGGTCCATCGATTTTTACTCGTGGCAGCTTTTTTTGCGCAACACTCGCAGTTAAGTTTAAGTTGCAATTGTTGTGGAATGGGAAATGTGTAAATAGATCGAAAGATAAAAAAAACGATAAAAAAACACGTGTTAAGTTAACTCGCGACGCTATAATCGTCGAAAAATGTTCGTAAGCATCCTGGCGTCGCGCAATCATCTCGAGCAATTATAAAAAAAGAAACAAACTAGAAACTGTCCGTCGTTACAACCGAGGAGGAAGAAAAACCGCTCGAAAGTCTGGCGTATACAAAGCTTTTTGTTTTACTTTGGCGCGCGCGCGCGTTAACGAGGTGTTTCAGCAAACGGAAATCTACGGGTCGAAAGCTCGACTTTCATGTTTCATAAATAATAGCACGCGGGCGGATTAACTGATCCTTGCAAGCTGTTCGCGCGATCAATTTACTCAGTCGCGATAATTTCGGATATTCCGAGATGAGCGCTTACAAGCTGCAATTGTGAGCGACGTCGTCGTAAAAGAGAACGACTCGCATCGCTCATCAAATTAAAAATATCAGCAGCTCATCAGAAACACAACGAGTGGTCGTAAAAGAGCGAAATGAGACTAGCAATAGCATTTACCCTTGGCGAGTGTCGTGCGAGATAAACGATCGCAAAAAAAAAAAGTTCTCCTCGCTGTTACTGAGAGGGGGTTGAGAGTCGATGCGTGTGTACACGTGACTTTCTCCTAAAACAAACAGGGGAGAAAGAGCCCGGAAGCGCTGAAATAATTCCTCTCCCTTTTTTGCAATCGGAAGGAGGTCATACTTGTGCCGTTAATTTTATTTTACCCGTGAAAGTTTGGTTGGACGCTTTTTCAACTCTTCGTTGCTGCACTGATTAAAAGCGGCACGTACGTCGGCACGTATTTTAAAAGCTACGCGAACTGAATTGAAAAGTCGCGAGCTCTCGGTTCGGCAGGATTCGATTCGCTCTTTCGGAAAGCCTCGTGGTCGCGAGAGGCAAAGCTGACAAACGCAGGCGGTAAATATCAGCTGCGTAAGTTGAACGCTCCCGACGATAGAATCGATATCGCATTTTCCGACACCGGGGTTTTAATAAAGTCGAACACACGCGTTCGTCGACATTTCGCACGCATTAATTATATCGAGTTAGAACGCGAGCATAAAGGCCTTTACAAGCTCATCGAGCTTTTCTTTTATTAATGCCGCTGTTTGCCGCTTGGCGTTTCAACAGACTATAGACATCGTTGTCGTTACATCCGACATGTAAGTTGAGTGCTAATTGCAATGTAGCCCATCCCACAAAAAAGAGAGACAGAGAAGGGAGGCCCGGGTAAATTATTAGATATAACTTTCACAACGTGGAACGATCGAATCGGTGTCAATCGTTTCGCGAGAGAGAAATAACAGAAAGCATGTATAACGTTGCTTGAAGGGACAGCAATGTTCGTTTTTATGACTTGTTTTTATGATTCGCGAGGTAATGCTTGAGAGCGCAAGTATGTTCGTCTTTTTCACCAAGCCGAGCGTAAATTTTAAATTGTCTTTCGTTTATGGCATTTTTAGATTTAATGTTTTGCATAATGCCTTTACAATGCTTTTTGTCGCGGTTTAGATTTAGACGTTTTAATCTCTATTGTGCGAATAATGCAATTGAGAATGCGTACGATAATAGATTACATTTTCAATGAAGCGGCCGAGTTACGGGAGTAATTTGCAACATCGTATCAGATCTTAATTATTCAAACACAACGCGTTTGAGTATGATAAACCTTTATACGGAAATTTACCTTTACCATCCAAAGAAGTTCCGTTGCCCGAGCAATAAAAGAAAAATACGTCACACTCTCGCAAACGTCAAGGTAGAACTAAAAATTCTCCTCGACGACAAAAAAAAAGAAAGCCGTGAATCATAATGATCGCGTGATAACACCAGCGCCGCGCCTGTTTTTCCGTCCTCGTCGTCAGATTATAAATGGAGTCGCGTGTGATTTTGATTAAAAGTAAACTAAAAAAATTCGAGATCATCCTTCTTCCCTTTCTAAGCTAACAATTAAGTTTTTATCAATCGATTTGACCGCTTGAGAAGTAACAGAAATGTAGCTATAGTTAAACACGCGATCGCAAATAAACGAAATCATCATAACTATTCTTCAATTTTATGGAATTTCTACAGATTCTGAAAAGAAAAAAGAAAAAAGAAAAAAAGCGAATAGCCGAAACGTGCAGACGGCAAACCCAACCCTGAACTCGCGTGATGTGGGGAAAAATGTGGGACACGTAAACACAGACACGCCCGCTTGCTTGCGAGACTTCGCTTTCAATGGCCTTATCAAAATTAAAAGAGCAGGCGGAAGCATGATTCAATCACGTAGGACAAAAAGAAAACAGAAATATCCATACGGGAGAGAAACGCTCCTTGTGCATAAAAAGTGCTCTTTTTTACGGTTATTTACATAACTACACGTTTTTCCATGCAATCTTGCCAGCAATTTGAAGAATTTGATTGAAGAACTGACGACTAAAAATCAATAATTATGAATTTGAGTAATGAGTCTCGTTTTTATGGATTATTTGTCAAACTACGTTTTAATGAGATGACTTGTTTCCAAGTTACATAAATACGAACATCTAACGTTATACGATTCAATTTTTTTCGTAAAGGCATTAATTTGGCTATTTATTAAATTAGATAAATTTATTGAGTTAACTTACGTCTAAACCAGAAGCACGAACATCGCGTAGTCATGATGGAAAATTCAAAATGACGTTCAAACTAGATAGTTCATAGTTCTAACCAAACCGAAATTTTACATAAATGGATATTAACTCGTTAACAACAACTTACTTCAATTAAACGCGAAAATGCAGAATCCTCGCAATCAGCATTACAATATTATTTCGTTCGATTGGCCCTGAACAAAAGATGAGAAAGATTGACTTACACGACTATCCCTAGATTCCACATAAATTTTTAAAGCCAATAGACTATACTTCTATAAACTAAAAAAGAGAAAAGAATCCATCTAAGAATAAATGCGTGTAAGAGTCTAAAGACGCGCATCTTTTTTTCTACGTGATGCGCACGAAGAGCAAGAGAGTGAGGTAAGTAAAACCGCCTGTATTATGCAACAAGTAGGCGAGTTTAAAATACGTGTATGTATAACCGGATCAATTTTCGGCTTAGCGAGCAACCTTTACAATCGGCTACAGCATACATCATTTAAAATTTCTTTTTCACAACTGTTTTTAATCATCGATGAAATGGAATTTAGGATCCGTGATAGACATGTGCATGTGCTCGATGGTAATCCTTAGTCTTTCATTTACATAGCACTATTCTGAAATGTTTATAGCAAAAACACCGTCGTTATTGAAAAATAAAAACAAATTAACTCAGACGAGAAAAAATAGTTGAACTGCATTTTCATCATTCGATAATATTCGCACATTCTCGAAAAAGCAAACGGACAATCGCTAAAAGCCATTTTTGAAAAATAGACGCGAGTCGTGTAACATCAAAAGGTAAACAAAAGGAAGCGTGCGTACGCGTAAAATGCAGCTGTGTACTCTTTATATATTGCTTGCATCGTATAACCTAACCTCTATATCATATTCGCTCGTTTCATCTTCTCTATTGATGGCAACAGAATAGATGCCACTATGTAAAAAGAGCGCAGATAAACGACTCACCGACAACAATACAAAACCGAACTCTCACTACTTTGACGAAATACAAGCCATTGTCATATCTCATCGGCATCTTTTGGTGGCCAGGGCCACCGCGCAACTACAACAATTCACTACTACTCGTAGTATAACGGCGTCTTCCTAATGCACAAGTATAGAAGCTGCAACACACCACCGTTAACCTCATGACGGCGCGACGCGCGACTGATCGTGTTTTTCCCTTCGCGCGGCGTTGTTGGCGCGACCGCGTGTGCGCCAAAGTGGGGCGTGAAGGTGGACCTAAAGGTGGGGAAAGACCTCTAAAAAATAGAATTTCCTCAAAACTTACATTTACATTCACATATACATACACACGCGTATACTTTTTGGCGAGAATATATACACGCGGTAGTTTTTAATTTTCGTTGCTGATCAATATAAAACTTGCGAAGACTTATAAGTCAGTCGATTATTTATGTTATAGGCCACGGCGATGAGACTAGAGTCTCGTCAATCGATCGTGTGTTTAACATTGCTCAGGTATTCCCACTATATGACCATAGATGCAATTGAAAATTGTGACGAGGGACGCGGTAAGACTTGCTATGCGCCAATTTGGTAGTTTGCAAAATTTTATGGTTAGGTAAATGGCATAGCAAAAATCGCGAATGGTTTCTTGATTGAAATTGAAATTGTTATTGTCGGCTCGTAAGTTTGCGGTGATCTCGTCACACTTGTGTTGAGCTCCGTTCGTTGCGTTGATTTCGGCGTGTATCAATGTTTTGAATGTCTGCAAAGTGGAATAAATAAGCAAATTGCATTTCTCAATCAAAGTTTCGTTGATTACATACGATTAAATTGTGAATGAGCTTAGGAAACATGGGCCAATTTTCCTCACAAGCGATGCAGTCGCAGTCGAAATGAAAGCGCTCCGATAGTAATTTCCGACGCTTATCTCTACTCATCTCTGAGTACATCGGTCCATAGCAGCAAAATACCTTGACAATAAATAATAGTCGGAGTTAATTTTAAAACATGCTATAACGAGAGAAGTTTTACACACGCGTCATAACAATGAACAGTATTAAGTGTATGTTTTGTTTTCTTTTTGGAGGCAAGCAGTTAAATATTTATATAAAGTGAAGGTTCGGGTTTATTTTATAGACGCTGACGTAAACTTGAAAAATGTATCTAAAATTATGTGCCACACCAAGAAGATGATTTAGTTAAGGCACCATCGTGAATAATAAAAAAGCTCAACCTGTTCGTCTTTAGCAATCGGTTTGATAGCATAGAGAACCGTGGAACGATCGCCCATTTCGCAGCTTTTGACGTTGGGAAAGCAGCTGTGATTGAGCAGACTTAAAAACGGTGTAAGGTACAGCCCCGAGCTGTGTTCCTCGGTGAGTGGCGACCAATTCCACTCCGTCGACGACACCTTGTACAAGTCCTTCACCTGTACAAACCAAGTCGAAAAAGTCTCAATATGAAAAACTTAGGCACATTTGCGTTTCCGTATACCGTCACAGCGTTAAGCAGTGTAAGATGTTGATAATGCGAGAGTAATTTTCCCACGAACAGAGCGTCTTCGCTGCTCTGCAGAGCTCTTTTGTCGGAGTCGAAGTACTTGCGGAAAAACGGCGTGTGCTTGGCGAGTAGGTGCAGAAGCACAGCCGAATCCTTGGATATGGCGAGTTGCTCGATGTGCGATCGTTTTTTTGCATTCGTTCGGAGACTGTAGGCACTGAGGTAATTGTTGCCGAAATGTGGCCCTGAGAATCCTCGTTTGCGGTAGTCTGGAAAATGAGAAACAATAAGGAAAATTTGGACGCCGTTGAAAGTTGGCGAAAAAAGGTCATAATCGACGGATTTCATTCACCGCAACTTTCGACTTAATTACATTTTATCAAATGTGTTTTTTGTCGAACTGATAAGCACTGTATCGATTCCTAGTGAGCTGTATGGTGCAGATGAGATAACGGTAGTACATGTCTGGCGAGAGGCGAAAACACGTCGAAGATAATTCTAGACGATTGCAGTTTCGTTAGAATACCAATGCAGTCATTTAAATTTGCAAGGGGAAAACTCTATAGCTACGGTGCGTCACAGCTATATGTCCCGCGATTTTGGGTCCTATTTCGGTTAAGAGAGCCGGCGCTAACTCCCACAAACACAAATTCACCGCGAATGGTTGGAAAATTGAGATTAGACAATTAAGAAATATTACACGTCGATTTCATATATATATATATATATATATGCACACGGCGATCTTGTTATTACGCCTTCATAACATCAATTAAAAAATTAATTAATTATCTATAGGATGAGTAAGCTAACTCGAACCTAACCGAACTAAACCAAAACTCGAATTAATAGAGAAAATTACAAAGAGTGAGCGTATTTGCTCATTCACGGAAGCGCAACAATCAAGCGTAATTTAGGCGAAGAGAACACAAGCGAATTCGCTCAGTGTCCTCGACACAAAAGGACGAAAGTACGGCCGCGAAGTTCCGAGCGAGAGCTGGTGCAGAGAGAAAAGAAATTCATATGCTTTGGAGAGCGAACCACCAGGTTCCATCGTACTCCGCTCGCAGGTGACAGTCCGGAGGCGACGGAAGTGCAGCCCAACTGGCAGAAGTGCTCGAGGGACGATGACATCCACTCCGCTGTCTAGCCTCGAGAATTCAAAAAAGGGGCACCTTGCCAGGACTTCCTGGTGGCCTTTGCCTCGACAGCGATGGACGTGTGCCATACTTGTGTCCTGGAGTCTCACGGCACTGCCCTTCCAGAGAGTATTCTGGGTAGCTCGAACACACAAAGTTCTTCAGTCTCTCTCTCTTCACCCTCTTTCTGGACTCTCTTGCTGGCTTCTTGCTGGATTCGGCCACCTTTCTCTTGATTCTCCCTCTGACCTCTCTCTCTCAATTCTCGCAAATTTCCTCGCTTATGAATCAGCCGATACCTCTCCGCTAATTATGGCTCTTCCTTTCTCTCTGCTCTTTTCGCTCTCGCTCTTATCTCCAGCCGCGCTCACATCTTCCGGGTCCTGCAACAAACCAAGCAGGAATGTCATGTTGCCACGCCCACGCCTGGTCGCTGCGTCCATGTAAGGAGAGTGCCGCACACATGGCTAGTGATTATCGCTGTTCGCCAAATTTTAAGGTTACATCTGTAACGGTTACTCAATGGACCCGCTACTCTATCACCTTGGTGAACCAGGCAGAAACAAACATGGCAGTGGATCAACTAGTATTTCACGGAAATAAATTATTGCTATTTATTACCGATCGTTTTTATCAATTACATTATTATCCTGCAATGGGATAAGGTCAGATGAATGAAGAATCGATAGCAAGAGATTTGACTACGACTACATTAGGCAAATGTTGGTATACACGAACAAATCGTCGTTATATTATTACCATAACGCTTTTGTTTCTGCTGAAATTTATACATGAGATAGGTGATGTCTTCAACTTAAAGTTTTTAAAATTAATATTGATTAAATTGAACATTAACATTGCGGAATGAAGTTGCTAATTAAAAAATATACTATAACTCTTGTGCCATTTAGACACCCATAAACCATATCTTGACGCTAATGAAAGTTGGAATGAACCATGCTAAGATGCACTCTTATAACAGAAGGTAACACAGATTTGTATTCATAAAATGGCCTTTCCTCTTGTCAGCGCAGCTTGCAACGCCAGACTACATTCTTAGGCGTCAGAAAAGAAAAAGCTTTATTTAACAATAAATCAGAATAAATGTACTCAGGCACGCGCCATTCGGGAAGTCATTCACGGGAAATTGCGAGCACTTAAAAAAACCAAGCAAACTCGCGCGCTGAGTCAATACAACGAATGTTCTCACACGATTAATGAGCTATTCACGAGGCATACAAATAGTAAATTGACGCTTGTTAAAACATTCTAATATTCGAATACTCACCCATGCATGCATCAACCTCGTCAAATTTTTCCCTCAACTTCTTCAATCCACCAGCTTCTTTCACAGCTATAATAACCATTCTAATGCTCATAGTTCTCGCAGCATTCATTCTCTGTGAACTCTTCCAAATCCATTCCATAACTTTACACTCCACGTCATGATACAATTGCTTGGCGACGGCTCGACATCTCTCCGTGCAGTAGACCGCGTGAGCGCAATTCTCGCACGGCAATGGCGACCAAGCGAAACGCAAACAGTGCGAACAGTTGAGGTAGATGTCGATCGGACAACTAACGTACGGCTCGCTGACGTAGAGGATTTCACCAGGAACAATGTCACGTGTGGCTCTTAAATGACGACCGTAATGATAATTTTGAGGTACGTGGGTGATTGATAAGGCTGATGAGGCTGATGGACATTCTGGCGAGAGGTGATTTCTGAATTGTTCTGCAAGTAACAAATTCATTAATTTTTGGAAATTAAAGGATTGTAAACATATAAGTATGCATACCTATGTTGGGAAGATCAAGTTTCGGCTTTTCTTCTTGAATTTTAAATTCGCCCCTTTTCAGCTTGATAATAGCCTTGACTAGTTTTACAACGAGTTTCTTCTTTACCTTGTCGGTCACTTTGATCTCTTCCAAGATTATTTTAGCTTCCTCGCAGGTATATTCCGCCTCTTCTAGACCTAACTCTGCCTGATATTCGACCTTCGATCAAATTAAATTATAAACAGCAATCAGATGTTTACTTTTAATTAAGTTTCTCCAAATAACTAAATTTATAGAAATAACATACCTTACGACACATGAGCTTGATAAGTTGAATATCCGTTGTCGCCAGTTTCATAGCTCTTTCCAAATCCTCAATACTGTCAAGATATCTCTTTAAATGAGCTAACAAAGCTGATCTGTTACCATAAGCCAAACCAAGTTCCTCGGAACCCATTGGCGCGAACGCGACACTTTGGGTATAGAGTTTCAGTATTTCCAAGTGTATTTTCTCATCATGCTTGTTGTGCACGTACAAATCGTTTCCTTCTTGTCTTGTTCTTGACGATTCTACGGCACTTTTTGGCTCTGGTGTATAATTCCAAGGCGATTTCTTTAAAAGCTCATCGAGCTCGTTTATAGCAGCAATCAGACGTCTATGCTCCATTTTTCGAATACACTGACAGTTGAGATTTGAAAAAAGTTATAGAAGTAGACTGTGATGTATGATTTTATTTGTATTTGCCAAGTATAAATAAATGTGGCAGATAATATATATCTAGGGGTAGGAAAATTGAAATAATTTATCCGTGAATAAGTCACAAGGCAGTGAGTTCTTTACAAACGTGATATCCATATACATTATATAAAGATATGAGATAACGATGTATCAAAAGCTACTAAGTGATTTTTTGAGGATTTCGTATCTAATAGATACAATTATTAATAATAAATTGAATTAATTCCCCTACCTCTATTCCATACATTTAACAATATATAATTTATTTAAAAAACTATATAGTCAATAAATTATTCAATATTTTTAAAAATAGCACCATAACATCAGCTTTTTCCTTATAACTAATTATTAATTACAGTAAAATAAAGATAAATATAACAAAATCAGATAGAGTATCTATATAAATGATCTTGACTGTATCCTACAATCAACAGTGTAGCCTTATCTTGCTTTATGTATCTTATTAGTAATAACAAATGATAATATTAATACATAAAAAGTAAATATTTAAATTATTAACTAAACAAATAAATTGCTTGTCTTAAGTATAACTTGAAAAAATGTCATCTAGATCAAGTCAACTTTCACTCTATGATATGCATTACAAAGAAAACCTCTTAGATTCCAAATATTTTTAAAACTTTCTGGTTGTACATTATAAGATGAATCTACGGCTTTTGCCCACAACTCTACAGACCCCATTGATTTGTCAACAGGTATCTGAAGACTCCACAAAGTCCAAGCATAATGTCTACCTTCTTTGGCATTTTGATCCTGAGTTACTAAATCTGCAATGTGCCATGTATTTCCGCCGTCGGCTGTCACGTCTACTCTAATTATTTTTTTACCACCTCCAGACCAAGCGTATCCTGTAAAATGCATAATAGTTATTAAAATACACAAATGTGAAATATTTGCATCTTTATTGAATTGATTTACCTTTCACTGCAATAGTACCATTCTTATCTATTTGAACTTTTTCTCCTCTTTGAGGAATGCAAATAGCAGAAGTAACTGGCATCTCCTGAATTGCAGGAGCTTTCTTGAAATCTACATTATCCCAATCTATAGAAGGAGAGAAGCCTTTATAGTCATTCTGCTGGAATTGCGAAGGACTCTCTTCTTTAGAAAAAATAATTTTATTGCACCACTTCACATTTCTAGCTCCAACAACTCCTGGTACGATTACTCTAATAGGCCAGCCATGGTCTAGAGGAATTTCCTCGTCATTCATTTCATAAGCTAGTAAAACATCGGCTCTTGGATCCAAAGCTTTGCCAATTGGTATACTAGCACCATAGGATACACCAGCCGGATCAACATCCATTCCTTCAAACTGTAAATGATTGAAATCTTCTTCTTTTATACCTAAGAAAATAAAGAAATTTGAATAAAAGTTTTTCACAAAGAACAAATTTAATTTGTATTATTAAAATTTACCTAATCCTTCCAATACATCAATTAATCTTGCACCAGACCAGCTGGCATTACCAATAGCTCCAACACTCCAACTCAAACCTCTCAATGACTTGGCTTCAGCCATTTCTGATCTTCGATTACCTCCACACATTATTGCACTGGTTACTGTGTACTTAGGATATTTTTTAATATCCGATAGCGTGAGTGATTTAATAGTGGTATCATTTATATTTATTTCCATTTCGTAATCTTTTATATCAATTATTGGGACTGGTAGATGATTTCTTATATAGAAAATATCTTTTGGAGTTTTGAAATGTTCTACTAATAGATGAGAAGGAGGTTCAGCACAGAATGGCTGTTTACCATTAACTTTTAGCACCTAAAAAATTGCATCACAATATAATGCATTTTTGAATAATTAACAATAATATAAATTCAATTACTTTGCTACGAATTGGTTCCAAAGCATAAGGATCTAAAGTATCCACAGTTTTTTTGTACACATCTTCGCTTTTGAGATTACCAATCCTCATTGATTCCAAGAGCTCCAGTATTTCTGACTTTTGATGATTAGCAAAGACCATCCAAAAAGGATCAATAGATCCACCAGCTGCCATCATGATTTTCTCCTCTCCACCGGGATGCTTCTTAACAAATTCTGTAATATTGTAAACACCTTCCTTGTACGAAACCCAGATGCCATCCTTGACATTGTCATGCTCATTAACTTGCTCTATTGAATATGTTGGAAGATCATTTTTTCGAACACCAACAATATTTTGACTTCTTAAGATAAATGTATGATTGTTAATATTTTCACTTAAATTTAAATGAAAAAAGGTGAAAAAAGAAATGATCTTACTCAGTATGCTGCTTCAAAGCATGTACATGACAATTTTCTTTCATAAATTTTTTCACATCGTCACTGAATAAATAATAGCTAATAGCTCCAATGAAAGGTAAAGAAAAAGCAGCATATGCACCATACTTGTGGTATTTTTTATTTTCTTGATGAACGAATGAACTGGATCTTAAAATTGATGCACTTAGTTTCAGATAATTTGAAAACCGAAATTCGTGATTACGACATATTGCAGTTAATTTAGTTGAGTAACGAAACATTTTTAAACTTTTTCTTCACTGTAGTACTAATACTCTGTGAAATTTACTCAATAAATCTATTATACTGTATTACACTTATCACAGTTATAGACGTTCATTTTGCTGGAGGATTTTTAAGTAAAAACACGTGTATATCTCGACAACCATCTGTGCATTCTTGACAAAAATCATTATCTATAGGTATTTACTTAATTACGATTGCTCGAATCTATGTTATCTGGTGTTATTTTGATATTGCAGTTATTTTTGGTTAGGAGTATAGTAAATAAGTGGCGTCATCAGATCACGTGATCAATTCCATAAGTAAATTTTTATTATTTGTCAAGCAACAAAACTTATGATTATATTAAAACTTATAACCAAAGACAACTAAATGCAATAAATATTTGACTAATTTACATATTAAAGGTTCCCCTACATAATCAAAAAATTCAATAAAAACACTGCTTTTAGATGGTAGAAACAAGTTTAATAGATTATACTCTTGTTACAATTTTGATCACCATTCTTACAAATTTATACACACACTCACACATCAAAACAAGTCTCAGATACACAAATTAATTATTTTACAAAAATGTATGTTTTATTTCTTTCCTCTTCGTTTACTGCCTCCAACTTTTTTACGAAAATCGCGATTACCTTTTCCTTGTTTAGGTTTCTTTGAGGTTTTCGGAGCAGACTCTTTCATTTGGCCAGGATTCTTCTTCCTCTTCTTAGTGACTCGTCCCTTTTTAATTGACTTTTTCTTTACCTCTTTCTTTACTTCATCGTTGAAACGACCCAATGATGCTGTTGATACTTGTGCAACCTACAATTCATAGAAAAATTAGTGTGTTGAATATAAATGTAATATTCTAGAATAAAAAATTAATATGTTATACCTTAACACCAGTAGACAACTGTTTAGCATCTTTGAAGTGTTCAGTGCTTGGTAATCCAAGCTTGGGAACATTAATTTTCTTGGCCTTAGCAAGATTCCTTAACCGCTGTAACTCATTTTTAGCCTTCCTTTCTTGTTTGCCAATTTTGATAGCGGTAAATGGATCCTCCTTAGGTTTTCCATCATCATTACACTCAACCAACCACTCCTTTTGTTTCTCAGCCTCAGCCTTTTTAAATCCATAAGTTGGAGTCCACTTCTGTAGAAGATCATCCCACTTGAGCTTAGATTTACCTTTCTTCTTGGGAGTTATGCCCTTCTCTTTGGCAAATTGTTGCCACTTCGTAAGTAGTTTGGGTTTAGGCACTTTTCTTGATCTTGGTAAAACGTATTTTTGTTTAGGCAACTCAGCAACAATCACTTCTTCGACGCACTTTGTTGGTAACTCCCAAATTTTGTTCACCAGAAGTTGCACATTACCTCTTGTCAGATCTTTTAAGTTCGACTCAAAATGACCACTTTTCAAATTAAAAGGATTGTAGTCGGTTACCAGAAGTGTTCCTTCGTCGATTTCTACGTCGATTTCTTTCTCAACGGTAATTAGTTTCCTCGAATTGACATTTTCGTCGCCTAGGATCTGGTTGACGAGATCCATTTTTGAGGTTGGTAAAAATCAAAACACGTGCGACGGAACTACAATCCACGAGTGTATACGCGTATGCAATCTCGTAAGCGAATTGTCTAATAATCTCTTGCCCCGTTTACCGTACTGACTATCGTCACCTGTTTTAAATTGATAATATTATACCTAGATAATACATTTATTCGTTGGTAATACTATAATACAAAACACAAAATATATATCTAAAAAAGAAACAAGAGGGCGCTATGTTCGTAAAATTTCTATACTATAATTTTGCCGACCAGGCATAACCTTAGTTTTTTAGTTAATGTGTTTTACATGTGTTAAAATGGTTCATAATTTTATTTTCTATTTTTAGCATAATTGTAAATAATCTAATGATAAGAGTGTATAATATTAAAATTTATAACGATGTTAACTTCAAAAACATTCTATCGGAAAACCAAAGGTGGAAATATTCACAAGGTTTATTTATTGTTTACTTTTCCAATTTATCCAAAATAATAATTTACTCATAAAATAATAAATAATTAATTGTTTGATAGGTTATCAAAGAACATTATTTGAGAGATGATATTTGGTGTGGCTCAGAAGCATGTGAGAGATGTGGACGTAGAAAGAAAGAAATTTTACTTGACGAGGAAAATCCTGGAGCAAAAAGCACATTGTATTCTTGTCATTACTATTTAGTTTTTGACACAAATATAGTTCTGAATCAAGTAAAACAGAATGTTTTATTCACTTATCAATGATTTTAAATGTTTTAAAGAAAGTGTACTTATTACATTTTTTAATTTACAGATTGATATTTTAGAAGAAAATACACTATGTAATGTGATTATTCCTCAAACAGTACTAGAAGAAGTACGTCACAGAAGTTCAAATGTGTATAAGAAGCTTAAAGAAATCATTGGTGATCCTCAGAGAAAATTTTTTGTTTTTGTTAATGAACACCACAAGTAAGTTCTTCTAAAAGAAATCTAATTTAAATTTGTTATATTATTGAATATTTATTCAAAGGGATACTTATGTGGAACGCAAGCCTGGAGAAATTATGAATGATAGGAACGATAGAGCCATTCGAACTGTTGCCAAATGGTACAATTCACACTTTAGTGCTCAAAAAATTAATATTAAAACTATACTTTTAACTGAAGATGAAGAGAATAAAAGGAAAGCTACTGAAGAAGGAATTCCTGTGGCAACAAGTTAGTTATTTTCACATCCTAAAGTTTTCAATTTTTCAAAGACTTGCTATTTAACAAATGTGTATATTTTTCAGCTCAAGAATATATTGCATCACTAGAAAATGCAGGTTTCCTTCTGGATAAACTTTCCAAAAAAAGCTACATATTGGATGGTGAAGGTCGCAATCCACTTTTTTCTCCTCATTTATCACCATCTCAATTACACGAAGGCATAAAAAATGAAAAGTACCTTCAAGGCTCATTCTTGGCATCGAGAGAAAATTTTTTAGAAGGAAGCGTCAATTGTGAGAGTGTCGAGAAATTTGTAAGTGATAATAAAGGAATCGCTAATTAAAATCAAATAAACAAATTTTAATCTGAAATTGTATTATAGATATTGGTGCAAGGACGAGAAAGTCTAAACCGAGCGATTGACGGTGACACAGTTGCAGTCGAACTCCTTCCAGAAGACCAATGGTCAGCACCTAGTGACATTATTCTTCAAGACGATACCGAAAATGATCCTGGCGACGTTCTCGATGATGAGAAAATACTGACTGAGAGTAAACCAGCTACATCAGTAGAAAAAACACCAACTGGAAGGATTGTTGGTATTATCAAAAGAAAGTGGAGGCAGTACTGTGGTATACTGCAACCTAATGAACTCAAAGAAGTAAATACGTTTCATAATTATATCTAATTTCTAACATATATTGGAAAGGAATGCAAAAAATGGTGTCACATTAAATGGCTTTCTTTTATTTCCAGAATACGCGTCATCTATTCGTGCCAGCTGAGCGTAAAATTCCAAAAGTGTGCATAGAGACACGTCAAGCCGAAACATTGAAAACGCAACGAATAATCGTGGCAATCGACTCGTGGCCACGCAATTCTCGTTATCCGCTCGGTCACTTCGTTCGAGCATTAGGTAACATCGGTGATAAGGATACAGAGAACGAAGTTTTGTTGCTGGAACACGACGTGCCACACAGCCGATTCTCCGATGAAGTGTTGAGTTTTCTGCCAAGGTTGCCTTGGGTTATCACGGAAGCGGTAAGTTTCGTTAAACGTCAACTTCCAAATTGTCGTCGTCGGTCGTTTGACGACTCGTCGTTGGGTTAGATTCCCATGAAAATCGCGAGGAGATTGAATCACTAGTTGATCCATTCGATGTGAATGATGAAAATGGATATGATTCGTTGTCGGCTTCGGTGCTCGGTCGCACTGCTACGTAGTTTCCTCGTCTTTCAGCTCTACATTCGTTGATTTGATGTAAAGAAACGTTTTGCGTACAAAAGCGAGTAGCTCACCTAAATCTTCGTTGCACCCAGGACAGCTTAGAATTTCTGTTGAGAGTGTTGACAGTCAACGGCACTGGTTTTGGAATCATTGGTGGTGTTGGAATCTCCGATTTAAATGAAAATATTGATAAAGAGAATGGTACTAGCTTATCATCTTTCGAATTCTCTTCCGATTCTTTCTCCATTGATATCTTACTTTCCTTCGCTCTCGACAAGTGTCGATTTATCAATTTCGTCAGACATTCCAGTGCCACTTGCTTTTCCTACAATTTCGCGCTATTGGTTACGAGTACGAGTGTAGATGCAAAATGAAGAGCGTACTTGAGTTTCAAAGAGCAGCTCTTCGAGAGCTTCGTATTTCCATTTTGATTTGGTCCACTTCGAGTAGAGGTCTTTGTCGCTGTAGGATAAAATTGACTCGAGCTCTCGAATTTCTACGTAAAACGTGATGAGAATGCCTTTCATTCATTCGAAGAAATATTGGTCGAATCGTATTTTTTCCTTACCATTATCTTTAACGCGTTGGATTGTTTTCTTTATATTTGAAGTTTCTTTCTTTATAAGCTTATGTTGACTTTTCAATTTTTGTAAATTCATCGATGTTTCTTTTATTTCGGCAAGTAGTATTTGTAACTCCTTTACGTCGAAATCGATATGTTTTTGTATTAAACTGCAGAAAAGTATTAAATGAAATTTAGAAAAATTAAACAATTGAAAATAGTTATAAACGTATTACTGTGGGTATTGGTAAATGTAGTAGTTAAAATTTTCGTTGTTTTTAATGCAATCCATGAATGTTTTAATTTCTTTGCAAAACATTTTGAAGTTTTCGTAAACATTCTTTTCCTCCTGTTTATTATCTTCGTTATGAATATTGTAAGTACTTTTTGTTGAATTTGATTCGTCTTTGTTATTATCCACGTTCATTGAGTCAATCTACAATATAAATTATGAGTGATAGATTTGTAGCAAGTTATCATTGCAGTAACATATGTCCACGCTTACTCGGTCGACTTCCTTTTCCAATTTCAATTTAAAAAAAAATCTTTGTATGATTGTTTGACTTTCTTGTGACGATGCAGATATACTATTCAATTTTGTACATTTATTTTAAATTTAACAATTTTTTTGTACTATTTTTATTTTTCTAAGAAGTAAATGTATAAATACACGATAATTTTAATAACCAAAGAAAAAGCTTCAAATCACACGAAGTTTCGCACAAATAAAAGTCGACAATTGATAAAATATTCGAATTTGAAATTCGGATACATTTTCCTAACTTCGATTAAAAAAATATCTTTTTCTTACAGGACGTTGCACAAAGAACTGATCTCCGTCACATCGACGTATGTTCTGTTGACCCTCCTGGCTGCACGGATATCGACGATGCACTACATTGCCGTGATCTGGAAAACGGCAACCTCGAGGTCGGTGTACACATTGCCGATGTCACGCACTTTATTCGACCTGGCACTGCGCTCGATAAGGAAGCTGCCCTTCGAGCTACTACTGTTTATCTTGTTGATAAGAGGATCGACATGGTTCCTGGTAAATTGTCTTTTTCGATGCTGTTCTAGATTAACTTGTTTCGAATGTATATGAACTATATATTTTTCGGTTTAGAATTGCTGAGTTCGAATTTGTGTTCGTTGAGAGGAGGAGAAGAACGTTTTGCATTCTCGTGCGTCTGGGAAGTCGACCACGATGCAAATATCATCGAGACGAACTTCTTCAAGTCAATCATCAAGTCTCGAGCTGCTATGACTTACGAAGAGGCTCAATTGAAAATCGATGACAAGACGCAACACGATGCTTTAGCTATTAGTCTGAGGCACTTGAACACTTTAGCAAAGAAATTAAAGAAACGACGCCTGGAGAATGGGTAAGAAAGCTGAATAAAAATTGCATTTGTTGTAGTTTTAAACCCTAATCTATTTGGCGTTCGTAGTGCGCTAGTTCTTGCATCGCCTGAAATTCGTTTTCAAGTAGATAGCGAAACTCACGATCCAATCGAAGTAGTCGCCAAACAGATGCGCGAGACAAACTCCATGGTCGAAGAATTTATGTTACTAGCCAACATCTCCGTAGCTAAAAAGATTCTCGAAGAGTTTCCAGAGTGCGCGGTACTACGTCGTCATCCTGAACCGCCACAAGTGAACTTTGACCCATTAATCAAAGCTGGCAGGCATCAAGGTTTCGAGATAGATACAAGTTGTGGTAAAGAGTTGGCTAAATCATTGGAAGCTGCAGTCAAAGAAGACAATCCATACTTCAACACGATGTTGAAAATCCTTGCCACCAGGTGCATGATGCAAGCTGTGTATTTTATCAGCGGAATGGTGCAGGAAGAGGAATTCTTCCACTACGGACTCGCGTGTCCGATCTACACACATTTCACATCTCCGATTCGAAGGTAAATAGAAACGCTCGTTTCATAACCGTTGTAAAGTCATTGAACTCGCCACGTGTGTGATTATTTTTTTTCCACGTAAGTGAGCGAAAGGGAATCGGAAATCTGCCCGAATATAAGAATTTCATTAACTCGTTAATTTTTTATTAGATACGCGGATGTAATGGTCCACCGATTGCTAGCCGTTTGCGTGGGTGCCGATGCCACTTATCCAGATCTACTTGATAAGAAGAAGACCCACGCACTCTGTCACAATCTTAATTATAGAAATAGGATGGCACAATATGCCGGCAGAGCATCTGTCGCATTAAATACTCATGTAAGTACAAAGCTTTTTTCTTTTTTCCTTGTCCAAAAACATATTTGATGGGAATGTTTGACGTTTCTTTGTTTGCGTATGTAATGTAGTAATTAAAGACAAAATGATGTAGTCTACTTGAATATAACACTGGTGTGCATGTGCGCACGCGTGTTTGGTAATCGCATGTTTTATTCAACTGCATGAATTCTTTTTTTTCTTTATCAAGGTTATATAATAGAGTAATAATTTTTCGATTTACTAGTCGGAACAATTGATTTTCTTTTTTCTTTCAATTTTGAGAGATTATGATTTACTCAGAGTTGACTTAACTCAAAGAAAAATTTTCTTCATACTTGTATTTCATAACGTTTGTAATGTAAAGGTCACTAACATGAATATTCAATAGAAATTCTTTTATTCAAGCAGAGTGCACGCGTGCAATTACCTAAACCTCATTGTATGTAAATGTGCCTTTCGACTGATTCCACAAATTATTATTCTTCCGCAGCTGTTCTTTAGGAATAGAATTCAAGAAGAAGAGGGCTACATCCTATTCGTGCGTAAGAACGCATTACAAATTCTCATTCCTAAATTCGGCTTGGAAGGTACGCTGTATCTGAGTAAAAAGGGCGAAACGTCAACAGTGACATTCATCTACGACGAAGAGGAACACACGCAAAAATACGGTGACATTATTTTCCGTTCGTTCGACCAGGTGATCGTACAGTTGAGTCTTGACAGATCGAACGTGCAACATGAGAAATTGGTATTTAAACTGGTGAAGCCGGAGGTTGGTATAAAGATTAAAATCCGAGTTTTCTTTTAATAAGACAAACGTTTCTCGTTTATTCAAAGTTTTTTTTTGTTTTAAAATCGTGTTTGACAAATCTCTTTTCAACGAATAAATAACAAAATATTTATAATTAAATGTACCGCTATACAAATTACACTATAAACGACAATCAATAAGAGTAACGTTTATGTATGCTTGTTCTGCAGATCCCAGGCTTCAGTATTCCGTCAGCAGCATCGTCGAGCGAGGTTGTTACCACGGAGACTCCAAGCGAAAAGGAGGCAACGTCGATGGAAGTTGTCAAAGACGACGTCGCTCTGAAGAAGAGAGACAGAGTGGAGCCCGAGATGATGAGCAAGGCCAGAAAGAAGAAAAAAAAGACGAAATACTGAGCCGCACTGCGCGCGCGCGTGTTTATATCCATTGACTTTTTTGCAACACTATTGTACAATCATTACCGTTACATATACGTTTTTTATAAGATTCACATGAGTTGTTTCCTTGCTTTATTTTGTTGTTACCCTACTGTGTGTTGGGTAGGTATAGGTATGTGCCAGCACATATGGGTATCGTTGGCGGTGAGGATGCGCGGAAGACTACTGCAGGTGGTTTGATTATTCCGGATCGGGGGCGTTTTGCGCGTAGCCAAGCTTCTGCAAGGCCTCCTTGACGTATTTGTACACCGAGGCGTCCTCGATGGTGCTCACAATCTGCAAATCAGAGTCGTTGGCGGCGAGCCGAAGATCGAATGAAAAAGTTGGAGAAGGAAGTTTCACCTTGACGCGCTTGGATCGCGCGAGATCAGCTATGGACTTGCGGCAAGTTTTGCCAGAGCGCGTCCTCGGCAGTGCTCTCACAGCGCCGGCGAGTTTGAACGCCGCTATCGGACCGACTAATTCTCTCACTCGCGAGATCAGCTCCTTCGACATCTCCTCCTCGGTCTTCTCACTGCCTGCGAAGAAGCCGTGACCGTGCGTGAAATTGACCGAGCAGCGAAAGAAAACGACGACTCACTGTCAGCGGCGACGTAGAGGCAGAGTGGAATCTCCCCCTTGGTCGGCTCCGGCACCCCGACAACGGCAGCGTCGACAACGTCGGGATGGCCGAGAACGACGTCCTCGAGGGCCGAGGTCGACAGCCGATGGCCGGCGACGTTGATCACGTCGTCGTCCCTCGCCGTGACATAGACGTAGCCGTGCTCGTCGATGTAGCCCGCGTCCATCGTGTCGTAGTAGCCCGGATACTTGGAGAAGTAGATCTGCTTGAATCTGTCGTCGGCCTTGTAGAGGGTCGACAAGACGCCCGGCGGCAGTGGCAGTCGCAGCGCGATCCTACCGAGCTCGTTCGCGCCCGCCTTGCTGCCGTCCTCCTTCAGCACCTCAACTGCGGTCAAAATCCACTCTGCTCGGAGACAGTCGGGCGCTTCTGTCCGGTTCGCGGCGACACCCAGCGCGCGCCGCTCGTTCGTTTGCCGTCAAATCGAATTCCCAGTTGTCGAAAGAGAAAAAGAAAAAAAAAATGACCATATGATCCGGCATTATTTTTCGCGCAAAAATCAAATCGCCGCCTTTCCCGGAAATGCGTCTTTGACGCAAGAAAAGAGAAAAAAACAGCCTCTATTTCAAGCTCACTAACGTCGAAGTATTTACATTGAAAAGTTCATTTGCACACTGTCCTGAATAAAGAGGTTTCCGGGAAGACTATTTCAGCAGGTGTGCGTGTGTTCGCGTTTTTTTCCGCGCGAGCTCGCGGCGAAATGGGCAGAGGGGGCGGCGGGCTCACCGATGTATCCGGGAATGGGTAGTCCAGTGCTATACTTGGGCGGATCGAGGGGATGATCGTAGCCGAGGCAAGTGCAGGTGACGGCGTGGCCGGTCTCCGTCTGCCACCAGTGATTCAGAATTGGCACCTTGAACGACTTCTCCGCCCAGGCCTTGGCCTCGTAGTCGCAGTGCTCGCCGGCGCAGAATATCGCCCTCAGCCTGTTTGGCAGAAACGCCCCGAGTCGCGTCAGACGAGGACGAGGAACAGCTGCAACAGCGGTGCGACGGGCAGCCGCGCCGCGCCGCGCCGCGCCGCGCCGCGTCGTCTCCCGCTAGCGAACTTACGACTTGGTGGAGTACTTGCGACCGAGCAGGGTGTCGGGGTCGGCCCGCCTGAGCACTCGGAAGGCCGTGGGCACGGTGAAGAGCGCGTTGACCTTGTGCTGGTCGATGATCCTGCGGGCGCAGAGGGCGAGTGTGGGCGAGGGCGGGCGAGGGAGGGCGAGGGAGGGCCAGGGGGAGCGAGGGCCGGGGACTCACCTGAAGTAGGAGCCGGCGTCGGGAGTGCGGTCGGGCTTGCCCTCGTAGACGACGCTGGTGGCGCCGGCGAGCAGCGGCCCGTAGCAGATGTAGGAGGTGCCGACGACCCAGCCGAGGTCCGAGGCCGCCCACCACACCGAGTCGCGGTCCATGCCGTAGATGGAGCGCATGGACCAGCAGAGCGCGACGATGTGGCCGCCGATGGGGCGCTGCACCCCCTTCGGCGCGTCTGCAATAAGGCATCGACTGGCGCTACACAGGCGGCGGCGGGCGGGCGCGGGGCCCTGGCCACCTACCCGTGGTGCCGGACGTGTAGAGGATGTAGAGCGGCTGGTTGGCCTCCACGGGCACGCAGGCGTGCGGCTTGGCGCGCGCCAGCAGCTCGTCCCAGTCGTACTGGCCGGCGGCCAGCGGCGCCTCCCAGACGCGCCGGCGCTGGTACACGACGCACGGCGGCAGCCGCGCCGCGGTCAGCTGCAGCGCCTCGCTCAGCATCTCCGTGTAGCGCACCACCTTGTTGGGCTCGAGGCCGCAGCTGGCCGTGACGATGGCCCTCGGCTCGGCGTGGTCGATGCGCGTGGCCAGCTCGCGCGCCGCGAAACCTGCGGAGCAGAGCGCTGAGTGGCGCCGCGTCGGCGGGGCTGAGGGGCGGCGAGCCGCGACCTACCGCCGAACACCACGGAGTGCACGGCCCCGAGGCGCGCCGAGGCCAGGATCGCGCAGATGGTCTCGGGAATGAGCGGCATGTAGATGAGCACGCGGTCGCCTTTGCGCACGCCCAAGTCGCTGAGCGCGCCCGCCAGCCGGCTCGTCGTGTCCAGCAGCTCGGCGTACGTCACGCGCCTTATCGTGTTGGTCATCGGGCTGTCGTGGACGAGCGCCACCTTGGAGCCCAGGCCCGCCGCCACGTGGCGGTCCAGCGCGTTGTGGCAGGCGTTCGTCTCGCCGCCGACGTACCTGCAACGGGCGGTCGGGCCGGTTAGGCGGGTCGGGTCGGTCCGCGGGGCCGGGCTCGGGGCACTGGCGCGCACCATTTGGTGAAGGGCCGGCTCGAGTCGTCCAGCACTCTGTCCCACGGCCGGCTCCAGTCGATGCACTTGCCGATCTCCGCCCAGAACTCCTCGGGCTGGTCGATCGAGCGCCGGTAAATCTCGTCGTACTGCGGGTGCCTGTGCCTGCCCCGGTCGAGGATGTAGCCTGCGAGCAGTCGGGCCCATTTACGTAGGCGCGGGCGCGGCCTCGCTCGGGGAAACGACGCGCATTGTCCATTGTCTCGCGATCGGCGATCACGCGGACGAAATGTGCCTCGCCGCTTCGCCCGTTAATTTGTTGTCGTGCGCGTTTCCACGACCGCGCGCGCGAGAATCTCAATGACGCGGCGATTAGCTTTTTTTCGCTGACGTTAATAGCTTTCGATTATTGACGTTATAGAAATGCTCGCTCGTCGACAATCCTCATCTAATTACGGATGAAAGTACGTCCATTACCGCGAGTATAATCAAAACCAATGGCTCCCTTTTTCAACGTTAATTAGATCATTCGTTATTTATGAAAGGAATAACACGAAGGCTGAATAATCGCTCGATCACCATCGAATACTTGCGTCATGCGCATACGTGTTTCACGGCGATTTCAAAAAGTACAATTAATAATACGGACGCGCGACTGCATTTCGTTTGACTCGTCGTCCAAATGCAAATCGAAGAGCGACGCACTTTCGGCCCGTGAATTTCCGTCGACTTGACCGAATCAATGCAAACGCGGCGTAGGAGCATTCTTCAAATGGGGAAAATCAATCGCGCGATATCGCGAAAACCGATGGGCTCGAAGACGATTGCCATTTCCATTTGTCGCAGAGTAATGGCTAAGGGCCACACGTTCAATTGAGAAATTTGTTGTCGAACGTCTCGTGGAACGCTCGACAATCAGAAACTATCCTAATGCGAAAAATTGCTCGACGCAACGTAAGAAGCTTTTATCTCGCTTTTCTTGCGGAGAATCGACGGCGCGCAATAGTAATTAAGGATATACGGTTGACACGAAATCCAATCGAATTCCACTCCACTCGAGTAAATGTTTCAACGACGAGAAAAACAAAAAAAAAAATCGCACGGGTAAACACTCGCGCGAATACATGAAAAAGGAGAGGCGGCGATCGCGCTTTCGGCCCATCGCGCGGGCAACGCGCGTCGCCCGCTGGAATTGGCGTGCGCACGCCGACGCATAATTTCGCGAGTGCGTGCGTCCGGCGAGGACGACCGACGCGGAATTTCTTTACAGCCGTTAATTGAATTTTCGCGAGACAATGTTGAGGCCACTCCGGTTGTCCCTTCGCGCGCAACCGAGCGGAGCGGAGTGGCGAAATGCGTCGGCGCCGTCGTCTTCAATTTTTTTTTTCTCATCGTGAAAGTTAGATGAAACCGGGTCGGCCGGCGCTCATTTAAAATGAAAGAGACCCGTCTCCCCCCGTATACCTGCTCCCTCGGTCTTCCTGTAACTCGGCGCGACGTTCGCCTCCGCGTTCACTTGGTTCAACATTGCCGACGTAGAGGACTGTCGCGCGAGCTGCAACCCCGGCAGTTTGCCTTGCCTGCCGCCTGTTCGGGAGCTCGACGTGCCGTTGCCAAGTCGAGCGCGACTGCACGCGAACAACTGAGCGTCGAGCCGAAGACGCGCCAGAGCTCCGCCGTGACACTCGAGACCCTCTTCTTGCACGTTGCGCGTGTCGCGGGTGGGGCGGCGATCGCTCGCTGCCGATCGCTCGGCCGAGGCTCCCCGGTCGCCTTGGCCGCGTGCCATTCGTCGCCGATCGTCCTCCGCGTCGCTCGTCGAAATCTCGGAGAAGCGCGCTCGTCCCGATCCGGGAATGCCGAGGAGGACGCCCCGGCGTCGCGCGAATCACGGCTGCCGAGGGAATATCAAAGGAAACAACAAAAAAAAAGAAGAAGCGAAAAACGAGCTCGCGCGCCAAAGCACATTTCGACGATTGTCTTGCGCAGGCAGAGAGGAAGCGCGCGGTCGGCGCGAATGAATAAGCGATGCGCTCTCATCGGGCCGAATGCATTATTGAAATCGAGTCGGCCTAAAACCTCGCGGGATGACATGACCCGTGTGTTTTCCCCGCCCCTCGCGCGCGAAAATCGATTCGAGCGCGCTTCTCTCTCTCGCTCCGTCTCTACCCAGGTGGCGTTTATCAGCGAGGCAAGGCACGTATCGTCGCTCTTAAGTCGCGACGAAGAAGCGAGCGCGACTGCTCGCTTTATTTAGCCCCCAATAGAATTCGCGCGAGACGCGTAGGCCGCGGTCCGCTGTCGCCGCCGTCGTCGTCGTCACGGTGGTGTCGCGCGAGGCCGCGAGCGGACCCGCGACGCGATCTCCTGCGCGACGTTGCGTCAAATTATTTCCCACAAGACGGCGGTCGCTGCGGGCGGAGGACCTGTTGCGCGTCGGCCGCGCGTGCGGATGGCCGTCTCTCGTCGAGTCGCGGGCGGCTTCGCGCGCTCCTGGCGATCGGGCAAATTGGCTCGTCGCGCGTGACGCCGCCCGTCCCGCGCGGCAAGAGAAGGGAAAACGGGTCGTCGGCAGGTCGAGACGCGGAGGCGCTCATCCGCTCCGACTTGCCGAAATGACCGTATTTACATGCGCCTCCGCAACTGGATCGTGCGTGTGTTGGCTCGCGCGATAGCGAGCGCCATGTCATTTTCGCGAGCGTATGTCGCTCGACGCTTCGGGGGGAAAGTAAGAAGGCGCAGCCACGCCGCCGTCGCACCCGTCTCACGGATTTCGCCGCTCGCAATTAAAATTCACAGTCGGCAAACAAGCGCGAAGCGCTCATTAACTATGCCTTGTTTGATTTAATTTACAGCGCTACCGCTCTGGCGCCCCCATCCTATCCGCGCCGACAACGAGCGAATGAATTATACCGCGTCAGTGTTAGTCCTCCTCGAAGATAATAGCGATAGACGGAGGCGCGCGCGCGCGTCTATAAGTCGATTGTCGCATTCGCCGTGCGACGGTCGACGGCGGATTCAAGCGTTGCCGGGAGGCCGTGTCCCTGCCTCGCGGAAAGAGCAGCAGGTGCTCTCGACGAGAATAGACGCGTAGTTGGATGCTGGGTGCGTATACAGGGACAGAGACAGAGAGCGAGAGAGCGAGCGTGCGATGGAGAGAGCGAGAGAGCGAGAGAGCGAGAGAGAGAGAGAGAGAGAGCGAGCGCCGGCGCGGTTTTCCCTCTTCTTGGCAGTATATTTAAAGGCTGCCGCCGGCCAACGAGCGCCACTACGCTCCTCGCTCTGCCGCACGGACCAACCGGCCGAAGCCACCAGGATCAACAGGCGCTTCTTCTCTGCACAGCTGCACCACTCCGGCGGTGAGTACGAGTGCTTCTCGCGCGACTTTCGCGGACGGCAGCTCGGGCCCGGGACGCGACTGCCCGGCCGCGGCCACGGCCCTGCCGCTCGGATGGCCGAGAGGACGAGACACAGCGGTCGTCCGAAGCCCCCCGACTTGGCTCGCGTTGCCCATTGCCGTCGAGTGCGCGCGGAAAGTCAAATGCCCGCCGGCGACACTTCTCGCCGATGGCTCGTTCGAGCAGTCGGTCGCGCGGGCGGGGCGCACGCCGCGGAGATTGCCGCGAGGACTCATCCCGACGGCGAGGACGCGCTAGCGTCGAGGGAACGATTAGCGGCCGACGGAGGGGGGTCGCGCGGCTAACCGGAGATTGTCCTTCCGATCGCTTTAATTTACGGCTCGTTCTCTTTGCACGAGCGCCGCTCCTCGCCCTCGCTTGCCGTTCTTATTTCTCGCGCCTGCGGCCGGGAGACGGAGACGCGCAACTTTTGCCGCGCGATATTAGTTTCCTTCCGCCGGGCTGCGCGCCGAGATCGAGTGGACTCGCAGCGCCGTGCAGACTCGCGATAATGGCTGATCGAGCGACAGTGATTTTCAGAGCCGACGGTCGATCGCAAAGCGCAGCCGACTGGACAGCCGCGGCAGCGAGCCATCGCTCGACGCGTTCCTCGGCCAGCGGCTCCGGTGATCCCGTGTTTTTCGAACGGGACGCCGAGCGAGCCGTCTCACTCGAAGAAGACATGGGGTGATGGAACCAGATCCGTCGGGCGCGACCGTGGCGGAACGGCAAAAAGTAATAGGGTGCTGCGTCGTTCCGCTCTCGCCGCATGTCAAGTGGAGTAAATCAAAAGCGAATCGCTGGAAATCGAAAAAAAGGAAAAAGAAAAAACGCGCGTGTGCGTTCGTTCGTTCTCGACAAACACACCTCGGGCTGTTTGCCCCTCCCACGCGCGCGCGTGCGAAAGAACGGCACTTTGATCGGGAAATGTTTACGTTTGCGCCGCGCTCCGACTGCAGCGGATGCATTCCTCGATTGGCTGGGGTCCGCCGCGAGGAGATCGGCGAGCACGTAGAGCGGTCTGCCACGATCCGGCCGTGGGCGCCCTTGCGTGAATTATTAACGGGGCGCGTGGCCAATCTCGCGCCGCAACTTTCGCCCGCGGCGCGAGATTACGGAAGCAGCTCGGTGGGGGCGCGCGTGCCGGGACCGTCGCGGCGCATTTGCATCCGATGCCGCGCGCGCGCGTGCCGCCCTGAATTATGCAACGGGCCGCGCTCGCCTCCTGCTCCTCGCTGTCAATTTCCACGCGCGAGGCCGCCGTCGTCCGTCGGCCGTCGAGTGTTTGCCGACGCGCCCGTCCGCCGCGCGCAATCGGCAACAGGTTGTCCCCTCGCAGAGAGAATCGATTACGCGCGCGGCGGAGCGAGCCAATCAGCGAGCCATCCGTCAAAGAGAGAAGAGAGAGAAGAGAGAGCGCGGGCGCGCGAGTAGTAGCGCCGAGCATTGGGTCGGACCGCGCGCCCGACGTCGCGACTCCCCGCACTCCCCGTCGGCCGTTTAATCGCCAAGATTGACTGCGCAATTTTCTCACTCGCGCGCGCCCCCGTATTATCGATGGCGTTAATGTGCTTGCGAGGGAAATTGAATCGCGCGGGTCGACGGGGAAAATTGGGGCCGAGAGCCAGTCGCGGGGACGACGAGCTGGTCGCCGTTTCGACGGCTGTCGCGGGCCGATGCGCCGGGCGCCGCCACGCCCACGCCCGACCGGGCGCGCAGCTCTGATCCGGTCGGGAGGGAGGACTCGGGCGCGCTCGCCCACTCGCGAGAGGAGCGCGCGGCGGGGAGGATCGGGCGTGCGAGTCGTTAGCGGCTAATCGACGAAAATTCATCAAGGCCACGCGCATCGCCCTGGCGCTCGTCGCCGAGCGAGCCTATTAATCGAGCGACGCCGCGACTGTTTGCCCAGCGCGGCTGCGTCAGTCGCCGACGTATCGGCGCCAAATTGATTGCCTCTCGCGGCCGAGTGCTTTTTGATAAAAAGAGAGAGCGGAGCGTCGGGTTACGCGTGTCCACGAGGGGGCGGCGGAATTTCGCCGAAGGGGATAAATCGTTTAGGCGACGACGCGCTCACGGGAATTCCTAATGTTTGCGTCTCTCTCCTACTTCCCCGCGCGAAGGGCGGCGGGGGGAGGGGCGGCCTCCGGCGGAAGCTCGCTCCGCGCGCCGCGAGAGCGGCATCCCGCGACGAGCGGCGACGAGCGGCGACGGGCGGCGACGGGCGGCGACGGGCGGCGGCGACGAGGGTTGCGCTCGCAATCGAACGCGCGGCGGATGAAAGACGCAGCCCGCGCAGGTGTGGCCCGGGTCTGGCGTGCTGCAGCTCGGCGGCCCCTCCCCACGGGCGCGCGGATCGATTCGGTCCCCGCGCGCGCCACGAGCACCGGGAGCCAGACGCGCGCCCGCACACTCGCTGCACTTGCCGCTCGCCGTTGCAGGCCATCGTCATCACCATGAAGCACGCTCGCACGGCGATCTCTCTGGCGTGTCTGGCCGCGCTGCTGTCGGTCGCGGCGGCGATGCCGCCGTTCCAGTGCAACCCCGGGTACGTCGACGACGTGCCGCCGAGGATCCGCAAGATCTGCGTGGCGCTGTCCACCCTGTACGAGCTCGGCTCTGCCATGGAGAACTACGTGAACGACAAAGGTAACGCGCCGCGGGCTCTCGGGACGCGGCTAAGCGACCTGCCCTCGCGCTCTGTCTTTTCCAGTGCCGGTCACGCACGAGGGTAATCTGCTGCTGGACAACGGGGTCAAGCGGCAGGACGTCGACCACGTGTTCCTGCGCTTCGGCAAGCGGAGCCTCGCCGACGCATCGGACGGGCTGGACAGATTGAAGATCCCGCTGCACGGCATCGTCGCCTAAGGAGCCGGCGAGCGAGTCTCATTTTCGTTTCCGGAAGCGTCGACCAGTCGGACGAACCGCAGGCAGCCGCGCACAGGACGACCACCGACGATCAACGACGGGACGGGACGGGACGGGACGGGACTGCACGCGCACACGCACATTAGCGATTCTTTTCATTTTTCCTTCCAGAGACCAGTATTAAAAACAGTTCCTCGGCGCCCGATCCATGAGCGGTCAACGAAAGTCTGATTAGATTTAGTTTTCTCGCGGAAGAGAAACGGACAAGGCGGGACAAGGCGGGACAAGGCGCTCGTCGTCCGGTTCCTCGTCTTTCGCACGCTTCTTCGACTCGCACAGACTGACGACGTTCCTCTACAAGTATTATGCTTTCGCTTGTTGCTTTCGACGGCGCCAAAGAGGGAGCGGAGGGGAGATCAATCATCTCGATGTCTTCGTGAACGCTTCGGCAACTATAACATTCAAATTCCTTCTTTCGTGCATACGAGACACTATTGATTCATCATTATAAGATATTATATTATACATGTATATACAAGTTTCTCTTGAACCTCCAAGAAAAAAAAAGAACAAACAACAATGATTCTCCGAGTACGCTTGTTATTGACGCGCACACGCACTTGCCTCCTCCGATCCTCCTTCCGACGACTCTTCCGTTTGATTCGCCTGTCTGTAAGATTGACGCTCCCGTCATAACGAGGCGTAGGCCGACGACTCGCCATTGTGCGCGTGTCCAGCGGCGAATAGGTTCGCATTGATTTTAGTCGTTACGATGGAAATCCCCCGAATTTTCGGGACGGCGAGCGAAGCGCACGGCATGGATAATTCACGACTCGCGCCCGTCTTAGGGACGTCCGATCGCAGGCGCAGGCCCGGTGGAGCGAAGGAGCTCAAGGGGCTGCTCGCCGATGCGCGAGCCGTGCGGGCACAATATTGTAGCCCCCGCGATCGGCGATCCACCGAGGCATCGCGAGGGGCTTTTGTTCGCCTGGCGATTGCAAAGTTTCGCGGCAGCGCTGGGCGTCCTTGTCACGCCCGCGTCGCTGCGTTCGCCCCAACTTTAGCGCGTCTTTTGTGCGGAAACATCACGCGAGCGCGGAGATAAGGGAAAGTGCGCGAGCTTCTCGTTCAACGCGACGGCGACTTGCGGTCGAGTCGGTCGCGTACGAAGCGCGGCACTCCTCGCGCATTAACGCCTGGTCGGGTGGTTTGTTTGGCGCCTTGGTCTGGAAAGTCCGAACTGCGGAATTCGCTTTGTCGCTTGGTCGCGCCACAGCGAGCGGGGCGATTGGCCAAGGAAGCTGGATTTGCGATTTGCTCGAGCGACGCGTCGAACCAGAAAAATAACGAGGACCTGGTAACTCATCGCTCCGTTCGTTCTGCTTCGACATCTCGCTCGCGTTGCGCGCGACTGGTCGCGGGCCGCATGGGCGATCGCGATCAGGCGCACCTTCGACCGCGGCCAGCGGCAAACGAAGCGTTCGCGGCGCCTGGCTTCCCCCACGAGCTCCCGGTGCGCGAAGCCGACCCCGCCCTTACGCCACGAGCGCAACGCGCTCAATTGTGGAAATGTCCGTGCGATATAAATTTTCCCTCATTGTGAAATATTCGGACGCTTTTAATAGGGCACCCGAGCTCGGCACTCCCGAGGCAAATAACGCGGACGTCGTAATGAGACCTATTTTCTCATACAAAGGGCGCGCGATAGAACGGAGGGAACGGCGAGATTTTCGTTAGATTTGAAATTACAGAGGACGCGCGTGCGTGTCTATTTTCGTGTTGTTGCGCACTTGTGCGAGCGGCGCTGTCCGTCGGCGATTGTTTATTCCGCTCGATAAACGTCGCGTCGAAGCTCGGACGTGCGTGCTCGAGCGCGCGTTGCCACGCGCCAGTAATCGAGCGGGCCGGCCGCGCTGCGCTGGCTCTGGTGGCCGGCGGTCCTGCAGGCTTGCGCGAGCACCTGGCCGCGAGGGCGAGGCGGAGGGCGCGCTCGCCTCGACCGGCTCGCACCTCGGCGCGAAGCGGCCACTTATGTAACGACGGAATGGAGCGTAATAAACGTTGAAGACCAGTTGACGCCTCGTTGCGCACCTGCAGCTGCTCGAACGTGTTTATCGATCGCAGACGTCGAGGCGAGCGCTGATAACGCGCCTTCGCGGCAAGTCGGCGCTCGCGCTTGGATTTATGTCGAGTCGCGGCTCGTTGGTCGAGCCGTCAAAGCTGGATCGTCAAATCATGCGCTGTCGCTGGCCGAGCGGCTCCCGGTTACGTCAGATTTTCAGCGCCGACGGAGAGTCGATTGGCGCGCGATATCCCTTGCTCTCAAGCTGTTTACTCAGCGACAGACGTGTTTTCCGCGTATTTTTCCACGTACACACGGCACACGTTCGATTCGGAGAAAAATATCAGTCACTAGCTCACTTGGAGAGCGGTTACGTAAAATAAAATGAATTAATTAATCCCAAGGCCCTTCGTCTGTCGGAGGCCCCGCTGATAAGGAGTACTAATGGCGATGCGTCACTAATAGGAACTACCTAGGTTCCCATCCCAATTTCAATTTCTAATCCTGATTTACACTTCAAGGGCCTGTAATTCATTTTCAGAAAGTGAAAGCATCGCCTTGAATTGTTAAAAGCGTCTACGTCGCCTTCTCCTCATAGACGCCTTCAAACGGATATATAAGGGCTGCGTTCCCTTAGGCGCGAGTGAGTCTAGTTTTGAACTTCAAGTCAGAGGCATACGAGAAAGTGTCTACCATATCCACCGTGAGTTTATAGTGATTACTCCGGTCGCCTCACTAAAAGTTTCACGATACGACAATCCATGGTTTGCCGAGAAACGTGATTATTCAACGTATCTTTTCTGCTCGTCAAAGTAAACATTGCACGGATAAGACGAGCATCGCGGCCGTGTTTTTCGATTTATCACACGATTGTGCATACTTACTTTGTAGCTTGCTACAGCTGAGAGGCAGCGAAAAGCGGCGCCAACTTATACTCGCACGGGTGTGCGAGATATAGCTCCAACAGCGGCCTTCGCTATGCTAGATATTTTTGACGGGACGCGTGTCCGACGCCGTTGGAAAATTCCCGAGCGCGATAAATTTTCCGCGGGCTGGAAACAATTGCCGGCGGTCCGTTGTTGAGGCGGCATCCTCGAAGCCCGCGCCGATCCTTCACCGGAGCGCCGGGCAATCCGAGGCTCGTTCGCGAGCGTTCGCTCGGCGTCAATCCCGCAATCTCCGCTCGAGAAACCCAGTTGCCGTATCAAACGTGTAACGTGACGAATTCGGCTGAGACCCAAATTTGCCGAGAGAGGCCCAGTTTGCTCTCAAAAGCGCTTATCACTCTGTCACTTGCGTGCCACTGCCGACTCGGCTGTGTATTCATCCGCGATCGACGCGCCGTTTGATCTCGTAGTCGCGGCTTATCTGGCGCCGCGAATCGCCTGCTTCCGCCAAAGTTTCGTCAGTTCGCCCCAAAAATCCAAATTCCGAGAACGGGCATCGATCGGCGCGATCGATAAGCGAGGCACAATAAAAGGACCGGCGAACGACGCTGGTCGACAAGTGGCTGCTCGCAAGTGCGCTGCAAGTACGAATTGTCTCTCCGCAAGATGCCGAAGTTCGCGAGGAGCCCGAGCGCGCTGTTCTCCCTGCTGCTGCTGCTGCTGCTGCTCGCCCACTGCCTGCTGCCGGCCGGTAAGTGCACGCTCGTCGACGGCAAGCGACACGACCGTCTCCGTCTAACGTCCACGTCCGCGCTGCGCAGAGTCGACGATATGCTGGCTGAGTTCGTCGGACTACTTTCGCGACCGGTCGCCGCTGCTGCTCAAGGCCAACGCGAACGAGTTCGTCTATCCCAAAAAGTGCGGCTCCAAGACCGTGCGCCTGTCCTTCCACGAGCGCCCGCGGATCGCCTGCCCGGGCGACGCCATCAGCGTCCGCGGCTCGCGCACCAATCTCGCCCAGGCCAGCCTCGTCTGCTACGGCCTCACGCTGTTCGGCCTGGTAAGCAACCAATCGCCATCGTGCGCAAGCTCGCGCTAATGCCCATGTGTCCCGCGCTCAGGCCGGCTCGAGCTACACCGCGCCCTACCGGAAGATCCGCTGCGGCCGCCAGCCCGAGGTGAGGATGCAGCCCATCAGCCATCAGCCCACTTGCGTCAACGGCAACATGTATAGGGTGGGCTTCGCCCTCTCGGCCACCTCGTTCGTGCCCACCATCGAGGAGCTGTGCCTCAAGTCCTACGCGCAGCCGCTGTGGACGCACCACAAGGTAGTTCCCGGCCTGGCGAAGGTCACGAGGAAGCTGTCGATGAGAGACGACGACAGGCTACCCAGCGACGTCTGGGAGAGCTGGCAACGCTATCCGGGCACCAACAACAAGACCCCCTCCCACGGTGAGTTTCGCGCGCCTCTCGCGCTCGCCGAGCAACCTTTATGCGTTGATAACTGTCGCAGACGACGACGTGGTGTCGGCGATGATGGTGCCGCGAGAGGACATGTTCTATAGAGCGCAGCAGGACAGCGTGACCGGGACTCTGATTAACAGTGTGCCGATGATCGAGCGCGTGAGAAGCGGTAACTGGCGAACGGTCGAGGACATCGTGAGGCAGCTAGCCAGCAAGACGCCGTGTGCGACTCTGGACGTCTGGACCAGTCGTTACGACGGCCAGGGTAAGACGGGTCGTTTGAGTCTCTCGGATGATCGCTCGTTGATTAACTCCGCGGCGATTTTAGCGAGTGCGGCCGTGCATCCGAGCAGAGTGCGTCGCCAGGCCATCCAAGATGAACCCACAACCACCGAGATGCCAACTACGACTGCGGGTGCAACCACGACAACGACCGAGGCCGCTACCACGACTACGATGCCGACGACGACAACGACCGAAGCCGCTACCACGACTACGATGCCGACGACGACAACGACCGAGGCCGCGACTACGACTACGATGCCGACGACAACGACCGAGGCCGCTACCACGACCACGTCTACGATGCCGACGACGTCAACGACCGAGGCCACGACCACGACCACGTCTAGGATGCCGACGACGACAACAACCGAGGCCACGACCACGACCACGTCTACGATGCCGACGACGACAACGACCGAGGCCACGACCACCACCACGTCTACGATGCCGACGACGACAACGACCAAGGCCACGACCACCACCACGTCTACGATGCCGACGACGTCAACGACCGAGGCCACGACCACGACCACGACCACGACTACGATACCGACGACGACAACAACCGAGGCCACGACCACGACCACGACTACTATGCCGACGACGACAACGACCGAGGCCACGACCACCACCACGACTACGATGCCGACGACGACAACGACCGAGGCCACGACCACGACTACGATGCCGACCACTACTGTGACGACGACGACTGCGGCGCCAACAACAACTACGACTACAACTACGCCTGCTCCACCACCAACCAACGCCATCCCGCGCTTCGTCTTCAAGATGGTCGTCGACAAGTCCCGCAACCGCGGAATTGTCTTCGTTACCTACAACGACCCGTACACCAATGCGATCGGCCCGCAGCAGCAGCTGTGCCAGCCTTACGGCCGCTGCCAATGGCTCTTCCCCGAGTTCAACGTCATCAGTCGCGGCGCCACGCACTGCTGCACCCTCGACGCTTTCGCCCGCGTAGCCAAGGAAGTGGGCTTGCCCACTTTCCCCGGCGTGCAGCCACTGTTCTAAGCTCGCTCCGTGCGCTATGCTGCTTTGTCACGGAACTTCGTTCGCAATAAAGCTCCATTTATCCTTCACTCAGTCCTTAATTTTACTTACCTCTCAAGCTCGCAGTCCGCGCGAATTTCGTTGCTTGCGACTCGACAGTTTCCTGAATCGAGACAGGCGATTTTCTCTCGCTCATCGGAGCTGATATTCGAGGGGCGTTCGTTTACGCGCCGCTGATTTCGCGGATCGGCCCGCGCGCGTTTCGTCTTCGGAGCTCCGCGGAGTGTAAGCCGTCGATTTTCGGATGCGACGCATGATTGCCAGTCCCAAGGTGACGGCGCTCACGGTGGGAACGCGTGTCGAGTCCACGCCGAACGCTCCGGCGACTCTTCCATCGACGCCGCTCTTCGGACGGTCGCGTTCCACCGCGCGAGACGCAAACGAGTCGAGGGCGGCTCTCTCTTCGCCCGGGTTCAACGCCTCGCTAATGAGATACGCCACATCGGCGGCAACTTGACCTTTGAACGGAGGAGAAGCAGTCGAGAGCCGTGCGCGCAGACTTTGGCTAACGCGAGGAAATCAGCGCGCTTTTGCGCGTCGTCCGCCCGATTCCTCCGGCCCCCCTCCCTCCGTTTCGTTCGCCTCCTTCGCGCGTACAATCGCGCTTTGATTTTCTGAAGACGCACATAGCGGAGGCTCCGCAGCTGCGCCACGCACCGAGATTCTTCTCCCTTTTTGCTCCCTCTCGCTATCCTTCTCGTCGCCGCGCCCGGAAATCCACTTCCCGAGCAAACCGAGAGAGAACAGTCGCGTCTCGGGCTTGAATTGATCAGACGCGGGAGAGGAGTGCTTGCTCCGTTCCGTCGGGCTCTCTTGGCCGGGCGTCGCGCGACGCGAAGCCCCGAGGAGCGACGGGACAGCGACGCCGGTGGAGAGTGCAGCTACGCGTGCGACATTTGGATCGTGGCAAGACGCGCGAGGACTACGGGCTCTCGGAGCGAAACGATGAGCGCCGCCTCGAACGCGCGCTCTACGCAAACGCTGCGACGCGAGTCGAGAGTTATATACCTCTCGAGGTTACGTGCTTCGGTCGCTTGCTGGCGCTCGACGTGAAATATGCGCGCAATGTACGTTTTATTTCAAGAAGCTGGATAGAACGATGATGCACCCGATTGCGAAATGTCTTCTGCGTCGTAAATCGGGCTCGCGATTGTCGCTCGCAGGAAGGAAAAATATACGTATAAGTAATAACTCGTTACTCTTCGTCCTCTCGGGATGTATAATTCAAATAAAAAATATCCATACATTTCTGCTTGTCCATCGTAAATCCAATGTCATACGGAGGCGTAATCGAGGCAGAGAATTTAATCGACTCGACAACGATCGATAATTTGTAAAGGCAACAAAGCAATTAAATATTCATCGGCGAAAATAAGAAAAAAGACACAGCGAAAATTCAAATTGCTGTCTCGCGCAAACATTTTCAGAAGCGCCAGCGCGCGCGCAACATTTGCAAATTTGTGCGACATGTATCGTCACACTCAGCAATAACAATACCGGAAGAACAAATACTGTAACATTTTTCCTCTTATGGAACGTCTAACGGTGGCATTATACATTTGCACGTGTACTGTAACATATTTTCTCTTATGGAACGACTAACGGTAGCATTATACATTTACGTGTGTACGCGAGCCGACAGCAGAGTTTTAAAAAAATACTGTTTTCCGTTGAAGAAAGTAAAATATATGGACATCTTGCGAGTGCCCGCCTTTTTTTCCTTTTGCAAAAATATATATAGTATTATACTTGAATTAAATATATCATAGTTGTCACTCAGTTCACGTATGGAACAAATTATTATGTTTAAATGTCACTGAGATTCTTTTCTCTTTCGGCGACTAGGTTCGTTCATTTCTCTGTTAAGTAGTTTGATAATTCAGAGTTCTTGACTTGAGTTTGGACACGGTTATCTCGGAACACTTTGAATTTCTGAACACATCATATCTCAGCCTTTATCAGAGTTTTAACAATACGAAAAAGTTGAGTCATACTCGTCACTGTACTATTTGCCTTCTTTTCTGATATCGATATAATGAAATATCAGGCACAATTATGTATTTTTGAGTGTTATCGCAGTATAGGACTACGTGTCATTTGATGATATCATTGGCACTTTCTCAAGTCGACTTGTTTCTTACATACTTATCAACTAATTAACGTTAATCAGATCATCAATAAATAGAATAAGTGTTTTCCGATCTAAGGCAGCTATTATCCAGATAACTATTGTAAATAGTTGGAAAAATGGCATATTAAAACATGAAATCAAATAATCGGATCAGAAGCCAAAACCCTCGACTAGAGTTCAATAAGAACCATTTCGTCAACAAAATTACTTCAAAAATGCAACTTTGCCAAGTAAGTATTCGCTAATGAAATTCTCCTGTATTAATCCAACAAAAGTTAACAAAGTACTAATTTCTCAAAATACTTCCACTTCTTTGTCGTATAACAATTCGTATCTCTTTAAAAACAGCAACGAAAAAATTGTTTGCTAACAGTATATGTAATAATCTAATCCGCGTAAAAAATTGGTATTAACAGGTATATAATAAGTATAACGTTACTTTGAGCCCTTATAGCTCGAAGGATGAGCGCTACGGTGGCGCAGAATAAGGCGGCTGTTGTCAGCAGTTAGTTGCAGCTCCAGTTGATGCTGATGGCGGTGGTTTGCCGTCGTTTCCAAAGTACGATACACTGACGACATCGCCACCTACGTTGATCAAGCATTGACCCTGTAAAAAAGAGCATAAAGACGCATTTCTCAATAATCTTTTCTTTGTCAATTAACCAAGTTTAAATTGACAACTCGTTTTTTCTCGTAACACACCTGATTTTTATGAGGACTGTTCAATAGAACACACTGAGACATGAAAAAGGCAACCATGGCATTACCACCGAGGGACGTAACGTGAGCTCGGACTATGGCTAAAACCTCGGTGATAAAACTGTGAGTGAATCCACTGAGTCCACCGTTCTAGAAAAAAACTTTTTTTAATGAGTATTTCTCCTTCAAAATTGAAATAGGGTGAATTACCTCTCTAATGGAATTAGATTCCCTGATGAAGAAAAAGTTTAAGTTTCCTAAATACCTCTCGATCCTGCCGCCGGGTAAGTACGACAACGGAGTTATATCTACTCCGTATCTCTCTTTCAACGGCACCTGAATCAACGTTCCGTGAAATTTTTTTTTCGAGCGTAGCATTAAAAAATAACTCACGTGTTTATGTCGGTGAGTAGTGTGCTTAATCCTCAGAGGCGACCGCGGTCGGGGTTTTTGGGTGAGAGTATTGAGCGTCGTCTGAGACTCACCTCCGCTGCTGAAATTCTCGGCGTGGTCTTCCTCGAGGCTAAATATCATATCGTTATCGTCGCCTGAAAAAAAAAATCAGAGAATATTAACGAATAAGTAGCCTTCTTTTTCTTGAACAACTTGTCTACTCACCGGTTCGTTTGACTTGATCCTTGCTAATCGAGTGAGATAATAATCTTCTACGAAACTTGTTGTACTTTGTAGGTTCACCCAATCCCAAAGCCATACCAACAACCGATAGCTGAATCTCATCGGGTTCGGGCATTGATACTTTGAATTGCAAGTCGCACAGAGCACACGGCACCATGCGCCTCAGCTTGAAGTATACGGTTTGCAAGAGACGAGCGAAATATTTGGGCGGCATCGAAGCTGGTTGGCCAATCGGTATTTTTGCTCTTGAGACCTACGGCATCGAAACATTTATTGCGTATGCTATTAATTAAAACATCGTTGTTCGATGAATACCTGAGTAAACATTTGAAGATTGCGAACAATTTCAAGATCTTCCAATCCAGGAATAACCTCGGTATTAACAACGTGAAAATCGTTAGGTGGTCGCTCATCCATCAACAGATTTATGCGGTCCAGATCCTCAACGTCGTCGACTTCCAGCAAGCAAACGTCTTTCATACCGAGTCCCAAATCGAGTTCGGGCAATTCATCCTCAGACTCGTCGGTATCGGACATTGATTTTCCATTCTCTCCCTCCTAGTAAGAAGCGAAAACAAACGTTGAGATGTAAATTTGGAACGTTACATCTAAATCAAGCAGCATACCTGCAGAGGTTTCAACTGATAAAACTCGATGTTCTTTTTGACAGTCTCCACAAGGCTCTTCTGCATCTCAGCAAGCTGATCGTCGTTCCACGAATTCCCGCTCGCGTTGATCCGCGGTGGCGAAGGTAGTGGCAAAGCTGTCAAATACACCGCGGTACCGACAGCCATGCCAATAACAAGTCTCTCGCCGATAGAAACTTGCACTTTGAGACCAAAAATCGCATTCATTCCACGCATCCTCAGCTTATTGAGCAGCAAGCTGTGCATCTCGTACTCGAGGAACGGAAGGCAGTCGGAAATCTCTTTAGCGTTGAGTTCGCCTCGCAGATCTTTCTTGGCTTTGCAGACCGTCGCTTGGATGAAACAACCTCTGCCGGTTAGCGGGATGTTTTCCGGCAACTCCACGGTGGTGAACAAAACGTCCGGCACTTTCGCGCGGCGACAGACTGCACACTTTGACACGCACACCTAGAATCGGGAATTAACGAGCGGTCACGCGGACGAATGTCGAACGTGCGTCGATGATGGCGCATGGGGAAGCTTTCCGACTGGCAAATGAAGCTCACTCTGCGGAATTTTGAAAAGTACAACATGATTTTTGTTTCGAGCACTTGTTCACAAATACTCATTGCAGTCATTGTCATTTGAATTTCAATGAGAAGTTGGAGCCGTGAAGCTCAGCGGATATTATGCGAATCGGAAGACTGCATGCGAAAAATGTGATGACCTTTCTCACATCTTACATATTTTATTTCCTTGCGATTCTAATTCACAGACTCACTCAGAAATTCGCACATCGATGTATTGTTACTAACGCTTTCTTGTACTAAGCGCTAACTATTGATAACATACGGTATAAGTATTAAAGTACCTCGCAATTAATCACAGTACAACGACTCCAGCCAAAAAAATATCGTAGATGTAAGTCTTTGATCTCCAATAAATTGTCGATTAGAAAGTAAAGAGAAAAAGATAAAACATGCCAATATTGTCGAAACGAAGCGGCCGCCGACAAATAGGTCAATGCAATGTCGACCCACCTGAAAATTCATGCTAGACTTGTTGTAAGGCAGATGGCACAAGCTGCAGCCAGTCGTCGCGTTCGCCGCCGGCTCGTGCTCGTTGCTCTCGGAGGCCAGGCGCTGCTTGGGCTTGTGGCCGGAGCTGCTGCCGGGTGTGCCGGCGAGGCTGCTCATCTCGGGCGCGTCTCTCGGCGCGCTCTTGGAGCTCGGTGTTTTCGGCTCGGCGAGCTTGTCGGTGGAGTCGGCCGAGCTCGTCATCGGGCCCTGCACGTGCGTGATCAGCACGTTGTCCTGGTCCTGGCCCGTGCTGTGAAGGTTGATCACGGCCGCGGTGCCGAAGCCGCTCAGCACGCACACGTCGTCGCTGCGAACATCATCGGCCGGATGTCAGAGTGGCGCGTCGACTCTCGGCTAGCCGCGACGCGAACAGCTCGCACGGACCAGATGCTCGTCTCCTCCCGATAGCCAATGACGACGTTGCAGGCGAGCGCTCGGGCGTGGGACCTCACTTCCATGCGTATCTCGGTCCACCAAGCGTCGCGTCCCTCGGGCTCCTCCAGATTGGATATCCTTTCGAGTAACTTGACCGATCGCGCGCTAACGAAGCCACCTGCGCGCGAGGCCAAAACGGCAAAATGAAGTTAGCACGCCACCGGCGCTGTGGGATAAATACGAGAACTCACCGATTTGGAGCACGAAGCCGGGCGGATACTGCTGCATCGTGATGAACGGATATTCGAGCATCTCCAGCGCCTCCTGATTCATCGTCCTAACGAGGCCCGCCGGCTTCAAGTAACCGCCCATCGAGCGATCGCTTCCCGTCAGCGAGTTGCCTGTATTCGCAGCGGGACACACACGTGCGCGCGCGGGCGCGCGCGCGACCGAGATTAGAGAGCATTTCCAGCGGGTAATCATCGACGCGCTCAACACAGGCTTCACATTTACATTGGGGATATTGGATTCGTACAGACAGGACGGCTTTTTTACGCATTGCTGCAGGAATCATGTGACCGCACTTGTTTGTTGGCCAGGGGATTCGTTTTTTTTTGTTTCATTGATTGCTCGTTACTATATACAAACGACAAGCACAGGCGAGTGACAGAAAGAGAGAGAGAGAGAGAGAGAGAGAGAGAGAGAGAGAGAGAGAGAGAGAGAGAGAGAGAGAGAGAGAGAGAGAGAGAGAGAGAGAGAAACAAAAAAGGTTGGTCTTGGCGGTGTACGCACACTTGCACATGAAATTCTGCGACACATGACAAGTATACTCTGAGGCGTGAGACGTGTTTGGTCGTTCACTTTCGGAGTGTATGAAACATTGCTGATGTGGTAATGAAACATCGAGCGTGTGACACATTCATCATTGCGCGAGCTCTTTCTTTTAAATGGGGGGAGGGGTGCTTTTTCTCATCCGTATAAAAAGTAAAACATGGATTAAACATCGAACGTGGGTGAATGCAAAATAGTGGCAATTGCTGGAGGGTACACCTATTACATTGCTCGTTGCAGCTTTCGTGCAGCATGATTATCAAAGAATATAAAAAAAAAGAATGAGAAAATTAAACAGGTTGAATTTCTGTTGTGGGTAGGATTTTCGACAACGTGTATAAAGCGTATTGTAGGTGTTAGTACAGTACGATTCAATGTAGGGACTGTCGTAAAGTTTATTACGGGGTAGCTCGGGAACAAGAAAGATACCTCGACGTTCGGTCAACAAAGAACAGAGATAAGACGAAAACAGCATTAATTAACCTTTATCTGGATGGTTAGAATGAGAAAAAGAGAACCTGAGCTGGCGGCGCTGAGCATCAGTCGTGAGGAGCAGCGCGAGGACGGACGCGACGACTGACGCGATCGATCTGATCGTATTCTGAAGGATCTGCCCTTCTTCACGCAACTTTTATTATCTACACAAAACAGTTACTGTAAGATTGCGTACGGCACCAGTGTGCGCGCAGCGAAAACAACAATTATTCACATGTATGCAACATTCACGATCAAGTGTCTACTGATATGATGTGGCGAGAGATTTATTTTTCTTTCTTTTTTTTTAGTTCGGCAGGCACTGCAAAAGCTTTGTTGCCTTCTGTTGAAAAAGAAACACATTGAAAAATAAAGGTGATCGTTAATAAGACAGTCGCTGTTAATGATGGCATATGAGACAGCGATTGAGAAATAAACACATCGATCAAAGAAATTAACAATCAAAGTTTGGGCTGCCTATGGTTAAACGGTGTGTTGGGTGGTACTCACGTTCGCGAAAGAATTTATAAAATCCTGAGAGAGACGGGTATGGCAGAGAGCGAGATAACGCGAATGGAACAAAAAGAAGAAGAATATCATAAGAATATGTGTCTCTGTCGTTACACACACGTTTTTTTTTTCATTGTGCGATGCATTTTGCTAAGATAATCATCAGTGCTCTATCGAGGAACGATCGAAAAATTCGTCACTGACCTTTGGGCGTGATACTCAGATCGGAGTCGCTGCTCCTCCTGTGCAACGGCACGATGGGATTCCTCGCGGCCGGTGAGTTCTGGGGCAGCTGGTGCTGCTTGCTGCTCGCTGGACTGACGGGCTGCTGATCTTGCTGCTGTTGGTTGTTTTGCCTGTGAACGAGTGTGGCAGCGGGGGACACAACGACACACTGGTTAGTAGTCATTTCGTCGTTAGCCGCGCCATCAGCATTGTTAATTAGAGGACTGGGTTTGGGGGAGGGTCCTACTGCGACGTGATTCGATTTCGTCTCGACGATCGACACTTCCGAATCGTGTTTGTGCAGCTTCGTCGTGCTCTCGTGATGAAGGACTTTGTGACGGTGATGGTGATGGTGATGCTCCGGGGACTTGGAGCGATGTCGACGATGCGTCGAGTCGGGCGACGGTGTGCTGTTCTTCTTGGCGACGTGGGGTCTCTTGCTGCGACGAGTCGATTCCGAGTGGTGATGCTGGTGGGCGAGCATGCGGGAGTCGATGACTTTGATGAGGTCGAGCATGCAGGTGCGACGGTACTTCTTGTAGAGCATTTCGGCGACGCGAGCCTCATCGGGGAATTTGAACGCCTCCTCTTCCATCCTCGACTTGGCCATGTAGGGCGTTTGCGGCACGACGTCGAGGAGACTAACGCTGGGTAAGCGCAGATGGTTCGTATCGGCGACGGGCGTCACTGGTAGCGAGACGCTCGATGGCGACAAGACGATTGGGGACAATGGTGCTGGAGACGTGGGCGCGTCCGTGTTGCTCATATCCAACAGCAACGGCTTTGGTCCTTTATAGATGACGGTGTCCGTTCGCTCGATCTTCTTTGGAGCTTTGCTCGATTGCTGATCGCTGTCCAAGCTTATCAACGCTACCTTCTTCTCCACGGGCTTGGCAATCTTCGTTTGGTGCTTTCTAGGGTGGTACTCTTCCTCGGACGACTCGGACATCTCGTGTTCTTCGAGCTGAATCATCGACACTTGTTTGTGTATTCTGTGCTTTGGCGGTTTGTTAGTACTACTCGAATACTCAAATGGTGGTTCGATTGCTGATGACATTAAACTTTCAGGCAGAGTTCTCTGTCTTTCTTGAGTTGGCTTTATTAATTTAAGCGGATTGGTCGAACGTTTGGGCTTGTATTCAGTTGGGATTGCACTGGCTGGTCGATAAGAGTCAACGTCGGATGACAAATCCGATAGTATTATTTCGTCGATTGCTAGTTTCTTTGTTTCTTTGAGAAGCAAGAGTTTTTCTTCGATATCCGAATCGACGAGGTTGACAATTTCCCTGTTTACGTGCTTGATCTCTTTGCGAGGTTTCTCTTCGCTGTCAGACTCGACCAAGCACACTATTTCTTCCTCTTTCGAATAGTTGTCTCGATTGTTTTGGTCTTTCGTTATTACTTCGGGTATGTATGCAACGGAATCGACAGCTATCTCGAGATTCACAAAATTAATCGATTCTTCATCTCTATCTTCAATCAAGTTACTCACTTGTTCACTCTCCGATTCGATCAAATTAATGATCTCTTCGTTTTTACTCTCGATCAATTCAGTTATATCTTCGTCTTTCTGATCGATCAAAACAACCAATTCCTCATCTCCAACTTCCATCAAATAAGCCTCGTTCGTTTCATTATCATCATCAACCAAATTCGGCGTTTCCTCAAGTTTACTGTCGATCGACCGTACACTTTCGCTATCCCTCTCATCCATCGATTCGCCATCGCGTTCCTCTTTATTAACAATCAAGCTATAATCCACAGTCCGCTCGGCCTCCTCATCTTTACTCTGGATCAAATTGTCTGTTTCGTCGCCTCTTCCTTCCTCGTTATTCACAAATAACATATAAGCCTCGTCGATTTTCTCCCGCATTTCCATCTTGTCCGCTGGCGTGGCCGTCTCTGTAAAACAATCGTAAAGATCTCTCGTACGAGAAAGCAGCAAGCGCGGAGCAAGCGCAAGCGAACGAAGCGCCACAGGTTTACCAATGTCCTCGAGTCAATGTCGAGTGTTGTGCGATCGCATCTCTCGGCGTTCGTAAAAATGTCAAAAAACAAAAAGTGCGATTAGCCAAGAAGGGAGGAAAACAACAAACAAATAAATAAACGGCACACGCGTTAGTGAAGAGCAGCGAGAGTGCGACCTGCTTGCTTTCTTTTCAAAAATATATCTTGTGTCGTACGGGATTTGAAGCTTGGGCAGGGCTGCTCGGCCTCGGGGGAGCTCGGATCTAACAGGGACTGCGTGTCATCCAGTATATTGTAATTAGTACTTGATTCCGATGGTAAGTCTTCGTCCTCGTCGTCGTGCTCGTCGTCCTCGCTGGACGTGTCCGATTCTGACGACGAGATCATTGGAATCCCAGCCACTTCCTCTTCCTTCGACGAGCTTTTCAATTTTGAATAAGTCACCAGCAGGGTTTTGTTGGTCCGTTGATCGTCGGCTTCATCTTTCGGCAGTTTTTCAGGTGGTTCGGGCAGTTCCGGAAGCTCGCTGATCGTTGCTGGTAGAGAATCTTGTTGTGACTCCGCTGTAGCCGGTGGATCGATGAAATTCACCGGCGACGGTGTTGGCGTTTCTCGGTCTTCTTTGACACTGTCCAAGGGTAAGGCACCAGCATGAACTGACCTGATGAGCATAGCAGCCATGCCTTCACCCTGAGCTTTCTTACGGAATCTCTTTCTCTTGAAACTACCGCCTCGGAATTCTGCCAAAGATGACGTGTCCGACGTGACGATCGACCATGAACTCGAGTGGATACTAACATTCTCCAAGTCGCTTTCTTCGTCCAACGAGTCAACGTTCCTCGATCTCAAAACTCTTTGAGGTAAATGACGAAGGTTACGAAGTCCTCTTGTCAATCTGTTACCTTGATTCTCGCCACGCATGTCTTCCAATGCGAGCATCATTCGCAATGAATTCTCATCGATCACGTCATCGGATAACGAAAGACTCGAGCCAGAAAAGAGAGGTTGCATCTTGTGACTTGAGTAAGACTGCACGGAGAACTGACGTGGTGGCATTGGCTTTACTTCTACGTACTTAAGTGGTGTTTTTGGTTGAACTGGTATGTTCTCACCGTACAAGGGAAATTTACTACCTAACGTCGTAGGGGATGCCAGGGGACTTATATCTGTGCGAATTAAATGTTGTTGGCGTAATATTAGCCTTGGACTACCATCGGAGTCTGAGCAGTCGGACGAATGCTGCTTGTTAGGTTTGTTCATTGCGTATCTTTTAGATTTAACAACGAGGAAAACAACATGCGTGGTTAGTGGGAGGAAGGTGGAGTGGAATTGAGATTCAAATGATTTACCAGAATATTTTTACAATATTGTTTTCTAGTTGAGTTTAGTGAATTATTTACTCAAAAAGATAATTGTACTGGAAATTGATAAAAATCAATATAATTAAATTTCCAGGTCAATCAACTTTGAGAAAATTATTCGTATCTCAGCTCTTCATAAAATTTAATAGAACTAATCTATCGTCTCTAGGGCTTACGCGAAAGTTTTTATGAAATTAGTTTTGAAACTCACTCTTCTGCTGTTGGCTCAGTGGCAAAGTTTTGAAAATCATGAAGCTTGACCAGTGTAACTACTGTTCCTATGCCCCTCGCTACGATACCAGACTCTCCTTCCAGATCAAAATTTTGTAAATATCTGAAATTAAATCCTCCTTTAATAAAATTGTCTAAAATTGATGTGATAATTAATTATTCATTGACATTTTACCCAATAACAGCATTGCCACCAAGATCTAAAGCTTTTAAGCCAATTTTTCTCTGCACTTCATTGCTAAGCTTGAGAAACAAAGTTTGTCGTGCCTCATTTGAAGCTCTAGGAGTTCTTATTTTGTCAATCCATTTGTATTCTGGATCATCACCAATGACTAACTCTTCAACAAAGCCATGTATGACTTGGGCATGATATCCATGAGGAACTATTGGAGCTGTAAAAGAAAATTATTTATGTACTTGAATGATCTTATGAATAGTTTTTAAAAATGTATCTACTTACAGTAAAAAAATGTAACACCACATGACGATTGTCTAAACTTGTTGAAATCTAAAAACAATTCGACTTTGACAATAATATTGACTTCTCCTCTTATTCCGTGCATTGTATCATACACCGGCAGCCATCCAGTCATGATTAGGCCTATAAAATTTATTTTCATGCAATTATAATTGAGCTTTTAATTTCAAATCATGAAAAACTAGAGATATTAACTTACCTCCTTGTGCACCAGTAGTAGAATTGATAGAAGCCTCAAGAGTCCATATATTCTTGACAGGAGGTGGAACCCCAGGTAGTAAGAGCGGATTTAGGTTTATATAAACTTTTCCAATCGCATCATTAGCAGAATAAGTGTCATGATCCATTAATCTAATTTGTAATGGTTCATCCTGCAATTCAGCATCTTCTACTTCAAATTTGTACCAGTCAGAGTTCCATTGTGGATTGAGAGATTTCCTGCACACGTCAGTCTTATATGTAGTACTACCAAACTTAATCTCGACATAAGCATCTGTTGTGTCACTGGAACGATCCATCACTGGTAGGTTACGTCCTGCCAGGACTTTTACTTTGATTTTACCAGGCATTGTAGATTAATTATTGATTCTCTACCTATACCAAATACATACTGAATTCGTTAAGAAATATTCAGTCAGTAACAAACATTGTTGGATGTTGCATAAACTTACAAAATCTAGCTCTTTGAGTGTCTACATTCAGCTTGTTATTTAAGCAATCAATAGCGACAGCGAAGTAGCTAGACTGTTGGCATATCGGAATTATCTGCATTCATGGTCAGGCATAGAATTAAGAAAATTTTAATTCACATTTCGGCTGCAAGCTATCTACTCAGCAAAGAATAGGTTATGACCGATACTTCAAAACAAACTACAAAACTAATAGGTGCTCCTCGAAAAGACGACAGATTCGTCAATGAAAAACAACACTCATTGCCAAGCAAGTGAAATCACAATTCAGAGCGATGCTCGAAAGTGAGCGAGCGAAAACACCGCGACTCAACTACGGCTTACAATAACGCACACGTTCTTCCCTTTGACAAGGACAAGAATAGTACGCGCAAAGCTCCGCAAGCGCGCACGCTGCAAACGTGGATTGGCTCTTTTCCCGTTCACCTCGACGTGTACGATCTATCCCAACGCCTCTAAAACGCTTTACGCTCGGATGCTTATTTTAGCGCATAATATTTCAGGCCTATATATTAGAGCTGGCATTCGGCTTCATACGAAAGTTTTCGTGGCGCAGGCGATCTGTGGGAGGGCAACACGCCACACACGCGCGATCAGAGACGCGCGCGCAACGCGAATGACCAGCTCATTGAACTGATGCTAATCCGACGCCTTCAGTGGCGCGTTTCGTTTGAAAATCGATTTCGCGCGTTATTCTCGCGAGTTGAATAGAACACCTGATCGAGCGATGCGACTGCCCATAGGCAATATACGTTATTTTCGTAGTTGACGATCAATCGACAATATTCCGATGATATTCAATTGTTTTGATCGAGCGCGAGTGCTGCTGTTATTACTCATCGACGGACAGTTGTACTGTTTTGCGTCGGTGAAATTAAGACTGTACGGTGGGAAATTCGTTGGGCTAAATAATAAGTCCGAGCTCCCTGCTTTGATGACCTGTTTGATTTTAAAGAAGCATATTATCTGTATATTTAAATATTTTGTTTATTATACTTTTTGATAAAGTAAGTAACTTGCATTACAGTTTAAATTTCATTACAATGTTTACGTAATACTCCGCAAGACATTATCATACAAAAGTGAATAAGAACGGTATTTTCGAACAAACTTCTATGGCTATCAAAGTGATTATTTGTATACATGTGAGTGTCCGTCTTGCTTACAGCTGATATAGACTTAGGCGCGAGTCTCGCTGTGGCTTTCAAGATCAAACTATTTTCTTCCCCACTATTGCTCATCAAAAATCTAATTACGTTGTCGGCTGGAAACAATTACTCAATGAAATGTATCTTGAAAGCGATGACGAGACCATCTCAAAGTCTAAGTGTAGACAACTAGGCTTCTATTACGTAGAGGATTGTCATTCAATTAAAATATTACACGCTCAGTTCACGCGGAGTACACTCTTACATTAAAATTTTTACGTTCTGCGAATACGACAGCAGTCTCAAATATTTACAATTGTTTTGTCGATCAACCTTCAAAATTAAAGGAAGAAGCAAATTTACGACTGTACGACAACAAACATCCAAACCTTCAAATTAAAAAGAATCGAAAAACAAATAAGAGCTCGGTAGTTTTCATATAAACAACCGAAATATTATTCATAAGTGCAAGTCTGGTACGCAAACGATACTTGTACAATTCGCTAATTTTAAAAGAATAACACAGACCGATATCCCCCAGATTCAGAAACCAGAGTCCATTTTTCCGAAGAGCTTTGCTGCACTGAATGTGAGATCCAAATCGTCGACTTGGTTCTGGTTTCCGAGAGATGCTAACGTAAAATGATTTTTAGGTATTACAATTAAAAAATTGCCAAAACGCGCTATTTTTACGGTCTTAGGTTAGAATATCTCGGAAACCAGAGCCCAATTCGATAATTTGATTCACATACAACGCACCAAGAACGTTCGAAAAAGTAAACTAGTTTCTGGGTCTCATATTTACCTAAATGTTGCCGGCTTGTTTAATCCAACGATCCGATTGAACCTATTATTGTGAAAGTTTGGACATGACAAAAGTGTCGACAGATACGTATACGTTACTGCCTCGAGGACGAAGGATCGGAGCGGCGTGAACTACCCCTTAGCACCCGACCGCCTGCTCCCTGCGTCATAAGGTTAATCTGATTCGTCGCTTGGGCGATCGCCTGTGGCGCGTTCGGCCTCATCGAGCCACTGCTGCTTTGTTCCGGCCGATTCGCCAAGCGAGCGCTGCTCCGCTCCGGTTGGCTCGTCGACGCGCCATCGTTTCGATTTCGACTCCCGGCCGCGAGCTCTCGTTGTCGAACGGCCATTTCGGAAACGCAGGTTCGCTCGTGGACCGAGACGCTATGATAGCTCATGAATGAGCAGTTGCAGAATAAGCAGCGCGTTCTGCATTTCTTTACGTGCGCGTCGTAAGTCGCCGCGCTATAAGGCTTAATGCAAACCGAGCAGACCGGTTTCTGCTCCGGACTACGGTGGCATCTATAGGCCTCCGCCAGCGTGGCGAACTCTATCTTGCAAATTTGACACAGGTACACGACTACATGCACTGCAGAGGTGTGGTTCCTCAACTCATCGACCGACATAACCTTCTTGTGGCAGAATCGGAACGGGCAGTTGTATACGGTCGGAATGTTCAGGATGACCCGCTGGCCCGCTGGCTGCGCCATGCTTGTCCACTCTGCGAACACGACCCGCGGGTTCAGTCGTCAGATTGTAAATTGAAGTCGATGGGATCGGAGCTCGTGCGTGCCCCGAAGGTCGCGACAGATCGGTTTGACGGGCAACCGGCGGATCGCTCGTTCACGCGGCCGATGCTGAATTAGCTCAACGGGCGGACTCACGATCCGACCATCGATCTCGATGCCTGAATCAGCGTCCGAGCGGCGACGACCGTTAACGCAGGCTCGAAGACTAATTCTAGTACATCTACGGTTTTACGTCGCAAGGATCACTTTGATTTGGTATTTTGATCTGGAGACGCACGCGCGACTCGTCGCTCTCGGCCTATTAGCCTGTGACGACCCGTAAAAAGTCGCGAAAAGCAGACCTGCATTCCTACCTTGGCTTGTCCCGACTGCAACCTATGCTACAAGCTCGTCCTCGTGGCAGCCTCTGATCGCTGAGTTATCCAGTCAACGGCTCGGCGCGTATTCACGAACTTCTTCGTGTAGTACTACGTGGCAAGCAATAAACGGTCGACAACGCGGTACTCGCTTCGCGACCGGGGTGTTGTTCGATCGACCTCGCGCGCTCTTGCGGCTTCGACCCGACTTTCTCTCCTCTCTCTCTCTCTCTCTTTCTGTCTCTCGCAGATACACACATATAAGCGCGCTTTTCCTCTTTCCTCCTTTGCCGTCGAAGTACTTTTCGAAGAAGCTCGCTGCATCCCTCCAAACTCAGGACACCGCCTTGGCATTCGTGTTCTTCGCGATCCTCCCCGTCGCGATTTGGTCACAGGTCAAGACTACGGCCGACGGATCGTAATTATTCTTGGTGCCGTTCTGCGCCGAGAACGATGACGGTTTGAGAAATAACGGCCGTGAAGGCATGGCAGCTCAATTTTGTCCTCAGCTCGCATCCGTTGGGAACAACGCGCGATCGGCAACAAGAAAAAGACTGCACATATTTGTTTAAACAAGATTTTATTTTGGCGAGTTACAACGATATTAAATACATGCGTACATACATAGAGTTGGGCTCACAAACGCTATACAATTATTATGTTTAAACGGGTTTGCTTTACTGTTTATCCACGCGTTTATGCAATCTACAACTGCTTCATGTATACATACTTCTGCGTTCCCGCGACCTTCACTCGAGAATGATGCTGAATAATAACAAGTATATTGTATACTCTGTCAACTAATCGTCAAAAGTCTGTCATACATCGATATAACAAAAATGCTCTTCATAAAAAATTACAATGTTACTATTCTCATTTTAATACCTTTACCGGCGTTTATACGCGCTTCTTAATTATACAATAAAGGGGCTCAAAATATAATTCATACAATTTTTCCTCGGTTTTTTTTCTCATTTGTTTCCGTCTTTGGTCAGAGTCTTTTGTAAATCGAATAAAATTCCTCTTTTTACATTCTACAAAATAAGACACGATTTTCCTAAATGAAAATTCATACTTTCTTGCTTTGTATGTTTCGATTTGCCTCTATGCCTCGTCTACTTTGACATACACTCAAATCGCGAACGCAAAAACCTTTTATACTTTTTATGTCAATTCATTCATTATTGTCAGTGAAACGGAGGTTCGTTAAAAAACCAAGCAAAGGTACCAAACGATTTTGTTTCCTTCGAAGTAAATTTTTTTCTAATATTACCGTCGATTTTCAACGATGCAAATCGAACAAGCGCTATGAGGATTTAAATGCATTACAGCGGCTTTTAAAATTGGTTTACATTATTGAACCCTCAGCGTATATTCCGGGGATCATATACTTTCATTAACGATTGCAGTTATCATTGTTTCTGTAATTATCTAGTATTGTCTTGAGTTTTTCCATATACGGTCGAACTTTGTTTATTCAAATTCCTATATAGTATAATATAATACGTTTCTATTCAATGTATATTGTTATTTAATATTAACATTTAAATATGACTTTCGATAAAATTCAATTAGCCTTACAACAGAATCGATGAAAATATTCGAACAGGCCATATATATAAGTCAAATTTGATTTACGTATCATCGTCGTAATTTTTCCTCTTTAATTAATTGCACCGTTTTATATGTACTTCGTTTTCAAACCTAATTCGAATGTTTTATATCGTTCTTTCGAGCTAATCACTAATTTTACCTAACATTTTTTTGTCGACATTTAGAAGTATATTTTCACAATCACAGATGTCGAGCATTCATTTTAATTCATCTAATTTCTGCAAAATTCGCTCGGCTGTAATTTTACAATGTTTAATATAAATCGAGCGTATACATCTTTGATCGCATAGCATATAGTTACATGGATATGTCTGATTTCGGATTATCGAAGATAATGATATGTGCTACGATAATATTGTTTCGAATGCTCACTCGCGGCTGGAGTTTTGCGATATAAATTCTCGATTAAACTGCGATACTTCGAGCGCTCAACGCAATTAGAACCTTCGGAAGAGCCTTGAGAATTGTGCTTATCGCCTATCGTGAAAATGGCACACAAAGACAATTCTTCTTTTGAGATGCATTATTTGTCCAACGCATATTTGCAGTTAATCTGCGTCTCGCATGATTTCATCACGAAAAACCCCAACCTAACGACTTCGAAATCGCTATCTTCTACATTTTTTTCTGAACCGAGGCTTCCTACCAATCTTTTCAGGCGGCGATGTTACAAGAAAACTCGAAGCTTGCGTCTCTATTTACCTTTTTAAACGCCGCTCGTAAAAAATTTTAACGCAGTTAACTCGCTAAGAATGTGCACGAGACTTTGTTTTCTCGACAGCTGGGGGGTTTCCGTATATTCCTACGTGATTACAAACTTTACAAAAGTTTTTTGCTTGAGTCAAAATTTTCAGAACGTAAAGGCGGCTGATAGTTAATCTTCAACGAATTGTCATATACTTTCATTTGAGCATCGTATTTGCTTCTAATGTCGGTGTTCTTTCTGTGGAATGTTTTCGCTTTTTTTTTGAGCTATGCGTTAACTCATCACTGATTCCCATAGTTTCATCGCGAGAAATATAATGAATCTACGGGAAATACTTAATCGAGGCAACCTATTATAGTTTATCAACGAGAAGCTTCGAAGGGTGTTGGTAAACTTGATCGGAATGAACACATTGAAAACTCGAAAATATCCTCCCTTAATATACAAGCTGTGACTCTTTCACGCTTCGGTATAGCTTTCGAATAATTAATACTATTTTAAAACGGAAAAGAATATTATAAGAAATACTTTGTTCTCGATGAATTTCAAAGAAATAAAATTGCTAAAGTAGAGAAAAAGCTATTAAAGTTAGTTAGGTAAAGTTGATGTTTTGCACCCTTATTAGGAATATATTTTTTCGCGTATACATTTGCTCATGTTCATTATGACCTATATGTACAGGCGTGTTTGTTTTTTAGAACAGTTGTGTGTCTTCTTCGATGCATTGTAATATGTTAAGTTGTCTTAATCGGCAAAACCGTCGATAATACTTTCAGTTTTGATTGTGCTCAGTTCAGCTGTCTATTGTCAAAATTTAAATTGACTTTGTGTTACTTTAAGATGTGCAACAAGACTTTGATTATTTTTTGCTCTGTTGTTTTTTTTTTCTCTTCCTTATGATTGATCCATTATTATTCATCATAACACCTTGTTTTCGCCTTCGATTTTATTTTCATTCCGCGTGTTTTCTTTAACGATAAAAAATATGTTGTACATCATATTACTTACGTCGTTATTTTATATTACTATTCTACAGGATTTGAACGTTACTTTCAATAAATATTCTATTAAAAACAATTACCATATGTAATGTTATTTTGGATTTATAAAGTATCTTTTGTATCGCTTCATGAGATATATGGCTTAAAGTTAATAAGTAAGATCTAATTTCTCGCGTCGCAGACGCTATAAAGTTCTTTGTTCCTTTTTAGTTTTAGGCGATCGACACCTTTAATCAATTAGAAAACTAAATTATCTCATGAGTCAACAATGAGTGATTTCCATGAAGTAATGTTCAAGTGTATTTTGCTAATGGAATCTTTGTTTCTTTAAAGAATTAAAAATATTGATAATGAAAGTTAAATTTTTCATATACTTTTTTTATAGAGTATTTAAAACTGAAAGCTTAACAGCTAATTTTGTAAATTGAATTTTAAAACCATGTAATATGAATAAAGTACAGATATAAAGATTCATTATATGATTAACCAATTATTAGATATCAATTGATATGAATTTTTTATCACTGTTGAGCATGGCTAATATAAAATTAATCTATCTGACGTTTTGTAATCTCATCAACTTGAACTATTTTGCACGATAAAAGTATTATACAAAAAGTAATAGTTTAACGATAAATTTTATCATACATCGTTAGTAAACGATAAAATAATAAATATCGTAAAGAAATACTTTTATCAATTACAAATTATTGTTTCTTATATATTGATATATATATACACGTATGTATAAATTATATGGAATACATTTTCCTGTATATACTATATGCTCGTATGTAAATTCTTTGATATTTGCGTGGAGTTTTCAATATATATGTTTCCACTTTACTTTGCACCTTGAAGGATATGAACTGTTTCATTTCAGATAAATTGAACAAACAATAAAACGATGTAGTTGGAACACTCAAATGGTCGTTTAACAATTGTTTTCAAAACCAATCTTACGCAATCGATATGTAGATTATTTTACTAAAGATAGATACAAGTTTCTTTCAAGTATAACATGTAAGCTTGATACTTGGAGTAAGGTATATATCAAAATAAATTTCTTTATCCTTTCTTTCCATATTTTGGGAAAAGTACAAGTCAAAAAATATACTTTTTCGGTTCCCGTGACAAATTTGACGAACCGCAACGCTCTGTTGCGAGCGTCCAAATAATCGATACAGTTTCTTTTTTACACATCTACGATTACGGAAAAATTAACGTGAAAATTAACAAGATTAAATAAATACAAATAAACAAAGAGAAAAAGCGTATCACTCGTACGATAAACTCAGCGATCGTCGATCGAGGAGACAAAAACAAAACGAACGCGAGGATTCAGTTATCATCTAGCGAGAGAAAATAGAACGTTTGCGCATCTGCTACAGTGAAGAAAGAAAAACAAATCTCAATTTGCGATGTGCGTCTGCGACACGACGTGTTCGAATGGCCGAATCAAGCGCTCTTTGACTCGAGTGGGTATTATTTGTTGCGCGGAGCGCAGCGACACTCAACGCCGAGCGGCGCGTCTACGTATAGGTATAGCGCGTGCTCGCGTCTATTATAGCGGCTGTTCGGCTTGTTTCAATTCGAGCCGCCTTCGCTTTGCGAAAGGCGTTGTCTGCCCCGTGTTCCCTCGAGTACGCATTGTCCATGTATATAAATATATGCTTGGCGGACGCGAGCGCGCGAGTCGAAACCCCTACGTGCTCGTACGCGCTCGACAGGAAGTGTAATTGAGTGTCGCGAATTGAAGATCGCGCGCGCGCCTCCTCGCGTCTTTGGCATGCGTTTTGTATTACTTTTCTTTGTTTTGTTTTTTCGTCCTCGACACCGGCGACTCGCGCGGTCCGAAAGCGGCACTGCATCACTACGACGAATAATTCCCGTATACAGATCTCGTTCCCCTTGCTGTCTTCGCATCGCGTTGCCGTCGCTGTCGTTGGTCTTGCTTCAGCGTCTCGCAGATTACAGCTCTGCGGGCGCGTCGTCTCATATGGACGTCGTGTGGTTGTCACCGCCGTTTCGGGTCTGGGCGCCGTGAAGCGGCAAAGCCGCCAGCTCGTTTCTGCTCAGGTGATTGACGATGCCAGCGCCGAGCGAGTCACCGACCACGTTCACGGTCGTTCTGCAGCGATCACTGCGTTCAAAGACAAACGAGTCACAACGGAGCTTCTGCGAGAAGCATTGTCTTTCTTTTCTTGTATTTCAGAAATCCAGCAAACTTAATACAGAGCAAGAAGGGAGCGAGTCGTACTCTCTCTCGAAGACAACTGGTTGGAAATACTCACAGCAACCAATCGATGGCCAAGATGAGAGAGATGTCGCCGGATGGAAGGCCCACGGTGTCCAAGACCATGACCATGGTGACCAGGCCCGCCTGCGGAATTCCCGCCGCGCCGATGCTGGCCGCCGTGGCGGTGATGCTGCAAACAGAGCCAAGGTCTCGCACTGGTTCGAGGGGCCTGCGGGCGGGTTGGAGTGTGTGGCGGGAACCCACCTTATCGCGGCCAGCTGACCGAAGCTCAGCGAGTACTGGCGAACCTGGGCAATGAAGATGGCGGCCACGGCCTCGTAGAGCGCGGTGCCGTCCATGTTGATGGTGGCGCCGATGGGCATGACGAAGCGCGTGACGCGCGGGTCGACGCCGTTGCGCTCCTCCAGGCAGGCGATGGCCACGGGCAGCGTGGCCGAGCTGGACGAGGTGCCGAAGGCCGTGGCCATGGCCTGCGCCATGTTGGACACGTAGCTGAAGGGGTTCTTACGCGTGAACAAGAAGTAGATGGTGGGCAGCACGAGGAAGCCGTGGATGCAGAGGCCCACCATAACCGTGAGGAAGTACATGCCCAGCTGGCCGACAACCGTGTTCAGCGAGTCCATCTCGATGATCTTGGAGGCGACCAGGAAGAGCACGCCCAGCGGCGACATCCTGCGGATCGAGGGGGGCATCACTCGTCGGGTGGCGCGCTCGGCCAACGTCGACTTCGACGGCCGCGACGGTACTCACCAAACCACCCAGTTCGTGATGATCATCATGGCGGTGGACAGCGTCTCGAAGAAGCTCAGCAGCGGCTTGCCGGTGTCGCCCATCTTGCCCAGCGTGATGCCCAGCACCGTGGAGAAGACCACCAAGCCGAGGATGTTGGTGCCGGACTCGGTCGACGGCACGATCCTCCAGGTGTACTTGTCCTCTGCGCGAATGACAGTCTCGTGAGAGCGGGTTGCCGCGGGTTGCCGCGGGCCGGGCCGGCGCTCGCGGCACCTCGGGCACCTCGGGCACCTACCTAGCGTGCTGTTGGCGTCCATCTCGATCTTGGTCTGGTGCTGGGCGATGCAGGCCTCCACGAGGTTCGGCGGGAACATGTTACGCACGAGGTCCATGAGGGTGTCGACCGTGGTGACGTTGCGCGGCGCCTTGTCGTTGCTCTCGTTGGCGTTCTGGTTGGAGCCCGGCTGGATGCTCACCACCAGAACGATACCTGCGAACGACGGCGGGCGTCGAGTGAGACGAGCGCGGGAGGGGCTGGGGGCGAAGGGGGCGCGAGCCCTCGGCGCACGTACCGAGCACCACGGCGCTGATGGTGGTGGTCATGTAGTAGATGATGGCCCGGCCGCCGATCTTGCCGCTGAGCGAGAGGTCGAGCGAGCCGATGGCCGAGATCAGGCTCGACATGATCAGCGGCAGTATGAGGCTCTTGAGCATCCGCAGGAACAGCTCGCCGATGTAGTTGACGTACATGATCTCGCGCTTGGACCATGTCTTGCCGACGTTGCGCAGCACCAGGCCGAGGACTATGCCGAACAGCACGCCGGCCACGGTCAGCATCGTCAGCGCGTTGTGCTTCAGGAACACGGCGAACTTCTGGGCCGCCGTCCGCGGCAGCCGGTCCGGCTGGTGCGGATAGTAGGAGGCCTTCTCCGCCTTGGCGCCGTCCGTCCCGGACAGCGGAGACCTGCGGCCCGAGCGTCGCGTCATTCGGGGCCGGTGCGTCGCGCCCGACCGCAGGCGCAATGTCAATGGCGGACCGAGAGAGCCCGCGCGCGCCGCGCCGTCGTCTCCGCGGCGGCCTCGCGGCGGCCTCGCGGCGAGGGGCCCGAATGTAGGACGGCTCCTCGCGAGGCGCGTAGGCGGGACCGGGCTGGCCGCCGCCGAGCGCGACACGTGCGATCGAGCTTTCGAGCCAGCGCCGCGCGCGCGCGCTTCTCTTTCTTTCGCCTTTCGATGTCACTGGGTTTGTAGGGCTTCTCTCTCGAGTTAATGCATTCGGGCTTTGTGTTGGCGCGCGCGCGCGGCTGCTCCCGAGGCGGCGAGCTCGCCCGCGCAAGCTCGAGCTCCGTGCGCGCATTCGATCGCGCGAGCGGCGGCGCGCATGAGAGCCACTGCCGCTCGAGAGGAGGAGGGACGTTAACTCGAGTTATCCGCGCGCGCGTACGCTTGTGTTGTTATACAGCGGCGACTAGACGTACCGCGATTATCTCTCTCTCTCTCTCGCTCTCTGCCGGCAGTATAAATACAATCAATTACTCTTCCGGCTTTCTCCGGGATGGGCTTTTTTTATGTTCAAGGAGCTACCCGTCGAGAGCCTCGTTCGGCCGTAATGACTCCCGGCGGAACGACGTACCGCGGGGAGGGAAGTCTCGTGGCGTGCGGAACTGCGAGTTCGCAGAGCGCCCACGCGTCCGGGGTTGCCGACGGACTCGGCAGCCTCTGGACGCGGCGAGCGCTCCAATCGAATCGCGTGTCAACGCACTCGTGGCGCGCGCGCGCGCGCGATCGAGGTCGTCGCTTTCAAGCCGCTCGATGTCTGGCCCGAGCGCCTCGGCTTTTCGAAAAGAGATCGACGAGAGCGCGCGCAAACGAGAAAACCCGGCCTTTTTGCCGTCACCCCGACGACGACCACTCGTTGTGGTGACGCGGCTCTCGGGGGAATAGAGGCCGAGGTGGCACGTCGCACTTCCGTTGCGAGTGGATTTCGGGAAAAGCCACTTAATTGCGCTTAATTGAGCTTCCGTGTGGGACGAGGCAGGGGGGGAGGGGTCAATGACGAAAGTCCGCCTTGCGCGCGATACGCCGATGAGTTTGCCTAACTAATCGATCGAAGCAATGAGAAAGAAGACTAAGAGCGCCCGAACGCCGAGATCTATGGGCAGCCCGACGATGTGTGCGAATCGCGGCGACCGAGTCGCGCCCTCTCCCGAGTGGATTATTCGGCCGGAATCGAGCCAAGAAAAAAGGCAGGCAAGTCCGACTGCCCCGTCTGTCCGCGTTTATTTATACACCTGTTGCTCTCTCTCTCGCTCTCTCCAAGTCTTTTCCTCCTTCCCACCTGAGCGCGGCGCGTTGTGCGCACGCACACACGCGCGCAGAAGCCTCGCAGCCCGCAGATTAATTGGCTTATTAAGCTCTCCCTTTAACACGGCGATACGTCGGCGCATAGAATCTGATATTGCGATCCTCTCGGACGCGTGCAATCTCGACTCTGTACACACTGCTCTCCGCAAGCTCGCGTAATGCGCCGCGCAAACATTCGCGCGGCGAGACGATCGTGGGAGACGCCGCTTCTCGCGCACCGCCGGGGAGGGTCGATGCAGCGTTCGGCAAACATCAAACACATCACGCTCGAAGTAAGCCGATCTGGTCTCCGAGGGAGCGACCTATGAAGGCGCGAGAGAGAGAGAGAGAGAGAGACGCAGGGCGCGCTCGAGCTTGTGATTTCTCCGTGACGAGCGCGCGTCGCACTGAAAGGAAGCAATTGACACTCGACGCGCGCGCTTTTTGCTGTCTCCAAGAATGAATCCACTTGGTCGAGCGCCGAAGAGATTTGAGCGTAGCCGAGCTCGCGAGCCACGGCGGACGACCGGAAGACGCGTGCCTCGGGCGCACGTCGCTCCTCCGGACGGAGATCGGGCCGAATCAATCGCGCGCACGTGCGCCGCGCGCTAATCGCGAGGCGATCCATCATCGAGGACGCGGACGAGCGGCCGCCGGCTGATGATATATTTACTCACAGTTCAGTGGCCACCTCCATGGCGATGACGGCGACGGGGCTGTCGTCCTTGCGTCGAGCTGGTCGTTCTCACCGGCGCGCCGCCGTCGCGGAAGTGAGCCGCAAACGGTGAGAGAGAGAGAGAGAGAGAGAGACAGAGACAGAGAGACAGACAGCGAGAGAGACAGAGAGGATGCGAGGCTTTATTTCGCGTCGTCTCCCCCCCTGTGCAGAAAGACGACGGGTGCGCACAGCTGACGCGGAGAGAGAAAAACGAGCGCGTGCGTGCGAGAGAGGATCCCTTCCTGTCGGCCGATCCGCGCGATTCCTCTCTTCCCAAAGCCTATATCATGGTCGTGTACCCGCTGGGGGGAGAATCCGACCGAGCTCGCTCTCTCTCTCTCTCTCTCTCTCTCTCTCTCGCTCTTTCTATCTTGCTGCTGGCGCTGCTCGGCACTCTTCTGCTCCTTTTTGTCACTGATATACGTCACTGATCTTCGTCGCACTTTGCTCAATGAGCACACACCTCTTCTCGGGCCGATCGCGCTCGCCTGGCGGAGCGCCTTTAGCGACCTTGAACAGAAAGAAGGGCTTGGTGAGTTCCGACGGAAGCTCGGCGACAGCGGCGGCGCAGTGAGGTGCAGCGCGGAGACTGGCTGGCCGGGCCATTATTTGGGGAAGCGGATCGTTAACGGTCATTAGTCGTTATCCGCGCTCTCGGCGATCTGGGTCAGAGCGTTAGTGCGGAGCGAGAGGCACAATGGGGAGGCGGGAGCCAAGTTCAGCCGTCGGAATGCGGAGCAAGAGCGGTTACCCCGGCGATAAGATGACGAGCACTCCGGGAAAATCAATAGGCTGCCGGGGATCCTCGCTCTCTCTCTCTCTCTCTCTCTCTCTCTCTCTCTCTCTCTCTCTCTTCTCCGTCCCTCCGTCTCCGTGGCCCGGGGGAACGGACTGGACTCACTCTGGAGCGCGAGAGTTGGCCGCGCGCCACCGAACGAACACTTGTGGCGCGCGAGAGAGCGGGCGACGGCTCGTGTGGCGACGGGACAACGACGTGAGCGCGACTAAGCCTGCCAGCAGCGAGACGACGACGGCGACGACGACGACGGCTGCTGCTATCGCGGAGAGGTGGGGGCGGGCGACGCTGCGACGTACGCGTGCGACGCGCGGCGCGCGTGCAGATCGAACGCCGCTCTCGATCCTCCGAGCTGCAGCTTCCCGCGGCCGATCGACGCCCTCGCCTGCCGCAACGCGCCGCGAGGCGAGCCAGGACGATCGCGCGCGCGCTTCTGGCGACAATTAAGCTCCACGGGCGGGGGGTGGGCAGTCGCGCGCGCGCGCCATCCATTCATAAACGCAGCTTCCGCGTCCCCGCCGACCTTCCAGCTCCTCGCGCGCGACGCGCTCGCGGAATTGGAATTTCGACGACGCGGCCGAACGTGCGGCTCCGCTTGTTTGGCCCGCTCGCGGGGCAGGGGTCGAGCGCCCGCGGCGGACAAGACTAACGGGGGGCCAGCGGCGAAAGGAGCGCACTCGGCGCGGGAGGATCAGTCGATCCCGGCGACGCGGACGCGGAGCGCTCTCGCGAGCCGTAACCTCAACCCCCGCCCCCTGACCCCGTGGGAACACGCGTGGAGAGTCACTCACCAGTGCGAACGAGGCGGCCGAGGAGCGCCGGAGCAAGCGGGTAGCAGCGCTGGGGCAGGGGGGGGGCGACGAGATAGACTTCGCATCAGCGGAGGGGGACGCTGCGCGCGCCTCGCACACGCACCGCCCGGCTGCACGCCGCTCCGCGAGAATAATGATCGCGCCCCCTCTCCCCACCCCGACCAGCTGTGCTTTTGTCTCCTTTCTCCGCGGTCGCGGAGACGAATCCGCCGTGCCTGGACAGGGACGCTGGCCTTCGATCAGCGTGCGAACGATTCTCGCGGGGCTGTGACGCGGCTTTTGGCTGCGATAGGTGTGACTCGCCTCCCTCCGCGCTCAACTTCGGCTGCTTAGCGCCTGTCCCCGCGGCGGCACGCGCTGCATTCGCGCTAGGGAGCGGCGAGAACTTTGCAGCTCGCCGGTCGTCATGGCAACGCGCGACGTATCGGCGGCCGAGAGCAGAATCGAGTCGCTGGGAAAGGGATTCGCAGAAGCTTTTCTCCCGCGTGTTTTGTTTCGCCGCCAGGGACACTTTTTCCGTTCGTTTGGCGAACCTCGATTCGAGGAGTTCTCCGTCGAGGTCACGGAGGCGCGAGCCCAGCAATTTTTTTCTTATTCTCGTTCGTCGGCGCGATGACCGAACACCGCGTGGGTACGCGCGTCGAAGCTTGAGAACAGGACGCGCGACTGTTTTAGACACCCCGTCCGTCGAATGAAAAACGGGCCCGAAACGTCAAAACAAAGCGGACGCAAGCTTCTTCGGCGATGCTTCGGAAAACATGTTGCGAAACAGTTGGTGCTCGAGTAGCTGCGCGATTCTATCAGAGGAGACAACGAATCTGGCTCCACCGAAGAGGCGAACGGTGGATTTGATCTGTTTCTCGAAAACTCGCTGAAAATCGCTCGAAGCTATTTTTGAAATTTGACGTCGTCGTCGCTTTGACAAATGTTCTCGTTAAAATCCTATGCCCGCCAATGTACATCGCCTACGATTGGAAATGACGCGCGTCGTAAGTGGCACGTAACTGTGAAGGAAAAGAGCGTCACTGATATCTCAAGGGACGTTCTCAAAAGGACCGTTTCGAGGTCAGCGGCAAGCCGAACAGACATCGACTTTACCACCGTTTCAAAGCGGAAGCTCGTTTGACGAACTTGCCGAGAATCCTCCCTTTCTAAAAAGCTCGTTCGTGACTCATCGCTAATGTTTTTCTCTGCTCGAGATCGCTCATTTTTGTTCGTTACTCTTTCCCTTTGTTCCCAGAGAGGAAAGTGGGATGCAAGGCTCGCAATCGGGACTTTTTGTCGCGCTTTTGGCAGAAACGGAAGCTTGCTTCGCCTAACGAACGACTCCGACTCCGTTCGGGCTCAATGCGAGTTCGTCCGTCTTTGGCGCGCGGCTTTTGCTTCCGAGGACGAAGGAGCTTTCGGGGTAGCGGCATAGAAGCGTTCGACCACGGGCACGGAGCTGAAATCGTGTGCGACACTGCAAAACGAGACGGCTGCTATAAGAGCGGAAGAGGAAAAAAAGGAGAGCGAGACGAGCTGTTTGTAAACACGAATTAGCACGCGCGCGCAGTTATATTAATAGCGGTTGGAGAGATGATGCAGCGAGAAACGATTGGCAAGAGCGTTATACGTATATATATTTGTCGAGCGCCCGCGTCGATTACCTAACGCACTGTCTGCTATTTCAAGCGAGCGTCGGGACGGCGCAGTTGCAAACGAGTTTTTCCTCGCTGCGCTGCTTTACGTAAGAGATGCGTCGCGCGCGACCTTTGCTTCGGTGCTCGCGATGGGAAACGAGCTCGCGAGAGAGAGAGAGACTCGCGATTAATTCGCGCATCGAAGCTCGCCTGCCGCGCGTCTGGCAAGGAATTATCGATCAACCTACGCGCTCGTTCGGCGTGACGTGTCGGACGGCACGGCGGCGAAGGGAGAAAACCGCGACCCACGGGAAAAATCCCGAAATGAGGCTACCCACGCGCGGCTAGATCGCATCTCGCAAATAGATCGGCGCTACGCTCGAATTGAAAAAAAAGAGGTTGCGGGGAACTCAAGGCCATCGTGGGCGCGCGCGCGCTCTCGACTTTTCAATCGCGCGCATTCGCCGAAATGCACATTCCCTCCCGCGCGAATTCACCTCGAACGACGCGTCGTCTCCCTCTCGCGGCTTTCGCACACGTTGCCTTTCCTTGCTTTTTCCCGATAAGCAGACGCGCCTTGCACGCTCCGCTTCTCCTGTCGCTTCGTGTTCGTCCGGGTGCGCGTCGAAAGCTCCGCGAAGAAACAAGCTCGCGTATTTCTTTACGCCTCCCCCCCCCCCCCCCTCGCTTGTCGGAAATCCAGCACCCTGACGCTCTATTTTGTATTCGCACTACAGACGATAATCGATCGCTTTCAATTTGCGAGTGCCATTTTTTGCATTTATTTGGAATATATATTTCATACTTGAAAATCTCGGCGAGGATAACGTTTTCCCTCGGAACGAAATAATCGCGGAATATGAGACAATGGATACTCGAGCGAGGATTCAAAAATATCATCCTTCTCCAAGGATGCGGTAGCTCTCCCCTTCTTTTTTTTCTCCTGGCACCGGAGGAAACAAATAATAGTCCCATTTGTATATACGTATCAGTTACAGTTAGAAAGAATAGAGCGAATAATTAAAGTTGAGCCTCATTGTCGGCGCAGCGAGCCGGGAACAATAAAAGCGAGCAGAGAAAAAAATAATTTTTTTTTCCTTTTTTCGCACAGAGGAAATATGTCGTAATAAAAAAAGGCACGATAACCGTGAGTGCTTCAAAATTCATGCCTCGTTTGCTTCGTTCGAACCTCGCACATGTGCGCGGCCATTCAAAATTTTCGGCTCTTTAACTGCTGAACGGATTTTAATCAACAGGACGTGATAAGCCTGGTTGGTCGTCCATCTTTTTTCCTTTATCGAGCTTGCTCATCGCTTCATCAAGCTAAAGCGATGTGATTAAGTTTGCGTAGGGAACTTTCCCTCTCTCCTTTTTTTTTTCATTTTCTCGTAACGCGCACAGTATGTCGATTTGGAATTTGAACATTGTATCATTTTAATCGAAAAAATGTCGGGAGAATGCATTGAACTAAAGCCACTGGAACAGCTACTTTCAATGCAAATCAAAAAACGATCCGTTACGATCGAAATGATTCTCGAATGCAACGTATGTAATCCACAATCGAATGCTTCGCGTTCGTCCGACCGACCGAAAGCTCTAACATCTGTATGTACCCATCATTTGAAAGTCAATCGATGGCAATCGGAGTGTCGCGCGCGGAAGGTGGCAAAAAGAGATTCTCGCGAATTGCAATCTTCGACGCCTCAGCCCGGTAATAGATATTGGAAAAGGCCATTCGCGCGCAGCGAGTGATAATCGCGAGAGGGAAATTCGGGGGGAGGTTACTCGCTCGTTTCCTGACCAACTCGCTTGCCGTCCGATTCAGCAGAAATCTGACCGACATTTCGCTGCCGCTTCGACGCGATCGATTTCCCATATATCCCCCCCTCCTCTGCTTTCGTCTAGGTCGACTGATGCACATCCAGGAAAAAGAGAGAGAGAGAGAGAGAGAGAGTGTGTGTGTGTGTGAGAGGCGAGAGTTCGATGGCGAAAAAGTGAAATATCAAACTCGATTTGGCGACAGGAGCCGCGTAATGAGGCAGCCAGCAGCGTTGACGACAACTCCGCGAGGAAAATGGGTCAGCCGATGACTTTTCGCCCCGGGGCTGGGAATCCCTGGGAATTCCCGTGGGCTGACCCTCTTTCATTCAGTTTTCTTTTTCATTTGAGTTTGCTCCTCGCGATCCGCTGTTCTACACGTTTTCCGCTGAAATTCGAAAAAACAATTGGCCGAACGGAAAATTGCAAGGTACGTTATATTAGCGATGATCCGACACGAGCGCAAATGATCGCTTAATTGTCCATTTACAACAGCGCGGTCGATTGCATTATGCATAGTCTTGCGCAAGATCCGAGATATAACTTGCGAATGATGTTTTTGTCGTCGGCAAATATTTGTACTTTTAATACCGAAGAAGGAAGCGGCAGCGCTGACCGGCTGGTTTATCTGCAAAACCCTTCCCTTTGGATTGATGGTCCTCCAGCGGCGTGGATTCTTGGATAACGTTTGACAATTTGGTCGATCTCAAGCGCTATTTTCGCTACGGGAAATCGTGAAGAAACGAAGGTTGCGCGAAGGTCTCTAGATCATCAATTATTAGTCTATTTGAGTTTGTAAACGAGCTCCCGCAGTTTCTGCGGTTTTCGCTTACACGCGTGCACGCGTGCACTCGTGTTTCCGCATTGGCAGCAGGCGCAAACGCATACATGTACAGACCAATAAAAAAACTTTATTAAAAGATCACATGGACGACGCCAGGCGCGGCCGCACTCCAGGCGCAACGACGATCGTCACGGCGGATTAGCATGTCGTTAGAATTACAAAATGCCCGATTAAGATTCATCGGCCTCTCGCATTGTCAGCTTGAAGTAGTCGGGCGGCAGTTTGAGTCCCAGAGCCGCTGGACCGACTGCACTTAGCCAGCTGACCAACTTGTTGGCACTGAAACAGACATGTGTATGCGCGTGAAGGAAGGAAAACCAGATTGGAATTTCTCCGGCGGCCGAGCCGAAAACTGTGTCGAGGTCGAGAGATATGTTCATTGTATTACGCGTATTTTTTTTCGGATATATCGTCGTGCATATTCATTTTGCCTTGAGCGCTTCCGACCGCAAAGAATGCAGAGCCCCCCGTTTGACGAACGCTGACGGGCGCAGCTCGTCGTGCGCAGCGCGAGTTTTGCGTTTCGTTCGCAAAACCAGGCGCTGACTGTCGCCGGAGCGCGCTGGCGCCTATTTTACGCACCTTCGAGAAGCCATTTGCAGAAGCTCACGCGAGCCACAGGGATGCAGATGGAGGAACGGTCGGCCGAGGATCGGATGAATGGCCTGGGACAGCTCGCTGTGGGCCAACTTGTCGCCCGACGTCAGGCGTTGGGCCGCCTCCACGCTCACTGCATTGATGCCAGGAGAGTCTGCGAGAATGTCGGGCAAACCAATAAGAACATTGAGTCGGACTTTCAAGTGAAGATATCGGAGCGCGGAAGCCTCGTTTCCGTTGCCAAATTGTTCGCTCGGCTGCCACGGAGCCCGATTTTGCCATGACAACAGAGCAAACTTTTCTTCGCCGCGCGTATCAATTCGATTTCTCGCGTTTTCCTCTTTCGCTTCTCTCAGCGCGGACGCATCTCTAGACGCATAATAGACCTTCAAGTGCACGACCTCGATTTGAAGAACCATTTTCTTAAAGTATAATTTTCTCAGTTCAATTTCTATTTATACAGATTGGTCTTGCATTGAGATTAGCCCTAACATTCCGCTAGCGAACGGAACGGCTATTATCGCTAATTCTCTAATGTCTCGAGAATCGCCGATAATTCCAATTTTCTTCAAATCGCACTTCCGACAATGTCCGCTTTATTCGGCAACGTCAAAATCTGCGTGATCAAGTGAACACATCTGTACGAAAGTTTGAACGCGTGAAAACAAAAAAAAACAAAGAAAAAAAATCGGACGCCCTCTCTCTCTCTCTCTCTCTCTCTCTCTCTCTCTCTCTCTCTCTCTCTCTCTCTCTCTCTCTCTCTCTCTCTCTCTCTCTCTCTCTCTCTCTCTCTCTCTCTCCCTCTCGCTATCTCTTTGCGATATTACGCGAACAGCGGCTTAAAGGGATGCACGTCGAAACAATCGCCATCTACTCTTCCAGATTAAGGTCTAGTGGTGATCAGGCCGTCGATTTCAGCATTATGACTTCTTTTTTTCCTGCGTGGCGATGGAATGATTTTCTCTCTCGCTCTCTCTTTTAAAAGATTTTCGAAATCGAAAACTTCAACGCGGAGTTTCTTGTCGGTCGTGAAAGCACCGCACTTTATTCGATTACTTTCGTAATTAGCGCGACATCAAAAGTTAACGAATCCCATTGAATTCCCGTTGAATTATCGCTGTCGTTTAAAACCGTTAACATAAAATTACAGCTGTCGGCGATACCGACTGCTACTCTATCAATATTCATCGCAGCAGATCGTACGAATAGGGGCAGTGCTGCTCTCTGACGATTCAAATCGACGAGGCGCAGGGTACTGCAGAAATCTAGAATGCCGCGAAATCTTCGCGGTCGTTGTCCAAGCTAATCAAAAACTTTTCGAACGTGCCCTCCTCTGCCCCCCGAATAGAAAGGGGGAAAATCCTCGCTTTCGCGGAACGTTATAAAACGCTCTGAGCACTTGGAAAACAACGGCCGCAGTCTCGTAACTTACCGGCGCACCATCCGTTAAAGTAAAGTACCGGAACGCTATAGCTCATGGACCACAAAACATGATGCTCGATGATCAACGGCCTCTCGTTGGCGCTGGACATCTCGTAAGGATCTGTACACGTCTCCAAGCTCTTGTTCCATTCATCTTCCTCCTGCTCTTTATCTCTGTCTATCAGGCAGTCGCTCGGAATGTACGTCTTCACTCGGCGCTCCAAGTACGCCTGGCCTGCTGATCCCTGCCCTCGCGACAAAAGCATGACATTTATTTTTTTTAAACAACGCCGAGTGCCGACTTTCCGTCGTCGACCGCTCGGAGTGCGCGCGCGTCGCGCTGAAAATATCAAAAGTCCTATATTTAGAAAATCCGGCGCACACACGTGACGAGCCGTGGAGTTGTTGCCGCTGGCGTGCTTAAGCACGAGACAGCGAGCGCGCGACGAGCAATTGGTCGATCGATGGCGCACCCGCTAGACGCACGGACGTTGTCGCGGTATACCTTGTCTCCTGAAAATCGCCAGTGATCCGAAATTTCGTCCGACAGCCTGACCAGCTCCTCGGCGTAGGCCACGAACGCCTCCCACGTGATCGTACCTGGCCCGTCCATCTGCGCACCGCGCATATATATCTCGGCGTATTTCGATGCCTTGTCGCTCCGCCTCGTGGCCCATTGTTGTACTGCGAATCACAAGAATCGATTGACCGCTTCTTCAGGCATTGTTTTTCGGTGATTCCAGAGCAACAGCGCGTTTTTCTATTTTTTTCGTCTCGGTGCTCGAATTTTAAACGTCCATGCGAATGCGTACTACAGCCCGCGAGCAAAGAGCGCATCTATTCTCTCAATCCAGGCGCGCTGCGTGTGCGACTCGAGTACGAGCCCAAGGCTAAACGTACTCCCCCCCCCCCCCCCCCCCCCCCCAAACTAGTTCCCTGGATCGAAAATGAGAAAAAAAGACATTTCCATGAAGAAAAATTAGTTTTCTTTGTGCATTGACGACGAAGAGGGACGAGAAAAGGAAGGTGAGTTTTCAGTTTTCTCCGTAGCTACGCGAAATAGACGTTTTAATTGGCAACACGTTCGCATATTCCATCTCCCTACCCTGCGATTTTTCGGGAAACTTTCCCTTCGTTCATAGTGTAATGTGTTGGAACGAGAGAGGAGAGAGAGAGAGGAGAGAGAGAGAGAGAGAGAGAGAGAGAGAGAGAGAGAGAGAGAGAGAGAGAGAGAGAGAGAGAGAGAGAGAGAGAGATGAAATTGAAAAAAGGGGAAGCAATACAAACTCCGCTACTGGCAATGTGTTCTCTCTCTCTCTCTCTCTCGCCCCACCATGTTGCCAGTGCGCGCGCGCCGACTTTTATCGATAGCAGCGGCAGCAGCCAGCCGACTTCCCCTCTTTCGCTTTCGGTCAGGTTGGGTATATCACCAAAAGGCAGAGGCGCCGGTAGAACAGGGACGGCGCGAGCCGCCGCTGCGGCTGCATATGTAATGCGAACTCTATTTTTTTTTTGCAGATGCGTTATGAGTTTATCGCTCGGGAAAACGTAGTACGATACCGATGAAATGCTCGCGAGTTTTTTTTGGAAAAGAACGAGTGACTTTTTAAGGATCGAATGTGCGAATTTTTTTTCGCATCGACGATACAGTGAGGTAACGTCGACATGAACCTTTTCCGTTTCGATGGCTAACGTCAGAGATGTTTCATAACAACCGTAATCCTACGTCGAAAATACTTAGCTAATTACATGCTGAACAATAGCATTTTTGCGTTAATTTGCGAATACTGTAAAATTTTTTATTAAATGTTAAATTTCGAAAATTAATGCAAAGCGCTTGTTGTAAAATACAAAGAAAAACTATTCAGCAGCCGCACACTCTGCAAGAGTCTATAAGTGGCAGCTAAAGTGAGAGAGAGCGCAACTTTGGTCTACCTCTCACTCAACCAGTGCACCACTGCATCTGGACTTAACTATACGCTGCGCAAGCAGCAGCAGCAGCAGCAGCTACGAGACGCAGGTATAATACCTATAAAATTGGTCCCTGTGCAAGGCGACGCCAATGGCAGATGCGCGGCGGCCGGCGGCGGCGGCGACGGCGGAGAGAGTAGGCGGAATGCACACTTAGGCTTTTGCCTATGTATTCGTGTGTACGACGCTCAGACTCGCTGTCGCCCTGGACATTACGCAGAGGAACCACTTGTCGCGCGACCTTTGTCAATGCTGACGATGACGATGATGCGCTTTGAGCGTTGCGCAAAATTTTACAAGCGTGTCGGTATCACGCGAGAGAACAAAAATAAAATTTTGCACTTCTTTTTCCAAGAAAATTATTACGTGCACGTATTACCTTGACGAATCCGAATTTTACGTCCCTGACGACGGCGAGATCACCACCACACATACGCGCGAACGAATTATTGATGCGCGCGCAACTCGTATATGTATATATAACGCACATAGACATACTGAAAGAGAAAGAAACTATTGGCAGAATATCGCCTAACCTAATCTCTCGCTTGTGCTTAACCTCCCACGTATGATATGCCGTTTAGTCGCTATAGCTATGAGTATACATAGATATGCACACCTCTTTCTCTCTATCGTGCTCATTTTTAATGTTAAATTTAGAACGAAAAAAGTAATAATCGAGTTGAATATCGGATCAGACATGTGTCGAATGTAAAATGAAGATTTGATGAAGTAAATGAAGAAAGACTAAGTTTACATATTAGCAAGGTCAAAGCATCCGAAATGAAAAAGAAAAAATAATAATAATAATAATAATGAGCTAGCAAGAAAGAGCGAGAAGCGGAGAACGAGAGAGGCAAGAGGGGGGAAACGCTTGTGCGCAAGGGCGGCGACACTAGCCATTGCTCTCTCTCTCTCTCTCTCTCTCTCTCTGTTGCTCTGTGGCTCATGCATTGGCGGCGACGTAGTAGAAGCGACGCTCACCGACTCTCCAGTAGTGTGTGCGATGCAGGCTCCGAAGCTGTTTCTCTCGTTGTCGCTGCGTCGGCGGACACTTCTAGGTTAACCAAACGTTCTTCCCACCAGGGAAAATTAAAGTTTGGTGGTTTGTTTTTTCGGTTTAGTGTGGCTGAAGGGGTGTGTTTTGAAAAACTGTTTAACGATAAAACGATAGACAATGTACTCCAAGGGGAAGGGTTCAGCCGTACCTTCGGACAACCAGGCCAGAGAGAAGTACGTATTTCACAAATAACGATGAATTTTCGCATACCTAGCTATGTTATTATTGTTTGTGCGCGTCTGTGTGTATGTGCCTAACAATTTGTTAGAGGAATTCCACGTCACGACTTGTTTTTACGTTCAGCAGCGTTAATCAAATGCATAATAATCGTCGCGCGTAATATTTTTGCCGGAGTGTTCTAAAGCTTTTTTTCAAAATCGATAGACTCCACTGAGCACAGATAAACACGCGTGCAACCTAACCTCCTCTGCGATAGGTTTATGTGTGCCGGGGATACCGACAGCTAAGTGTGTGTGTGTGTGTATGTGTGTGAGATCGCTTACAGAGCTCCCGTTATTTACTCGGCCTCGCACAACAAAGTGTGCCATGCGCTAGCGAGAGAAAGAGAACTTCGTCGGACCTGCGCGCGTGAAAGCCGCTTTTACTGTGCAACGACAAGATGACGCGAAAGTATATATATTGCTTATATACCTGGCTCAGCTGATGCACAGTGTTGGATGCGACTATGTTACCGACTGAGTTTGTCTCTTTGCTTCGAAACCCAACCCTCTAAAGTAATTCGTGATTACCAACAATTGTTTAGTTAATTATTACTATTCAATTCGTTTTTGTTTGAAAACGAGATCCGATTTTTACCTGGTACTCATTCACTGAAAACATTACCGATAGAGTAGAAATAAAAGTACACCAATTTAATTGACGATTCGTGCTCTCCAACAAGTTAATCTCTCTTTACGAATTCCGTGAGTAGCCCCAGTTCAAAACCAATGCTTGTTTGAAAAAAGAGATAAGGAGGAAGACGCGATCAGTCGATTTGAGCACCCCTGACGAGATCCGGGAGAGACCCTGTCTGCCTGCCTAGCTGTCGGCGCGTTCTCTCGCTTGCGCGTCTTATTTCCTCTCTTGGTGCTAGGGCTATTGCCTCCGCCTTTCTCCGTGCCGCTTGCTTGCTTGCCGCCTGACGATGACGATTACGAGGGGGAGAGAGGAGGAGTTCAAGCGAAAAAAGAAAGAGAGTGAACAGACGACGGCCCTGTCCCCCTTCGCCGAATGCAGCGCCACCTTTCCGCGCCACCTTGAGTTTTCGCGTACTCTCTCGGCGACTTATTTTTTGGTCAATCTATGGGTTCTAATAATTTTTGACCCCTATTTTATTTGTTAAATGGATAGATAAGCCAGACGCGATTATTTTGGATGATTTACTAACCTAATGATTGATACTACGGAATTCTCATTTTTCCGCTGCTTTAGCTTAATATAAAATTTGTAAAAAGACTAATGTAGGTTCTAACGATTATTTTATTTTTTACAGATTAGCTTTATATGTTTATGAATACCTGTTACACATTGGTGCGCAGAAAGCTGCTCAAACGTTCTTGTCAGAGGTAAATTGACAATCTTTTACGAATCTCCGTCTGATATTCAGCGTATTAATGTACACTGTTTTCCAAATTATAGATTCGATGGGAAAAAAACATATCGCTAGGCGAACCTCCAGGATTTCTTCACTCTTGGTGGTGGTGAGTATCTGAAAAATCAATATTATTAATTCGCAACGTCATACGTTCTATAAAAGATGATAATTTTGCCGTCTGTTGTTTTCAGTGTATTTTGGGACCTGTACTGCGCGGCACCCGAGCGTCGAGACTCATGCGAACACAGTAGCGAAGCCAAAGCTTTTCACGATTATGTGAGTATATAATTTATTAGGTCGATAATAATTTTCCTTTTTGTGATTGACTGAGAGCGTAACTTAAGAAAGAGACTACGATAAAAAAAAGAAAGCATTTGATCAATTGTATTTATACGTTTTTTTTCTCTAATTTTAGGGATTTGTAAACAGTGGTTATGGAGTTAATGGAATTGCGCACGTAAGCATAACATGACTATTTCTATATCTTTGTTGAAAAAATGTAGATCGTTTCATACAGAGTTCTATTTTATTTTTTTCTTGTATTTGATGAAAGAAATGTACCAAATGCTACTAGTTAGTTCATAAATTTGTCAAAATCTGTTACTCTATTTTCATAGCGAAACCATTAAAAAAATATGTATATGAACATGCAAATTTGAATAATATAATCTAAGTATGATAGCACATGTAAAATGAGAAAGAAGATTTAACGAATGAAAAATTAGGTATTTGAAAAATTTTATTATAAGCTGTTGAAAGACTAAGATTGATGCACATTTGCAGAATGCCGGACCCGCGCCTTCGCCGCTTGGACAAATGCCACCGAATGACGGCATGCCCGGCGGCCCAATGCCTCCTAACTTTTTCGTAAGTCGCTATTGGATACTTTTTTATTTTTTCCCAAATTCCTTAACCATCATCGCCTTTCGCGACTAGATACTTTCTAGTTTTTCATGACAAGCGACTATATACATTTTACTAATGGTCGTTATAACTTTATGCAAGAAGACGTTGTACAGTTTCTAACTATAAAGAGTTAAGTCCCTTGTTACGCAAATGTCTTGAATTTTATGAAATTGATAATTAGTTAACTCAGCGGGAATATGCACTCTCAAAATTTTCTTTATGTATGATACGGTAGAATTTATTCCACGATAAACATTAAAATACTTAGTCGCTAAAAATCGATAATAAATTTGCGTGTTATATTTCACTCCTGAAATGATAAAAAAGTACATATTCTTATTCCGATTCATTGTGTCTCTTCAAAAATCTATTAGATTTTTGAAAAAGTGAAGAACTTTGCGGATTGAATTACTTTTGTCAATCAATTATATATAAACGCCGAATATATCGTCTCAACGTCTTTATTTCTTATTTTGTGTTATTGTTTATCGCGCGTCCATTCCCTCGAAGTCCGATGTGTACTTTGTCTTACATAATTAATGTATATATTTATATATTTTCAATTATTTGTGCCTCTTTCAAGTTCATAATCATAATGCATAAAAGAAGAATTGTAAGAATATTCATTGACACTGAAAAATCAAAGCGCGTCCAGGAAAAGTGTAACAATTTGTTTCATATTGTATCCACAAAATCGAATCAATAAAATCGATGCACACTTTTCCATGTCACGCTTTGAAGATAACATCGAGAGTTCGCTTTTGCTTACGCGGTGAACGAAATCATTTGCAATATATGCATTATACGTTTTACTGTCCTCATTGAAAATTAGTAACAATAATATATTGAATGTTTTATTTTTCTCCAAGGAATGTTTGTTTAGTGGACATTTCACATATATATATATATATATATATATATATATATATATATATATATATATATATATATATATATATATATAATATAATTTCCTATAGAGAGATGTTTTAACATTTAAATAATTAATTCTGTTATTATTTGATAAAGATTAGAGAAAAAATTTTACTTCAAAAACAGAAAAAACTAAATATATCTCCACTGCTTGTCTAATCTATATTTATGTACACTCATGAATATCTTCTTCTGTCTATACCTAACACGTGTATGTGCATTCGTGTATGATGTTATATTTATATGTCATGGGCTACGTAGCGAGTCTTCTCTCTTTTCTTTCTTTTTATCGAAATCACTCAGACGGATGGATGTTAGATATAGTTTTTAGAAACAACGCAGCAACGGGAAAAACATATGAAAAATATATGAATCGAAGCTTGCTTAGTTAATTGTAGTATGTCTAGTTAATACACTGCGTGAGACATAGTCAAAATGAACATGTAGGTAATGCATAAATTAGAATAGGTGCACATAGTTGACCACCTTAATTGTTTAAAGACTCAAGGAACCAGTGGAAGTAATTTTTCGGTTTGACTTGTCCGAAATGAATTTCTTTTTCAAATTAATAAGATGATCATGTGCATGGCAACAAATACAATTTTCAAAATTTAAAAAGCAGATTTTTACGAGAGAATTATTTGCGAATTTTCGGTAAATTAATGTTACTATTAAGCGGTTTAACCTTTTCAAACTCAAGTCTGCTATCATCGTTTCAGAGTTTCGGCTTTCTGAAAGTTCAACGATACGTATGAAAAGGTTGATCCGACTACCAACTAAATCTCACACATTCATCATCAATCTTCCCCCTCTCGAATGAATTGTCGCGGATCGCGTCGCGAGATTTTTTTTACGCGTGTACGTGTCTGTTGCTAAATGTCCGGCATATTTTGCGTTGCTTGTTGCAGAACAACTCGACAATGCGACCATCTCCGCCCACACACCCCTCATCACAGCCATCTCCCCAGCACCCCCAGCCACCCCCGCCCCCACACTCGCAGATGATGTCCGCTCAGGTAAGCTGCCTCTTTCATTCAGTGAACGAAAAAAGCTTTCATTCGTCGTCTCTCTCTCTTTCTCTCTATCCCTCTCTCTCTCTCTCTCTGTCCCTCTCTCTATCTTTCTATGTAGTGTTGTGTGCACCCTATTCTTGTTTTTCCTTCCGCCTAATTGTTTTGTTTTACAACGTTATTGAATGCTCATCTTTGTGAAAATTTTGACATTCAGTACTTGTTGAGCGAAAATCGCAAGCATTCATTGCAAACGAAGTCACCGCCGTGGATATATCTTGCTTCTCCATCTCTATTCTCTTCCCCCTCAACCATCATTTAATTTTATGTTTTTCTGTAACACTGGTTCTTTGGTTTGTGTGCTGTTAAATTTGTTCTGTCTTGATTTTGGGATAAAATCCTTGTATATGAGTTGTACCCTTCCCTCATCCTGTAAAAAAATGAAATAAAGGAATTATTTATCATCGTGTGTAACAAACTTCGTTAAAATTTTGAATGAGCAAGCGAACCATTAATAAAACACTTTTTATAATGCGACTTTTATTTCTATTTGAAAATGAACAGACACCAACGTGAATTTATATTAATGCTTGTTTCGCCTTTCATACTTATATTTGGTGGTTGATTCGATAGTTAATTTTGGCTTTTGTTGCAGCTTTCTTTACAGGGTCTATCATGAGTTAATATTCACGTTTGATATGTCATTGTTACAGTTCCCAATGCAAGGTCCTAGATATCAAGGACCAGGACCACGACCAGGAAACATTCGTATGCCGATGGGCAATGAATTCAATGGGGTAAGTCGATAAATCTATATCGTAGGATACGTTGATTATATGAGAATACTCATGAGCTATTTTATTTTTTTAGCCACCGGGACAACCAATGATGCCTAACAGTATGGATCCAACTAGACAAGGTGAGTCCGCATCGTCACGGTAGTTTGTTGATCAAAGAGTTTTACTTTTTGGCATTGAGAAGCGTTGCAGAACAAAAAGGAGAATGGCATTTATTATTATATATAGACGCATGCGTATCAAAAACCACACAGCAATATATTTTTATATTATTAATCGAGAGAAAGTAATATATTATTCTTTTTTTGACATTTTTTTTTGGATTGGATTGCTGTGATGTGGAGTGGACTGGTTTTTGAACTGTCTAGTGGCAATTTTTTTGTAACAGTGGTTCCATCGAACGTATTTTGACTTTATTTTTTTTGTTACCTTTTTTATATCTTCGAATCGCTTTCGCAGTAAAAGTAAAAATTGAAGTGTTTTTGTTTTCCTTTAGTATTTTGAAGAAATTCTTTCTGAATTCACGCTTCACGAGATTAATTTATTCATTACTCCGAACTTTTTAACAAACTGTCATTCACAAATTTCTGGAAAGATTCTGTTTTTTCCAAAAAAAAGATAAAGAGAAAAGAAAATATCTATGCCACATGCATAAATAACTAGGCTTTTTGTTATTCGCCATTTGATTGATCTGACCTTACCTACCTGCCGTACTAATGTGTGCTCTTGTGTTCCTCAGGCGAAGCTGCAGATTTTGTAGGGTGGCAAGGTAGGAAGCAACCCAGCAAATTGAATTCACACTGACATGACTTTTAGAGAACAGTCTTTCCTTTAATCTTTTTTTTCATATTCATCTACACTCAATTTCATACTAATTGCTTTTGCTTCTTTTTTTATGTTCTCGTTTATTGTCACCTTATGTTTTTGCACTGGCTTCGCCCAGTTTACTTGCAGAGCATGAAAAAGTTGGACTTTTAAAAATCCTATAAATAATTCCAATTTCTGAAAAAAAAAAAAATTTTCGTTGATATTTCGGTTATTCTTCATACATCACACAGCCATACTTAAATTATGCGTTAGCATGAGCCAGCCATTTGATTGTTTCTCAACAATACAAAAAGAAACATTTTTTTTACAATAAAAAACGCTTTCCACTTCAATATTACTTTCTACACATGTAAGTTAATCGAAAGTAGTGGTAGTGCTTTATGATTTTATTAATATTTATGTTTGCCCATAGTTCCATCAGTTAGATTGCTTTTTTCCACGCGTACACTCGTAATTTCATGTATCTTTGCTTGATGCCGCACCTGCCTTGCACCGTTAGGATCATTGCTGCACCAGCATGATTATTTGCTTTGCTTTATGTATTATTTAAGACAGAGCTAAGCTTCCAAATTGAAACTTCTAACGATAACATTCAAATTATGTCAGTGTTGATGATCATGATCAGTATAAAAGTGAACCAATTACCTAAAAATATAAATACATAAATCTGTGATGAGATATGAATTAGGATAGAAAGGCATGGTTATTTCTTTTTATATTGTACGATGAAACGAAAAAAATCTTAAAAGAAATAAGCATGTAAAAATAGAAAAATGTAGCTTTAACTCTGCTCACCAGCAAAAAAAAATGTCACTGCACCAAGCCCGATATAAGTGATTAACAGCCAAATAACGTACACAAAGTCCAAAAATAAAATGAAAATAATCGTTCAGAAAAGATTTAAAATTACGCACCCTCTCAAACGTTATCAGCGAAACATCCGTCAAAACGAAATCAACATAAATTTTCTGATTGATTTAGGTTCGCCTGGCATGAATATGAATCCACGAATGAATCATCCAAGGGCTGGTCCAGGTGGTATGCCACCAATGGGTCCTGGTACATATGGACCTGGATTGCGAGGTCCACCGCCTAATAGTAATCTTGCACCTGGAGGCCCTGGTGGCCCTGGTGGTGCTGGAATGCCGCCTATGAGTATGGCTGGACCAGGTGGTCGACCACAATGGCAACCTAACACTTCGACAGTAAGTATAGTAAAATATCTTTTAAAAATGAAACAGACGATGAAATATGAATTAATTTGGATTTTTTTTTCATTTAGCCAATGAATTATTCGTCATCTTCGCCTGGTAATTATGGTGGACCACCAGGTTCGACGGGGCCCCCCGGTCCAGGAACACCAATAATGCCAAGTCCGCAAGATAGTAGTAACAGCGGAGGCGAGAACATGTACACGATGATGAAACCCGTTACCGGTGGCAACATGCCTGGCGTAAATATTTACTCGAATTTGATTTCTTAATATCTTATAAAAAATAGGAATAAAATAATGATTTGTATTTCAAGGATTTTCCGATGGGAGGTGGCCCAGAAGGTGGACCTATGGGACCGATGGGTCCAAATACGATGGGTCCTGTGCTAAATGGTGACGGTCTTGATGGCATGAAGAATTCGCCTGCAAATGGTGGCCCAGGAACGCCACGAGAAGATAGCGGTAGTGGCATGGGTGACTATAACCTTAGTGGATTTGGTGGCCCCGGCGAGAATGTGAGTCAACCGATTAATCGCTTTTCTTAGTGCCTTCTCTATCTCACTTTCGTAGTTTTTTTATACTTTCTCTTTTAATTTTGCATTGTACATATTAAAAACCATTCGCTCGCGGTTGGAAATTGGGATTCATTGCTGACGCTGATATTTGGACAAGTTTTTTTTTATTTTTGATTCTTTTTTTGCAGCTTTTAATAATAAATTTCTTTGTGTTAAGTCAAAGAAAATTTTTTTATGATGCTTTCATGGCGGGACATTTGATTGATGTATGACTTGTTTTCTTTGGTTTGCCTCTTCTTATACTGTCGATCTTATACTTTGAATAAATGAAACTTTGTTTTATTGCTTTCTTGCACTCTGGTATTTGAATAACATTTCACATATTGGCTTACGCCAAACTTTGCAAATACGTGATTGCGTCCATGGTTTTAAAATTGTAAAGAAATTTTTCAATCACGATGAAAACTGATTCACGCATAAAATGAATTATACTTTTATTTTTAAGACTATGAAAGTCTATTTATTTTGAATCAAATACATAATTGCAATAAGTTATGTTCTAGTATCTAATACGCAAAATAAAACTGCAATTTTCAACGTGTAAAATATCGAATGTTGCATTTATAGTATGGACTATGTCACTCATTTATTTCATAATTCTGGGTAAACACAGTCTTATTAATGGTTTATGGGATATTTAACAATGTGTAAGGCATTGTTTACCTTTTGTTTTAATTTGCATTCCATGCGTATAAGTTTTATGAGGATTAATAAATGTATGGAAATCAGAAAAATTTAATCGTTTAAATGCATGTTCTGTATTTTCGACAGTTTTTTTAAATCGCAACCAGGACGCAACTAGTGGAGGAAACAAAACAATGCAGGATCACTGAAAGAAAAATATGATAAAAAAGGACATACCGATAAAATGTTCGCATAAAATAAAAAAATGTCCGAATCGTGTTTACTATCAATAATGCACAGAGTTTGAGAGAAACGAGCAAACAGATGAATAAGAAATATTCTTCTTTTTTTTAATTATTGTTATCGCGTTTTTATAAAGGAACAACTGAGAAAAAAACGAAATACGTATAATTGCATTTGTTGTCACTTGCACCTACCTGCTTTTGAGGATAGGTTAGTTTTTAATTAAGCAGGACTTTTTATATTGATATAAAATTTACTTAATATTAATTCGATTTCTACTGTTGTAGGCTATTTTGTATCATGCTTTACTAATACTCACGAGGTTGTATAAATAGGATTTACAGTCCTATTTTATTATCGTGATTTTTAGATTTTTACATTGGCCCTTTTTGGTTTGTTATTTTTTATTATATCATTAACCATTCTAAAGCAATAACCAGCACTTTTGACGATAAAATTACAAAATCAAAAAGGGTTATATCTATACATTTACACGTAACTTTAAAATTGGTATAGAAAGTCTAGATCCTATTTATATTTATTTAAGAAATTTTAGAAAGTAAGTTAATCAGCTGTTGCTCGTGACTGGTTAGACTGTCGTGATTAAGATAAGTAACTTAACATTTTTCTAAACAAATTCGTCATGTAAAGATGAACAAATTTTTTGCTTGAAAGTAATAACAGTTGACAATTCTTGCCAAATAATTATAGTCTTTTCACCATTAATAGGCATCCATACTTGCATTTGTTTGCTCATTATAGGTTCGCGATCGCGAATTAAAGTCGAATGGCAAACCGCTCAGTCAGCAATTTAAAATTAAAATTTTGTTTGGTCATCGAGAAATTAAAATTGAGACATAGAAAGATTAGTCGAATTTAAATATTTCAATTGGATATTCAGTGATCAATTAATGCATATAATGCGTATACTATTACGAAAATTGTACAAATACAGATGACGAATCGTACTTAATTCTCAAACACTTTCATATAGCACGAAAGTATTAAAATTGTAGATAGTTAGATTGTGTGAGCATATATAATTTATATTGTTTAGATAGTTACAACGCTGGAATGCGATTTGCCGGTCGATCCAATCTTTTTTTGAAATTTGTGCGAATTAATGAAAAAGCGAAATTGTACATAGGAATATTGCTATTTTTTTACAAGAACGTAAAGATATAGACGATATGAGTACTGAACCTGATTGAAATGAATTGAGCGTAAGTAATCGAATAACTGGAAAAAAGAAATCGACAAAAAAAAACTCTGTGACAAGTATCTTGATTAAAAAAAACAAATGAAAAATAAAATACGATAAGCGAAGAAGTCCATCCGTCCGCAGGTGGTTATAGGTCAGTACTGGACTACGAATATGCTGCTATTAGTTTTTTTTTTCAATGATATCTTCACGGATAGATATAATGTTGATAAGAACGACTAATCATCAATTGTACATGGCGAGAAAGAAAACAAAAGCACGTGTATATCCGATTAATTAATCGTTCCAGTGGCACGTTCGTCACGCTCTTTTTCCTCTCGTTATAATCTCTAATATTAATGGTGCTCTTACTTGTACAAATGCTTAAGGTTCAAGGATTTTTGTTGTTGTTGAGTGTGTCGATTTTACAAGAGTGAGTGTTTCTTTTCTTATATTCTTATCTTTGCATACTTTGCACAGAAAAAGGTGTGCACAGCTTGCCGCTGGTGCGCGTTCAAAAAGTATACAAGTGGATTAAGCGATAAAGAAAAATCGTGTGTAATCGATTCAGGTTCCAAGGTTCGTGTTTTATAAAGAAGAACCTTTTCGTTGCTTGAAAAAAAGAAACCTTGCCGCTCGATCTCTTGCCACGCTTTGAATTGAAAAACGACGTGCTTTTTGCCATTTTTTAGAGTGAATTTCAACTCAGTATTTACATTGCACAATACGCGCCTTGGTACCTAGGTTCTCTTATCTCTTTTTTTTTACTTAATTTTACGTGATTTTATTTTACTCCCACGTTGTAAAAATATATTATACGCCTGGTAAAGTTGATATAAGCCTATGCCAAGGGAGAAAAAGAATCGAGACAATAAATGTAATCTTGTTACACTGAGTAAAATTGCATTTTTTCTTTTATTTATCAAAATATGAACTTGACCTTCAGGGTGCTGGCTGCCCGACTATTCATATACGACTATCTGCCAGTCTTGCATTGCATTTTATTTTTATATATTTTTTTTTATTTTGTCTTTTTTTCTCGCGTGCACAGACAGTTTACTCTGTCTAGAATTTCACAATGCATATTTTATTTTTCAATCATGAAATGTGCACTTGCTTAAAGTGCTGGGGGGTCACGGCAAAGCGACCCGGAGGCAAGTATGTCGAAAAGTACACAATCACATAATGTCTGTGCAATCGTTCAAAAGCTTATTAAAAAAAGGTTCTGATAGCGTATGTAGTACTGGCCTGTACTGACCTGTAGCACATGGATGCGATAAAGAACAATGTCGTGAAAGATATCTAAAGAAAAAAGTACAAAAATTATTGCGGACTGTTTGCGAATTTAAAAAACTAGTCAATTATCCACAAAATAATTTTTTTTGCATCTTTTTTTCAATTCTATAATTAATACGATTTTTTTCCTTGTACATGTTAACTTTTAACAGAAAAAATATATAGATATACATGAAAAAAGAAATCGCGAGGTGAGTGTTTGTGCGCACGGGGGGCAGACGAAAGCGAGAACGAGGAGTACAATTTTCTCTGTTTTATTTTTATCTTTGCTAACTTCAAGTTATTATTATAGTTGTTATTATTATTTTTTTGAGAGGTTCATTTTAAACGTCCATGTGTTGTGGGTCAGAGCACTCTGATTCAAAGGAAGTTTTTTATCCACGCAACCCTCATTCCTCTGAAAATTATTTCTTTATTTATTTTTTAATAAAGTCAGCAGTCAATTCAGCATCTCCTTTCGAGCCCCGCCAAAGCACAGCCGCCCATAAAAGCATCGCGCCAATTCATTCTTAAATGTGTATTATCGAAAGAAAAACAACGGTGTTGGAATGGGGACATAAGTCATACAAAATTCTTATCTGAAGGATTCGGTATACATGTTGTTTTATTAACACTTATTTTTTTTTATACATTGCATTTTATGTCGTTTGTAGATGTTGGTCATTTAATTTTTATCTTGAATGTTAACAACAGTTTTTCATTTAGGTGTAGTGAAATTGCACAATTATTACATTTAATCGTCATCAATGTTTGCAAGTCATTTCATTATTTTGTACATACTCATCTATTTTTGTTTTTGGAAACGTGTTTATTGACTGAGTGGCTTACGATTTTAGACGACAAACTATTGATTTGTCGAGCGCTCAGTCAGTAAATAATCGTTGCATCTTGCAGAGTGTTTGGAGTAAACCTACTCTTAGCCAAATAGAAGCTTTTTATGTTTTTACACTGCGGGTCAAAGAACTTTAAAGTCATTAGAATTTCCAAGGAATTCCTTTTCCAACACCAAAACCACTGAGTTAACAGCCTGAGATTGTGACTTTATTGTAAGTTTCATGAAAGGGACGAGTTTCTTTTCTTAAAGTCAAAATCTCGATAAAACTCATGGACATTTCGATAATGAAAAAGAAAAAGGCGCATGGAACCCGTCACTGAATACACGAGTAATCTTTGACACAACGGGTTTAAAAAAGAAATGCCTAGAAACAGTCGGCGGCTGTTATAACTGGCCTTTTTTGTCGTTGGTTGATTCGCAGGACCAGACCGAGTCTGCAGCCATACTGAAGATCAAGGAGAGCATGCAAGAAGAAGCTAAAAGGTTTGAGAAGGACTCGGATCATCCGGACTTTTACATGCAATAATCAGCCGTCGAGGGGATTAAAATCTCGAGGAAAGAACAAATTTTCACAGTCTCACAGCATGAACAAACAAACAAAAATTTTCTTACTCTTCCCGATAAAACTGTCGTCGGAATGGTCGATGGATCTTGAAAAAAAAAAAAGAAAAAAAAAAGAAAAAAAAAGAAAAGTCGTGACATTTAAGACACACAGATACACAGCAAGCACAAAGAAAGTATGTATGTGCGAATCATTCCTTCGGCCTCCATTTGAACGCGGTAAAAGCTGTTGTCGACCGCGAGTAGAAAAATTAACAGAGTTTTCGTGACAAATGAAAAGCGAAACTGATAGCTGCGTTTTTTTTTGTTCATCGTCACTCTTGAAACGATTAGGATGTCTGCATTAAAGGATTAAGTATGGTAGGGAAAAGCAGAATAAGAATTTTATAACGTTGACCTTTGATTCTCGATAGTTTTATCGATTTTTTAGAACGTACGTCATTGCGATCGAGCAGTACGTCTTTCTTAAGATTAAGACAAGAAAAAGCGCGTGAAAAAAAAGAAACAGCGAAGCGTATTAATAGTTGTCAGTGTGTGAATTGACTTTGCTCAAAAAAGTGCGAAGATGTGATGTTTTGGCGAATGGTGCTCAAAACAAAATTCGTTGTTCCGTTCCATGTGCGTCTTGGAAAGAATGAAATTATACGAACGTTTATACAAAAAAAAATTATACAAGTTGATATGTCGGGAGTTACGGTGCAAAATTACGAGCTAGCTACGCGAACGCGGAACATCGAATGCACCATTCGCCAGCAGTTTCTTCAAGGTTTTTTAAGTGAAGTCGACTTTAACAACAGAAAAAAAAAGAATCGAAATAACAGCAAGTGATATGTTAAGGATCACGAGCCGTTTCGATAAATGTATATGTGATTATACCTTCATACGAGGAAAAGAAAAAATATCAGTGATTATATATTCGCACGTGGTATTCGAATTTCTCAACATTAAGCGTAGGGCGGAAACTTCCGTTTAGTTATCTTTCCTTTTTTTCGCGCTGAAGAAGTAAAGATTTTTTTGTACGACGTTGCGGGAGAGAGAGAAAAAGAGTAGGATATTCTATGTAAAGAGAAAGTCGGCCAGTGAGTGAAATACTGACAATGGATACGAGAGCGACACTTTCGTTGGTATGTGCAAAGACGTAACCACGTCCTAATAGAGCGAAGCAATCTCGTCGAAAATTTCCAGAAAAATTTTATACGTATATCTCTTCTTCGTTTTCTTTTTATTCTTTTTTATTTGAAAAGGCGTTATATAACTACTTTCCCTATACTGTGGAAAATCACTATTTTGTTTCTTCATATTGATTTTATATTTATATACTTATAGCCAGCTATATATGTTGTGCATATTTTATTAGTTTTTCAAAATTTTATTTTTAGCGGAATATTTACGCGCGAGCGTATGTTTATTATAATGAAAGGGTTATTATCTAAAGAAATGAAGTAATAAAAAGTATGTCATTCTAAAAAGTGAGAATTAAAAGTTGTATAAAATAAAAATAAATTTATAAGGATTTACAGCTTTTTCTTGCGTCGTTGCAAATGATTATCTTTGTAATAGGCATGGAAAAACTAAAGTCCGCTACTAATAATAAAGTATAACATAAATAGTAACGATAAAAAAAGTAGTTATAGCGAAAAAATATATTAATACTACTACTTCTAATATTAATAATGTGCAATGGTGTCGCTCATGCTATGTAAGATTTTTAATTATATACTTGAGTTTTGTTTTGCTATTCTACAAGAGCGAACTGAAAGAAAGAAGTCAGCTGGGAATTTTCGACGAGATACACATTCCGCGTTTGCTTTATTTACTATTTTTCCCCTGTAAGATAGTCAATCAAAAAAAAATCCATCATCGCAGTTTATTAGAGTATTATTTGTAAGTGATTCGACAATTCCATACGCAGGTTCCGCGTATTATTATGTTAATTTTTAGTGCTTTATGTTCGTCGCATCGACCCCCTTCCTCAGAATCGAGAAATATATAAATATAAATATAATATATATATATATATATATATATATATATATATATATATATATATATATATATATATATATATATATATATATATATATATATACACGTGTGTATATACACACATATATATTTATTTAGGTTTTATTCAGTAATGCATACGTAGGTTTCGATTGTACACTCATTACGGGAAATACTCTCAGCGCAGTCGGGCACTAAATTATTCGAAAATATATCTTGATCAGTTGAGAACGAACGTTCGCGGAGAATTAGGCGGAGAGTCGGCCAGAAGGCTTCGTTAAATACAAATGGGATACGAACCGAGATGACGTTGACAGAAGTATTACTCCAAGTGCAATTCCATATTGCAATAAGCTCCCGCGGAAAAAACTCTGACCGACTGCATTTGAGAGAGCCGAGAAAGCTTGAAAAGGTATTAAAACAATTGAGTCACGAAGAGAGAGAGAGAGTGTACTCTCCCCCCTCCCCCCTCCTCTTAGAACGCTCGCGTGAAATTGCGTTTCTTTTTGGTTCTTTGTACGGCTGGTAAGGCGGTGCAGCTGATTTAGCGGACGCGCGCGAGATTACATGAAAAGCAAAAATAATCTCAACTCGTCTTATGTTCCTTCGTACCAAATGCGGAAAAGAAAAGAAAAGAAAAGAAAGAAAAACGATTTATTTCTTGGAAAAGAAAAAAAAACTGCGGTTTTTTTTTGTTTTTGTTTAGCTCTTAAGTGTAGACGCGAGAATTTTTAGGAAAAACAAGCGCTGTTATAAGGTTGATGCTATATTGAGCGGCGAGAATTCATTGCGTGATGTGCGAGCGCGCGGACCGAGCGACGCGCCTAAGTTCCCTGGGTTTCTTCTCTCCTTTCAGTACTTAAAAGTAAATCTATCGCGACGAAAAAGAATAGAAAAGCGTCTTGTCGCTCGGACCGCGCGCTCTCCTTTGTTCACATTTTCCGTTCGCTTTTCTTTTGTACAGTGTACGGAGACACGCGTACACACACACACACACACACACACACACACACACACACACAGACACACATACACACGATTCGTCCAACGATAAATGCCTCTCGATACCATTATTTACGTAAACAATCATGAAAGATTTGAGGTGTGAGAGTGCGAGGCCAAATAGAGGAAATACCTACTGTTTGGATGAGAAAAAGCGCGCGCAAAACTCACGCATCTTTGAATTCATGCATAATTATTGACATAATTGTAGGTAATCTATATGAATATAGCATCAGTAGCATAAATCAATAGTTACAAGATAATGAAATAAATGTCATCTATCCTACATGATTACTGGCTTGTCATTTTTGTCATTTTTTTTTGTCTGTTTAACCCTCCCGTTATTCCACACCTTGTGCTTAGATTGTTTTCGTTTTCACTCGAGAAGAGTGGGCGCCGATTGGATACCGACGTCGTCTCGTGGTCTCGCCGACACGCCGACTGGTCAACTTCTTTCCTGCGGTAAGTTGCCTTAGTTGCGGTTACCGAAGGCTCTGGTTCATCCTGAGTAACGTTCGTTATGTGCGATTCAACTGAAAGTTCAACTCGACCGTCGCCATTCGTTACTTTCAACCTCGCGGCGCGACGCGTTTTCCAAAACCGAACGCGAACGCGCTACCTTGCGCTTCGAATAAAAAAGAAAAGAAGAAAGGAGAGAATCGATCGATGCGGCGATCCCTCGTCTTTTAAAAAGCATCGCTGGCTGCCGCAAAGGATACTCGACCAACACCTTTCGCGGCAAAGACGGACGAATAAAACGTGGCGGACTATAGGGATGCGTCGGCATTCGTCCAATTCCGCGGGCGGCTCTCCAAAAATAGCCTGGCACTGTCAGGTCAGAGGGAAAGAAGAGCGAGCGTGCTTATCGTGCATCGTCTCGCAGCTGCCAACCTCTCTGCGGCTCATCCAGCGCGCCTCCGCCGCCTCCCCCCTGCCCCGGCGTCACTCCGCTCTCGTGGAAATCGAGCGCGTTTCGCGGTCAATCAGGCGTGTAATCTCGTTCCGCGCGACTTTTATCCGACGCCTGACGTCGTAGTCTGACTCGACGCTGGCTCGGACTACTTCGCTCGCACGCAGCTGCCGACTCTCGCTTCGATTCGCGTTAGCCGCCCCAGGCGGCCTCGGTCTCTTCTCGCGGAAGCGTCACATCGGCGATCGTGGTCAAGACGAATCCGGGCCAGCCACCGATACGTCTACGCGCGACGGCGCGGCCGCGCAAGCAAGAAAGAGAGAGGACAGCGGCGGCAGCGCCCTCGAGGCGGAAATCCGAGGCGCGCCGGCGGCGGCGAGGAGCCACTTGCGGCGCGCCACTCGAGCGTGGAAAAGGAGAGAGAGGAGTTAGTCGCGCGTCAGAACCCCCATCGCCGATCGAACTTTCGACACTCGAGCCGCGGAGAAGAGCAGAGGCCACTCGAGGGGATAACGGCCCCTCGAGCCGACGTCACGCTCCGCTTTCCGGGCGCGCGCGCGCGCGCGCGGAGCTCGTTACTGGGCCGAGAGCGCCGGCAGCGGCCGCCCTGCCCCCGTGGCTGACCTGATTGCCAGCCCTGCCCAGCCCCGGGCGGACCGGCGCTCGGTCGCGACGACCCGCGAGCCGCGCCACAATGACATTCATCAGCCGCGCGCAACGAAAACGCGCCGGCTGGGCCAGCGCGCGCGCGACAATGCGCGCCAATCAGCTCGCAAAGCGGATCCCGGCCGCGCTCGGCCGGGCAAGACAAAGGCCCGAGGCGTCGGCGCTTTCTAAAAATAGGCCGCTCCGCCTCGGCGCAATTAATGCGGCATTGTCGAATATCGGAGAGCGCGGCGGCCGCGGCGCGCCTGCGCCAGCGTTGAAGTCTCCTCGGTGCGCGTGCACCCCCTCGGCCGCCTCTCGCGCCGTCAGCGACGCACTCGGCGAGACGCAGCCCCCCTCCCCCTCCCTATTCAATCCGCGCGACTCTTTCACGCTCTGTGTCGCGACGCACCCGCCCGGACACTTGCGCTCAAGTACGCGCGATCGTTTTGTCGTTCATCTCCGCCCGTGAGCTTTCTTTCTTTCTTTCTCTCTCTCCTATCTCTTCGGTATCGATCATTTTCGCTTTTTCGTGGAGAAGCTCATCGGGCGAGTACGAGTGTCGCAACAAAGGATGTCGCAATAAAAATATACGCGTAACGAACACAAAGTACACGAGAAGCACGAGGAAGCAACAAAGAAGAAAAAAAGAAATCTATAGCTGTAATCAGCGATCGCATCTATATGCCGCGGAGTCTGCCGCAGAGCGGCAACGCCGCAGCGCTCAGCAGCTTCTCGAAGAGACGGCAAAAAAGAGCTGATTAGGGCGGTTTTCGCGCTCGGCTGCACTGCTCCGTCGCGGAAATAATACACAACAGCCCTTAACCCCAAAAACTGGCGGGGGGCGCGTCGCGCGCACGCAGATCGCATAGTAATTGCGGGGTCGATCAATCGGCCCGCGACGCCTCGTTCGCCGGCGTCATTAGCGCTAATTGCGCGCTCGAGCGGCCGTCTGTCTTTCGACGCGCGCGTCAAGGCGGAAACGGCCGCGGGTCGCGGACCGCCGCGTCGCGAGCTGCGTTTCCGCGCGCTTTGATCTTCGGGCGTCGATCCGTTGGCCGCCCCCCGCGCGGCCTCGCGCTCGCGACCTCGCCGAGAGCAGGCAGCCTCCAGCAGCCTCGTCGATGACCTGCATTCGCGCCCCTCGGTGAGCGCGCCTCGATCGCGAGACGCAACGCCGCGTCGAATGAGGCAGTCACGCGCGCCGGCCCGTCCTACTGTTCTGCCTCGCGGTCGCGGAGGAGGATGTGGGGATAGAGGCGAGGCCACCAGCCATTCGCGGCCCACTTTCGTCGCTTTGGCTCCTCCTCGAGAGAGAGAGAGAGAGAGAGAGAGAGAGAGAGAGACACGATGATCGATCAGAAGAAGAACGAAAAGAGGAAGAAGAAGATGGAAAGCAAGGTGGACAAAGAGAAGGCTCCGCGGTGCATCGACACGCGAGCCGCACGGAGACAGCTCTTTTTCGCCCTTTCACCGCGCGATCGCCGCCGCTGACGCGCCAGAACAGATTGCCGCTTCGAAGGGAATTGGTTCGTGTCTTGCTCTGGTCGCTTGGGACCCTTGTCTCGGCGCATCGTGAAACACTCTTGGCTGGCTCGGACGATCGCGAAGCTGTACGCCCGGTCGGAAAGCTATGGCAGCTGGACGCGACGTTCAGTCGGATGCAGACCGAAGTGAGTCTGCGTCGGCTGCCGTTCACACGCCAAACTGGCTCTGTCCACCGACCCACGCGTGTCCAAGCTCGCAGCTCGAGAAAGCGCCCAGCGCGCAAGTAGCGGAGACCAACGTGGCGGACAGCCGTCGGCTTGCCTTCGTCGGACGCCCGCCCGGGACTGGGAAGCCAGCCGATCGGCTTGTCCCCGGAGACTAGCGCTCTCGAAGCACGCGCGCGCCGGGCAACGAGGCGAGGCGGAGGCGAACGGTTCGCTCGCAGGGCGCCTTTATCGGCAGGTGAGCAGCGAGAGGCGTAAACAGCGAGGAAACAAAAAAGCGCGAGTCGCGATCGAAGCTCGCGCGAAGGCGGTGCGGTGGGGATGGATGCAAGTGGCTCGCATCCATCCGCGCGCGAGCGAGGGACAGTCCTCGTCGCAAGCTCGTCGCGCGCGCAGCGCCGGACGTGAGATGCTGCGCTGACGGGACGCCAGACGGAGACGACCATGAGGCAGCGCCTGCTGATACTCCAGCTGCTCGCGACGATCGTCGGAGCGCAGTAAGCGTCTAATTGCCAGCACTGCTCTTTGTCTCGCATCTCCTATTGCGGCCCCGTTTGCGTCTCCGTTTGCGTCCCCCTTTCCGTTCCCTACCACGAGCTCGCTAATCGCCCGAAAAACGCTGCGCGGTTGTTTTCTCTCGGTTCTGTCTCTCTCTCTCTCTCTCTCTCTCTCTCTCTCTCTCTCTCTCTGTCTCGTCAACGCGTTGCGGCGATTGCGTAACGGGAGCTCCTCGCGACGACGAGCTCAGCTTCGACGATTGTCCACAGGAAGAGCCTCGAGTTTTTCGACCTGCTGCCGGAGGACCCGAAGCTGTACGACAAGATGCGACCGCCGAAGAAGGACGGCCAGGCCACCGTGGTCTACTTCCACGTGACGGTGATGGGTCTAGACTCCATCGACGAGGGCTCGATGGTAACTTGACTTTCGTTGGCGCGTTTCGAGGTCGAGCCCAAAGCCGAACGTTTTTGCAGACCTACGCGGCCGACATCTTCTTCGCGCAGACCTGGAAGGACAACCGACTGCGGCTGCCCGAGAACATGACCTCCGAGTACAGGTAATCGTGGGGAGCGCCGCGGCGGTGGGCTTCGCGATTCTCGACGAGTGTCGATGATGGTTCGCAGGTTGCTCGAGGTCGACTGGCTGAAGAACATGTGGCGGCCGGACTCGTTCTTCAAGAACGCTAAATCCGTCACCTTCCAGACCATGACCATACCCAACCACTACCTCTGGCTCTACAAAGACAAGACCATCCTCTACATGGTCAAGTAGGCGCTAAGCGCACGGCGGTCGCCGGGCATCCGCGCCCCTCTCACTCGCTTGTCACTCTTGCAGATTGACGCTGAAGCTCTCGTGCGCCATGAACTTCCTCATTTACCCGCACGACACGCAGGAGTGCAAGCTGCAAATGGAGAGCCGTGAGTTGACGATTACCGTTGAGCGCCCCCCCCCCTCCCTCTCGCGCCAAGCTAACGCTCGCGTTCATGCAGTGTCGCACACCACCGAGGAGATGATATTCCAGTGGGACCCCGACGTGCCGCTGGTGGTCGACGAGAACATCGAGCTGCCGCAGCTGCAGCTCATTAAGAACTACACGGCTGACTGCACGCAGGTCTACTCCACTGGTGAGCCCAATCCCGCTTTGCTCTCTCGGTCGCGCGCCTCACAGCCTCATCGCTCGCTCGCGCAGGCAACTTCACCTGCTTGGAGGTGATATTCGTGCTGAAGCGCCGCCTCGGCTACTACCTGTTCCACACCTACGTGCCGACCTGTCTGATCGTCATCATGTCGGTGAGTCGACGGTCACCCGGAACTCGTCCGCGCGTTGTCTCCCCTCACTCGCTCTCTCTCTCTCTCTCCCTCTCTCCCTCTTTCTCTGCGCAGTGGGTGTCCTTCTGGATCAAGCCCGAGGCGGCGCCGGCCCGGGTAACACTGGGTGTGACCTCGCTGCTCACGCTGTCGACGCAGCACGCCAAGAGCCAGGCGGCGCTGCCGCCCGTCTCCTACCTCAAGGCCGTGGACGCCTTCATGTCGGTGTGCACGATATTCGTGTTCATGGCGCTGATGGAGTACTGCCTGGTGAACATCGTGCTGGTGCTGGGCGAGTCGCCGGAGCCGCCGAAGCCGCCGCCGCCACCGCCGGCAGCGGCCGCGCAACCGCCGAGCTCCGCCCCGGCGCCCAACTCCGCCAAGCTCGACAAGATCTTCGACATCGCCCGCACGGTAAGGCGCGCCACTTGGACCTGGCACCTCTTGCTCGTGGCGCGTCGGCCGCGCGCCCGAGGGAGCTCGGCTCGCCGCGGCGACTCCGGACCCCGAGCTCCCCTGGACGCGCGGCCGACTCGGTCGCGCGCCCCTCCCCCCGCACACTGCCCATTCATGCGGAGCACCACGTAGGACTGTAGCTGCATGCACGCGCGCGGCAACGCGCACATCACGCACACCATCGAACCGCACACCGGCACCGAGACCCAGAGCCGCTCAGCGAGGCGGCCAGCGAGCGAGGACAATGAAAAACTGACTGAAACTGATTGATACATAGTACCCCGGCAACGCGGATATCGGGCGGAGGGTCAGCCACCACCGCGATTCAATTCGTTGCCCTTGCATGCAGGAGAACGCGATGCTGCTGTCAGGACGCTCGCAGAAGTCGCAGTCGGCGGGCCCGCCGCCGGGGCCCAACAAGGTGCAGAGATCCAAGCTGCTCGCCGTCAGCATCGACCGCTGGTCGCGCTTCTTGTTCCCCGCGCTCTTCGCCTGCCTCAACGTCAGCTACTGGGTCATCTTCTGGAAGTACATCTAGATCGCGTCGACGCTCTGTGTGCGCGTGTGCAAGTGACGATGGCGAACGGTGCGCGCTGACTCTTTCTCTCTCTCTCTCTCTCTCTCTCTCTCTCCCTATTTCGCTCTCGAGCTTGATTTCGCTCCGCTCACCCGCCACCCCTTCTAATGTTCAGCAATACGACGCGTGAATAGAATGCCCAAAGCCTTCTATTCTTCTATTCTTCTTGAAATGCGTAAACGTGTTTCTGCCATGTTTGAGATATGATGTATCGATGACGTATTGTTAGAGCGTTGTGGAAATATATATGTACGCACACACGTATACGTATATGCATATAAACACGCGCGCACAGACGTGAAATTATGAAATGATAGATATTTTTCGATCGAATATTGTTAAAAGGAAAAAGTAACGCTAAACAGTCAAATAAAAATTGCGTCAGTAGCACGTAGACGAGCGAAAAGACATATTCTATATTGAGTGTTGAACAGTATACTTCCAAGAGTTTTACGAAAGTTATTATCTGCGTTATGCTTCTGAAATTCTCTAACGATATGTTCAAGCTGCGCCTCTGCTGGCAAAAGTTTCAGCCGACTCTTCTATAGAACATTCAAATACACGCATGACTCGAATATTACGTCCATTTATAGGTGAGTCACGCATGACCTAGCGTTTTAGATACGTTTGCATCTCCCTGGAAGTAGCCTTGAGCTTTGTTTGTAAATAATTCAATTGCGATTGCTCGGAAAATGGTCCTTGTACAAAATGACTCGTTCGGCGGCATACAATAATGATAAAACTGAATGTCGTAGTCGGACTTTCATCTTCCATTTGTAAAAAGAAGTAAAGAAAAATCAATTTTTCGCATGCGCGAGCGGAGCCCCGACGATTCCTCTGTGGATATTAAAGGCACCGCAAGGCTCTCGCGATTTTGCATATTGTTCAAATAATCGAAGGCTGAATCGGCAAGAAAAATGGATGCGCGCGTCGACTGTTGCTTGGTGTTTTGCCAGAGGACGCGCGCACGCTACCACCTCTTTTGGGAGCCGATTATATAACGCCGACGACGAGGAAGCTGCTTTTCCTGACACACACACACACACACACACACACACACACACACACGCGCGCGTACACGTGCGAACGAAGTCTCTCAGGAGATATCAAAAGCTGAGTGTGAAAGATAACGCGCGAACGTCGACGATGTGTTGTCGACCACGCGGGTGCAAAGCGAATGCCGACTTTGTATCCTCGACGAGCGATGTTTGTCAAGCGAGCCTGCTGGGCGCCACATTGTAATATAAGTTAACGAAGAAAGAAAAACAAAAAAAAAAACAAAAAAAAACGAATCGCTGTAATTTTAATCACTATCTGCTGAGAATATAAGATTTATTCGAATGCGTGAGTCGCAGTTCTTTCACTTGCTCCGCACCGGCCGCGTCGTCAGTCGCCGTCGCGGATCCGACCGGAGGCACGCAGAGGGCGCGGCCGACGGGCCTCCCGAGTTACCGACGCGCGATCCCCGACCGACCGCCGATGCGGCGCCGGCCTGCCGCGCGCGGGCGCCCGACCAGGGCCGCGGGGGCCGGCGGGCGGCGCCGCGCCGGGCGCGCATCGATCGCTCGGCGCCCGGCGCGGCGGAGGGGCGGCCGCGCGCCGGGCGCCGCGGTCCGCGGCTCGACGCCAGCAGCGCCGGCGCCGCCATGGACTCGTCGTCGGCAGCCGCCAGCAGGGCCAAGTCGGCGCGGCGCGCGGCCGCGTGCGTCTGCCTGGCGCTCGCGCTGCTGCTGCTGCTGCTGCTGCTGCTGCTGCTGCTCGTGGAGCACGCGTGCCTGCGCGGGCGGCCGAGGAGGCGGCGCCCGGGCGCGGCGCGCGTCCGCGAGATCCCGCTGGGCGCCGGCGAGCGCGCGGGCGGGCCGGCGCGGGTGCAGCTGGTGCCGCTGTGGGACGCCGCCAACGACAGCCTGGGGGTGAGTTGCCGAGCGGGGCGCGTGGCGCCCGACGAGGGCGAGACTGAGCGGCGGGCGTGCGCGCAGGGGGCCGCGGCGGCGGGCCGCAAGTACCGGGTGCTGGGGCGCCAGGAGCTGCTGGCGGCCAGGCGGCTGCCCGGCGCCCTCATCATCGGCGTGAAGAAGGGCGGCACGCGCGCCCTCCTCGAGTTCCTGCGCGTGCACCCGCACGTGCGCGCCGCCGGATCCGAGGTGCACTTCTTCGACCACCACTACGCCGAGGGTCTGCACTGGTACAGGTAGGCCGGCCGCGCCGCCCCCGTCCGCTCGCACTCGCCGCTCGCCGGCTGTTCGCAGGCGCCAGATGCCGGCCACGCTCGCGGGCCAGATCACCATGGAGAAGACGCCGTCGTACTTCGTGACGGCCGAGGCGCCGCGGCGCGTGCAGCACATGGACCCGGGCACCAAGCTGATCGTGGTGGTGAGGGACCCGGTGACCAGGGCCGTCTCCGACTACACGCAAGTGCGCAGCAAGCGCCCCGACATGCCGGCGTTCGAGCAGCTGGCCTTCGTCAACGGGTCACAGGTGAGCCCGGCGGCGGCCCGGCGGCCCGGCGGCCCGGCGGCGGCCCCGCGGCCGGCCGAGCGCGGCTAAGCTCGCACGATGCGCGCCGCAGGTGGTGGACACGACGTGGGCGCCGCTGCGGATCGGCGTGTACGCGCGCCACCTGCAGCGCTGGCTGGCCTACTTTCCGCTGTCGCAGCTGCTGTTCGTCTCGGGCGAGCGCCTCATCAGCGACCCCGCGCTCGAGATGGGCCGCGTGCAGGACTTCCTCGGCATCAGGCGGCTCGTCTCCGAGCGCCACTTCTACTTCAACGCCACCAAGGGCTTCCCCTGCCTGCTGAAGGGCGAGCAGCACGGCGCGCCGCACTGCCTGGGTAAGCCGGCCGCCTGGTCGGCCCGAGCGACGCTCTCTGACCCCTCGGCGCTCTGTCGCGCGCAGGCAAGAACAAGGGCCGCAGCCACCCGCGCATCGACCCCACGGCCGTCCGGCGCCTGCGGGACTTCTACCGGCCGTTCAACCGGCGCTTCTACCAGCTCACGGGCATCGACTTCGGCTGGGCCTGACGGGCCGCTCGTCCGTGCTCGCTCTAAAGACGGAGCGTGTGAGTTTTGTACAAATGAAAGCAACGTGAGACTTTGTATTATACGGATAGAGGTATGTGTACGCATCTAAGTTTGCACGAACAATAAAAGAAAAGCCATCGACGAGCAAAGAGGTGTCTGGGTGTGTATTTGTTTTTCCTTGCACAAGCGAAAATTCATCGGTATACTTATAAATATAGAATTCTTATGGTACAGCGATGCAGTTATGCCACTGTGGCCCGCACTGCCCGAGCGCACGGCTCGGGGACATCGCGTCTATACACTTAGCCAATCTCTGGCGATGCCGCCTCGGTCGGGCTCCGTCCCGGGCGCGCGCATCCACGTTAAAAACATTATCACAGAACAAGCCGCCTCGGGGGTGGGTGGGGTGGGGGAGGGGGGGGGGCAGGAGGGGGACGGGAGCGGTCGGAAACGAAAGGGGCTGGGACACGGACTCAGGGCGCGCGCTTGGCGCAGGCGAGCGCGCGCTCCTTGAGCAAGTCGTCGAGGCCCTCCTGCGTGTAGTAGACGACGAAGTCCTTGGGCGCCACGCCCTCGAAGACCGCGTAGACCGAGGGCTTGAGGTTGTAGAAGAAGAGCGGCTGGCCGCGCGCGGCAAAGTCCTCGGTGAGCGACTCGACCACCTTGGCCGCGCTGAAGTCGGCGCCGTAGATGTGCGTGCAGTCGATCACCACGGGCGTGACGGCCTCGCGCCGGCCGTACTTGGTGACCAGGTGGCGCACGTAGTCCACCGACGGGAAGATGAGGCAGCGGTCGGGCGTGAGCATCAGGTAGCTGGCGCCGCGCCGGCTCTGCGGGCCGAAAGCGGAGCGCTGAGCGCGCGCGCGACCCCCGGGCCTTGCCCGCGCCGCCGCTCACCTGCAGCTTCTCCACCGAGATCTTGGGCCTGGCCGCGTGGTACAGGATGAACAGCACGTTCACGGCCACGCCGATGGCAATGCCCAGCTCCACCTGCAGCACCAGGCACGCCACGAAGGTGCCCAGCCCGGGGATCAGGTCCGACTCTGCAACAGGCAGCCGGGCGCGCCGGTCAATAGGGCCCGGGGCTCGGGGCCCGGCCCGCCCACTCACTCTTGGTCCTCCACATAGGCTTCACCACCTTCACCTCCACCATGAACACCACCGCGGCGATGATGATGGCCGCGAGCGCGGCCTTGGGGATGAAGGCGAAGCAGGGCGTGAGGAAGAGCAGCGCGAGGACGACGAGCGCGCCGGTGTAGGCGCCGCCCAGCGGCGTGCGCGCGCCCGACGCGTTGTTCACGGCGCTGCGGCTGAGCGAGCCGCTGCCCGGGAAGGCCTGCACGAACGAGTTGGCCAGGTTGGCCGCGCCCAGCGCCAGCAGCTCCTGGGTGGCGTCCACCGAGCGCCCGCTGGCTGCAACAGACGCGGCCCAGAGCGAGCGAGTGCCGGCGCCGCTCGGCGAGCGCCGCGGCTCGCCGGGCGCCACTCACCGAAGGCCTTGCAGATGGCCACGTCCTCCAGCAGCGCGACCAGCGGCAGCACGAGCACGCCGCTGCCGAGGTTGGCGCACATCTCCACGAGCGTGAGCGCGGTGCCGTTGCCGCCGCCGAGCGGCGGGGGCGGCCGCGCCGCCGGCATGCCCCCGGGGATGTGGCCGATCAGCTGGAAGGGGCTCTCGTCGGCGGGGAAGCTGTAGGCCAGCAGGCCGCAGCCGACCACCAGCAGCGCGTTGCGCGAGGTGCCCGTCAGCCAGAGCAGCCGGTTGGCGGCGCGGTGCCTGGCGCTGCGCCGCTGCTGCTCGTCCGAGCCGATCCTCGCCGCGGCCAGCGCCTGCGCCCCGCCGGCAGGCGCGGGACAGAGCGAGAGAGCGAGAGAGGGAGAGAGAGACAGAGAGCGTGAGCGACGGAGCGGCGGCTGGGGGCGGGGCTCGCCGCGCGCGCGCGCGCCTACCCTGAGCGCGAGCAGCAGGCCGATGCAGCAGAGCCCGAGCGCGGCGTCGTAGCCCGAGGCCTGGTGCGCGTTCCGCGCGATGCTCGTCCACAGCTGCAGGAAGGTGGTGCCCTGCGCGGGGATGCCGAGGATGTCCTTGACCTGCGACGACACGATGATGAGGGCCACGGCCGAGGTGAAGCCCGAGCTGACGGGGCCCGAGACGAAGTCGACGAGGAAGCCGAGGCCGAGGCAGCCCATGAGCAGCTGCACGCAGCCCACGAGGAAGCTCAGCAACACGGCGTGCTGCTCGGGGCTGGGCAGCTGGGCCACCGTCTGGTAGGTGAGCAGCGAGACCATGGCGGTGGGCCCGAACGGCACGTCCTTGCACGAGCCGAGCACGATGTAGACGAAGCAGCCCAAGAAGCTGCCGTAGAGGCCGTACTGCGGCGGCAGGCCCGCCACGTTCGCGTAGGCGAGCGACTGCGGGATGACGGTGAGGCCGACCGTGACGCCGGCCACCAGGTCGCCCAGCGCGTCCTGGCCGCTGTAGCGCGGCAGCCAGTCGAGCACCGGCAGCCGCTTGTGCAGCGTCTTGCGCGTGCACCTCCTCCGCAGCTCGCGCAGGCACGCGCTCGCCAGGCCCTCGCGTGTCCGCCTACTGCTCGACTCGTCCTGCCCTGCGCCTGGCTCCTCCACCACTGCAACCCTCGCACAGCCCTCAGAGTCCCCTGCGGCTCGTCCGCCGCGGCCGTGAGCCGACGACGCTTCGATTGTCGCGCGCACATCGATCTCATGCGTTCGCGCTCCGGCGCTTCGATTGTCCGCCGTGAGGCCTGCTTTTTTGCCTCCTCTTTTTTCGCCGTTTTTTGCTCGCCGCGATCTCCGCCGCGCATTCCGAGCGGATGAAAACGCGCGACGGATAACCGAGCCAATTACACGATTCTTTTTCATCTTCGGCGCTTCTTTGTGCCTCGAGAGCAATAAAAAAAAGGAAAAAAAAGGCACGAGCACCGCCTCCGCAATCGTCGGAGCTACATAAGCTATGTAAGCAGCGTCTGACCATTACGTATCCGATGAAAACAAAGCTTCTAAAAGCAGCGATTTTTCGATCACTTACTTTTGCGATGGCATCCTTGGGCAGCGTGCGAATCAATCGTGGATTAGTACGAACGGGAATTCGCGCTCAGGCGAAAACCAACTCGCAATTATCTCAATCTCTCTCTCTCTCTCTCTTTCGCTCTCTCTCTCTCTCTCTCGCGTGCGCACGACGGTCAACGTCCGCACTTCCGGACTGTGGCAGGCTGGTCGTGGGGTCGCGATCGAAATACTCACAGACCAAGTCGGAAGAGCCGCTGATCTCGCGGTGCGAGGCGAGCGAGTCGCTGGAGTCGACCAGGTCGGTCTCGCTGAGCGCGCGGTTGATGTAGCCACCCTCGAGGCCCTTGCCGTCGCAGATGCCGCTGCCGTCCTTCCTCATCTCGCCGTGGTCGTTCGGCTCGCCTGCTGCGGCGAGGCGACGTGTCGGTGTGAACAAGGGGGCGACGTGTCAGTTCGAGCGCGCTCGTTCGACGAGCTGCAATTGCCGCAAAGGAGCGAAATGCTTTCACCTCTTGGCGACTATTACGAGCGCAGGAAGCGCGCCCGTAGTCTTGGCTCGCGCCAACTGCACGATCGATTTATACTGCCACGCGCGCTGACCCCAATAGTACCGATCCGTGGATTGTCGTTCCTTATCCCCGCGCTCGGCGCTGTCGATGATTCTTCGTCGGTCGACCAATCCAATCTCGGTCGAGCGAGTCGGCCGACGTGGAAAGCGCCGTCGGATCCTCCGCTGCTCGTTGTCCGCCCAAGAGAGCCGCGCGCTCTCAGGAATCGGTCAACATCTGCCGAAAACGCCCTCCGGCCGTCGACGAGGCTCCGCGTCTCTGCAAGATTGATTTCGTTCGATAAGCGATCGTCGCATCGCCAACTCCGCTGGCCAGCTTACTTCTATTTGTAACGAGGAAGAGCGAGAGGGGGGCGGGAATAAAAAGTCATTACGAGAACAATCATCGCTTACGTAATTGCTCGGCAATGCAATTTACATTCGCGTCGCGCGCACTTTGTCCAAGTTGCTCGACATTAGTTCGCGCGCATTGCGTAACCGAAGCTCGCTGGTTCGCGATCGAATCGAGGATCGCGCGCGCGCCCCTGTGGAGACGTCGATCGCGCTCCGACAATGAGAGAGAGAGAGAGAGAGAGAGAGAGAGCGTACGCGCGCGCCTCTCAAGGCCCTTGTTCGCCGACCTAGTAAGCGCATCTCCGCCTTGGAAACTGTGCCACGGCAGCTTCCGAGATGCTTACGTGACGCGCGTCGCCGTCCGAAAAAAAGAGAAAAACGAAAACCCCGAACAGTTTACGTAAAAGACTTTCGTAAGCCCGCGGCCGCGGCTTCCGCGATCGATACGCGCCCTTGCCGCGCGCGCCGCGCACCGCGCACCGTTCGGGTCGCGCGCGCGACCTCTCCGCCCCGGGGGCGCGCACTCGGGGCCCGGCGGACGGACCGCGCGTCGCGTCGCGAACGCCGCGGCGGGGCGCGCTTACCTCGAGTCCAAGACCTCGGCCGGCTGTCCGGCGGCCGCGAGCGCGGGAGGCCAGAGGCAGGTCAGCGGGGCAGCGCGATTCCGTGCCGGCAGCAGCGAGGATCACACGCGAGCGAGCGAGTCAAGTGCAAGGCCGTCATTGCCGATCATCCCGCGTGCGAGGTGCGGCAGGAGCGCGACGCGACGACACAATACTCGCGCGGCCGGATCTTCGCGCGCGGTATATAAACGCCGACTCTCCCTTCTCCCGTCTGCTTTTCCCCTCTCTGCACGCCTCGACGCCGCGCGCGGACGCGCGCGCCTTTCGGAAAATCGCTCGCCTCGGTTTTTCCCGCTCTCGTAAGAGTGGAGGCGCGCCAATGGCTCTCCGCGTTTTCGGCAGGCGGTCGTCGAGGCTGTGGAGCTTGCGCGCGCGCGCGCGCGCGAAGGCAGACGGAGAGATCGGCGCCGCGAGCTTGCGAGAAAGCCGTTGCCGTCGCCGGCGCGTCGCGACTCCGAGGCGCGCGCTCCGGCCTTGCCGGCCTCTCCCCGCGGTCGACGCAGGTGCGACGCTTCGTTGCTCGCTGCCGGTCGGAGCCGCGATGGCCGAAGCTAAAATCGACCAATGAAATTACCGTCGTCGCCATCGCGTGCTCCGGACGCACCGTCCAGCGCGATCGCGCGAGCATCTTCCAGCCGAGGAAGTGCCGCCTTAACAGCCGTTGTCGTCAATGGCGAGGATTGGGGCAGATCGGGACCAACGCCTCGCGGCTTTCATGCGAGAAGCGACGCGGAAACGCTCCTCCGTACGGTTGGACTCGTCGCGTCCTCTCGTCGTCGTCGTTGGTGCAAAAGCGAACAAGTCGAGCGAGCACATTGCTGTCCGCTTTCGTGTCATTCGCGTTCGGCGAACGGGGGGGCTAAGGGCGAACGACGGCCAACCCGTGCGCTGCCGTCGACGTAACGAACACGCGGCGAAGATCTTGGTGCTTGCCGCTGCGGTCGCGGCACGTGCCTCGGCGGCGAACGGAGCAAGCAACGGAGCTACGGATGGATCGGTCGATCGAGTTAGCGCGACAAGCGCGTCCGAGCGAGCGAGTAACCGCGATCGGCGCGGCCGCGTCGGCGGACGCAGGGGATCGCCGGTAAGCACGCGTGCAGCCGCACTGGCGCAGATGCGTCCTTTACCTAATTTTCGCCGTCGACATCTGCGACCAAGGACCAGGTGCGCTTACTCGCGATCCACCGTCGTAATCCGAGAGCGTCGCTCGGCGATCGATCGCGCCGCGCTCGCCTCCGTTTTTCTCGAGCATTGTTCGGCGCGTCTTACGCCTAATCTCTCGGCCGACGAAGCACACGCACGGAGCAGCTCCGTAATGAGCTTCCCGGGCGCGCGCGTGACTCGCTCAGACGATAAACCATTCGCCGCCTCCTTCGTTTCTTTTATCATTCTAATTTCTCGATCGTTACGCGCCTTTGGTTATGCCGACGCAAACACGTTTTCTTTGATAAGCGCGCGTACGCTCGCAGCCCGTGTTCCGAGGCCGGGAGCCCGCGATCATCGTGCACCTCGACGCCCGTCGATCGGTAACGTCCGCGCGAGACATTGACCGCGCGCGACCGTCAATGTCAAGAATTAAAATTTATATCGCGAGGCCAACGGCACTCGGAGCGCGCGCCTACCTGCGAGAGCCGTGCGCGGGTTGCGTAAGCTTCGGAGCGCCAACTGGTTCTCTTCGACCATCCAGCTTCGCCCGAATGGTCCTCGGAATGGGAGAACGACCACGCACGATCGCTTTGTCCAAGTTTCCAGCTGTCGCTCGGCCGGGCGGCTATCTCGTCTCGTGCGCGAGAAAAGCGCGCGACCTACAAGCTTGTAAATCATCATCAAGGACGCCGCGAGTCTTTTACGCTTGTAAAAATCGTAAATTCGTCACAACGAAAAACAGGTTACGGCAACACGTGCTCCCCTGGAGCTTAGAGTCTCGGCCAAAGGAAAAAAAACTTCCTTAGTTTATTCACGGTGAATCACCGACCCCATTGCGGCAAGGAAGTTTCTTTTTTTTTGTCGTAGAAATATCACGTGGAGCTGATCGCGTGAAATTTCCGTGAAGCTACCGGATGATTTAAGCGTCAGTTCGGCTGAAGATCGTCGCTACTTCTTTTCACGACTGTCTCCTCACTGCGCATTCTTAACGAGGCGATATTTTAGCTCTCGCCGAATTCAGATGTCGGAAGATTGCGATCTTTGTTTGCTGTTCGACGGCTGGAGAGCGTGCGAACGAATCCAACGAAATAGTAAGGTGCACGGGCTGGCAGACCGCTGGAAAATACTCGTCGCGTTGTCGAAAAGAAAACGCACCTTTCGCGCGTTCGGCATCCACAAAACGTAATCCAAGATTTTACGTTCGTCTATCGTCGCTGCGGCTTGGAAAAGTCGCGCCGTCGAACGTACGCGAGATCCAAGAAAACAAAAAAAAAACAAAAAAAAAAAGAACGAAAAAAAAAACAAAAAATAGAACGGCAATGCACTCTTACGCAAGATTCCTTAAGAAAATCAAGTGATCAGGCGTAGTTTAAGTTCATTGTTGACGAGTGGCCGTTTTCTTTTTCTTTTATTTTTCCGCCGCGTGTCTCACTGCGAAAGCACGCGACACTCGTTGTGTCAATAAACCCGATTAATTTAAAGCGCAGCGCGATTAAAGCCACAGTGGCGCGCGCGCGTTTTGACCAATAATTCGTGTGATGTCATCGTATCGCACTGCGCGAGCAGCGTGTGTTTGCATTTCGCCGACCGAGTCGAAAAATACCACGAGACCGGCGGCACGTGCACAATCGCCGCGTAAACATTGTCGCTCCGAGCGAGCGTGGAAGGAGTTGATGAAGAATTGCTGCGAGGCATAGAATAAATAATAACATTTATTTGATTGATTAATAAACAAAAGATGCGGTTGTATGTTAACCCGTTGTTTGTTTAGCACGTCATTATTTAGAAGCTACTCGTATAAAATTACTTACAATATCAATTAAAACTTGCATCGTTTTTCGTTCAAGGGTGGGAAATCCAAGGGTTTCTTTATCAACATATGGATTGTTTTTTCGTTATGTACAAAGTCGTTGCTTAGAGTGAAAATTGCGTTATTATTATTATTCTCAATGCTTTCTTGATATACAATAATAATAATTAGGGGAGGAAGGGTGGTACAGGAACAATCGATAATTAAAAAAATTAATCGTATAATCAAGATGTAGAGTAATATAAAAAGTCGCTATGCATTTCTTTTGTACAGGTGAGAAACGTAAGATAAAAACTAAACGCTTTTTGTTTTTATTTTTGTACAAATGTATATAAAGAAAGAAACGCGCTGTTTCAACACGATAAAAGTCTTTTTTATACAGTTTACTCCTCCGTGAAACAATCTCTTTTTCTCATCTAAAATAATACTAGGTACAAAAATCGTTACGCAATACCATTTTCTTTCTCTTTCTCTTCGTTCGTCTTTACATAAATGAAAAGAAAAGAAAAGAAAACTCAACTGAGAGAACGGAACGCACAGCCGCGTACTTGAAAAAGGCACATATCGCATCAAACCATTGAGTTGTTACTCCAGTCACTAAATCCTGCAAATTTTCATTAATAATTTAATCTTCTTTGTGGCATATAAAAAAGCTTCCTATCGATCACGTTTTACAAACAAACATTATGACTAGAGTGACAACTCGACGATCGTGTGTTTCATTTTGTTCATTGATTTGTTCATGAAAGAATGCGTTATCGGTTCATTATTTTACATAAAAAGACGCGGCACGATTTTCGTCGATATGACTCTCCCCTCAAACTCACACTGTGTGTGTGTGTGTGTGTATGTATATATATGTGTATATATATATATATATATATATTACATATTATATATAACTTAGATAATGTATGTATATATAATATACATAATTTCTATAACCTTATCGACTAAAACCATTTTTTTTGTCACTTCCTTGTATAATTCTTTTTTTCCCTATATCAAATCTAGGCAGACCTCGATAAGGCGATTAACTACTTAGGCTTTTCTGTTCAGTCGGTCAAAGACGATTAATTGTAAATAAGTCTTTCGAGAGGGGAGAAAAATAAAACGTCGATTGAGGCCTTCGGCTTTCTTGCGACTCAGTAACGGAGCTTTATCGCAAATATATTTTTCGGTCATATTATAATAATTATATACATTTTTTTCTACGAAGCTTTCGATATAAATACTTTTGTTTTTCTATATGAGGAAAGCAAGTTAAAACTGTCAACGGTTTTATACTGTTTCAACATCTATCCTTAATTTCTAAAAGAGATGATTATTTTAGTGTCAATGTTCTAATACTACTATTGATAATACTCGACATGGAGTATTTTTTAACAAACATTATATCATTTAAAGATTCAAAATTTTCTGACGATGTATGACAATTGTACAAATGTTTGTAAACAAAAAGTTTTTAGCCCATGTAGGCATCCAAAAAGTAAAAGTATCTCAATCAAAAGCTTCGTTTAACACTTCGTTTTCTCGAATAAAAAAAGTCGTTAAAAAAATCCGGTAAGTGATAACGAGCAAGTAATTAACCCCTTGCTATCTCTCGTTGAGGGAAGCACGCGCTTTCTCTACACACGTCGTTTTATCAACGATCAATGCAGAAAAGCGAATGATAAGGAGGAAGTTTACACAGCGGGGAAGTCGGTTCATTCAAGCGCCTTAACTTGGGCCATAATTTTGCCCTCCCATAATGGCAATACCTCGCTATCGTCGGTTATCTCTTCCTGTATAACTTGCATGTCCAAGTCTTCACATTCGGTCTTGAAGAAGTACCTAAGAAGAATTCAAAACATGATTGGTATTTCGCTATTACGTACTTATAAATAATATAAATACTTGTGAATTTCAAGTATCAAAAGAACAATATCAATTAATATTTACCTATAGCTGCCTTTCTTCGGAAGAACGTCCTTGAACTGCTTCAATGTTACATTATAACCGGAAATCTTGGTCCTGTAGGGCACCTTCTCGTCGCAAAAGCTGAACACGACAGTGGTGAAGTCACTTGGAACTTCTTGCTTGCCTTCTCGCCTAAGAGTAGACTGATTGCTTGCAGTACTTGTTTGAACCGACGTAGGCATCGATTCACCAGGATAACGCTGCTGTTTACCACGATTCTGTTCATATTGTTCGTATTCTAGTCGCCTTTTGGCTTCCTCCAACTGCGTCGCCTGTGACACGAAATATAAATATTGTTTAGGTCAGTTATTTTTTAAAGCATATGCAAAAAATCAGGTCACGTCAAATTATACAGAATTGTTCAACAGATAAGATTCTTTAGTAATGGTTACTAACCGTATGCGGTTGCGGAAGGAGAGGCATACCCGGATCACCAATGAACGGCTGCTGTGGCGAGTTGGCGAATTTTTTGTTGCGGTTGAGCTTGTTGACGTTCATCGTTTCTGCCTTAACGCCACTCACACAACTGCCCTCTTTTTTGTACAAGCTAATTAAACGATCTTTGTATGCTGCCGACGTTGCATCACTTATTACCGAGACACCACTGTCTGTCAGTTCGGTCATGGATTTTTTCGTCGCTGACGATCGTTGGGCGTCCAGTCTTCTGTACCTCTGATCTTGACCTGCAATTTTATAAAAATGTCCTATTTGTATTTTTGTAATATTTCAGAAATCTTATAATAAGCGTTATAAGAATAATACCTTACCTTGCAAGTACAGATCCTGAGTGTGCAAAGAATCCGCGTAATCAGACGGCACGGATTTGCTCTTGGGCAGATGCGAGCCCAAACTACTCATACTACCAGCGTTATATATCTCGCTGGGCTCTTGGAAGTCATGCACATTGCCACTGTCACCAGAGAACGTTGAGAATACATCTTTCTCTTTTCGCTGACTTCGATAGGACGGTGGTCTCGACGGATAGACTTGCGGTTGAGGTGAAATTTGCGATTGACGACGGCATTTGTCAGGTGATCGTGGTCTGGGAGAAGCGAGTTTAGGTGATCGCGATGGCGTTAGGTCTGACCAAACTCTAGAAACATGTTGATCGAGAATCGCTTGATCGCTGTCCTCCTCAACTTGCAGCTTCTCGCGCAGCGCATCAGCTAAACTACGAGCAGGGGCAACAGTTTGAGGAACGACGGTGCTTAATGTGTCACACGTGATATCGCTAGAAAGAAAAGCGTTGATCGTTAGCGTCATTTAAGCCTTTGTAAAAAAAATTGTTATTTCTGTTTGAAATTCGTAAACTTACCTGAAACCAGTGGAAGAAGCAGCATCGACCTCCTTGAGTTTTCTATCGAGTGTCTCCTCGTTATCCCTGTCGCGCTTCACCCGTTCGAGCTTCTCAATGAGAAGTTTGGCGAATTCTACAGGGTTCTTCGGTTGCGTTTGCTCGCGCGTTACTCGTTGCGTCCTCGGAATTATCGTTTCGTGAATGTCGGTTTCGCGATTGACCATTGCCGATTTCTTCATCTGCTGGCTGTGCCGAAGAAACTGTTTACGCGTAGAGCGCCTCGCTATCGATGCACTATCACTGTTGTTTTCATTAAAAAAATAGTAATAAATAAATAAAAATAAGAGTCAAACATTTATTTAGTTCATAATTCATAACCTGTAAAGAGTTTTAACGGCAACAAGATAGTTGACAATCAACTGAATTTATTAAAATGTTTGAGTGACTATTATTAGACAGTTGAGCAATTAAGCTTTAAGCATTCATATGATATGATTTTAAGGAACTTGTTCAATCGCTCAAAACAGTAAACAACAACATCGATGTAAATGGTGCATAAAAAAACAATGTAAAATAATGAATAAGATGAAAAATTAAAAAAAATTAAAATTAAACTTACAGTGACGCATCAGTGAGCGACAAATTGTCAGACTCGGTGCGAGCGTCGCTGCTGAGGCTTTGCAGTTCTGAATCCTGTCTTGAGACAGGATTATACGAAGAGTACTGTGGACGCCTCTGCATCGCCGCATGATAGGGACTAGCTCCGGGTTGCAGGTAAATGCTACATTTGTGCGTAGGACACAAACATAAGCACACAAATAAACGAAAACAAAAATAAATAACAACGAAAAAAAAAAAGTTGTGTTGGTGTACGTGGTAGATGTCGTGTATCGAATAACTCACCCAGCATAGGCCTCGGGTTTAGGCCTGACCTCGAAGGCCCTAAACTGCTGTGTGGCCATGAGCATGTCTTTGGTCAGTCTCATCGAAGGCTCTCCTTGCTTGTTATAATCAGTCGTGGAAACGCTCGATTGCGATCCGTGATGATGATGTAGCACTGGTTGCTGAGGATTGTGATGATGTTGATGATACGAATGCTGTGACTGATGATGGTGGTGCGACGGATGATGATGCTGTGGGGTCAGTTCGCCTAAAAGTTGCAAAATACTCAGGGATTAATATTCGAAGCGATCGAAAAGTGACCGAATGGCGAAGGGAAACGTACTGTCTTCGTGCACAGTAGGCAGTGGATTAGCAGAGCAGGAAACAGAAGGCTCGTCCGGCGAGCTCGGGCACTCTTTGTCGTCCTCGTGCTCGGCATCATCGAGAGCACTGTTAGCAGCGTTGACTGCTTCTTCAGCAGATTGACACCAGCGCACGTATTGCAGATATACGTCGGAGCGCAGGAAATTGGGATGTGCCGTCTCCTTGAGCAGTCTCTCGACTTCCTTCTGCGCCAAGTCGAACATACGCTTGTCGGACTGGCCATCACGATAGCGTCGCGTCAGCTCCTTCCGTACGTCGTCTGGCACCGCTAGCTGTTGACGTTGATGGAAGAATCTGCGGAAATAGTCAAATCGGAGTCAGTCGTAGAACGAGGCTGGGCAGCTTGGGAGATGAACAATCAAAGACAGACGCACCTTCTGATGAGAACCTTAATAATGGCAGTGAGTTTGTTCGGGTCGCGTTCCTCTTTGAGGCCCTCGCACGCAAACCAGAACGACAACGCGTAGATGTGTCCTTCTTGATGTAGGTAGTGTTCAAACAACTCGAGTCCCTTGGGATCCTCGAGCAACGCGTGCAAGCTTCGCGACCATTGCAAACAAGCGAGCTGCTGGGCGCAACTGCTATTGTTGCCACACGACGACGAGGATGACTCTGCTGCTGATCGTTCCATGACGACGACGCGGTCACTGCGACCCTCCGGCTCGTAGCCAAGTGGCGCGCAGCTGGCATCGCAACTTGAACGCCTCGCTTGCGGATCCTTCGACCTGCTACTGCTGATCTTTACTTCCCCTTCCTCACCTGGAAGACAGTTTCATTTTTCCATAACTCTTAGTATTGCTCATTTTCTTACGTTTTTGTAACCTCGACGTTTTAATCAACCTACCAGGAACAGGGGGCCTGGGAGAATTTTCGTTGAAAAGGCGTTCGCTGGGTGGTTGAGGCCCACTCATTCTATCTGTCGCGACAAGCGCGTGCTGCTGACCTTTCTATGCTGAACTTCGATACAAGGTGCCACTTATTACTGGTCATGGCTAATTTCAACCTGTAAGCAAAATGAATACAAGCTATTTAGTTGTTATTCTCAATTATTCGGCGGAAATAATGTTTTCATAAATTTTTTAACAGTGCACTATGTGGAAACAATTATAAAATACACTTTCAATTGATTAAAGGTAAAAATGTGCCAGCAAGTTCCTTTGTTCACAACAGAGCAAAAATTGAAAAGAATGGAGAATGGAACATGTAATTATTCATATGAAAAGTCAAATCATCCATATTCCAGTGTGCTTTATTGATCAGCCTTTCATATAATAGTGTACAGCGGTTGCTACGGAGCATAGAACAAAGAACGTTCCAGAGTAGTGGATCGATAGAGCTCAACTCAGTGCTTCACCATGACTCATGTACCAATTACGGAAGCTGGAGAGTCCATTTTTCTGACTGCTGGCATTGGAGAAGAGAGAGAGAGAGAGAGAGAGAGAGAGAGAGAGAGAGAGAGAGAGAGAGAGAGAAAAGAGGGGTTGAACTGTTCTGCGCATCCAAACCTCCTTCTGGCTTCTTACCCTCCAACTTGCCAAGGCTCCCTGGCAGTGCACTGCGCAGCAGCTTTTGTGGTCTGCGATATTGATCGGAGGCAAGCCTGGAAAGCGAAGTATGCCTTCCAGCTAGGAGAAAAATATAAAACCCTCGACGAATCGATAGGGCGTATACGAGTATATCTGTCTATAGAATGGAAGCATCACTATTAATTTTTCTTTTTTATCCTCCAGTTATGAAAGGAAGGAAAAAAATTAGAAATGCTATCCTAACAGCCTGAAAAAACATTCCATTGTCCCACTTAAATGATGCCTATTGTTAGCAAAGGGTCTATAGAAATATGATTCTATAATCAGGATGTAGAAACCGATGTGGTTTAGTCTGTACGTCATGGTCTATGCTCTATTCATAAAAAGTTTATCTAACTGAACAGTAGTATTAAATATTAACATTTATTTTGCAAAAAGATAACTACAGACTGAAAAAATGTAAAGTTAAAATCAAACATCAATAAAAGTTTAGACAAGTGAGCAAAAATCATAACTCCTCATTCTATTTCTAGCTAGCTCTTTCATAAAAATGCAAATTAAAGAGGTTGAAATTCATCAAGACACTTGTGTTTTGAAATCTGACCTTTGAGTGTCTAAGTGTAAGTGGAAAGAGAGAAAACAAGAGAAAAAAACTGCATAGGAAAAACCAAAGCATTAGGGGAAGAGAAAAGATATACACTGATTTACTCTTTCTGTTACACACACACACACATACACACACGCGCGCGCGCGCGTGCACAGACCATATATGAAAAGCTGTCATAATGAATCATCTTAGTTGAGCGCATTCATACCTGAGTCTAAGAGCCTAGCGTACATACCATTTTGATATAGACAGCCCCACAGGGCAGAATTTCTTTATTTTTTTTCTCTATATATTTCAGCACACACGTACTCCTTTTGAAATGGAAGCTATTATTATGAAACCACTAAAAAATTTAATAGAGCCTAAATATAGGATTTCATTTGCTTTGTTAAACTGCAACAACGCAACGCACTAGCTGGCTTGCAGCTAAAAGCAAACTGAACTAAGCGTGGCGTCCTGGCCAGGACTGATGCTGGATCGACGCACATACATATAGACATTGGGGTGGCACAGCGTTTGGAGGAGGGGTCGATATACCCTGGACTCCTACCACTTGCAGATTGTGCTCGCTGACATTTGTACGCTGGTTGGTCAGAATTCATAGCTAAAATACTCAAGTATCTTTCTAGCTAGAATGCTACAAAAAATGTTTTGCTGACATGATCGCTTTACCTAATTGTAATTTTGTGTCTTAAAACCTATGCACATAATGTTCTGATTGTATAGAATAATAGCAACCTCTTAAGCACATTTAGCCTGGTTATTGATCTGTTCTTTTGTGAATATAGAATAGACTATCTGTTTCATACTACAAGGAATAGATTAACGAGTATTATGAGATGCTGTAAATTTTATGAAAGGTTTACTTTTGTTTTAGATCTTATCAAATTTCCTAGTTCAATAAACATTGAGTTGATGAATTAAAATTAAATTTATTAAATAATTATATCAAAGTAGAGCTTCTATTCATTTTAATAAGAAATTTTATTGCATCACTAAAATTACTATAAAAGGAACAATGTTAAATAGAACATATAGTTTTTACTGATGAAAGCAATTATTAACTACATTTATAAAATTATAGAGTACTGAGTGGATGATAAATGAAAAAATAAGTCTTACTCCTACTGAGTTAACCTCAAAGTATAAGCAACACTCACGTGGTCAATCCAGTTGATGTTTACAAAGCAAAAACACTTTAATTTAAAACGAATAACAAATGATTAAATTGTACGCAATTTCTAATTTGCAATTGCAAACATAAAACTAAAAGAATAAGTTTTAGGCTCGGCAGAATACTGTAGGATAGAAATAACAAACGTAAACAATAAGACGAATGGATAGACAAATGATAAAGTTGAGAAATTTGGGGTAGAACACACAGCCATTGATTTATTTAGCAAATTTTTACACAGAGATTAAAAGATGTAGTTACAGCAAAAAACTGAATGAGAACTTTAAAAAAATAGACAATTACGAGCTTTGCAAAACAATGCTAAACAAAAGAAATTCAGAAAGTGAACGGAAAGAAAGCAAACGCGCGATATAAAAAAATAAAAAGATAAGGAAAAAATGGAAGGAGTAGTTAAAAATATAGAAGGGATGGCGCATAGATGGCGCACCAAAGCGCGTTACAGTGTTCCTTCCGTTTTAGTATATTTTTGTCTGTTTTTTTACCGCAAGAGCCGAGGCCGAGAAAAGGTCTTTTGCACTTTTAATTGACGCCCAGACGACAAAACAATCAAGTGCGTAATACGCTACAGAGGAAACTTTGACAGTGATTACCGAGTTTGAAAAAAAGTCAACAGAAAAGTAAAAAGGTTTCTTTTCTTTTTTATTTTTTTTTTAAACAGTGGAATTCTACGAGCTGTCCTAAGTATCGTTTCCTTCTTGGTGTAACATTATGAAATAAGTTAAATTCACAATGCAGTACACTGCATAACCCATTCGTGATATTCTTTTCAATGAAATTTGAAAACGGGCAAAACCAACGGAAAGTGTGTAAGAGAAAAAATAAGGTTTCTTCGCCTGTCTCTCCGGCGACACAAACATATAAAAATAGCAGGAATCCTCGTAAAATGCAAAAAGGAGAGGAGAGAATCTGCTCTCTCGCGCCATCGAAACCAGATTTCATTCGAATGGTTTCTTGAAACTCGCGAGCTCTTTCGCATATCTCTTTCTTCTCGCGTGGTTGGAATAAAAACGCCATTAAAAGAGATATCGAAAAGAGGCGCGCGTAAGCGAGAGTGTGAAAAATATAAGACGAGCTTGTGGAATGTGTCGACGCAGCCGAAAATATTCTGCGGGGGTGGTGTGCAGTGCGCGTGTATGCTTTGGAGCGATAGCCGAGCATATATTGAAAAATCCCACTTGTAGAGAAGAGCCTCACGGGGAATGCGCAGTGACATTTTTATTGGGAAATTGTGATGAAATTTGATACTCGACGACAAATAAGCGCGCGCGCGCGAAGCCTTTATTTGTTTGGTCGACGCGCCGCGGGGTTACAGTTTCACTTCTCGGTAATAAGTCTTTCCGCGAAGTCGAGAGGATGTACGTGAGTCAGCCGCGAGTATTATTTTACCGGAACTAGGGTTGGCTATTGTTTGACGCATTTCTTTCGAGAATAAAACAAAGTCGTCTCGTGACGAAAGTCGGCGACTGTGCAGCCGCAGTCGATAAGAAGACGAGACGAAACGGCAGACAATCTTACCGCCATCGTACGAGTGCCGGTAAGCTTCGAAACCAACCCCCCGACAATGGGCATTTCATCCCTCTTGTGTGCGCTCTCGAGGAGAAGGCTGGCGGTGCTCGATAATGCGCCTACCGCGATAACTTGTTCTGCCGCGCAGCCCCCTTTTACCGACCGACTATCCGATCGATTAGTCAGGCTAAGTGCGCGTGCTTTAATTCGGTAATTTATCGATTTTACTTTTTCCCCCCTGTTCTTTTCTTAATTTTACTGGAATTATTAGGCTGGAAAATCTCGTAAGCGAAGTCCTACATAATCCTTAATTAATTTAACCTTCAATCGTTCAACTTCTCGTTTGTCGCAGACAGTGAGAGTTTTATTCGTCTAGCGTAACAACGTTAAAATCGACAAAAAACATTTCAAAATCGAAAACAAAACTAGAAGTACAAAAGATTAAAATGGTGAAAGGTTAAATCGCGTCACATGAATGAAGTCTCTCACTCAAAGTTTGCAGTACGAGAGAGAGAGAGAGAGAGAGGTAGAGAGCTGTCGAGTGGCATTCTTACATGAGGCTACTAGTTTTTCAGGGCAGCGGCCTCTCTCCGCGGCTTGTCTTTTTTTCTAGCCGTGTCGACCCTCCCTTCTGCTACTCGCACGCACCATAACTTCCGTCTTCCCTTGCGCCACGAGATTGATGCCCCGGCTATCGAATTCGCGCATCTGCAATTAGTCATGGAAGCGGCCTTGATCGCGCTCTTCCTCGACGTTATCTTTAATGATTTTCCCCTCCTTCTCCTCCTCCCATTAATTGGACGCGGCGCGCATCGGATGGCGCCGGTCGCTCGACGTCGGGCTTTTTGCTCGGCGCGCGCCCGAGTGTTTTTCTTTTTACGCGAGGAGAGAGAGAGAGAGAGAGAGAAAGAGAGACCAATCGGCTCCGCTGAAATTGCCGCCGCTCGGTGCCTCGATCGCGCGGCGAATCCGTGAAATTGGACGTTATTACAGTGACAATTAAATATCGGCTCGCGGCAGCCGCGCGAGAGGAGCGCGCGGAGCGGGCGGCGCGCGGCTCGGTGAGATAATGAATGGGCGAGCCTCGCGCGAGGAACAAAGCGCCGACAAATCAAAAGCGCGCTCTCCGCGCTCGCCGTTCCACGGATAAAAAGTAAAAGTGCGCGCGC